TTAGTATTATATTAACTATAAATAAAATAACTAGGTTAAAAAGCTACTAAATACCTAGCTAGCTTATAATACTGCTTATAATAAAAATATAAAACTTATATTATTTAATATAAATATAAGATTTATACCTAATATATATTATAATACTTAAGAACTTAAAAATATAAACCTAGTTATAATTATTATAAGTAATAAGCTAAAAGAAATATATAATAAACTTAAAACTAAGCTAGAATTTATTAAGAAAAGGATATAAAGATACTATAACCTTAAAAGGTTAAAGGGACTAACCTTTAACGAAGGAGATATAATTTAGTTATTTATTAAAAATATTAAAATAAATTAATTAAGTTATAAACTAAATTATAAATACTTAAAACTAGTTAAGATTAAATAAAAAATAAAGAAAAATTAATATAAATTAGACTTACTTCTAAATATTAAATATTACTTAATTTATTATATTTTAATACTTAAATTAGCTATAGATATAATATATATAAAAACTAGTAATAAATTATAATAAATTATAAGACTAGAGGTATATAAAGTAAAAGTAATTAAGAAAATATAAAAGATAAATAAATAAAAGATATATTTAATTAAATAAAAAGACTACTTAAAAAGTAAAAATATATAAAAACTAATAAAATACCTTATTAATGCCTAATAACTCCTAAAGAACTTTTACTAATATTAAATAAAGGAAGAGTATTAAGAAAATTATTACCTAAACTTAAAGTAAACTAGTTAATATTATTAAGGATATAATTTACTTAAAGATTATAAAGCAGTATATCTTTATATATATCTAGCCCTAATAGAATTATATCTTACTAATCTACTTCCTAAAGGCTATAATAAGTAGCCTTAAAATGCTTTTCCTTTATATAATTATAAATCTTATAAATCCTTAATAAATAACCAGTAGCTAAAGCTAAATAAGATTATTATAATAACCTTAATAATAAAGGCAGAATTACTTATATTATTATAAGTAACAAAAGAGGGCTTATTTTAATAAAGGCTACTTTAAGGCTTATAAATTAAGTTATTAAATATAAATTTATAATTCTTATATAATAATTAATAAATAATTAGTTTACTTAAAAATCCTCTTTAGAAGCTAAAGACTAAATTAAGGCATATAGATATATATAACTATTAGCTATATAAATATATATAAAAGAAAGCAGTTTCTTTTATTTATATATAAAGTATAAAGCTTATAGTAAATAGGCTTATAAAGGCATTATAAGGCAAAAAATAAAAATAAAGCTATAAATAGCTTAAATTAGTTAATATTAAGGAATATATAAATAAGTATTAAAATAAGTAAGTTAATAAGAGAATAATTAATAAGATCTTTAAAGAATTATAAATCTAAAATTAAAAATTAATTTTAAATTTTATAATACCTATTTAGGTTTTATAATACTATTTTAAATTTTATAATATTATTTTAAAGTCTATAAGGCTATTTAAGGTTTATATAGCTATTATAGGTTTTATAATATTAAATTATTTATTATATTATATTTTTTAAAAATACTTTATAATAAAATATTTAAGATATATTAATTTTAAATTATAATATTTATAAGGTAAAATATAAAAATAAGAGATATTATCTTAAAAAGACTTTTATTTAATTAAATACCTAAAGGTAAGAGATATATTATAAAGTGCCTTAAAAATAACTTAAAAAATAAAAAAATATATCTTTACTTAGCTATATAAGAATTACCTGCCTTAAAAAAGGTTTAAAAAGCTATGCCCTTTAATATAATCTTTACTATACTATAGTACTTTTCTTTTTTCTTTTAATTATCTTATTAAAAAGTAAAATAATTAGTAAAGGCTTAAAACTATAAAAGGTATTACTTACCTTATTAAGGTCCTTTATTATATTAAAGTAAGTTATATAAAAATTAAAAAAATAAAAAATATAAAAAAAGGCAGTAATAAGATTATAAAATAAAAGCTAAATTAATAAAATAAATTATAAAATAAGGATTTAAAGTATTTATATCTTTTTATAAAAGCCCCTAGTAATATATTACTTATAGTAATATATATTAAGATACTCTTAATACTTATTATTATTTTTATTAGAGGTAGTATTATTTAGGTAAATAAGGTAAAGTAAAACTCTCTTAATAATAATACTATTTTTATTAATAAAGTAAAACCTAAAAGTAAGTAATAATATATACTTTAGTAATAATAATAATAGCTTAAGTTTATTATACTTTATAGGTAATATAAAAAGCCTTTTTACTAAGGGCTTTATTATAATAATAATTATAATTAAGTTAGTAAAAGTAAAATATATATTTAAGTTATAAAACTACTTATATAAAGTAATAAAAAAGAGGAATATATAGAAAAGACTTAAACTAATAATTTAATAACTTTAAAAAGTTTAAAAAAGCTAAAATTTTAATAAAAAACTTAATAAAAAGAGTTATTATATAAAAAGAAATATTATATACCTAATAATTATTATAATACTTAAAAAAAAAAAACAAATCTTAAATTAAAAAGAAATTAAATTTTATAAAGTATATACTTAATAATAAATTATATTATTATATAATTAAATTATTATAATTTATTAATATTATTAGTACTTAATAGTATTATTATAAATTACTAATATAATATAAAACCTTAAAGTAAAAATCTAATTTAAAAAAACTAGTAATTAAAAGAATAACTTATAAATAATTAAATTAATAAAATATAAACTAATTAAAGTTATAGAATCTTAAATAAAATTACTTTTCTTAAAAAAGAAATATAAAATCTTAATTTATAAAGGGAAAGGATTAAACTAGTAATAGCCTTAAAGTAATAAAATCTTATTACTTTAAGGAGGTATATTAAATTACTAGGTATTAATTAGTAAGGTATTTTAGTTAAAAGAGCTGCTTTTCCTAAAATAGAAAAGTTATATAATATTTTATCCCTTTTTTAAAGATTAGCTAAGCTATATTAGAAAGGCTAAAGATAAATAGTTTAATTAATTAAGGAATAGTTTTATAAAAATAAAAGAAATATATTAAGTTTTATATAAGTTTAATTACTTAAAGTTAAAGACTTAAAGTTATAATTAAATTTAATATTTATAATAAAAAAAAATTAAATAAGTTATAAGATAGATTATATAATTAAATAAGTAAATTAGTTATAATATTAATATATTATTAATATAATTAAGGGATAATTAAATAGATAATAATAAGGAAGTTAAAATTTTAAATTATATATAAAGTATTTAAATATAAATAAATTTAATAAGATTAAAGTTTTATTTTAAGCTTTAAGCTTTATTAATTATTATATAATATTATTACCTTTTTATAACTTTTTATTTTATATTAGTAGTTTATATTAAATATAATTTAAATATAATAAGATATATAGCTATAATTATTATTAAACTTTATAAATTAATAATATAATTTAATTACTTATACTAAACCTATTTATATTTATAAACCTTATTACTTAATAACTATTATAAAAAATAGCCTTAAAGTAAATATATTATATAATTATTAATATCTTAAGTTTATAAGCTAATATTAATATTAATTAATTTATATAATTATCTTTTATATTTTTATATATTTTCTACTTTTTATAAGTATTATAATACTTAAAATACTAATTATATATTAACTTATATTAAACCCTATAATAAACTATAAGTTATATAAAATAGCTTATAATATTAATTTATAAACTTATTATAAGCCTGCCTTATAATACTATAAGCTATTATAATATATATATATATATATTTATTATTAAATAAAACTTAGCTTATTAGGTATTAATAAGACTTCTTTATATTAATATACCTAATATATATACTTAATTATTTAAAGATATAATACTTTATATTACTTAGTATTAATATCTTATAATATTTACTAATATATACCTAGAATGTATTAATTTATCCTTTAGAAACTATAATTATTATATTAATTTTAATTATTATATTAATTTTAATTATTATATTACTTATATTTTACTTTTATTATAAAACTTTTAATATAAACTTAATTATTAAAAGGCTATTAATGCCTAAACGCTTTAACATAATCGTCTGCAACTAATATATAGTACTAGTACGCACCAGTTAAGAAGAAGGTTAAAAAGTGCTTAGTCATTTCAGGAAAGAAATTGCCAAGTGCGCTACATACCATGCTTCCTCATATAGTTTCTTTTATAACCTTATACGGTTACATTGGCATTTAAGATTATATCGTGGCTATCTATAGGGTAGTTATATATACAAAAGTTAATGCAATTACAGCGTAATTGGTAAAGCGGTGCCTAAATAAGTAAGATTGCTTGACCAACAATCGCTTATCGATAAGCCCAATAGTCTCAATGCCAACACCAACCAGCCCGCGGTTTGTTAGGGAGTGGAGCCACGATCTCAGCAAACCCACGTGACAAGATTCATGCAATCCTTGGTATGCACGCTGATTAGGAGGAGGTGGGCTCCCGGGCTCAGAGCCGTGGGTCTCTGAGACGATCCATGGATGAATGTCCTTAATATGTGATGTATGCTTTGCTGCGTGCTTTATTTTGAATCCCGCTTTAACACCTTCGGGGCGGAGAAGAATCACTCCGATCTTACCTAGAAGTAGGAGGCTTGCACCAGATAGTCCAGGTAAGCAAGTAGTCACGTGGGAATAAGCACGTCTTCCGAAGTTACGCAACACACAATGCAAACGGTTTTATCGTCGACAACATCAGACACGATGCAATCGAATAAGTCCTCAGATTCGTCGCCAGATACTAGCTTAATCGTGGGGACCGTCCGCGGTAGAGCTGGCCCGCGAAAGGGACACACAAAATCGAGAAATGGTTGCATCAACTGCAAGAGGCGCAGAGTGAAATGCCCAGAGACGTTTCCCGAGTGTGAGAATTGCATGCGTCTTGGCATGAAGTGCGAGTACTCAACGCGACGTATCATGATGGGTGCACCCGCCAGGCCACTTCAGTCGACACCTACCCAATTCACGATGGAAGATCTGCGGCTATATCAGCACTTTGTCTTCCATGCCTATCCCCCAATGCCTCTGAAGGGAGAGGCGGTTTGGAAGGAAGTTGCTGCTATGTCTCACAATGTAAGTTCTACCCTATGTTCAGATATCAATGTCCTGACAAAACACCCAGTTTGATTTCCTGGTACATGCTATGCTCGGGTTGGCGGCATCCCATCTGTCTTTATGTGGCGACACAGACTACATTGCACAAGCACTGAGCCATCGAGTTCACGCCATCACGCTACTAAATCAGGCCCTGAGCAAACCATGCAAATCTAAGGTTGAAGCAGACGCCCGAATCGCCACAGTCATGACTCTCGTTTTCCAGTCGTCTTATATGTTTGAAGGCATGGTGGAGTTCATTATCATGATCCGGGGCTGCATGGCAGTTTCCGACGCGATCCTTCCACGCTTAGAGAATTCTCTGTTTGAAGGCTTTACCGCTGAGAGTCACAACAAGCACGTCTTATCACTTAACCCTGTAGATGTTGTTGAAGAAATAGCCGATATCCTACGTGACGGGTTGGTCTCAGTCAGGCGCCTGAGGCTGATTTGTCAGAGCGTTATAGAAGTCAAATACCTCGGTATTCTGGAAAGGATTTTGGAAATCGCAAAAAGTTCGCCCGTACAAGGTACAACTACCATGCTCCGCTCCCTTCCACGACTGCTTTTGCTAATGTGTTTGACAGCATTTACGGAAGCCGCCCGGGTGTACGCGATGTTTGGCGAGCTGGCACAGGACGAGTTCAAGCATTTCACCGACCGAAGAAATTATACTGCACAAATCATTATAGCCCACTTTTTCATCATCGAGTACATTGTCGCGACTGTCGCGATGGCGTCAATTATGGGATCTTTTCCCTTTCGGAGGGTTATTGTTTCGGCATGGGCTTTGGAAGTCGCAGAAAATGTGCCCTCTAACTACGATGTATATATGAGCTGGCCGCTGGAGTTTGCAAAATCTGACCGCCTGAGACTCAAATCTGGCTGACGGCCTCGTTGGCTCGAGACTTTTGTTTGGGCATAGATGAGCCATCTTAGTCCGTCAGGTTACGGCCCGAACAGTATGTGGTGCGCACTGTCACCTTAAGGATGGAAAAATGGGGCAATATCTACAGCAAGAATAGTAAAAGTGTTTGAAATTGATATTATAAAAGAAATAATATACTATATACTTACTTTTAAAAGATATATAAAGAGCATGTTGCATATAGAATAGCAGAGCCTAATGGTCAAAGACCATGGGTCCCGAATTACCACGAGAAGAAAAGTCGCCCAGCCTGAGATCGCTAACTTGAAAGGAATATTCGTTAGGATCCCCCTCACCCACGTGCCTGTTGTCAGCCAAATCCCCGGCGTCGTTTAGCAACCCGCTTAGTTTACAATTATGGTGCGGCCATTCAACTGCTGTTGGCATTCAATCTTATAACTAATACGAACTGGTCCGCGGGCTTGTTATATAATTCAGCCAAGTTTAGTAATATAATACTGTTCCTGGTTATTAAATACTTAAATTATAATTAATTACTATTTCTAATAGTAAGTAAGTAATAATTATAAAAAATATCAAGACGTAGGTAGTTGAGATCTTCAACAGAGTTTATTTCGAGCCATTGTAAAATCTAATCTCTTTACCTCGTCACAAATTTAACATTATGTCTTCCTTTATTACTAATGGGCGCTACCCTCCTATCCCTGGCGCTACCCTTGATGATGTGACCAGCGAGGAGAGGTCAAGTGCAATTGACTTCGTCAACCGGCATAACCTCATCTTCGAAGAGTTTGACCATCAAAAAATGATAAACACATTCCTCCCCGACGCTGTCGTCTACCATACTTATGGCGTCGTTCGCGGCCACGAGAATATGAAGGACTTCTTGGAGAACAAGTATGGATTTTTCATCCCCGGAGTCTCCCGCCATGCCACCAACCACGTTGTGGATCGTGATCAAGACGGAGGTGTGATTGTCCGATACTAGGAATTCCTTATTCGATACGGGTGGCAGGGTGACGACCTGGCTGCTATAAATGGGCATGATGCCATTAGGGAGGACGGCCTCCCGGCAATCTGGTGGATTGGAAGGATCGTTGATCAACTTAGAATGACGCCGGATGGCTGGAAGATCTTTGAACGTCATCTTGGAGCACCTTTTAGAGATGGCAGACTGGACCCTAGCAAGGCCCCTAGTGTCAAGGAAAAGGATCACGACCATCATGAATAGCTTTATGGTTACCATGAACTCTAAATCGCAGGCGTTATCGTGCTGCCTAGACGATCTGCAGTGGGGATAAGAACAAGAGACCGACTTCCTTCGCTGCTTTAGATAGAAAATCAGGTGTTCATTTGGTCTTGTCTTTCCTCTTCTCGGATATGGTGCTCGGCTAACGGACTGCGTTTCGTCTACTGGTGGAGCTCAGGGTTAAGTATTACATACAGTCACCTAAGCAAGTTTATGTAGAGCGCCGAGATGTCCCCAATAGGAAATTAGCGCGCGGTCTTCCATGTTGGGAAGCAGCGCGCAGCAGCCGATCACATCACGTCGGTATCACGGCACAGTCGGCCTTTTCTAGGAACAAATCAGGTATTTAAAGGGACCAAATAGCCCTGCATTAGGTCTCAAATTCTTCATACCATTTTCAGTTGCAAAAATTGCCAATTTCCCCTCCTCCTCGGACTATTCTCCATCTCTTTTTGAACATTACCATCTTGGTCACTGTTGCAATCGCTGGAGCCACTGGCCACATTGGCAAGACTATCCTCGACGTCTTGAAGCAGAACCAAAACCACAAAGTCATTTCTTTGTCCCGCAAGGTACTTGCCCTTCACGGAAAATTAAGGGCGGCTCGTTAACAAAATCCCCAGGCATCAAATGGTCACGACACTCACACTATTGTCGCGGACTATAATAACATTGACTCGGTGGCTGATGTTCTTGAAAGCAATGGCGTTCACACAGTAATCTCTGCTATCCTAGTCAAAGATGACGAGTCTAGCCCTTCAGAGATCAATCTCGTCAGGGCTGCTAGCAAATCACGACCAACAAAGCGCTTCGTCGCGAGTGACTATGCAGCTCCCATTCCAGAAGAGTGAGCCCATCTCCATAATTCTACTGACACATCCTGGATACGCTGTGGAGTTCTAAACAATGGCCACTTAGGAAACAATTTGGGCGTATTCTCGATCGAGCCGGCACAGCCAAGGAGCTGCGCCAGACGGACTTAGAATGGACGTCTATCCGCGTTGGGCAGATTTCCGACAGCTTCGGCATCCCGCACATCAAGAGCTACTTGCCTTTTCGCCCCCTCAACGTCGACGTGGCCAACAAAGCAGCAGCTATTTACGGGTCAGGACACGATGTCATTGCTTACACTTACAGCTTCGACATGGCACAGTTCCTCGTTGCCGCACTGGACCTGCCTAAGTGGGACGAAGATTTGTTCTGTTGTAGCGACAAGGTTACAATTAATGAAATTGTCAAGTTGGCAGAGAAGATAACAGGGGGGTAAAGCCCTGTCGTTATTGTTGTTGTTCTCGTCAATGTTATACTAAGAGGCCTCCGAATAGGGCCTGAGTTTAATGTCGCATACGATAGCGTCGAGAAGCTTCAACGGGGAGAAATGACGGAACTGCCGGCATATGTTGAGTCGTACTCTGTGGTTCCAAAAAGGATTCTCCAGGTCAGCTTCGCTACTTATAGTTTGTATGCGATCGATGGATTGTTTGATTTTCCAAAGGAAAATATCTTGAATGCAAAGTTTCCCGACATCAAGACGACAACTATTGAGGACATGTTGAACCTTTGGAGGAACAAGTGAATCGCTCCTGAGCATGTATACTGTCTTGATGGCTTCAAAATCATATTTCGTGTTTTATTCATTTGTTTATTCTAGTGAAACCTGCCGGCCTAAAATTTGCAGACAATCCTCCAGATCCCATGTCTTGTGGCCCGCCTTGTCCTTGTTCTCCCATACAGCCTCCATGATCTCACCAGCCTCACGAAACAGATTCAACGATTGTTGGTCGCTGATATTAGCGAGATTCTTACGAAACCTTTGTTCGTCGTCGGCAAGTGCAAGACAGCCAGCCACACAGATGGGCCACGCCGATACATCATGCGCATTATCAGATGTCACGAGATGGGTATGGTAGTCCTTCAAGAAGGGCTCCCAGCCAACCGACGTACTGGCTACGATATCAACGTAGACCAGCACGGCGGTAAAGAAGCGAAAGGCTGCTTGATCGGTGTTCCATAACGGTCGACCAATAAAGCCCGTAACTCGTGATGGCCACGCCATGGCATGCAAAACGGACGACAGACTCTGCTCTGGAGATTCCCCTATGATGTCTTTGAACAGAGTTATCGCCGGCTTCAGGTGCAATTCCCAGTTTGTCGATTTGCCCAAGAAAGACTCAAACATGAGCAACTGGATAATACTTTCCATTAATCGAGCCTTTTCAATGAGTCCCTGCTGCGTACCTCGTTGGCTGACCTCGTCAAGTTCTTTATGGATCATCTGGAATGATAAGTCGGCTTGCTTGAGCGTTTGTTCCCAGACAGTCCATTTGCAGAAACTGTGTTTTCCCGGAACAACGTTCTTGAGCTCAATAGTTAAAAAGTATGTGCTCAAGCTCAAGATGGAGTGGAAGACGGCACCGTTTTGCCGTATGAATGTCAACAGCCACGCGCGACCGGTACCTACCAACGGTGGTCGGTAAAAGGGGAAGAGCAAAGGGAAAACATAATCGAGGTAGATCATGATATAGTCTAGCTCCCAGTTTTTGCTTGACGATGGATCAGAAGGGTTAAACCGCTCGCAGGTGCGCTCCTGAGTCAGGTCCAAGACTGACGCAGTGATTGAAGCCGGAGCCACGGCGGTACTTGGGATGGGCGTGTTGATGCTGGGAACTAGTGGTTGGGAATTAGCTGCGGATGGATCCGTTGTATCAGTTGTGTCAGCCCCAATTTGATAGTCTTGTTGAAGTGTAACAACAAAAGGATCTGACAACATCCCTCGTGTCTCTCGTCAAACCTCTGACCTCTTCTTAATTTGGCACTTCATCGTTTCCGCCATTGCCTTTTGTTCAGCTGCGCCATCCATCCAACCAGATTTCTCTGGGCCATTATAACAGGTAATTCCTAAGGTAGCGCAAATACCGCATATGGGGCGAGCTCTGTTGCACTTCTTTCGGCGGAGACGACACGTCCAGCATGTCTCTGCTGCTTTCATAGGGGTCTAAGGTATTTGAAATTATTTTAGTAATGTTAGTGTTTCTGTAAATATATGAATTTAGCAAATAAATGGATTTAATTATATTTATTTTAAGTGCTATTTTATAGCAGTAGCTTTACTTAGTAAGCTAGGCTTAGCTAATAGCTAAAGTGCCTTAACTGCTTAGTATTATCTTTATTATTTAAAAGGGGAAAAAAAAAAGAAAACAATTAAAGATAATATATATAATAAGTAAGTAAAATAAAAGTCTTAATCCTCTAAGGATAAATTATAATATAAAAAATAATAAATAATTAAAAAAGTAATTAAAAAATACTATTATTACTTAAAAAAGTATTAAAACTACTATTTATACTAAATATAAATTTAATACTAAAGAATTCATAAATAGCTATTTTACTTTAAATATAGGTAAGATCTTAATTATAATTAATTTATTAATATGAAGATCTGACTCTGGAGCAATTAACAAATGACACCAAATCTTAACGTAACTACAGTGTGTCCAACAGGCATGTAAATAAGAGATTTACCCCTTTATTTTACTTGCTTAACGGGAATCCTTTACTTTACTTACTTGCTTGACAGTACTTGGTGATATTTTCCGATTCGGAATCTATGATGGATTTGTGAAAGCATACCGGTTCGAAGAAGGTGCTTTTGGCATTCCATCGCGGCCACAGTGTCTGGATTGAGGCGATTTCATTCATCTGTGATGACCTTCTTCGTTTGTGAGAATACGCGCTCACACTCAGAGCTCATTGCCGGACAACTGAACAAATAAAACGCCATCTTGGAGAGGACAGGGTACCTAGATGCATGGTGAACCCATCACTCCAGAGGGTCCTCGACGTTCAGATCGGCCTTATAAGCCCTAGCCATAAACTCATCAAGCTCAGAGGTAAGTTTTGTACACTTCCTTCCTCGCGTAATAGACGCTGTAGTAGCGGCGAGCCGCTGACAACGCTTACGAGCTTCTGGAAAAGATCAAGCGCCGTATCGCTTTCGGAAGTAACCTCAATATCTACTTCCGCAGCCGCTTCCTCGTAGCGTGCATACACATCCTGCACCACTCGCTTTGCCTCGGCGATCCATATCTTTTCATGGCTCCATTCGATCTCGAAATAGGTAAATTTGTTCACAGGATCCAGGACAACGGCGCATCGATACGCTGGCGTATCTTCCGTAAGGCCGTATAAAGTCTAATCGGCAGAAGGTTAGCTATTACTTTACCTCACTAAGATAACTAGAGAAAAAACTCTAATTGGAGTTTTATGCAATTAATATAAGGCGAAGCTATGTTAGTTGCAGGTTGATAACCATGAATAGGGGGATCTGATTTGCCAGTCTTCGATTACTGCCTGTATATTAGTTAACTCTGAGGCATAACCACGCAGGGATAACAGAACATTTACAGATACAGCGCCTATATCCGAGTTTCTGTCTAGTCCTATTTGCTTAGCTCTATAAGTACCTGTTTTTCTTATGCAGTTACACAGAGGGCAGTATATCAGCCTGCCAGTGTTATGATCCTCGCGGCTATGTTACGTATACCCCACAAATTTTCCCCAATTAACTAATAACTTACGCTCTCTCCTTATTTCTATTATAAGCTGCTTAATAAGACTTATAATAAAACTTATAACTTATATATAAGTACTAACTTACTTTTATAAGTTATTATAAATATATAAATTATATTTATTAGTACTTTTATAAATTCTAGCGTACTAGTTATTAATATTACTTCTTTATATTAATTAAACTTAATATATATTAAATCTACTATTAAGAGATATAATACTTTAATAACGCTTAGTATACACCCTATACTATCTGCCAATAATAAAACTAGCACGGCTTAGTTTAACACCATTAGACCCAACCGTCACGGCCAGCTTGCTTTATTACTGCAATTAAAATCTCGCATCTAGAATTCTCTTTCCTTTCCTTGACAAGTCATAGATAGTATAAACAGATTCTAATAAATAATAATAGCTAAAGGCTCTTCACCAGCCATACGGCCCTATTAAATTGCGAATATACCTTTCGTGAAGAGCAAGTCCGAAAGACAATATCGATATGGTTTCGGAGGGGCAGAAGCGCCTGCTGAGAGTTTGTGAGCTGATGGCAAAAAAGCAAATAAGAAGCCAACCTGGTACTTACTATCTCAGGGCCGCCAGATAAAATACGGCAATCTAGGGTAAAAGTAAAGAATAATCGCAACAAGCAATCGCAATAGAAGAGTAAGCTTGGTAATGAAGGATATATAATAATCTCTTTGTAAACCTAGTAGCCCCTTAAAATTATATATATTATATTATAAACTTATGCTATATAGGGTAAAAAAGTCTAGTTTATATAAAATATACTAATATCTGTAAGTATTTGGTTATTTAGTCTTAATAGTGCTTGCTTAACTACTTACTTGGCCAGTTCTATGGGCAAAACGAGACTTACCTTGTTTAGGATATCGCTGTAGAGCCTACCAGGATACAGACCAGTCTAAACCTTCCTTTCATTGGCTCAAGCTCGAGACCAAGTGACTAAGATGTAATAATATTTTGTAAGCAGCCTCTCTAAGCTCAGACCATGTTTTCATCTTTATAACCAGTTATATGCTTTCCTCTGCATGTTCCTTGACCGATGATGAAGAAAAATAATTTTATAGGTACTAATCTACTGATTTCTTTCTTCTCTATCGTCTTATATATATATATAGCTAGATACATCGTTATTATTAAATTTTAACAAAATAAAATGCCTCTGTCAACTGCCCGCGTGAATTCCAATAAGTCTCTCCGGGACTCAAGCCTGGGGGGAGCCCAATTCGCATGTCGGGGGTCTATACCCTGCAGAGACGACCATTCTGGGTAGGCACACCAGGAACTTGGTCCGTGACATACCATCGCTCGCTACCAACACCCTGAAGCGCATAGAACAGACCATTAGGATCGACCTTATCCTTGATGGCAAGAAGCTTCTTATACTTAGCAGCACCATAGAAGGACTGCTGGAAGTTGGGCTCAGTCACATCAGCCTCAGAGGCGTACGCACCACCGCCGGGTGTCACATCCCTCCATGGCTTCATCCAATCATTTGTCAATGTCTTGCTCTTCTCAGCAACAACATCCCATGAGCTGCCCTCAGGGAAGTCAATGACAGAGATGGCCCACATGGCAGCACCTCGCCATGCAGGGTTGACAGCGTTATCTGGGTAAGGGCCCGGTCCTCCAGTAATACCGAAGCCAATGATCTGTCCACCCTTATCAGAAAGGCTCTTGAGTGCGTCAAAGGTCTTCTCAAACTTGGCTGGGTCTACGAGGTTCTCACTAAAGAAGGAAACGGTTAGATTCAATCAACGCAACAATGTAAAGGGAGTCCTTACGTAGGGAAGAGACGACCAGCAGTCTTGGTCTTGGCACCACCAACAACCTCACGAGGGAAACCAGCCGACCAAGCTCCATAGTAACTATCATGCTCAGACTCGACAACATCAAACTCAATACCAAGGTCCTTCCAGATCATGAAAAGAGGTGCAGTCAAAGCCTTCAACTCAGCAAGAGTATGGTTAGGCGCAAACCAAGGGAAGAAAGAAAAGATGAGTGCATCGCCTTCTCCATGAAAGACACCCCAGTACTCGTAGTTACCTGCATCATTAAAAGTAGGAATAGCCTTCCAGTAAGCTCTTACAGCCATCCAGAAGGTATCATAGGAGACCGTTTCGCTAGTGCCGAAAGAGAATGTCATGATAGAAGCATTGATCTTGGGGAATGCCTTGACAGTATATGAAGTCACGACACCGTATGTGCTCCCACCACCACCGCTGAGGGCCCAGAATAGGTCGGTATTCTCTTCCTGGTTGGCGGTAACAAATTGCCCATCTGCAGTGACGACGTCGATGCTGAGGATCTATGTCGTGTCAGTGTGTTATCCAAGTCTATGCCAAGGTTCTTACCTGATCGGCACCCATTCCATAGAGGGGGGACATAGGCGAGTGTCCACCACCAGCAAGGTATCCTCCCGCAAAGCCCACGCTCATGCCTTCACCTCCAACAGCAGTGACACCATATTTATCAGCCGCCTCATAAAGCTCAGCGCCAATGACACCAGCTCCAACCTTAAGGGCAGGTCCACTGTAAGACTTGGTCTTGTAGCTCTTGTAGAACTGGATACCCTTGAAGCGATGGGTCCAGATCGACAAGGCACCGGCACCAGCAGATCGTCCATTAAAGTCGTGGCCAGTGTTCTTAATGACGAGTCGCATGTTGAGCGACCGGGCAAGGTTGACAGCCAATTGTAGGTGGGCGACGTTCTGCGCATCGACGACGTAGGAAGGGTAGCCACCAAGGGTGCAATTACCTTCAACCTTCTCACCCGGTTGGCATGTGCGACCTTGGTATAGGGGCCACATCACTGAGGTTGGGTCGGCGATACTTGACAAGGTTAGCTACAGATTAGGGGAGTATGTGGCGGACTTACTGGAGAGAAGAGTTGGACCAATTGTCGACGACATAACGGCATCGAGCCTTATCGTAAACACCAAGGTTGTCGTAGCATGACGCTGCAATGGGAACAGTCTTGACAAGAGCGCCACCAGTGATCAAGTCAAGTAACTTCCAGACAGGCTCCTTCGGCCAGAGAAAGTCTCCAGGGAAAGTCTTGCATTTCGTCGCAGTACGAGAACTTAGACTTCGACGCTTGGATGCATTCTCAGGGTAGAAAAGCGAGGCATGATCGGGATCGATGTCATCAATCTGGGGAAGTGAGGCGTCCGTAAGCTGAAATGCCTCCTCAGCCAGGTAATCACCCTTGACAGCCTCGCCGACTTCACTGGTCTGCTCCGAGTCAGCAGCGTAAGCTGCGCCGCTCTGAGAGACCAGGAGGGCGAGGAGGCTGCCCAAAAGGCTGGGCGTGATCTGCATGGCGCTGTTGTTTTGGAGTGCGAGGGACAGCAGGAGATCGATAGGAGGAAGGTGACAGTATGCAAGTGACCACACGAAACAGTCCTTGACTAAACTGGAACTCTATATATATAAGTATAAAGCGGATAACAAATACCGTTTGTCAATGCATTATAAGCTCCTATAGCGCGTCTCGGTAATGCAACATTCAGTTGGATAAAGGCTTCATGGGTGAAGAAATGCACTATCTAGGGTCTTGTATTGCAATATTTTCCAGAACTATTAATTCTCACCGTTGGTAGGACCCTAAGCTTATGCAGCTAGAGTGAAGGAACCCTGAGGTGGATATCTCGGCACGCAGAAACCCCTGCGTCGTGCAGATTTTCCGCACATCGGTTTCGGCTCCACCAGAGACTGAGGCCAGGATATAGACGAGAAGATGCGATAAGAACCTAGTCGTCCCCGAGAAATTGCATTTAGGAACACTAACTTTATATAGAACTAATTAAGGGCTTAGTATAGGATTTATAAGCTATATCCTGAGATGTATTAGAGTTCACGATTTCATCCGATAGTTTAATTTATCTTGAAGTTAATCTCGCAGAGGGAAGAAGATGTTCATCGTCCAGACATTGGTTGAACCCTGAGGCCTGAGGGTCGACCAGCCCCCGTGAGAGATTTAGTGCTTAAACTTTCAGGGTGTTGAGATGCCAAGCAGCCAAGACACTGGAATCTCATCCGGTTGGTGGGGGTAAACTAGCTCAGGGATCTAAAGATGAAATCCTGGAGCCGGCTCCCGTTGAAGGCATCGGCAACAGAGGCGGAGGGGCGGAGAAACAACCATACTCCGGCGGGCCATTCAGATCGCGCGGGACACCCGAGGTGGGGAGGGGCCGAGTCAGTACTTCTAGAGTTATGAATTACGATGTTGTAATGACTTTTTATTATTTCGCTATTAGCTCCGAGCTGAAAACTTTTACGAGCTAATGATTCTAACTTTTAATTGCGAAGATGGTGAAGATACAAGAAAGGATTCTCTCCGCGCCACAACGAAGGCCTAGAATCTGTCCCCTGTTCCGGATAAATTCCCTGATGTAACAGTGTGGTGACTAACTTCTAGAATCAACTCATCCCGGTTCCAGCTGTGGCTGCGGCGGAGGTCGCTAAAGAACACTAGACAGGACAGCCAAAAGTCCAACCCAGTAGAATCCCTACAATAACCGACTAGGGCTTATGGTGGTGGAATTAATGTGGTCGGATGACATTTTATTTAGAGTTTGACCCTTGTTGATGATGAAGCAGACCCTTGGTAATGAATGTCATCGCGCTATATCGCTGCCGGCGTGGAAGGCGTTTGGAATGCCATATTACTGGCGAGATGGCTTCCACGCACTTGTTGTATCAACTTATATAGTAATTCCCACGGCTGATGATATCCTTCTTTCTATCAATTTTCTTGTGAGGCTTCCAAAATGGAACAAAATGACAGCGGCACAGCTGTCAACATGGTCTTCCGACGTGGTTATGTGCCGCTCTCGGAAATGCCAACGACAGCGAAACAGCAAACTGGAATTGCGATTATTTTTCTCATGACCTCTCTTGCTTTCGTCACATGGGGTGCCCGCATGTACTCCAGATTCAGTAAGAAGCAAATTGGTATCGGTGAGTTCATGACAATGCTGCATGTGTACGGCCTCAGGTGAGATTATTGGTCTGACTGACTTGTCATAGATGATTGGCTCGTCACGGTCGCAATGGTAAGATTACCGCGCTGATGGATTGCCCTGATAACCAATCAAGATAGCTATTCTCTATCGGCCTACATGTTCCATATTACTACTGTAAGTGCTGCATGCGACACATCCCAAGACTGGGCACTCATCTTTGATAGTCTTGCGATACAATTATGTCGGCTTCTATACCAAAGATCTCCCAAAGTCGTATAATGTCGAGCCTGTTTTATTTTATAACTGGATAATGCAGGTCCTTTATAACCCTATCCTGGCACTTATTAAGTCATCAGTTCTTTTCTTCCTTCTTCGCCTTGGGGGCCATAATCGCAGTATTAAATGGACCATCTATGGCCTGAATGCATTTAATATCGCGCTGATGATTGCAATCTTCTTAACCGTGGTATTCCAAACCATTCCCATTAATGCTTTTTGGGACCTATCTATAAAGCCAGAACGTCAGATTAATGGACCAGCGTTCTATATCTCATCAGCCATTATCACAATCATTACAGATATTCTTGTTCTTTTGATTCCATTTTGGATTTTCTTGGGTCTCAAGATGCGGGTCGCTGCAAAGCTGGGTTTGATTATGGTATTTCTTATGGGCGGCGTGTAAGTACTTAGCCAGTACCTAATTCACAATTACTAACCCTTGGTCAGAGTGACTATTGTCGCTATTCTTCGTGTGATCGAACTGTACAAGAAGTTTTACATCAAAGGATATGACTCAAGGCACTCGCTGGGTGATACTCTGAGCAGTATCGAAGTCAATCTCGCTATTATGGCTTGTTGCGGTCCAGCTCTGCGTCCACTGTTTCGCAAAATGTTTCCTCGTCTATTTTCTGGAACAAGTACTAATGACGCTGGAAAGTATAACACACCAAGTGCCTATGGAAATAGTAGCCGCCATGGAGCCGGTACTGCTGGAGTCACGTCGTTTCATCTAAAGGATATGCATCGAAGCAGAACACAGACTGAGATTCGTGGATACTCACCTAATGGAAGTGAGGAGGAGATTATGACATACAATGGCATCCTCCGGACGACTGCTGTAAGTCGACCTTATAAACATCGCTTTTTATTATTTGTTTACTGACTATGTACAGGTGGATGTCAAATATGACGAGTCACATTCGATAGACAGACACTAATAGGGAGGTTAAAGGCTTGAGAGATCTTGTACTACCTTGAATAGCAGAGGGAAAAACAGCCTAGAGTCTGGGTAGTTAGAGCATTACAAGGTATATATAGATGTTAACTGGCATATAATTGTATTTTTATTACGCCTCAGGATTAAAGACCCGACCAGCAATCTATGGGTTCTTTAAGTTGAAAAACCTGTGAACCTAAGTAGGGTTAAGGTTGCAGGCTAATTACAGGATATAGATGTGCCACAGTAAATAAAGGAGGACCCCTATGTTATAAAATGGATTAATATTAATTATGTTTTAAACAAGATGATATAAAGGATCACCTTGGCCACGGCTCGCGCACTGGACAATCGTCGCAACAAGATGGCTCACTAGTGAAATATTCGGCATAGGGTTCATTGACTCTGGGTCCACTCCATCAGCAGGTGTAATATCATCAGCCATTATCTTGCCTATGTCATAAACGGGACATATGTTGACGGCTTTCATCTGCTCCTATCCTTATAGCCAATAACCTCTTGGTAAAAAAAAAATAGAAAGAGATGAGCACTATTTACGCCAGGGTGAATCATCGATATACATGTCACCGGGAACATATAGTTGCCGACATTTTCAGGCCTTGGGATGTTTCACTGCTACCAGCCCGCGCGTAGTAATCCTTTCAATTTCTCAAGCTCATCTAGAAAGCGCTAAGCTATACTGAGACGCTCCATGACTGCAGTTTGCCCAGATATTGGCAAGCGATGTAAACGATATGTCGTAATGAATCAAAATGGCGGATGTTTAGATTATGAAGCTATGCCGCAAAATCCTTGCTCCGCCGTTTTCCCTCTCTTTGTCTAGCCGCCTGCACACTTCTCATTTTCTTTTCTCTTCACAAACATGCATTCTCGTTAGATATAAAGTAGAACCAACAACTTCAGGTGGAAATATTCCCGGCGTTAAGTCATTAGCACTATATAAACAGGATTTCCAGCAGAGTTTAAAGCACAGTTGCCCATTGCCCGATCGAAATTACCTCCCACGTCACTACAGTCAACGCAAGGCACTTTACATAGGGTTATTACCAACCGGCTAGCAGGCCACAGATACCAAGTGCCAAGAAGCCTTTGTCATCCGTCGCAAAGTCTCTTTGAATGCTGTGACATTTTTACTTTAAGAAAGGGCCAGGGAGAAGAGAAGAATGGCATAAAGAGGATTTGGGATGCTATTGCCGCTTCGGTACACGAGCGAACATAGTGTTAATGAATGAGTAGGTCCAGTATAACCCTTTTTACTCAAGGATTGATCTTAATATAATACTGGCTAGATTTAGCACTAATATCCTATGGACTCACCACTAGTACGAATAGGTTTGTGACATATTCGACCAAGAGGTTTGGATGTTGCTATTTGAGGCCTTCCTTTCGTACTCGTTTTGGGCCAGGTGTTTCTTTTACTTGGAGTAAAGGCATTTGGCATCTTGCTACCGTATAATGCAATGAACTAATTCCACTTGCACGGTTTGTTAGTCCTCCGCGTCCCACTACTCATCGACGATGACAATAGGCCGGTCTTTGGGCAAAGCAGCTCTTTGACTTTAATTCTGCCCTGGTCAATCAACATGCTTGCTTCTCAATATTAGCCACTAATAAAGCTTCTAGGAGAATATTAATAGACGAAGCAATGTTGCTTCCTAGCATCAGATATTGAATGTGGAATAATTGCTCCCAAAGGTAGAGAATTCACGTATATATTATGTTGGCTAACTTAAACCTTGTATTATTTTGAAAAGCTACTTTCAATGCTAATCTTAATTTCTTTGCAATCGTATTTTCCCACTCTGGTTTGTATACTACATTCCATCTACTAGCAGTTATTTGCTTCATGATTACTGCTCTGATCTGGGTCATGAGCTGAACCTTAAATTTCAAATAATTTGTTTGGGCTACTCTGACGTCTCTGGGATTGCCTCCTTTGAATACTTGAAAGGAATGAATGGTGACTTGAATGGATTGAGTTTTGCAATCTTCTGAAACGATCGATTTTGCAATTTAACTGTGAATTTTTGAACCTTAAGTTTCTCTCTTGGCACATGAATTATTGTTTATATATATTCTTATGGCCTTACTAGTGGAATAGAGTTTAGTGTCCATATTTCTACTAAATTAATTTTCTCATTATGATTGAGCTCCTGCACCTATGAGTGTCCTTTAACGAGACTAGAAGCTTCCGCAATGTATTATTAATGGCGACTATATGTTTTGCATAAGGGTGACAACAGAGTGAACGACATTCCAGTAGTATATGAGTCTTATTAATTGCAACGGCTGCTGATAAGCTTGCAACCTAAGTAGGAAGAGAGATGTGATAATGAGCTTGCCTTACTAGGCTATACCAGATAAAGGTGACATGGAAACTACCCATACCACTCTCCACATACGTTACATAGCTAGGGGAAGAAAACTTTAGACCTCAATCCTAAGTGATAAAAATATCTAGGTAAGCTTAGCATAGTTTAGTGTAAACTTAGCATACACTTTAACTAGTTTATTTTTCCGCCTTGAGTCTTCTGACACCCCGAGGATGAGTAATAGGCGGGGCTGCCACGAATCCATCATCGACTGACGGTGAGATACCGCAGCCATCCTGCAGTCATCATTTTGTCTATTCGATGGTATGATATTCACATGCAACTGTTTCGCTACGTATATATACCTGAACAATCACTCTTTGTAAAGTCTTATATAGGGACACAGGCTATACAGTTCGCTACCTATTATATCACTATCTTGTTCACCATGGCTAAATTGCTAAATTCACCCTCCAACATATTGGAGGATCTTCATCAACCACATTCCCCCGTGGTATTCACCAACATCCATGACGCCGCCTCAGCCAAGGCCATAGTATCACTGCCATCGGCGAAAGCACTCGCAACTGCTGGTCATGCTGTTGCAGCGGCGGCGGGCTTAGGGGACGACGATTTGACAATGGAAATCAATATAGCAGCGGCAACTCGCATAGCCTCTGTAATCAAAGACTTTCAGAAACCATTGTCTGTTGACTTCCAAGATGGCTACTGCGGCCGACTCGAGGACGGTGTCAGACAACTACTACAAGTAGGTGTTGCTGGAACCAATCTCGAAGATTACAATAACACCACAAAGAAGATGTACAGCTTGGATGAAGCAGCCTCCAGAATCAGGAGAGTCATGGATGTCGCTCAATCTGCTGGAGTGGCCGATTTCGTAGTCAACGCGAGATTCGATACATTCCTACACAGGGGAGAGTTGGAAGAAGTTATACAACGCGGGCAGCGATATCTGGCTGCTGGTGCGACTACGGCTTTTGATGGGCGTCTTAACGTTTTGCTCAAATTGTCGCCTGACGGGCTGACGATCCCGGAATTAGCTGATATTGGGGTGGCGAGGATCAGTATTGGCCTGACTCTACAATTAAAAGCCATGGAGAAGCTAAAGGAGGAAGCTGAGAACATTCTGAAGAAGTAGTATGTATAAGGAACCTACTTGTTGAAATATTCGATCTATAAGTACAGAGCTATAGACGTAGTGTGTACAGGAGGCCAATAGTAAATGATTTAGCTATGGCTTGTGACTTAAGGCACTGGGCATATAGAGACAGATCCCAAACGCATAAGACATAAAATACAAAACTCAATTGGCTATAGCAGTTTTAAGTATCTAATTTGTGTAAAAGCTTATTGCTAATATTACCTCTAGGGAACTAAGTATTAATATCTTATATAAACGCCTCTCTTTAAGCAGGGTTAAGATTTAGAGAAAGTTAGGGTTAACTACCGAAAGCTAATCTGCCTACTTACTTTACTCTAAAATAGAGTATAGGTTAAAGAAGGAGATTTAAGAGTTATAAGAGATAGAAAAGAAAGGGAAATAAAAAGAAGTTTAGCTATGTAGTCACCTTTCGCGAGGCCCTTGGCAGTTAGGCGGGCATCTCAGGCAAAGTACAGCATAGCAATAGATTCATATTCTTATATTTATTTAACTTGCTAATGCCCTGGCATTCTGCTATAAAGCTTATGTTCAACGTCTAGCATAAGAACTTAACCAATACTCATAGTGGTAAGACCTTGCTGGTATCTGTAGTGCGCCTTATGGTTAGGGTAGCTATTTAGAAATAAATTTCCAGCTGCGTGGTTTGCTTACCTAGGATATTATAACCCCAGCAACTCCGTTACCCATACCCTGTACCTTCCTCTAATCATCATAATTCAAATTCTCTTTTAGTTAAGCTCCACTTTAGGCACGGTCTTAGACTACCTTAAATTTCGGGAAATTCCGTATCAGCGATTAGCTAATGGTAACTCAACGGTTTAAAGGCTGAAAAATAAAAAAAGTGGAGGCGCAGGAGCCACTCAATTTCTTGAAATCCTATAAATACATCTATTACGTACACGCGGTCCCATTGTATTTTATTTGTACTACGTCTTGCTTATCAACGAGATAAACTCGCATTCACACGCGCACATACTTGCTAATACTAGGCAGAAATTACATATGCTACTTATACAACCTTGACGCTTATTAAAATGTACCCACGGTACGTGTCCGCAGAGCCCTTGAGTCAAAACAACCCGCTCGTGGTCCCTGTCGCTCTGCACTCGCAGTCGCCTCCTGGTGTTAAGAGCCCTGCGCCTACTATGCTGACATCTATGGAGCCTTGGGCGGCTGCTAGCTCTCGCCATAACATCCCTTCGGTTCCAGCTGCGTGTCTTGTTTGTGTGAGTTCCGGTACTGCTCCTACACCGCATATTGCTCCTACATTCTTCTCTGACTTTGCCACTGCATTTTGGCGATGATGCTCAAAAGGAACTGAGTGCTAACTTTGGTCTTTCTCCTAGCGCAGAAGGCACCTGAAATGCGATGGACAACGTCCTTGTTCCCGCTGCGGAACTGCTAATCTAGACTGCGTCTATGTCGCTTCTCGTCGTGGACTTAATGGCCGTAAACGCACGGCTACCCGATACTCTAGTCACCTTGCAACAGCAGAAGATCCTAGCCCTATTGCTGCCCTTGCAGCCATTACAATCGGTCCTGCTCCCCCGGTACCCGCACCGGAAGCCCCCTCTACCTTTGATCCCTCCATATTCTCAGGTATTGACACAAGTTATTCGGGCGTCAACACAAGTTTCCCAGTTTCCACGTTTCCTCCAACTACTGCGTCAACTGGGTTACCTGCCTTTTCTTTTCAGAGTCCGTTTGGTGGTATAGAACCAGACCTGGGCTTTGGCATTGAAGTACCCCGGGCACTTCCCCTGAGAGAACCTTATCTCGACTCGTTCTATCGGAATTTCTACGCTGCTCATCCTTTTCTACCGCCAAAGGAGCCTCTTCTTGTCTTGGCACAGGGGACCTCGCTGGAGCCACTGCTTGCAGCCATACGCTGGATTGGTTCTCTATATATCGACCAAGACACCTCTCACAGGCTTTTCATGGACGCATCTCGCCTAATAGATGGCAACCCTCTTAAAAATGGCTTCTTAGTGCAGGCTATCTTGCTTCTCATCATTGGACTTGACGGCAACCGTCAGCATAAAAGAGCCAAGAAGCTCATGGCAGAAGCCCAGGATATCTCGATTCAAATTAAAATAAACACTAATCTATTTGCAATCACCAATGGACAAGGAATTCCGATACTTGAGGAGAGCTGGCGGAGGACATGGTGGGAGCTCTACGTCGTGGATGCCCTCATGTCGGGGGTGCATCAAACAGACACCTTTGCTCTGTATGATGTCCCCACGGATGTTGCTCTGCCTTGTGAAGAGTACCAGTATCTCACAGGAGTAAGTCGTGTTATAGAGCCCGGTATTTGCTGTATATTCACAAGATTTAGCAAATACCTCCTCCTATGCACCCATACAACATGGAAAATATCGGACTGTTCGATGGCAGGCCGTTTTCATCGTACACCTATCGAATCCAATGTGCCTGCTTCTTGGGAACACTCCAAAGAATGCCAACACTGGTCGCCCACATCGACAAGCTCCTCGCTAACTGGATGCTTCGCTTGCCACCTTCAAAGTATGACGCTTATTGCAATGGCGAGCTAGATGAGATGATGTTCCAGGCTATCATGATGTGGCACGCCATATCGATTCTCTTACACCAGCCTCACTCACAACTGGATCCATCTTCGACTTACTATATTAAGGCCTGTGCACCCAACACGCCAGCTATGTCCAGTGATGCCTTCAATTCACATACAAAACGCACGATCCGGGCTGCAAGGGAACTCACCAAGTTGATCAGCTACCGCGTTCCTCTCCTCAGACACACTCATTTCTTCGCTTACATGGTGACACTCTCATCTACAATCCACCTCAGTAGATGGTCACTAGCCTTTGTGGCCCCAAATGACGAGGATCTCCGTCAAAACATGCGTCAAAATATTGCGGCCCTCGTAAAATACTCTGAGATGTGGCCTATGGCGCAACACTTGGGATATCAAGTAAAGCACATCGCAAAGGAGGTATACAGGACGAAGCAGCGACAGCAACAACAGCCTCTAGAATAGGTGGGCTTACCGCCATAGGAACAAATGGCCGCTAGTATTGGCGTTCAGATGCGAAAATACATCACATTAATTGACCTCGTTCTATGGGAGCGATAAATAAGTCGCGGCTTTTGGTTTTGAACGATACAATCGTGTGCCAGATGTCGTCCATGAATTCAGTATCAACCTCTATTGCCGAGTTAAATCAATGAAGATAAGAACTAAGTCTCATTAGTCATGGGGAGGATAGTTGCAGACTATACACACCGAATACAACTAAACTAGGATAAAACTAAAATTAAATGGATTTGTGTAAATAAGTCCTTATTAGTAGAGAAGTCACCTACATTCTTGACAATCTGCCTTTGCTATTATAGATTATTGTAAACAAGAAAGATGAAAAAGAAGAAGAAGAAAATAGCATAGCCATACGCCTTGCAACTAGTGTCTCAAGCTCCTTTCTATGTCAGGTGAGGAAAGCAATTGATCCCGGAATCATAGGTTAGTATAATCCCTCAAAACAGCGCAAGAATGGTATTATTAAAAGTAAATTGAGTTAATTTTATGTTTACTTATATGCAGAAAAAAGAAGAATCAGAGTGGTCAAAGACAATAAGATTGCCGAATAAGATGAGAAATATATACACTTAGAACCAGCATTAATCCATCTTCAGACAAGAAACTGTCTAGTTGCTCTTCCACTTGCCATCATCAAAGCCAGTGCCCTTGCCCTCGTACTTGCCAGGAGCCCACTTGCCATCGTCGTTCCTCTTAGTGTTCTTGTCATACTTCTCAGGAGTCCACTTGCCATCATCATGACCGGTACAGTCACCCTCATACTTGCCAGGGCGCCAGCTGCCGTCATCATTGCGCTTGTCATACTTTTCGGGAGCCCACTTGCCATCGTCAAAGTTGGTGCCCTCACCCTCGTACTTTCCAGGCTTCCAGGAGCCATCGTCGTTCCTCTTGTTCTTGGAATTGTCGCCGGGGTACTTGGTAGGTGTCCACTTGCCATCATCATGGCCAGTACCTTCGCCCTCGTACTTGCCGGAGTGCCAGGACCCATCATCGTTTCTCTTGTCATACTTTTCGGGAGCCCACTTGCCATCGTCGAAGTGGGTTCCTTTGCCTTCGTATTTGCCAGGAACCCACTTACCATCGTCGGCGGGCTTGTTGGTGGGGAGTGCCAGAGCCGTGGCGGCAAAGGCAAGAAGAGCATAGGAGTAGCGCATTATGGATGGTGGAAAAGATGAGTAAAGAAGGTTGAAGCAAAGGCAAGGTCTCAAGTTGAAAGAACCAAAGATTGGAGGGTTGTGCGTGAGCTGTGTTGATTGTTGAAGGGTTGATGGTGATGATGATTGATACAACGGCGGGATATCGTACCCTTTTTATCATTGTAGCTGTCAATCATGATTCATGTGGGCTCATGATGCTCAATGTGCTTCCTCTCCTACACCAACATTACGATGGCCGAAGTTCCAAGACTATCCTCGGGATCTGTCCATGTCACCGTTTGCGTGAGGCAGTGAGATGATGACAGCTGATGTCATGTTCAGCCGCTTGGTAGCTCCGACCTCAATCACCAGCAGCCGTTTACTGCTCAGTTCACAGTTATCTAACAAATACTTTCACCTGCGGATAGACCGTCCCAAATGAAATCTCACCATCTAACCGAAAACCAGCACCAATGACAACACAGCATAGCTTCGGCCAGCTCCACTGAGCCCCATAGAGAGCCTTGAGCTAATGGGGCTGTGCTTGGACAGCCCTACGGCGTAGCGACAGAAAAGAAATTGTTCTATTTGGTCGATTGATAACGGCGACTCCATAATAATGTCTTCAGACCCTGTACCGAGGCCCATACTAACCAATCAGAGAAGTGGATACCGGGGAAGGCGACTGACACGCTGACGTGAGCCCCGAGGTCCGCTTACAGTGGCTGGCGGAGCTGAAACGCGCTGGCGATTCAATTGAGACTTTGCAGTTGGTAAATCTCGTGTAATTGACAATGCTGGTAAGACAGCGAGTTGGAAGTGCATGATGGGCCTCACAGGCTGAGAATGAGGAGAGTATAAAGCATGCCCCAGTGTACAGTCAAAGAACTGTTCTCCCTTCAATTACCATCTCTCATCCTCTTTCCAATCCAGCTCACTAATCATGAAGATTCTTTTTCTTTCTATTCTTTGGCCTGCTGTAGCCAGTGCTGCTGCGTGCAAGCCAGCACCCCCTAAGTCGAAAACCGCTTGCAAGTTGGCTGCCATTGACAACGTGGATACGAGTGTCGGCTTCAACTACAATGGGGACTGTGCCCCAAGCACCGGAACTCTCAACGGCTTCATGATCTTTGTCGACTTTTCCGATGCCGAACCCGCTCAGGGTGAAACCCCCCAATCGCTCTACGACGCCGTGGTCCCCCAAACAACCGAATGGTACAAGCAGGCCTCTCACGGGGCTCTGTCTTTTAATGTCACGGCTGATCTGTCCAAATTCTACCGCATGCCCACATCAGCTGCATCTTATGGCTGGGAACGAGGTCTCACATGGGCAGAACATCAAGAATACATCCAGGATGCTCTCGACGCCTATACGGCCAAAGGCACTCGCCCCCCACCCCCCGAGTCGGATGTCCTCTACGTTGTTCCCGTAAATAGCGCCGGTGGCAGAGGAATCTCTCGATCCATCACCTTTGTTACACGAGCCAACACCAGACAGGGTGATTATGTTGCCAGGAAGACCGTCACCGTTGGAACCGATGCATTCACAGGTTGGGGGCCAAAAAGCTGGATTACATTGGCTCACGAAACGGGACACACCATGTGCTTGGCCGACTTCTACCCGTTCGATAATCTTGGCCTGGGTTACTACGTCGGTGGCTGGAGTGCCATGGGGGACGTCTCTGGCATTGGCCCCGATTTCTTCGCCTGGGATAAGTGGCGCCTGGGTTGGATCAATGACAAGTCTATCGACTGTGTATCGGAGCGAGGAACTACTCAGCACACTCTTACACCACTAGAGCTGAAGACTTCTGACAATAACATCAAAGCTGTTGTCGTCGCCGTCAACCAAACCTCAGCACTTGTCGCAGAGGCCCGTGTACCGGAGGGTCTTGACTCAGGCGTCTGCGCCCCCGGTGTCTTGCTCTACACGGTTGACACCTCGGTCAAGACAGGCTATGGTCCTGTCCGTGTTCTGGATGTAACCCCAGGATCAGGTGGCTGTGGTACTGATAGTGTCTACGACAAGAACGATGGAACGCTGTCCCTGGTTCCTGGTGGAGTGAGCTCGTACAAGGTTCCTGGCTGGGGAGTTGAGGTTACTGTAGTCAAGCAGACAGAGAAGAGCTATACCATTCAAGTTGACGCTGAGTTTTAGGGGTTAGAGTTTATATTAGAGGTGTTTTTGCAGCGTAATGGAGTAGACAATCAAGAAATAGATAGCCAATAGACGGGGTCAGGGTTATAAGAAGTATTTCGTTAAAACTGTTTGCCAGAAACCATGATCTAGGCAGAGGTCAATTGCCCGCCTCATATGACTCTCCATTGTACGTTTATTTATGTAATGACTTCAGAGATGTTGGATCATCTTTTTCATTCTTTCCCCATCTTGAAAACTTTTAGCTACTGCGGCGTAATATGGAAAATGCCATGTGATTGGCTAACTCAGAACGCGAAAAGGGTCTGGCGCCTTGAATCCTTCAACTAATATTATTGACAACCAATGTTATCAGCTCTTCAACTTGTATCCTGCTAAGCTTCTCGGATCCGCCTGACAGAACTACTTACCTCTCAAAATGGTTTCCTACACTGAAATAAGAGCCTCTAACTCTCTTATAAATAATGGCCCAGCCCCAAGCGTTGGATGCAGTTTGCTGAGGCTCCTGTCGCAGTGATGAATCTTGCAATAATGATTTGGGCCTTCAATTTTGATGGAGATACTGATGTGCTGAGTTGTCAGACTCTTTTGTTATAGTTTTTTGTTGACTTAGAAATAATAAGTTATGCTTGCGTGGTCCCTGAAATTCTCTCATACTTATTTACAAGGCCTACAATTATTACAAACAGATATGCACCCCAATAAGTGGATCTACTCGGCGAGAGCGTCTGACATTGCAGGTGCAGCTGAAGTATGCTTAATCGGGTAGTATATGTCTCAAAAAGGCTAGAAAGGCTTGGTGAGACCAGGATGCAAACTTTTAGCATCTCACTGTCGTACGATTCAATGGAACGTTACATGTTTTAAAAGAGGGCATCCACTCGAACGTCCCGGGACTCAAGTTTCCTCGAAACCTTGTAGCGCAGCTCCGCGATAGTCCGTAGAGCTCTTGCTTCATTGGACTCTAGGACATCTTGCCATGAGGCTCTGCTGGTGATCCAAGGTGGTGGGGGCACGTCAAACCCGTAGCATGCAAGGTCTCTAGACCCACAAGTACTGCATGCTGGTAGCTGCTCATTGCACTTCTTCTTGCGGATTCGGGAGGTGAGACATCCCTTGCGACTACGCGTCCCATCCGAGACTGTTTGCTGCTGTTACCTCTGCGCCATGATGCCTGATTGTCGACAAGAGGCTGCAGAGTAGAAAGCTCGAGATGCCTACTGCTTTTAGGTAGGTATGCCTATCTACTCATGCTACCCATTTTAGGTCAGCAGGACGTCGTAATGGCCTCCGCCCTGTTGGGAGATGATATTCTACCAAGCATTAATCATTATTATGCAGTAAGCTTCCCGCAAATGCCTTGTATTGCTGTGGTTGGTTGTCAGACTGGGGTCCGGTTGATGAAATCAATGGAAATCGCGCCCTCCATGCCGGACTAACTACTAGGCCGTGATAAGCGTTGTAGGGTGGACTGATAACAAGTAGCCATGCCATTGGCTATTTTTCCTTGTTCTATGGGTGTGGGTGTCAGCTTCGACTTAACCAACGCGGTGGCTTGGCTTAGCTAAATCGATCGCGCTTAAGCTAACTTAAGCTAAAACCTTTTGAGGCCTCATGCTTACCATGAAGAAATACCCATGATTTTCTTGTTAGTACGTAGTTGATATAGGTTTATCAACATAGATATATAAGTATGCGCTTGTTCCAGTTTTTAATAGACTGACTACTGGTCATTCTTGAATCATCTTCAGACTGCGATTGTGACGCGTCACTCAAAGATAAGACATCATGTCGTGCCCTCAGTGCTTTTCTGGACATATTAACCCAGGCACTCCCACTGTTCGTTGGCACACCATTCATGGCCTATGAACCTACATTGCAGAACCCCCCCGACGGCAAGCGTCTGACGGCTGTCATTGTCATAATCCCTGGCGCGTTCGGGGTTGACTTTCTTAACAATCAGATTCTAGCGGATCATTATGCTTCAGCTGCGAACTATCTGGTCTACCTGTCCGATTTCATAGATGGTAGGCCAGTTATTTGCTCCAGTATCGCCAAAGCAAGACAACTAAAGCCATTCATCGTAGGCAATGCTGCTCCAGTCAGGACAATGATCAATATGGCACACCTTTGGGATGAGACCGGATCTTGGATATCCAGACTGTTAGCTCCCCCCAAGGTCGGAAGTTTGCATCACTTGACTGATTGATTACTAGCTACTATCTCGTTGCTACCAGCTCGACTTTGTGCCATTTCTGTATCGAAACCGCTTCAGTATATGTTGACCCAGGGTAACTGGGTTCTTGAAAGAAATCCAGAAGCATAATTAAGATGCAGCCCTTCCTGTTGTAATTGCAGGTTTCTGCTGGGGTGGACTGCACACTGTCGGACTCACCCACGACACGGAGGAAACAAAAACTGTTGGTGGTCACGGACTGACATAGCCGTTTTTCACCGCCCATCTAAGTAACCTCGAGGTCAACTAGGATATAGGCAATTTCACATGTAATCTCTCTATTGCGATTGGCGACGATGATGGCGTAATGGGAATGAAGCAAGTGCGGCAAGCCGAATCAATCTTGGCAAGTAAGGACGTTGATACAAGCGTGGTCACTTACCCTGGAGCAAAACACGGGTTCTCAATTCATGCGAGCAGGGCGAAGCAAGATTCAAAGGAGACACGATAGGGAAAGGAAGCTGAAGACAGGCTATTGCCTGGTTAAAGAAGCAATTTTATAAAATAACATAGAACTTACTTAGTATCGCAAATCAATTTACAAGTTGTAATAATTTAAAAGCCGAGGCAAGTTGATGTTCACGCTGTTGAGCCCAATTCTCACTAGTCTGCCAACTATGCGTCCCCAGTTAAGATCTTTAACTCCTTCTACACTTTCACCAACAAATATGGATTGAACAAGTATATCCAAACACAACACGGGGTGTTAGGCGCAACGTGGATTGAGAGAACGAACCTGCTGAGTGGTCTCTATCCGAGGACCTGACAACAGCGTTTTTGAGCACGAGTGCGAGTGGCTAATCAATGGTGCTGGGATCCTCAATGCATGGAGATGACCCGCCATTCTTGGTATCAATAAGTACAACGGTCAGCTCCCTCGCAATGCTGCGTGGGATCCAACTGTCGATGTCACTGATAAACAAGTTGGTCTATATAAAGAAGGGAAATGACTAGGCTGATACCTTGGCTATGGCATGTAGGATAAACGTGAAGATTAAACAGACATCAGTCCAGGCTAGATAAATCATTGGGGCAACCCAGATCCAACTGATCCTGTGGCCAAATTATCCATGCAGCGTAGCCTGGGTCAAGCTGCTCCGCGATGCTCTCCAAAATGCGATAACCCCACCCTCTCATATACCAAAAGCATTCTAACGTTTGAACTAGTACAGAGAAGTAAGCTAGCAGAACTAGAACTTGAGGATTCAGTTTCTCGACCTGCTTTGTAAAGTCATCTTCTAAAAACCATACCCACCGCATGACGATATGCATTCTCCCATGCGTAACGTCTTGAGGCTGCTCGGCAGTTCCAAAGACATCACTAAAACAGCATACAAGAGACTCATAAAGTTCTAGTAGATTTGGAAGCCCAGAGGGTTGAGAGTTGTGAATCATTGTGCTTAAGTCGGCGAGAGGCTTTTCCCAAGCGATATATCCAGTTCTACCCACGGGCGGTGGTATGTTTGACGTGGTTTCCGGGGGAAAGGGACCAATAGGACCCGAAAATATTGCCGATAAACCCATGGTCTCGATGACGAAGCGAACGCCGCGAAAGAGATTCCACCAAGCGGTTTCAGTTCCATCTGCTTGAACAAGAAGGTGGCCTTTCTGAGGTGGCTTTGCGAAGGCGTAGTTACAAATAAGCACAGTGGCAACGTACAATGCTGAGCAATTTTCTCGTTTGATTTGAGGAAGCAAGTTGGTGACATGAGACAGAGCTATGGAGTGATGTTGCTCGGCCAATTGCTCATACTTGGTTGCTTCCATGGTTTGAAGCCGCGCTAGATGGAGCGCAGAAAGAGCGAGCATCAGGTGAAGGATGAAATGATTGTCGAAAGCGAGGCGTGGGATTTTATCACGCCACATAACATCATCTCCAAAGGTGAGTGAGGCCACAGTAATGTAGTGATGATAAAGTCGAAGGTCGTCAACATTTAATGGCAAGCTTTGCTGGCTCGGCGTCTCGGGCGATGAGAGCTTGGGGTCGATGGGAACTAGTGCTAAAGCTCCGGTGGAAGTATCTAAATCCGGTGTCCACGTAAGGGGCCGGCCTCGTTGGCGTGGGCCAGTAGGAACGACCATTGTTTTTGTTCCTGCATTGGTCGCAGAATCAAAGCTGCAGGGCAACGAGAGATGAGAGCATTTTTTGCAGGCAGGTTTGTTCTCATCACACTATGGCATGAGGTCTTGTTAAGGGACGCGACAATGGTAATAGGGGTCAGGAAAGCAACTCGGACTGACCTTGATCTTTCGCCGCTTGCAATTTTGGCAGCCATTTCGAGACTTCTTGTGCGATCTACGTTGAAGAGGACGGCATGGACAGCGTGATCCTACAGCATGGACATGTTCAGTCTCTTGAGTCTCGCTCATTGCGATACCGGGGACCGACAGCAGATTGTATTTGCTTATTGCACCTATGATGATGCTAACTTTTTGGCTGTTTTAGGAGAAGCCCGATGACAGACGCTAGGGCAATGGATTAACTAAACTCCACCGGCTGGATGTACAAGTGTCGAGGGCCCACATAAGTAGTTTGAGGGCGCCAGAGGTAAGCCACTGGATGCACATTACATTTAGTTAAGCTTTTCTTGTCTCTATAACTGTCACTGTAGTGTTTCGGCTAATAACCACATGAGTTAGCTATGTTCTGCATTTAAATGTTAAATCTTTTTTAATATGTAAAGCAACTTGTACCCCCAACTCTTGAGCAATATTAAAGTAAACAGCATAATAGTTCTGCTGCAGGTTTCTGTCTGGCTAGCACCCTCTAAGTAATAAATCATAGTAAAGTAATCCATCTAATAATTACCTAATTAGTATAGGATAGGGATGTTTGCTATGTTGCTTAATAAGAAAAAAGAGAAAGGACAGATATTAGAGCTTTCCTATTAAGCTATGTAATACTTATTTAAATAACAGCACCTAATAGTAAGATAAATACTTATAAAATAATTCTACTAGTAATGCTTATTCTATATTAGGTATATCTGTTTCATAAGGGGGGGGTCGATAGATTAAGTCTATTAAGTCGCGCCAAACACAATTTAACTGGAGGTAATAACACCACTTTAGCTAAAACTAAACCTCTAACACCCTAAGAATTAATACCAGCCCTGCGAATCTATAATTGCGGCGAGACTTATCCTATAGTTTGTTACAATTAACATTCCTACTAGGATTACATAAACGCGTAAGAAAATGAGTAGGAACAGAGCAAAGATGGCAGCAGATGAGGTTAAATAAGATCCAAGCAACATTATTCAAGGGGATTATGTACAGCCATATTTAAACCAACTTTAACTTAAAATTCCAACACTTCAATTGAGATAGATTAAATATACAGAGATCTTAAATATTTCCTCCTTTGCAATTAAAGGATTTAAACGGGGTTTACTAGGTTAAATTCTATATATTGTAATTATATACACAAGCATTGAATAGAACATTTTTGCAAAGAATGCAGAAGAAAAGAGACTCCAAGTCTGGGATGATATACAAATAGCCCTTGGAAACTTAAGGGAGTTTCGACATCAATACAGGAGTGCACAAGACCAACATCTCCTCGAATCCTTAGGACTGCAGGAGGTGTTAAACCTGGCTTTCTGGGGATAAGGGCACAGAATTTGCTGCTGAGTCGTATTATCCGACTTCGTCACAACCACGGGTGTAGACATTGGCTCTGTACCATTCTCTACCCAAGCCCGCAGTTGGTCGAACAATGCTTCGGGCTGACCACCATTGCCGCCCCAGCAGTGTCCGAGAGCAGGTACCTGGTAATACTTATAAAAAGAAGTAATGTTGCCTACAAAGTCTGATACCTGGTTGTAATATTGAAGCGTGCCACCAGGGGAAATGCTTGGGTCAGCCTGGGAATTATTAGCTTGAAGCCAGATGTTAAAATAAATGAGATATTACCAGGCCATGATAAGTGATCATTTTTCCTCCAGCGTCTCTAAAGTCCCGTAGATCAATCTCATTGGTTTCAAGATTGGAGGCAAAGATCTGTTTGACGTGACGGAAAATCGCATCAAAATCTCGACTGGTGGCGTTCTTCAGTGTCGCTGTCAGGTCTTTCTTGACAAAAGCCCTCCAAGCAAACTCAACAGATCCTTCGCCTCCGCTCTTGCAAACTGTGCCGGTACAGTTGGTGGGGGCGAGCGTAGATAGATCGCTGCCTATCTCGTAGCCGGGGTACATGGACTTGCCGTTAGAGAAAAGGGGACCGGTCCACGAGGCATTGGCGACGGCGGCAGCGGCGTGGCTGATCTTGAGCTTTGACTTGGGACTGGGGCAGTTGAAAGGCTTCCCAACCTGTTTAAAAGGGTCAAATATGCGCCGACAAGCGTCAACGTTGCTGATGATGCCATCCTTGACGCCATCCAGCTCATCACAAACTGAGACAGCAAGCTGAGTAATAGCATTCAGCTCGCAATCGCGGGGGAACTGCTGGGTAGACTCCATATAGAATACAGGCCAGACGGAATTTATGTAGAATTCGGCCCAGTTAACTGCCGGAGCCGCCGCAATGATCCCATCATAGGCAGAAGGGTACTGTTGGGCAAGTTTAAGGCCTTGGCGACCACCTTGGGAGCAGCCATTCCAGTAGGAATACGATGGAGCTTTGCCGTAGAAACCTTTGATCAACTGCTTTGCAATACTAGCCTTTCGGATTATTTCAAGTTAGTGCCACCATGCAGAATAGGGTCGGGCTTGGTATTCTTTACCTCGTCGTCGAGTGAAACTTGGCCAAAGTTCTGCAGCGCATTCGTGTTGATATTCCCAGGAGTTGTCAACAGCCACTCAACGGGGCTAGCGGCCTCGGGGATACCAGCATCCGTTGTAACGGAGGCATAACCATTTGCTACGGCGTTGATCATACCGGCGTAAGACAGTATATAGCGTCCTGGTGTCCAGCCAGAACCTCCAAGGGACTGCAGTCTTCCATTATAATTGTCCTCGCTGGGTAGCCAAGCTTCGGTGTGAATGGTATCGTTCTGGCCAGTGTGCGTGTAGGTGACGGTGACGTTGCAGAAAGTGACATTCTGGACATTCAAGGCTGGCTGTGAGTATGTCCAGCCCTGTGGAACGTCGAAGCTATAGTCGGGGACAACATTCGCTTCGATGGAAAGAAACTCAGCCCCGAAGAGTGTTGGAGTCGCGAAAGCTGAGGCCACGCAGCGGCTCGCAATGTCGGAGCCGGAAACCATGATGCTTTGGGGATGCTCAATATGATAATCATAAGACATGATGGCGAAGCTTCAACTTAAGTAGTACTGTTCATGGTGCATCGAGGGCTCTCAGGTGTCGTAATGCTTTACGATAACGATATCAGGAAGGGGCCGATATTGAAGGTGGGTAACTTAAAGCCCAACCTATAGTTTCCACCGAAGAGAGCAAAATTGTATTGTCAAGATGATACCTTTTTAAATTTGATTTTTGTTTTTTGATGGCATTATACTGGCGATCAAGGTTGTGGGGTATCGTATTAAACACGACAAATCCAGAGCGCTTCTGCATTAGGTTAGGTATGTGATCCTCCCCACTCAGGGGCCTTTGGGTTATGGGTCCGAATGCGTCACTGGTCTCGGTCCGACTTCCTGTTTTAGGCTTCAAGAACTACAGGGGTCGAAGCGTATTCAATACGACTGCTGGGCCATTTCACTGTCCAAAGATTTGTTTGAGCCTTGGAGGCAATAGCGTCTTTGCCTTCGTCATATAAATGGGTGATCTACAGACTTGTGTTCTTTCTTCCGATCTCATCCATCACCTTTGCATTCATATCATTTCAACACTCCTTTGTTCGTTCAAACCTTCATTCACTCTTTACTTTGTTCTTTTTATTCTAGTCCATCCCTCACTTTGAACGTTATGTCTCAGGAATGGCAAAATAACCTGCTCGATTGTTCGCCTTGCGACTCTTGCTTATTGAGCACTTTCGTTCCCTGCATCCGTACGTTATCCTCCTTTCGCCCGCCGAATATTGACTGACCAATCGCAATACAGTCTTTGGGCGTACCTCGTATCGCTTGCAGAATCCTTCTGCGAAACCTGAAAGTGTCAATTCTGATTGTGCATTGTTCTGTGGCATACAGTCACTGACTGGCTGCGCCTGGATGTCAGTAAACACCCATCCTTCCAATTTACAAGTGCGGGAGGAAGCTAACTTCCAACAGTTTCAATGTAATGAAACGGCGGGAGATTCGTGAGGCATATGGTATTGAAGGTAGCGGCATGAACGACTGCTGCACTTCCTTCTGGTGTCTTTGCTGTGCGCTTATCCAGCAGGAAAAGGAGGTTAAGTCCCGACAACTCCCATGCTACGAAACCGCCGGTTATCAGCCCGAAAAAGATGGCATGCGCATGCCTTGAGTGCCTCCCTTGACGTGGTTGATGCTCATACCCCCCATCACATACAATGGAGCTAGGCGAGGCTGAAGAGGAACTGCGAAAGTGAATAACCTGTCTCGTTTTATTGAGCGCTTACCAACGTAGGCTCATGCATCGGATCGAGCCATCTTCAATGCTAAGATAGAGTAGGCAGACCTATATAGCTCATAGATGATTGGGACCATACTTAGTTCAACATATGGTAATCCTCTAGTTAAGAAAACATCTAGTAAATTACGACCCTATAAATCCATTATTATTTATGGCATCCTAAAGCAGCAAACTTCCTAGTTGTCCCAAAGGATTTAAATCGCAGCATCTATTAAACTACCAATTCTTTACGTCCTATTCGGCTTTCTCTAACATTCTGATTGCCTTATTATACAATTCCATATGCAGCATTTGCCTTATTTACAACTGCAGAGTAGATATATCAGTGGTCATTTATCAGTCGTTCATGTTGATTCGAGTTACAGCGTCGGCTAAAGCCTTGTTACAGATGGCTGTTTACCCACCAGGCTTGACGGCAAAAACTGTTGAACATCGGATTTACATTAGTCCGCCCCGTAATGGTTATTCACATTCGGCTTGCTCGTCTCTCGTAGGTTAGTTCTTCATCCTCAATACAACATCATCACTTCACCTCATAACAAAAACAAGACACGAATTTAATTGGGCCCCTGAAAGGGCCATTGGAGAGGTCTTTATTGTGACCATCAACCAGAATTCCGCACAAAGGCAGCTCAAGCTCTTCGTTAAGTACAAGATGATAAAGAAGCTCAACAATCAATACTTGGCATGCCTGTTAATCCCCGACTTTGCTTTTAGCTGTCGCCGTATCATAGTGTGTATATTTTGCTTATTTACGTTTATTTTATCATATTGTGACTTCAGTCGCAGAGCCGGAAATAAAGCATCTCCACAATTTAAGCAAGCTTAATATAGAAACCGTCTACAGCGAGATTAAGATAATAGAGCGCGGGTATGAACTACTATGAAAAGGAAGATTTAACCAGCGACTCAGTATCAGAAAGAGTTATTGATTAAATGAACTGTCTGGACGAGCGACTGTCTTTCATGGTACGAGTACCCCCAGAGATGGACGCATAACGACTGTATAGCCTGACAGCACACTTCACTACATGGAGACTGTCGCCACTCCCCGTTGCGATGAATACAACGTTGAGTACAATGGGCGCCGCTTCACCTACCTTGGTAACGGCTTCTCACAAACTGAGACCACTCCAGGATTAGATCATACTATATCAGGGAGAGGCATAACGGATCGAGCTGCTTTAGTAATCTGATGAGCAAGAAAGATATAAGAGAGCCTATGGATGTCAGATTGCTGGGAAAACAGGACAAGAGTCTTTTCGAGTATGATTAAGTAGCAGCTATGAGAATGCCTAAATGCTAATTGTTCATTTGGTGCCACTTTGAGCTATATCCGCTAACGCAAAAAGAAACCTCAAATAGACCTTGTGCCTAAGCTTGATTGGTGTTGGGTGTCCACTATCGACTAATAAAGACTAGTGCTTGGGGTCTAGACCTGTTCCTGCATGGGTACAACTTGCTCAGGCTGTCAATAGTTAGCAATAGTGATATCTAACTATCCCCAATGTTGCGGGAAGAGACGGCTATCGACCGCCAAGTGCGAAATAGTTTGCAGAGCTGAGTCGAGTGAGGCTTTGTCGACTTCAGGGGCCAGGTATAGATAGTGAACCCGCCAGTTTAATTCTCTTCCAGAGGTACCAACTTCTTCAATCTTTTTGCTGAGACTTGCTCTGTAGTTGTCTTTACTGACTTCGTTCATGATGCAGCCCAAAATTGCTCTCGTAAGCTTGGCCCTGATTGGTTTTTCTGCTGGTGGTCCCTGCAAGCCTAGTAGCCGAGCCACTGTGAGCAGCCATTCTGCCACGTCGTCTGTCGCGACAATCGATGTTTCAGAGAGCTCCACGGAGAGCCAAACAAACTTCGACAGTCTCACCATCACATCATCTGCCGAGACCACTGAAGTTCCTAGCTTAACTCTCCCCCAGTCATCAACAACGACGGAAGAGGAAGCCATCATCATCACCAACGCTATTTTAGGAGGTTCCTTCGCCAGTCGTGACCCAAACAGCCCAAGTGGCCTCACAAACTTCGCCGCCTCTGGAAATGCTGAGTTCCATCAAGGGGGATGTTATCGTGCTGACGGTAGTATCGACGATGGCTGCGCTGCTTTGAGTGCCAGTGGAAACGGCAACACCAAGCGAAGCTTCCTTGGCTCTTTTGCTAGTATCTTCCAGACTGTGCGATCGATCCCACGAAAGAAGTACACTATCCAATTCTTTTATCTTATCAATTCAGCTGGGAGCCAAGGCTGTGTTGCGAGTGCGAAATTTGGTAATGCAGAGTTCTATTCTCAGCCTGCTTCTAACCCAGGAGCCTCGTGGGCCAGGGTGCTTGGGCAGGTTGAGGCTGTCTCTGATTTACCAATGTTTGCTATCTCACTGACATGCTCTGGTGCTGGTACTTCTTCCATTCTGGTTGACTCAATCTTTATCTCCGACCAAGTAACCCCAGAAACTATCAATGACTACAAGCTTGACCTGGGTGGAAGCCCTCCTATTGAGACTACAACGGCGATCAGGGCTGAAGAGTCCCCTTTTCTCACAACAGGGCCCAGCAGACCAACCCACACTGATGGCTTAGAAAACACGAGCACTGTAATGCCCATCTCAACAGCCTCTCCAGAAGTCACTTCTTCGGCTGTCACTGACACCAAGTCCACCGGTTCTGACCCTAAGACATTCAGTGCTGCTCACGAGAGTAGCGAGATTATGACAACCTCTCCTGTTGAACGCACTTCAGAAGGCCTCACTGACACTACGGCTATCACAACATCTCCGACGTCGCTAGCTGCTGGAGGCACCAGTAAGGCCGAAACAACTGGCCCAGTATCACAAGAAATTGGCTCTACTTCCCAGCCCGTCACTACAGCAGAACCTTCTCAACCCACCGACACTGCCTGCAAGCCAACATGTGAGACTATGGAAGACTTTTACTTACATCTCGATGACTTCGGTTGCGATCTCAACGGCGTTTTCGTGAATAGTGATGCCATTTATACCCTTCCTGGTGAAGAAGTTGATACGACTCAAACCCACTGGTACAACAGCAACGATGAGTGTGCTGAGATCTGCAAAAATCTACCTGAATGCATGTCAGCTGGGTTCCAGAGACTCTCGGGCAGGTGTTTCTTCTCCAACATACTAGTTACTCCAGACGACATACGCGATGGAAGAGACAGTCAAATGGTCCATTGGTTCGGTATGCAGTGCTTCACATGCGGCTGCGGTTCTGGCGACACATTGACAACTGCGATTCCTACCACTACCCTGGCACGCGAACCATCCAGTTCTATCACAACCGCTAAAGCTACTCAGCCAACAGGTGTTTGCCATAACAACCGCGGCCAGCAGTGTGAGATCAATCCATCAAGTGTTGAGAACAACGAATATGTCTGCATTGGTGGAGGCGTCTTCACCGGACAGTCCTGGACAGTGCCTCGTTCAATGTATCCCATGCAGGAGAACGCAGAGCAGTGTGCGGCCATCTGCGACACTCTGGAGAACTGTGAATCCTCTGGCTTTTTTGGCATGGAGAACCACTGTCTCTTTATAACCACCAAGATACAGACATCCGACTTTGCGGAACCTGATCCGAACTATGACGATCCCGGTCTGGACCCCAAAAACAGTGTTTGGAGCCATAGATCCTGCTGGACATGCCCAGCCTGCGTCCTGAGCAACGCGCCTCTTCCCAAGAGTCCAACGTGCAACTACAAACCAGGCGACGCTTGCACACGTACAAGCGCGGATGGCGTCATGTGCAACTACTCGGGAATGTTGCCCGGGACTTTTGGGATTGATGGTAGCATTTATCCTGACCAGAGTTCATCTAGCAAATGTGCTGCTATTTGCAGGAAAATGGCCTCGTGTTTGGGTTCTGGCTACAGGAACGGGCAATGTATGTTTTCAACCATGACACTTACGCCAGGTGCGTTTCTAGATAAGCACACATATGATCTTATCTGGGACGATCCGTCTTGCTTTGAGTGTCCTGGTTGTTCTACTTAGAAAGAGTTTAGCGTGCTATTATAGAGCTAATAGACTTGTATAATGAAGGATCCCTTGTCATTTCTATTCAAGTCTGTAACAAGCGTAGCTCAGAGGCAGTCAATGTGATCTTTTCCCTCTCGGATGGTTACGGTTATCATTGGTGCGGAAGAGATCAAACTTATGTAGTAATGAGGTGTTGGTCACAGAATGCAAGTTATCCTGTCAAGTCACTTGCGTGTGCAGATTTAACCACCATTTACCATGCATTGATGGGATTTGACGGAGTCAGACACGGAAGAACTCCAGAGGTTATTATGTTAGACGTTACCTAAATGCATCCATTATTCCGGCTGACTTGAAAGTTGAGACCAAACTTGTAGTGAGAGCTTTCCGCTACCTACATGTGAATCACTTCGAAGTTAATCAGCTCTAGTGGCCCAAAAGCCACAAATCCAATATACCAACGATGACTACTAAATACCCTGTATTAGAGCAACTTTAATCATTCTTGAGAATAGCACTTTCGGAAATTCACGACTTGCGCACAATATTCCTGACGGCGCCGCTGAGATTGCCGCCAGGGATGTCAAGCTCTAGGAGTGATCAGCCAAGCATTTACCCAACAGGGGATGTTCGCTACCCTCACCTCCACGGAAGCCTCAACCCCAGTATTTCTCTTACTGCTCTTGATCTCTCAACCCGGGATGCCTCTGTAGCCGGCTTTGACGTCGCAGTGACCCGAATTCAGGAAAGAGTTGGGAATTTCACGGCTTTATAGATTGACAATATCATGAACGAGAAGTACAAGCATGCCGGATGTGTTCCTCTATTGAAAGAGGACTACTTCTCGAGCCTGGCGACGATAACCACGATGCTGGCTTGTACGAGATAGACAGGTCGACAAGTATCTACAACCCAGCTAGTGGCCTGAGGAACCATCCAAACCTTCACCCGCCGGCCGCCCACGTGCCAGAATCAAAGTTAGTCGACCTCAGGCGCATCATAGCTGGGCCATCTGTCACCACATTTTTGGCGGAGATGGGAGCCTCGGGCATGAGAGTAACAGGGCTAAATGTTCTATATCTATGTACTGCACACCATGATTTGAATTGGAGTAGTGGACCTCACCCCTTGATCTGGATAACTCTCAAGGTCAGGAAAGACTCTGGGCGCTCATTGAAGAAGCCGAAGTCGTGGTAGATGGCTAGGGTTAATAGATTTATCTACACAATAATTGACGGTATTTAAACACATACCCAACATGAAGGCATTTCAATCATACCAACATGCACTAGTTATTGGGGATGTGTTGTTTGGAGATACCTTTGGCTGCCTCCAAAGTAACCCCTATCACACTTGGGTGGCCAACGTTATTCCAATCTCGGCGTATGAGTATTACGGCACGGAAGCTAGAGTTAATTAGCTAGAGGTTGAAAGACAATTCGATCCACTGTTTCTATTATTATATATACCTAGCTATATATATTATCCTCTAGGTAATGGAAGTAATGATATTCCATGATCAGGCCCCATATCTAGATCTCGATCATCCCTTTTGTGAATTAGGCTATCCATTAGCTTACAGAAGTACTCAATAGAATTGATTAAAGATGTCCAGCTAGCCCCGAGTTGATCCTTTGGCATCAAGCGTGAAGATGACGCTGGCACTGAGATATCGGACATCGAGGTAGCAGTTGATAAGCGCCCTCTCATCATCTCACCCCCTTGTTTTAGTGTAAGTCTCGTATCATTAGATTGCCGAGCTGCTCTTCTTGCAAGCATGTATCCAATACTGAGCCCGATGGCAGTGCTCAAAGGGACGTCGGACCAACGAATCTCGTTGCCCCTGACATAACTCTCGAGCATTGTCGAAGAAGCGGTTCCTATCCCTGATCCCACGGTTGCACCTACAATTTGGCGGGTACTCAGGCGGATAGTCCTACTCAGACTTTGAGTCACGAGCTGGTCAGTGCCAGCGGTGACAAGGCCCGCTGCGAATCCAATCAAGGCATCCCACCCTACTTGTCTAACCCCATAGGGTTGGCAATCTAGTGCCGCGGCAGTTGCACCTGCAGAAACACTGCTAACAGCACCGGCTATTCCTCCCGTCAGCAAAATGGCGGCTGCAGTCCCATCACCAAGCAAGGCGCCCGCGACAGGCCCCAGGGCAGCTGCCACGATGGCCCCAACAAGACAGGACAGGGGTCTCTTGCTGCAGTACGAATAGCTGCCAACAAAGCTATACATGGCTTCGGGGCCCTGCAAGCCGAGTTAGACTAAGAACAGTCATCAAGCAATTGCCGATCACTTACCTCGTTTACATACTTGTCACATAGCTCCGTCACCAGCTCCGCCCTGTCCAACTCTACCTCCCAAAGCCAGGGGTGCTTTCCCGAGTCAACGCGTTCGGTCCATAGGGCATATACCTGTACTATTTGGACCTGTTCTGCAATGTCCACGGCGTCTGTCACCAGTTTACTGTGGCTGGCATTGGCCACTTCTTGAGCCTCTGTGATTTGCGGCTGAAAGCTGCTGGATATTAGTGATAGCACTTCCTTCGAGGTTTCTTTAATAACTTACTCACTCCAGAAGGTTTTGCCATCCGCCTCAAGCCACCTCTTGATAGTTTTGAGGATATTTCGAAACTGGATTTCTCTAGCCTGGAGAGCGTCATAGGCGGGCGGCGTAAGTCCGCGCTTCTCATATCCTTTGATAAGCCATTCGAAAATGTCCGTCTGGGGTAAAGATGGGCTTGGCGTTGGGGCAAGGCCGATGACGGGAAGGACCGAAAGGGTTGGAGCTGGCCGCATCCGCGAACATTTCAAGACCTATGTCAAGACGCTATTCCAGATGGAAGACCTCCTGGAGTGGGATAACACTCACGTTCGCGTTTGCGTGTTAGCATCTCTCACCTACTTGTTCATGATCTGGAACCTCTAGTGCCGAATTTATGCGTCTCTGTGCGTAATCGAAGCGAAAAAGATACTAGCGAGTTCAACGTTGAGCACTACGAGACCTTTGTAACGACCTTTCGCATCCGGGGTTCAAAAGATGAAGAACGAGCTTAACACGAGGGCCATCAAGCTCAAGGGGATCTACGACAAGATGAAAAAGGATTGTATTGATGAGGCCTACTGGGTCGGCGTGGAGAATATCCCCGGTAATGCTGGTATTATCTACAATGGTTGGACCTAGGTCAGGTACGAGGACAAGTACAATGGAACCCAATACGTTGAGAAGGTCTACGGTGGATTCATGGACCTTGCTTTGGACTCCAACACCGAGACAACGCGAGTGGAAAAGGAAAAGGAGTTCAACACACACAAGACAGACCTCGAGGATTCCGCTACTCGCTCGATCGCGAATGGTCTCCTCGTTGTCGACATGTGGACAGATATTGTCAAAGAAGCTGAGCAGCTCTTGCGTCCCTATGCCCCCAAGGTACCACCAACGGTAAACGTGAGTATCCCAGTATTACGCCAAGGATATCATAGCACTAATCATTCTCCAAAGAGCTATCAAGCAATTGAAAAGTCCAAGGTACACAAGTACCTCGAGGATGCTCATTGGGTGTCATACGCCTACTCTGTTGGCACAAAGTTGGATGGCGACTCTGCTCTGTCCCCCTGGACCAACTGGATAGAGCTCAAAGTCGACGAAAAGGGCAAGGTTCAGTTGCCTGTCTTGACCCTACAGGACAGTGAACAGGTCGACGAAACCCGGCGAGTAGTCAATCCCCGCAAGTCCACAGACGCAGCACCAGCCCCTCCCCGACCAGAACAGACGGCACAATGTCAAATACTAGAAGAATGGAAAGCTCAGGAGATCACGGCCAAGGACGCAGTTCTTTGAGTAGAGCCGTGAGGGGGAAGAAGCATGGAAGGCATGTTGCAAGCTTTATTGTATGAGAGGAACGCATGTGACATAGAATAACCTTAATAAGATATAATTTGGAGGAAGGCCAGCAGGACTTGAGGGTATCATATAGGGAATATATATAATAAGCAAGGGTTAGGGTTTAGATTAAGGTTAAGCTTTACTATCTAAGTGCATAGATTAAGTGCAAGGATAAATAATAGGTTTTATTATATATTTAGATTTTATTAAAAGCTAAAAGTATATTTATAACTACTTATATATATAGTAAAAGAAATAAATATACACAATTAGCAGTGTTGCCACTTATTAATAATTATCTGCCACTCAGCCTGCTTAATAGCCTGTTTTTTAAGTATCTCCTCCCACCTCTTTAGACAACAAACCCATGCGTTAACAAACCGAGCTTTCTGGCAGTCTTCAGCGTTCAAACAGTCATCTCTTGCCCTTGAATCGAGTGACACTACCTGATCCCGCATCTTCATTGACGAAAATTCAAGGTTTCGCTCTGTACTGCCTCTGTTCAGTAGCTCTGAATGTGCTGTGACCAACTCGACATATTGCACTTGGATGGCAGTCTGGACCTCATCTAGCTCTTGATGCCACTTATACATTTCCTCGCTAGGGCGCATTTCGGCAACCTGTTGATCTTGGGTGATTCTTCTGTAGAGCTCATTACGCGCACTTTGGTCAGCCATATGCTCAAGTGAACTGGCCACAGCATGCTGCACTAAGAACCGCTCCACGACTGCCGCTGATGCGTACCCGACGTTACCACCATCCATGAACTCGCCGCCCACTGAGAGAGGAACCGCGTTTTCCATGGTTGCCTGGGTCACATTTGCAGCAGCATTGCCAGGGCCGAGCGCAGCGGAAGCCGCATCAACCTGAGCTTCGGCGCCGTGGAAGAAGCCATCAGCGAATGCGCTGGGATTTGCCGCAGCTGAGTCGGCTATCTCTCCGAGACTTGTTGGCGGATCGAAGACTAGCCCTTGGGCTGATGCTCCCTCAACTCCCATGGTTGAAATCTCGCTGAGCAGCGCTGATGTCCCAAAGCCAATACCAGCCGTTAACACATTGATAACGATAGGTATCACACGATCTCGTAGATTGCACTGATACGGCGTGATTTTGTATTTCTTGATGATACCATTGACCACTTCTAGCTTTGAGCACGCTACCCAAAGCTGTCGGAAGCCGACAAGGGATGTGAAAGTCGACAATCCCATGGTCGGAAGCCAGAGGATGGCGCCCATCCCAATCTTGGTAGAGTAGCCGTATATTTGGCGGTTCTTGAGAACCTCTCGCTCTCTAATGTCGTTCATTCCCTGGTTTGCAACCAGTGCCTCGAGCTTCCTCTCATATTCGAGGCGGTTGAAGTAAAGCGATTCTTTAATTTTCATTTTTTGTGTCTGCTTTTCCGTCGCTTTTCTTATGACTGCTTCCAAGACTCACATTTTAATACCTTGAACCCATCTTCTCAGATTTCAGCCTTGAAGGGGCCTCAAGGACCTAATTCATGTAGATATCATGACATGGCGTTGTGGCCGAGGCTGGACCCGTCTCAGGCGGCGCCACCATAACTGGGCCGTCCCCCCAATCCTTTAGGCGCCATAGACAGCAAACCCAAGTCTTAGCCACTTCATTAGCCGCCTCCCGCCGGGGAACGGAGACTGAAGGACCAAGTAAAGTCTATTCTGTCACAAGGCTGACACTTTGATGCCAAGTCAAGAGGCAGAGGTCTCCTCTCACGTCATGGAAGCATTTTCCCGCATTCAGCCCTACTACAGTACTACTGTAGGAAGGGCTCAATATGGTGTGCCGAAGAATCTGGCCTGTGCACAGGGCGAGGTTCTTCCATTTAGGCAAGATCATCCCCACCTCATCAGCAAGCATTCAGCCACATTCTCCCTTTTTGCTCCGACCTGTAATTCTTTCAAGAGCTGGAGCACATTCCAGCTCCGCCTTTTAACGGAGGACGCCTGATATATTTTCTTTTCACCAAACACTACGAGGTAGAGGCTTGACAAGGGGTTAAGAGTTAAGCCTAGTTTTTGAACGAAAAGAGCCATGGCTGCTCTAGGTAGCTTGCTATCCTTTTGTTGAGCACTTGATCCATGCCTTAAAGGGTAGAGTATTATTCAGGCTGATGGACCGAAGGCGACGACCTAATTACCCAAGGGATGAGCCCTTGGCAAAAGGCCAAGATACCACCACAAGCCCAGGTCTTACCAACGCCAGTGCATAGGTGTGTCTGTTCTGTTCGTAGCCATATGTTCCTCAACAACCCCCCATTGGGTGACCCAGAGAAGTAACTTGGAAGAAACGTTAGTTCTGGAGCCCTTGAAATTCCATTTCATGAGCCAGGGATGGAATTGACAATAACAATGTTCAAGAAGGCCCCCATTACTACATTACTCCAGGAAACTGGCGTGTGGGGCGATTGAGTTTGCCCAAGGAGAGGCAATGAAATTGTGGTGGCAGCTATGGTGGAATTGATGCGTGTTGTTGATATGCTCCGACAGTGTCTGCGCCATCGAGTTGTTTATCCTGCGAGTAGCACATCCGCTTCTGAGTCTGCCAATGAGCGAGCATTAAACAACCGAGGACCAATCTTCATCCTTGTTACAAACTTGCCGCTCTCCTTCGGAGGTCCGCTTGCCGTCTCTACCTTCATGATTGTTCTCTCAGCTGCGGGAACTGATCATCTCTCGACTGTTTGGCGTGTCTGTTTTAGTATCGGCATTCTCCTGCCGCTCACTGTCTTCTACTTCCGTACACGTATGCTCAACTCGAAGCTCTACCGGCAGGGTGCAATCAAGCGGAGGGTTCCTCATGCCCTTGTCATTCGCTACTATTGGAAAACGCTCATCGGTACTTGCGGTGCCTGGTTTCTGTACTACTTTGTTACGTTTCCAAATGGGGTCTTTTCCGGTACCATCCTCGCCTCCGTGGTGCCCAAGGGCAGCAACACCCTTTTACACACGGCAGAATGGCAGCTCTTACTCGGTTGCATTGCTCCACCCGGTGTATTTATTGGTGCTTGGATGTGTGACAGAGTTGGCAGGAAGAATACCATGATGATAGGGTTCGCGGGTTACTTGGTGTTTGGTCTGATCATTGACTGTGCATACGACAAAATCACCAAGATTGTACCCCTGTTTGTTGTTTTCTACGGTCTGACGCAATATTCTGGAAATCTTGGTCCTGGAGATATGCTCGGTCTGCTCTCGTCCGAGAGCTACGCCACAAGTGTCCGCGGAACGTGCTACGGCATCAGCGCAGCTCTGGGCAAGACTGGAGCAGCTATAGGAACTCAGGTTTTAATGCCCATTCAACTAAACCTAGGAAAGCGCTGGACATTTATCATTGCTGCAATTTGCGGCATAATGGGAATTTTGGTGACATATTTTTTTGTCCCGAATGTCACCGGAGAGGACTTGAGCAAGAATGACGAGAGGTTCCGTGAATACCTTGAGCATCATGGATGGGACGGAGCGATAGGAGAAGGGGAATTAAAAGCTCTTGCTAATTATCTTGATGGAAGCATCTCGGAGAACAATGGTATTACGAAGAAGGCAGAATAAACCTCTAGATAAGCATTACTAGATCATCTGATCAACCTTATGGAAGGTTTGATTTCTACCGTGCATAGACCCGACTGCGAAGCCAGTTGAGTGGAGTGGTTGGGCAATCTCGCTGCAAGCATACAAAGAGGTTTCAAAAAGAACGAGGGAGACTACTAAAATATAGACCGCGCTATACAAGTATCACAACAGGCACTGCAAATAATAGATGGAATGATGCTTAGAGACTATCGAGGCTGTGTACTCTCGCAAATCACTCGGTGGACATGCTTTTGCTACCGATCAGATGGATACACTTGACGAAGCTGTTAGATTAACATCGCGAAGCTCGCGATACCACGTCAACGAAGGACGGAACAAACGCCGAGGTCGGCTAAAACCTTGCACTTCGACTGGTTCAAAGACATGCGGCCAGCCAGGTAAACGAGGCTGTTGGTATTACTGAATCCATACTTGAATACACTTACGATAAGCACCCTATTCCGCCGCACTTATAAAACCCCCTTGGTGCTTTGCACCATAAATAGTATACGAAAGGAGTCTCCAAGAAGGAGCTTGAAGAGTACTAGAGCTTTCGTAGGAAGCCCTCTGCAGCTCTGACTACCCTTCGGTCTTGTACTGCGTTGCTATTAGGGAAAATATAAAGTAAAAATGCTAAATAGTAATTAGTTAGAAACAGAAAACGCAATACGTACTAATAATTCTTAATTAGGAGTTATAATATAATATATTAAATATACTTTAAAACTTAGTAACACAGAGGTATGTCACATAATCCCTACTACAAGTCCCTTAATAATAGTGGGAAGCATAATCACAAGCTGGCATAGTATGCTACTGTGCCATAGATACCTCCACCGGATCCTCCAAGCGGTCATATAATCTGGGGCATAGTCCAGCCAGAGTTTTGTATCTCGTTCTGCTTTTGAGTTTGGGAGTAATGGCGTCGTATGAAATCCAATATTCCCCATATCGATATACCAGACCGTAGTCCAGAGGTATAAGGCTCCAAATGTACTCGGATATTCTTTCCAGCAAGCCTCCCAAAGTTTCACTGCATAAACTTCAACTGACGTCACTGGTACCAAGTCGTCCACCACGGAGCTGGATGGCGGGTTTAGCCTGCCGAATTGATTTAGAACCTTAGTTCGGAGCACAAACCGCTGTGGACTCGTATGGTCGAGAATGCGGTAAACTTCATCAAATGCTTCCAAAAGGCCGTCGAGGCCGTCACCCTTTTTAGGCTTGCCTCTCGTAGCTGGTATATTCCTATTCGGCGAGTCATTTAACCCTCTTCCGGTGTATTTTCGCTCATGGAGCAGCCAAACTCGGTCGCGGAATTCTTTGTCGAGCTGCCAGCGACGCTCGAAAACGAGACGTTCCCACAGAAGAAGGGCAAATACGACATCTCTACCAATTAGAAAATATCCGGGGCGTAATATTCCATTCCTGGTTGGCAGCGCTGGCCATCTCTCGTGTACGTTGGGATGCAGGTATAACCAAGAGCCCAGTCTCTGAATCATCTTCCTGTCATCGTCGATATTTTCAATAAGGCTTGTCACGATTGTGTGAGCAGCTGCTCTGCAGTGCTGTATTTTCCAATCCTTCGTGTCCATCGGTTCCAAGAACTGTTTGTTGGACTTTAGGAGTTGTTGCTCGCTGTCGATACTGTAGCTGATCACTGGGCTAAAGCCGGAGCTGTGATAGAAGCTGTGATATGGAAGGACATAAGCCATACTAGTAGCATCATGGGACACCAATGGAGCTCTTATGTCATCCATTGCATACCGATGAGCCAGGTGTGTATCGTAGTTGGAGACACGGTAGGAGACTGGTAATATAAGGAAAAACATGGCTATGCAGGCAAACGTGAGCATTCCAAGAACATAGAGCTTTGCCTCCAGAGCTCCAACGGCTGCCCGGACTGCTGGGAATACAGTGAGAATGAAGACAATTACTGCCTCCCAATAGGATCGTCGGCATAATTTACCTAGGTAAGTAAATTAGCGGTCCTGGAAGTTGAACCTAGAGAACGCGGGCAGCACAGGTAGTATACATACCAACACTAAACATCTGTATAATACGCCGAATAGCCCACCAGATGAAGACTCCGTCTAAGATCCAAGGTGAGAATGCAAGTCTTCCCCAAAATTCGTATCGGTACCATCCGTGGAAAATTACTTCGATACCTATCGAGGCGCAGTGATCCCAGTATAAGGCAGAGACTGGGATAATAACTGTCCAGGAAATACTGATTAAGCCCATCAGTATCCACATCACATCATCTGTGGAGTGCCACCACCTGCGGCTCAATGTGTAGCCGCTATGCCGCACATAATACTGCCAAAAAAGCAGCAATACAGAACCGCATATTGCGGTACTAAGATGAAATGTGTTACGAAATTCAAGCTCGGTTTTGTCGTATGCAGAGGCCGTCGGGTTCGTCGAGTTGCACCGCTGGCCGTGGCTTTTAGTAACGGCCTCGGAAGCTGCCTCTGCCAGTGGTGCTGAAAAGGCAGTGGGGATGGCAGCCAGGAGACTAAACCAGTTGGGCTTCATCTAGTCTTTGATGAGTTCTCTTGCAGCTAATTGATGAACAAGGGCGTTGAAGTTTAGATAATTCAAGACGTAGAAGGGATATTATCGAGATTGACTTGCAAACGCTCCAACTTCGCCAGAGGTTTGCAGCTACCCGTGCATATCAGTTCCAGCAACTCTGCTGACATCTATTATTCTCCATAACAACTTCTATCCTTGACATTACAGTCGCCTGCATCGCCGAGCTGAAACCTTGGTTGCCCTTCGCTGGGCTTACTAAGGAAACAAACTGGCGTCTACGTAATGATGCCATCTACTGGTTGGATGGTCAGATCACAAGTCCAATGTAGTTTTGTTGTCACCCTTCTTACCTCGTTATGACGGAAGCAAGGTTTCAATCAGGTCATAAGACCCGTGCGGCTAGAAAGTTTCGGACTAGCAGGCTGTGTCATTCAATTCAAGTGGCTCTTGCTGATGATAGTACATCGATAATCAAACATCGGCCGCACTTTGAGGTCAGTCAATTGGTAGGTATACTACACTACAAGTTTATTCTGTTGACATGTGATTGCCTGGGAATCGGAGTTCCACATAACTCACATGTTTTGGTACTTATGCAGTCGTGAGGTTTATTATTGTATTATCGGCCGAGCAAGATAGATAGATAGCTTCTCGATTATATAGATATATATCCATATACCGGTCAACATGGCCCCGTGTGGGTTGTAAAAATCTCCCAATATATCCAGTTGCTTTACCTTATTAAACGATTATTACATATTAAATAGTTAAATGGGGGTAAAAGACTATAAATTTTTATTAGTCTATAACCAGGAACGATCCCTGTCTTATGTTAATATACTTAAGTTGGCTGATTTTATAAGCTAGCTTATCCCTGCCCCTTGTATTAATAAATATCACTGGATGTTGTTGGGGGGATACGCAAATTGGATGGCTCGGAGCCTATATGGCTTGACTAGATCCTCTTCCTAGTCTAATAATAGAGTACTAAAAATAAATTTTATATGCCTGAAGTACCTTTAACAGAGGAAAGAAATAAGACAATCCGAATAGCTTCTATGAACTCTTAGGAAGAGCCACGTAATAGTATTTTTTATAGTTCTATAATTGTTGTCATGTTGAGTCATTAAGCTGATGAAACTGGAATTATCCCTCTGAGTGCCACAAGCCTCCACTAGGGTCAAGAGATGTATCGGCAGGAATTTGAGCCAATGGACATATACCATCTTCACTCGATTAATATTTGATTCGCTCATATTCTGGCCGATACCTCTCTTGACCCTAGTGGAGGCTTGTGGCACTTAGAGAGATAGTTATATTGTTCTAACTTTATGTAAGCTAATATACTTAAATTAACTTCATAGGTGCCATGTGACCCAACACCACCTGTACAACTCGTATAAAATCAGCTATGAAAGTTTATATCTAAGTTAAAGAGTTACTCTTAACCTAATCTTCCTACTAGCTAGGACTAGGGCTATTGTAATACTTGGCTGATATTCCCAGAGGGGATAGCAGTGTAAAGCCGATGGGCGGCGTCGAATAAATAAATGAAATTGATTACGGTCCCCGGGACCCTAGCCTTATAAATCTAGGTAATGCCCTGTAGATTTATTTTCTTATGCACAGGTCACACCCAAATATTTGGAGCCCCGTAACGGCCCTCACAATGACGCCTTCTCTCTGGGTATGTATTACATTTCCCGCAGGCTCTAGCGCATGCAGAATGCGAAGAAAGAGATGAGGGCGGTAGAGGGAGGCACTGGTGAGAAAATTATTCAATCATAGCCAAACTCAACTATACGCAGAGTCCTCAATGTTAGGGGCTTGGTCCCCTGTAAGCGATAAGCCTGTAACGCAGCTGGTGCACCTGCTTGATTGCAGCAATTGCAAACGACCCTGAACCTTTTGTCCTACGACATAGCGGTTATGGCGCCCGCTACTGTGACTGCCATTATACGAAAGTCAAAGCACATGAAGGGAAACTTGGAGCAGGATCATTCAATTCACCACGACTACAAGCATCACAAAAGTGGCTAGATGGATGTTGCTAAGGAGACTTTGGGAATACTAATTTTATTTGCGGCTTGCCAGATGGCCTTAACTTAGTTATTATGTTTTTTTTATTTTTAGTTGTTTATAGTATTAGGGAGTAGGGAGAGAAGAAATGATAAGTCGAATGTAGCATTGAAATGTGTGGCCATTCCTTTCGGTTAACACCGTATTATAGATCGCTATCCCTCAAATACATAAAACACACTGCATGTTGCGCCCCACTTCTAGACCTTTGATAGTTAGCGCTGTTCTTAGGGCGTCTTAGCGAGCATAACCGTTAATGTCTAAGAAGTTTACTTACTCCTCAGGCAAGGAAATCCAACCCTTACACAAACAGCCTAGGATAGGGTTTGGCCTCTAATGATAATATTGCTTAGTTTAACGCCCTTATTACCACCGCCCTAGAGGTTTCCACACCCTCATAAGATAGTATGCAGGCATACGCTATATTTAATTCTTTAGTTAAAGCCATAGATTCTGTATCATCCTCAGGAAGTTACGGCTGCTTTCTACTTAATGGAAGAGTCACTTTAATAAACTCGAAATCACATTTGGCGTCTTAAACCCTCGACGTCGAGCTCACTTCAGGCACCTATCGCATATACTTATTCTCACCTTATACTGCTGTCTGAATTAGATCTTCTGCGACCTAGCATTCCGAAAACTAATTAATTTACCAAACCGTTTCCTCATCAGTAGCGCCAACAAGTCGTCATATTCTAGATCATGGCAACTTCGCCGCTCAATTTAGCTGTCGCATTGCTCGGGAGCTATCGAAACCGCCTTAACAATGGGTATCAGACAACGTTAAACCATTTCGACGCAAGCCAAATCTACGAGCAGCTTTGCCATGGCCGCGGGATCTTTACTATCCACAGACTGCGTCTTCTACCTCCATGTCTAATCAGTGGCTATCGTCATCATCTGAGAAAGCGGACACAGAAGCTTAACAACGCATTGAATGAATTGGAGAACGATATTTCTAAAATGGAGGGTTACTGTCCGAGAAAGTGGATGAAGAGGTTTTACAAGCTATTGAAGCAATTGTGTAAGCGAAATTCTAGGCCAGACCCGGTAAAGATGGCTGAGAAAATTATCGAAATAATCGAACACCTATTGTGTGCCATGGAATTACTGCGCTGTTATATGGAAAGTCGTGATAAGAGGAAACGAAAATGGCGGAGTCCGGTAAAAGCAAAGAATCGTATGCTGGATGGTATTGGGAATAAGATCGTGGAGATTGTTCAGAGATATGTTCCGCATGTGGTAACCTAGTCGCAAGACTATTGCTGTGACATAATATTATAGTATCTGACCTAAGTAGGCCCGACTAATATATAGGTGCAGGGTTAGATCTTAGCAATTATTATAAGAATTAATAGTAGGTATTAAACTGCTTTTTATATAAGGTAACTAGCGCAATGCTAAGAAACAAAAGGGTTATTTATCTTTTTTATTAGGGTTAAGTAAGTAAAATCTAACCACTACACGGAGCAAAGATTGGGCTATAATCGCTATCATAGCGATTACAGGGATGCTTACAAGCGCATATAGGAGTCTACGGCAAGCCAAGCCGTAATAAATTCTGAATGCTTATCTTCTATACCACTAACGAGACGTCTTGGAGAAGAAAGGGGCATAGAAGAAGTACCTGTCAAATGTAGATGTGTATTGATGATGATGTATGTTATGTTCTTGGTATCTTACTAAGGTGATGATCCCCTGTTATGCCTCCCCAATCTGGCTTAGCTTCATTGGTGACTAACCAACATCCTTAGGCCGCCACATTTAACAGTAACTTTCTGCAGTCGCCAGCTCAATCGCTAATTCTCGCCCCTTACTATCGTAGAGTGGTTTCCCTTGGCCCGCCATTGGCTTTCCGACTCTGGCGCTAGGCGAAATTGAGCCAAGACTGACGAAGCTAGGCAATCGAAGTCAAACCAAGCATTCTAGCGTTTTGGTTGTTCACTGTCGAATAGGTTTTACATCAATCACCAGCCGAGAGGTGTTGGCGATGTAACCATTTAATTATTCCATGTGTGTGGCACTGCTTTAAATTGCCCTTGCTCCAGCCGCTCTAATTTGGCAGAACAAACCTTGTAACCATTAACCTTTGGCAGAGTTGAATATACGAACGTCATGGAGTCCGGCATCTCCTTCAGGCTCAAGCCATGTGAACGCCCCTGCTGTGGGTCAGAAACAGCTGCTACAATAAAATGCCACGCCTGACGCAAATTAGTGGCCTGGTAAGCTTCTACATGTTTTCCCGTGCCCACATCTGTCCATGGGTTCGTAACAAATGCCCGAGATGGCTCCAGCAGATATTCAGATCGCCACGAAGGCATTGAAGCTGTTAGACTTCCACCAAAAGCGCTTGCAAGTTTTCGTCGTCGAGGAGAAAGATGGCATGCCGTTGAGAAAGATACCACTGTATGCAGAGCTTTCAATCTTCAGCCCGAGAGCGTTCAGCGACCATAGCGACATCTTGCAGAGCAGCCAAAGTCTAGACGAGATTAAACGAAGCGCCCATCCCGCCTTATTGGAGGTCATCCTCTCAATCATCGATTCTGAGATAGACTTCTACTGGATTCGAAGCAATGGCGGCCAAAAGAAGTTCGACGATTTGGCCTCCGCCATCGGAGAGCAACTTGCAACCATGGAACTCCTGTCGCCAGAGATAGAGCCTCCCTCCGGCGTTCGTGAAGATTTAGCGGCAGCCATCGCCCAGAAGGCTAGGATGATGGACATTCCAAGACCTCCGATCAGCTTCACTAAAATTATATCACTCGGCTTGCTTGCTACCGATCATGTTGGCTTCGCGTCATTTGATCTAGACCGTCTGACAGTACCCGAACTGCCTGAGGAGCCTAGCGATTCAGAGCGTGAACTCTTTGACAGACTTGAAGTACAGTTCAGCATCTACCATAACGTCCTGCACGAGCACAAGGTCGATGTTCTCCCGGGTGCGACAGTCGACACAAACACCATTGTTTTTAGACTAGAACTCTCCACAAACGAAGGCGTTCCACGAATGACGCTGTCGCTTCCATCATTACAGTACCCCTCCTTGTGGGATTGGCAGATATCGCCGGGTTCTTTCGCGGCCACTCCTCAGACCCTCATTGGTGCTGACGGCTGTGAGACTCTGATACCGTCAAATTTGATTGCCATCGAAACACTTCCCCTCCGACAAATTCAGCGTATCATTGGCTCCAGCGGGCTTGAGCCGGTGTCAGCAGAGTATCCAATAGCGCTGATTGTTGAGTACATGGTTGAAGTGGTGCCAATCGGGCACTCGCTTGGCCAGATACTGTACAGTCTTCCACTAGCGCCAGGCGAATCCGTTAGCCTCGCAGTTTTGGACTGGCGAAGGAATGACAGTGGGACACGTGGTAAGGCTACAAAGTTGGATGAAGGTCTAGTGCATGACCAGGCGAGAGATCGCACCATCACTGAACTGCTCAGTGGAGCTATCGATGAATGGCAACGAGGTGGCTCTGTCGTGGGAGGCATCTCGGGCGGTGGTGGAGCTTCTGCCTCAATGGGTGCGATGGGAGCTTCTGGAGGAGACATGGCTTCTCTCGGAGGAGCGTACACTACCTCCAGCGGAACTCGAGACATCTCAGTCTCAACGATGCAGAAGGTCGTGGACAAAGTCCACCAAGCGAGCAACGCTCTCCGCGCGCTGACGAGTACCGTTGTTGTCAATACAGACCAGCAGGAAAAGCAAGCTGTCGAGACTCGCTCGTTCGCAAACAACAACCGAGGCCACACCATGACTATTCTGTACTACGAGATACTTCGCCATTTTCTCGTCACCATCAAATTCAACGGAGTGTGTGAGGGACTACTTATTGACAGAGACAAGTTCTCATGGAGGAAGAAGCAGGAACCTATACCCCGAGAACCTCCGGAAGGGCCAAGGCCTCCTTTGTGGTCCTTCACCAACAACAGCTTTCTCATAGCGAAGCGGCACATCCTACAGCCTGCACTCCTTGACACAACATTGAACCCAGCGGCTTTCGATGCGTTGGTCCGCCTACAAGTTCATTCTCGGCAGGCCTGGATCAATCGGCCTCCACCACCACAGTGGGCTGGCGAGCTTCGTTTTAGCTCCTTCAGTGTCCATGTGGGAATCGCAGAGGATAGTGAGAGCCAAAATACGATCTTCCTCAAGATCAAGTATTTTGATGGTCGTCTAGAGCAGCTATCCTGGACAGTCAATCCCGAAGGTGTTGGACCTTTCCTCACAAACATCAATGATACCAACATGGGTTTGAGATTTGGGAAGAAGGAGTCCCATCTAAGAAGACGGTCCCATCTAAGAATACGGTCCCAACCCTTTGTTCCTGGATCTGGGCGGAAATGGGGAGACCTTCATCAGTTCAATTTCGCCGTTGCCGACGGGGATCGGTTGGCTTCTTGGAACTTTCTCGAGATTGTGGGTATTGTTGAAGGCGGCGTACCCATAACTCTCTTCGGTCCCACACAAGGGACTTGGAAGATGGAGAAGAAGCTAGACGAACAGAGTGTCGATATCATACGTCCCCCAGATGTCCCGCCTCCACCACCGCCTGACAAGTCACCTGAGCAGTCACTTTCGCCAGAGGAATACAACTTGACAGAAACGCTCAAAGATCACCTCTCAGTGGAGCAGGAATACTACAATCGGGTCCTCGACCTTTCAATCCAACCACAAACGTATGCCGCCGAATTTGAGGGCTTGCCACTCGAAGTGCCGCCAGGAGGGAACCTTTTGGATCATGCAAGTCCAACACCGCTCGAACTATTTGGAAATAAGATTGCTTTCCCAAGGATCCGATCCGAGGCCTCGGATCGCAACAAGATTGCCATCAAGCAATTGTTCCAACCTCAATTGCAAGCTGAACAAAGACTTATCACGATTCCAACGAGGGGAGTATTTGCCGAGGCGAAACTAGGCCATTGTAATGTTGCCGAGGAGATTGACGGCACTCAGTTCTGGCAATGGGATGAGCATCCATTGCCAGAGAACGCTCCCGAGATCGCACCCGTTCAAACAGTCACACCAGAGAACAATCCGCCGGGTTTGGCCCCAACCAGTTTTCCAGCGCCGATCGTCAACATTCAAGAGCCTCCCGCAGCACCAGACCCACCGGTACCGCAGCCATTCTCAGGGCCTTGACCACGCCAGACGTCTTTAGAAACATGTCTGGTGCTCAACAAGTCCAAGACATGCTGAACAGCCTAACTGAGGGAGCTGTAGCACTGGCGTGCAGGCTGGACGGCGGACCCTTTATCTCTGCTGCGAGATGAACGCCAAATTAACTCGCCCGGACATCACCACGTAAGTCAAGAGTTTTATGCGAAAGAAACCTGTGTTTGAGAATTTTCTGAAGCCGCCGGGTAATCAGAACATCCTCGATGCCGCTGCTGATGGGCCTTTTATTATGCTCAATCAGAGTGAATATCGAAGTCGCATCGACACCGATATCATTCAGCTGGACAATGTCCGCGTCATGAATCTCAGAGTAAGTTTTGAAGACATGATTGTACCGCTTGGCCGTCTACAAGACAAGGCTTCTCTTAAATGGCTCTGGGACTCTATTGCCAGCCCAATCTTGGAACGGCTTGGTATTGGCTTACTATCGCCTAGCGCATCCTTGCCTTGTATCTGGTGGATTCCTACTGGCGCATTGAGCAGATCGCCGTTCCACGCAGCCGGTCGTCACTTTGCACCCTTTGCAGATAGTGAGAGGGACTGGGCCGTGTTTTTGTATATTCTTTGCTTTCTGAAAATGTTCTTAGGCACTGTGCATTTTCCTTTTTTTTTTTTTTTTTTTTTTTTTTTGGGTTTGTTGGGTTTGTAAGTTATTACGTTTGCCTATTAACCGGATGTGTTATATATTCAGTTGTTATATAATTAATTTGAGAATAAAGCACAGTGGCCGTGTAGGAAAAGACTGGACTCCAGCCTCTAATTCCTCTTGGAAGAGTTATATCTTAAGAGGTTTCTCTACCCTGTTATTATACAGTAAAGGTTCTAGTCCCGCACTTCCCTGTCTATTCTCCACTTTTAACGTCATTTATGTCTTCACCGCCTTAATAATATTTTATAGTCTTTTCCAAGATTCTCTATTAATTCATTATTAATTTACTATTAAGATTCTTTCTTATTACGGTTAAGCTTTGCAATCAGTCCCAAAAACGACGAGCAGCAACCACCATGTCAGCCCCCGAGTCTCAAACAGCCATGGATGACACCGAGTTCGAGAAGACACTCCTGCAGCTGCGATGTTTTGACACAATGTTTCTCGTCGACGACTCAGAGGCTATGCAGCCCTACTGGTCCGAGATCAAGACACTGATAGAGCGCATTGCACCCATCTGCGCCAAGCATGATCCAGACGGAGTCGATCTGTACTTTGTCAACCACCGACCAGGCGGCGTCTTGGCCAAATTGCCCGGAGTGCAGTCCATCCGCAAGTCAGGCTACACGCACATCGGCGGGTTTGTCGGCAACATGCTCTTGACGAGCAAGGGAAAGCAGGTCGGCAGCATCTTCGACAGCGTCAAGCCGGCTGGCAAGTGCAACATGGGCGCCAGGCTCGGCGGCCTGCTCAAGTGGTACTGCGATAAGTTCACGGCCGGAGAGGAGAAGGCTGCTCTCAACATTGTCGTGCTCACAGCCGGCCAATTCGACGATGACATCAAAACGCCCCTGATCCAAGCTGCCAGGACTCTTGATGAGGCCAAGGCACCGATTCATCAGGCTGGCGTTCAACTGTTCCGCCTGGGCGGGCCGCATCTTGAGCGACAAAAGACACTACAGCACCTCGATGATGAGCTGCACAAAGAGGCTGGGACGCGAGACATTGTCGATACGGTGACTTGGAGTGGACATGGCACATCCATGTCGGACGATGAGCTGCTCAAGGTTGTGCTGGGCGCGGTTATCAAGAAGATTGACATGCGTGCCTCTGAGTTGCACTTGGACGAATTAGCCCCGACTGCACGCGCTGAGCGGGAGTTTGATGAGGAAAATGTAATCTAACACTGAGGGAGACTGTTTTATATCCTTGGAGACATTGTTGTATCCCAACCGGCATATTTAATGGCAAAGATATATAATGTCCTCTTGGTCAGTATCCATTTGGCCAAGGCCTGGGCCGGGGATGGATAGACAGAGCATCAGATGTTATTGTGGGAAAGAAAAGAGCGCTTCATTCACAGAGTCACTATTGTTGAATGGACATTGGCAAGTCATAATGGCTTCACTACTCAATTCAAATAATCTATGTTATTTTCCCTTTACCCACCAACGCCTGGTATAATTCTAAATGCAACAACGCTCATTAATCTCGTTACTCAGCATCAAATATCTTAAGAACATCCCTCCGAAAAGCAGGCCAGTATTTCTCCTTGATCCACAATCCCAAGCATTGCAATGACATGAGCAACTTATATAAGTCAAATGCATTATATGTGCTTCCAAGAGGCAACCGATGATACGTCGTTGACTTTCCATCCTGCAACGTCGACGCCACGAAGAACCAGTCGTGGTCTTGCACGATAATCCCCGCGAGAAACTCAATCACCTCGACATCCCCCCTTAGCGACCGCCACTGCGCGGCGTGCCACGTGCCGATCTGAAGAAGTGCCTTCTCCCAGCTGACCTGACGCTTAGTCTCGATTGACAGGGCGATAGGGTTCTTGCAGAGATCGCCCCAGTCTGTGTGGTTGACTGACAGGCCTGGCCGCGTCTTGATCGCTTCATCAATCTTCTGCCGTTCAAGACTTCCTTTTGGAGTCTCAATGCAGATGCAAAAGTCGATGCATTTGGATGATGTGCCGAAGGGTTTGTACTCGGGAATGATGTGCGCGGTGGTGCAGTATCTGAAATCACCAATGCAAAAATCGTTCGCTTCTCGAAAAGCAAAGTCGAGAACGCATCGATGAACCTCCATGTTCCAGGACGCTTCGCTGTGACGGCCAAATTCGCATTTGGTAGCGCTCTGCAAAACCTGGCGGATAAACGATGGGGTAGGAATTCGCCAATTGTTTGCATGCTTGCCAGGATCATAAAACGCAAAGTCAGGTATATTACGCAGATTCTGCAGCTCAGGTTTCAGCGTTTGAGGAATAAGCGCAAATCCATATCCAATCGTGACGAGCTGCTGATGCAGATCTTGGAGTGAAGGGGGTAATTGATCCATGAAATCATCGAATTTGAAGTCGTCAAAGCCGGTCTTTTGCGTCGCGGCATAGCGCAGCTGTTTGGTGGGTGATGACGTGCCAGAGACTGCAGAGGAAGCGTACGAGGTCGAAGACTCATGGTCCAGATTCGGAGCCCATTGTCTCAGGCCTCTTGAAGATGCTCTGGGGGTGTCCTCAACAGCGCCATCTTCTCCATCTGAGCGAACGGGATCTACATTGTAGGTCGATCTTCTGCGTTTCCTTGGCATTGAATGGAGGTCCTGAACATTTAACTCGCTGATAGAACGGCTCTCGTGAGACGAGGCTGAAGGCGTTGGGATGCGATGAAATTGATTGTCGCGGTCTGACTTGGCGTTTGTTATTTTGCGTCGCTTTCGCTGATGTATCGGCCGTTCGGTCGGGAGAGATTCTGTTTTTACTGAATTTAGCCAGGACCATACAAAGTCGTGCTTATGGGCGCGAGTGTTTTGGACGCTGAGGCTGGTCATTTCTTAATTGCGCATGTTGATTGAAGTGAAGATGGATGGATGATTGATGCAGTCAAAACATTACCGAGTAGGCCTAACTCATTTAGTCATCATGGTGGAGTTGTGTTGTTGGAGGGGTAACCTCATTGCAAAAGTGGTTTAGCGTTTGGACTCAGCCCATATCTGAGCTACTTCAATTCCCGCAAGCATCACCGCATTGACCAAGTACTTTTGATAAGACCTTCACAGCACTGTCCTCCAATTGAATCAGAATGTCGCGCGTGCCTGATTCGTTCATTATCTCAAAGACAGGATAAAGTGCTTTCATTTCAAAAGTCATACAAGTTAAACGAGCAGTATCCACCTCCCAGGAAAGCTGGCGATCGATCTCAGCAACTTCCCTCCCTTCTGAATCCTTACGACGGTCCCACGCAATGAGAACTCCAAGCTAAATAGTTGTCGTCAGGGTTTTCTCAACCCGATAGTCTCAACGCCTGCCCCTGGGCCCTGTTGATATTGTTCTCGACGTAGCGGTGCACAGCAGCCGCGGGTCCCGCCAGCCGTGTTATTTTCCCCTTGGATGCCGAGAAGATTGACTCCAGCGGATCACGGAGAGAGGCCCGACCCGACGGCCCGATGTTGAAGGTCAAAGCGTCGAAATTCGCCGATCACACGGATTGTGAGCATCATGCGGAGGAGAGACAACTGGCCTGGACCGGAGTCCGCGGGTAGCATCCGCCAAGCTACGGCTCACCCAGCTTGCCCTCCATCTTTGCTTTACCAGGCGTTCAATCAAAGTTCTGGACTCCTCCATATTGTGTACTTTTGCGGACACCGAGATATACTGTGATAGGACTGTATGAGTTCTGAATTGTGGCTCTGCGGATGCTTCGGACGCCATAACATCTAGAGAATGGCGAATGCCATGTGAGACATGTGATTTATCTTACAACTAGATAAAGGGCATCATCTTGAGCCTCATGGAACTTCTATCAATCCCAATCTTGAATAGGATAATTAAGCTTTGACTCTGACTCGACTTCAACTGATCTTGCCTATTGTTTCTTGATCCATCTTTACAATTGAACACAGCGCTCAGCCTATTCAACACAAAGGCGAAATGTCTCCCCACCAACGACTAGTACTATTTGCCATTCTGATGAGCGGAGGCTTAGCTACTGACCCGCCAAGCACCAAGAACTGCTTAACAGTTGTATGTCTACATCCCGACCAATTTTCTCTGGGAAAATATCTAATCTGAGGCTAGTGCGAGTCAATCAGCAAATTGTATCCTTCTGAAATTCTATTCCCATCTTCACTCGGTTTCCAGACCGCTCAGCAATCTTACTGGAACTTGTTCCAACGTGAGGCTGCGCCATCTTGCTTTTTCCAGCCTACCACGAGTGAGCACGTCTCGACAGCTATAACCCAGGTGGTACAGGAAAATTGCCCCTTTTCTATCAAGGGTGGTGGCCACTCTTCAAACATTGGAGCCTCCAGTATCACCGGCGGCTTTCAGTTCGATCTCGCCAAGATGAGAGAATTTAAAGTCTCAGACGACAGGAAATCCGTGACTGTGGGCCCAGGGTGGCGCTGGGGTGAATTGCTTCAGGAGCTTCAGCCACTTGGAGTCATCGCAGTTGGAGGCAGGGATGCCGGTGTCGGTGTTCCTGGCTTTGTGTTTGGTGGTAAGTTCTTCTGAGACTAGATGAGAAATGCCTCAATCGCTAATGAATGTCATGGCAAGGTGGCTTATCATATTACGCATCCCTGTATGGCTGGGGTGTTGACAACCTCATCTCGACGGACATTGTGCTTGCAGATGGCTCTCTTGTCACTGCCAACCAAACGTCTCACCCTGATTTGTACAAGGCTTTGCTTGGAGGCGGTGCACATAACTTTGGTATTGCCACAGCCCTCAAACTTGAACTCCATCCTTATGACGGAATGTGGGGTGGTTATGTTCTCCAAACGGGCGACCAGATCGATCACGTTTTTGCAGCCTATGATAAGTTCTTCCACAAGCTGCAGAATGATCAAAAAGGCCATATGATCTTGGATATCACCAGAGTCAATGGATCAATTACAGCTGTTGAGTTCATCGGTTATCCGGAGCCAGTGGAGAATCCCCCCCTCTATGACAGCGTTTATGCTCTTTCAAGTTCAGGTAGTACGCTCCGTTTGGCCAATTATACCGATCTCGCAGCGGAAATGGCCGTGGTGACCAACTCGAGGGGTCTACGTAACACATACCGGACCTTGACTGTTGAGTATGATGCTGAGCTACTCAGAGAGATTTTTGACATCTGGGCTGAAGTCACTGAACCCCACGCTGCGGTGATTACTGCAACCCTGGATATCAACGTCATCACCAGTCAGATGAGGAATAGGTCATCCCGCACTATCAAAAACACATACGGTCTTGGAGGGGCAACCAATCAGCTGATTATCGTCATGTTCTCATTGTCCTGGGATGATGACGCACAAGACACGATCAGCCATCGCTTGGTACAGGATTTGGGAAATGCTATCGAAAACCTTGCCAACCAAGCAGGCAAATTGAAGCGCTTCAGGTATATGAACTATGCTCACGTAGAGCAAGACGTTATTTCGAGCTTTGGAGACAGTAACAAGCAGTTACTGAAGGATGTTGCAAGAACATATGACCCTAATGGTGTGTTTCAATGGTTGCAACCCGGAGGTTTTAAGCTAGATGGTTAGAACAGTTAAGCGCTTTTTACGTGGAAGAAACTGGATTCACTTTAAAAGGTTCATAGCCCTAGTTAAACTTCTACAAACTTAAACAGTTTAGCCTACATATCTATTAAATCACATCACTTTTAGATTTTATAGTTCTTTATTTAGTCTATTTATAGAGACTTTAGTATAGGAATTATTAATATTATTATAATGCCAGAGAGATGGCATAGGTTTAAAGCAGTAATTACTTAAGGGTTATATGTACTGCTAGCCCTATTTCTTATATTATATTCTTATTTTAGAAATGTACTTACTTCGAAATGTTAAGATTTTAAATAATAATATTTATAAGCCTCTTATTTTATTACTAATTAGCTTGTCCTTTTTAAATAACTAAAAATAAATAAAGAAATTTAATATAATACAATAGCTTTTTAGATAAGTTAAAGAAGTCTAATATATAAGATATAATAAATTAAAAGAAAAAACTAACCTTAGCATGGAAAATATTTATATTATAAGTTATTAAGATAAATAAACTTTTAACTAAAGCTTATTAAATTTAATATAACTTTTAAATAACTTATTAATATTAATCTATTAATAAAATTTATATTTAAAATTTATAAATAATATAATTAGTAAAATATAATACTTTAAGTCTTATATTTTATATTTCTTAAATTTTACTTTTTTACTTTTAATAATAATTTAAAGCTTATATAAGCCTAGTAGTAATATTACTTTATTATAAATAACCTTTTTTTATACCTTACCTAATAGCAGGTTTAGTATCTCCCTTGCCTAGGTAGTAAGGTTAATCCTCTTATTTAGCTTTTTATTATATAAAAATCCTAAAGTAAAATCTAAGTCTTAACTTATTTAAGGCAACTATATCTTTTCTTTTAAGGTCTTATAAGTTTATTAAATATAATTTAAAGGGATATTAAAGTAATATATTTTTATATTATAATCTATTTTACTATCTATTTTATAATACCTTTCTTTTACTTATATTAACTCTCCTTAACTATTACTTCTTAATAATTTAGCTACTGCCTGTATATTAATATACTTCTGGCTAATTACTTCCCTACCTCCCTTAAGAGTTATTATCCCTCTTTTTAATAGGCAGGTCCTTTTTGCCCTACTGCCAAAGTATAAAATAAACTCTATTATTTTAATTTTAAATTTAAGTAATATTTCTTAAGAGTTTCTTCTTTATTAAGAAATAAATTATATATATTATAAAATATTTTAAGGCTAGATAAGTTATATCCTAATCTAGTTATATTTATTATTTTAATTACTATTTAGGGTTTATTTTCCTTTTTAATACTATTAATTTATTTCTTATTTTTTATTATTAATTTATATTTTTAATTAGTTTTAATAAGGTTTTTATATTTTAATTTTTTATATCCTTTTTTATTATAGTTTTAATAAATAAGTTTAAAATTATTTTATTTAATTATTTTAATCTCTATACGTTTTATTTTAATTTTATAAATAGTATTATTTTATTATTTTTATCCTTAATTAGTATTATTATTATATTTATTTAAATTTAAATTATATACATTTCTTTATTTTTTAGTTTATTTTTTATATTTTTATTTATATTATTAAATATTAATTTTAATTATAATAGTAATATAGTTATTTAAATTAATTACTTTAAATCTAATATTAATTATAATATCTTTAATTTTAGGTTTTAATTCTAAGTATACCTAAGTGTTACGACCCATGCAGCTATATCACGTGGCCCCCACAATTTCCACCTATTACAGAAGGATCACTTCTCCTAGTAACAATCCTCTTCTATTAGATCACCATAAATCACCAACAATCCTTAGAGATCCAATCTTTAGATTACTATTATTCCTTACTAAGCTATTAGGCTACCTTTTATATATAGAACACATTTATTAGCACTTTTATAAAACTTAGCTTACTAGCTATTAATAAAGCATCTTTATATTAATAAGCCTAATATATATTACTTAATTATTAAGAGATATAACACTTTGCAACGCTTAGCATTATGCCTTACACAATCTGCAAATATAAACCTAGTATGGACTAGTTTACCTGTTTAGAAAACCTAACTGTTATACTAAGCTATATATACTTTTTTATTTAAGTTAAATTTAAATACTTAGTTATAATATTTAATAAGGTATATAGCTATAAATTATTTTTATTTAAGTTATTAAATCTTTATTTATATAATTTATTTCTTTTTTATTATATTATAAGTATATTATATTTTTACTTTAAAGTTTTTATTATTATTATAAATATAAGAAATTATACTTTTTTATTTTTTATAAGGGTTATTAATATAATTATATATAATAATAAGTATTATTATATATTAAATATATTTTTAATATATCTTATAACCTTTTTTAATATCTTTATTAAGAGCTTTAGTTATATTAGCTAAATTAGCTACCTATTCCTTTAAGGCCTTAATTTTACTTTATATAATTCTAAAGTTAAGCTTAATAATTTTAAGTAAATTATTATATTATATATCTAGGTTTTTAAGTTTATATTTATGATTTTTAACCTTATCTTTATAGGTATTTAGGTAAGGTAAGAATATATTTTCTTTTTCTTTTTTTTAATTTCTATTAAAACTTTATATAATTTTTAAAAACTTTAAATTAGTCTGGCTACTAGCTATAGCTAGAAGTAGAGGTATGGTTTAAAGTTATTAGTATTATTATATAAATAATACTAAATATTATATAATTTAATTTAAATAAAAGCTATTAATATATATTAATTAAGTCTAATTATATTAAAATAAGCTATATTAGGTATATTATTAATAAATTATATAAGGTATATATTAAGTATTTTTAAAGTATTATATATTTTAATAATATATTTAATATATATTAGGCCTACTTAATATAAAGAAGTTATATTAATAGCTAATAAGTTAGAATTTTTAAAAGTGCTAATAAATAGAATTTATATATTAAATATAGTTATAAAGTAATTATTAGGGTTATTTAATAATTTTAAAAATTACTAACAACTTTAGTATTTACTATTATAACCCTGTCTTAGCAGTTATAAATATAATTAAGTAATTTATAATAATTATATATAATTAGTTAAAAATATAAGGTATATATAATATAACTATTAGGATTATAATAAGTAAACTTAATAATAAAAGATATATAATAATATTTTAATAAATTAAATAGTCTCTTAAAATTATATATATTATATTTTAAATTTATATTATATAAGGTAATAAAGTCTAGGTTATATATAATATAATAATATTTATTCTTATTTTATTATTTAGTTATAATAATACTTACTTAACTTCTTACTTAGCTAGCTTTCTATAAGTAAAAATAAGACTTACTTTATTTAAGATATTATTATAAAGCCTACTAAAATACTATTTATTTTAAGTTATATTATTATTAACTAAAGTCTACAATAAACAATTTGCCCCTATTTATACTTATTATAATTAATTATTTAAAGAACTATTATAGAATTAATAAAGATACTATCTAGTTTAGGCCCTCCTTTTATTAATTTAAGCTCTAGACTAAGTAATTAAAATATAGTAATATTTTATAAGTAGCCTTTAAGCTTAAGCTATATTTTTATCTTAATATTAAGTTAAATACTTTCTTTTATATATTTTTAAACTAATAATAAAAAGAAAATAACTTTATAATAATTCATTAATTAGTTACTTTCTTTTTTATTATTTTATATATATATTACTAGATATATTATTATATTTAAATTTTAATAAAATAACATACCTTTATTAAGTACCTGCGCGAATTCCATCAAGTCCCCTAGGACTTAAGCCTGGGGGGAGCCCGATTTGCATGTCCTATATATAGATTAAACGACCCGAGACATGGGTTGATGGCTGATGCCGAGAAGACTCCGGGCCGTCAACGAAAGATCTACATGAACCTTCTGCTCGTGGGATGTGATGTTACACTCGACCAAGCGGGAATTCTCTCTTCTCGGGCTAAGTCTCGGGCAACATCCAGACCACGAACAGCAGAACTTGGAGTTTGCGACGGTCTTTAGAACTCTTGACTTCTTTTCTAGCAAGTTATCAAAGCCGCCTTTCCCAGAACTGATCTCATACACTGCAAATTGGCTTAATCGGCGTTTGTTCAAGGTCACACTAGCCTGGAGTGAAGACGATCATGGCCCTATCGGTTCTTTGGCTGGCAGCCTTGATTGGGTTGGCAGTAAGCCTCAATTTGCGAGGCAAACCTTCACTCATCATCCAGATCTCACACAGAGAGCCGCAGTACAGAAGATTGTAAGTCCCCCCTTTTTCTGCGCTCTACAGTTGTTTTTCTATATCGAAAAGGGAAAGAGTATAAATATTCGACCTTGGCTGACGATACCTACCCACAAGGTCTCATGGGACGAAAGGTCTCTTTTCATCAATGGAGAGCGAGTCGTTCTATTCAGCGGCGAAATCCACCCGTTTAGGTGAGGCAGTCCGCTGCGTTCCCCCATTAATTTCTCTCTTGATTCACAGGCTAGGTTGCCCATTCCAACCCTGTGGTTGGATTTATTCCAAAAGCTCAAAGCAGTGGGCTTCAACTGTGTTTCCTTTTACAGGGATTGGGCTCTTCTTGAGGCAAAACGGGGACATTACATAGCGGACGGTATCTTTGACCTAAACCCTTTCTTTGACGCAGCGAAGCAGACTGGAATCTACCTCATCGCCCGCCCAGGCCCATACATCAATACTGAGGTGTCTGGAGGCGGTTTTCCGGCTGGATGCAACGTGTCGAACGCCCTTTCCGCGCTAATAATCCGAAATATCTTGAAGCGACATAAAGTACAAGCTTTTATCCTTTCTTGTTACCTTTATTCCCTTCGCCTCGGCACCTCTTCTGACATGAGTTCCCATCAAGTTACATGAGAAACATGGTCAAGACCATAGCTCAAGCACAAATCACCAATGGAGGCCCCATCATCCTCTTTCAACCTGAGAACGAGTACAGTCTGCTGCGGAACAAACAACTCTTTCCAGACGGAAATTACATGCAATACGTCATCAACCAAGCTCGCGATAACGGCATATTAGTGCCAATCATTAGTAATGATGCCCATCCGAGCGGCCATAATGCTCCAGGGACTGGTCCTAGCGAGGTGGACATTTATGGCTACGATGCATACCCGTAGGTCATGCTCCCTCACTCTTGGCCAGTGGCTTACTAGGACCTCAGTCTAGGTTTCAATTCCGTAAGAGAGCCCCAGCTGGTTCTAGCGCATGAACTGCATGAACTTTGCTTGCAACAGAAGCTGACACTGCCCATCAGGCGCGACCGGAGGACTGGCCCGCTGGTAAATTACCGACCAACTGGGCAGATCTTCACCTCCAGCAAAGCCCAAACACACCATTTTCTATCCTCGAGGTAGGTCAAGCGCTCTTTCTACGTATGTCTTGAAACATATGAACTGGTTTCTTCTAGTTCCAAGGTGGCTCCTACGATATTTGGGGCGGGAATGGATACGAAAAGTGTGCAGAACTTCTCAACCAGGAGTTCACGAGAGTTTTTAACAAGAACAAAATCGCTTACGGAATCAACATCCTCAATATATACATGCTGAGTGGCTGCGGCATCTAGGGTAGCTTGTGACACTCATTCTTTACAGGCCTTTGGTGGCACCAACTGGGGGAACTTGGGTTACCCGTGGGGCTACACTTCTTATGATTACGGTGCAACTATCGCTGAAGACCTCACAATCACTCGCAAAAAGTGCGGCGACGCCAAGCTTTTGGGGTACTTCTTCTCCTCTATCCCGGCCTACAGGGAAGCTGTGCCGCGAAGAGCAACAACAGCGCTGACGGCCACTGCCGACCTGACCGTCACGCCGCTCTCTGCCAATGAGACTGGATTCTGGGTGTTGCGTCATACCGACTATTCTCAGCGGAAGAAGACAGAGTATGAAATCACCCTTCCCACAAGGACAGGTAACATAACGATTCCGCAGCTAGTTGAGAAGCTGACCTTGAATGGTCGGGATTCCAATATTCTCACCACCGACCTGCAGCTGAGCGGTAACACCAATCTTCGATACTCAAGTGCCGAGATCCTTGCCATCACGGAAACGGGTGGCTGGCAAGTCCTCGTCTTGTATGGCCGAGCCGACGAGCGTCACGAGTGCGCCATTGACATCCCGCGCAACGCAAAAATCTATGAGCATCGTGAAGGCGCTGGGTCATCCATCAAAACCAAGAGGCAAGGTGGTTCTCTTGTCGTCGCTTGGGATGCAGCAAAAGACCGTTCAATTGTTGACGTTGGAAGCACACGGCTGGTTCTGCTTGGTAAGTCATAGAGCTACGATGCAGTCTGTTTATGGTCCATTCACACTGTCGCGTTAGGGAAGGATTCTACCTACGACTACTGGGTCGTTGACTCGCAAAACTCTGGCCCGAAACAAAAGATCATCATCAAGGGGCCATACTTGGTTTGGAGTGTACGCGTGCAGGGTAACAGACTCGACATCTCGGCAGACTTCAACCAGATGACCACTGTAGAAGTATTCGCCGTGCCCGCTCAAGTCAAGGATCTATTCATCAACAACAGCGAGTTCAAGTACTCGGAACCCATCAAGGGCGTTTGGTCAACGAATGTCTCGTTCGAGGCGCCGCGTATCAGTCTTCCCGACTTTTCCACTAGCAGCTGGAAATTCATTGACAGCCTACCAGAGGTGAAACCCGAGTATGACGACGCTAGGTGGCCCGAGGCGGATTTGCGAGACTCGCACAATGACTATCGCGCTCTCTCAACGCCAAGTTCTCTGTATGCCGGGGATTACGGCTTTCATGCGGGCCTTCTAATTTATCGGGGACATTTTGTTTCCTCGGGCAACGAAACAGGATTGGAAATTTGGAATCAGTGAGGGTGGGCTTTTTCCAGCTCCGTGTGGCTGAATGGCACTTACTTGGGATCATCTAAGGTCAACGCTACAAGGCCTGACGCCAACACGACGTACGAATTCCCCCGGTTGGATCAAGGCCGCAGATACACCCTCACTATTCTTCAAGACAACCAAGGATATGAGCTTAACCCCTGGGTCGGGGACGACGAAATGAAGCATCCACGAGGCATTTTGAACTACATCCTTCAGCAACGGGAACAAGAAGCAATAAGCTGGAGAATTACCGGGAATCTGGGCGGAGAAGACTACCAGGATCGTGTCCGCGGGCCATTAAACGAGGGTGGTAGCTTCGTTGAGAGAAATGGCTTTCACCAGCCCGGACCACCGACTAAGGAGCGTTCATGGAGTAAACGGAATCCAATTACAAAGGGCCTTTCTGGACCGGGCCTTGTATATTTCACCGCATCCTTCGATCTGAAACTCCCCCAAGGGTGGGATGTGCCACTCTTTTTTTCATTCGCCAACGAGACAGTTCCTACGCCAGCTTATCGTGCGCAGTTGTTTGTCAACGGGTACAACTTTGGTCGTTACATCAATGAAGTGGGCCCCCAGAAGTCTTTTCATGTACCTGAAGGTGTTTTGAATCATCAGGGCGAGAACTGGTTGGGAATTCTCATCTGGTGTCAAGAGCCAGACGGTGTGAAATTGAATGGTCTCACATTGGAATACAAAATGCCAGTTCGTTCTGCAATGAAGAGGGTCGAGCCCATTCTCAACCAGGATGGAGTAAGAGAAAAAATGCCTATTAGTTTTAGAACTAGTATAACGCAAATTTCTATTTGTTACTCTAGCATATTTTTAAACGGTCTAGGTCTAATGGCATCAGGAGTGAAAAATGTCTTGATATTCTTTTCAGATTGATACAAGTAATTACCTGGTGATATGAATCTTGGAACAATCGCGAGATACCCTGGAATTCTGGTCCTCTAACAGCCCCACCAATCAGCGCGCAGTCCCAAGAGTTATCATCGTGGGGCAAAATGTTTTGAAACCGCCTCCTTAAATTTCGACTATCACACCTTCGCAGGGGGTGGATAGACTATTACTGCGTCCATGTCCGGTACCCGAACGCTTAAATAGACAAGACATGCTCCCAACTTTCTTTTCCTTCTCTACATTCATTCACCTACCTCACTTCACTCCTTTGACCGTTTTGTCTGCCTTTTTATTTTATTCCTCTTAATTGTCATTCATTACAATTCGCCGCTTTTATCTTCATTTTGACCTTATCAGACATGCACCCCTTCATTCTACTTACCGGTCTCGCCACCATCGTCCATGCCGGTCCTTGCCGGCCCCAGATTAGCAGGGCATCCGAAGTCCTGGTACAGTACTTCAAGCACACTTCCAACCTATTCAATTATGGTGTGGCCACTAATTCTTGGCCATCGTCGCAGACTACATCATTCACGGCTGTGGTTTCTACCACTATTCCTGTTTCGTCTATTACTACTACTGTTTCAGGCTTGCCTGCCCCTTCTCCCTCGACCTTGTCCGCGAAGCCTGATACTACCTCCACCCCAATCGTCCAGCCGGCGTATGGAAGCAACGTGGATACTGCCGATGATTTGCCTGCAGTGAGCAAGGTCCCAGGCCCGTTGGCTGATCGCAACGACAATAAACCCGCCGACTTCAAAGTGACTGGCAACTGGATCGCTCCATTTCACGGTTCCATCGGCGGTGACTATATTATGGTCAGTCACGCAGTCTCACAGCTGCTATGAAACTAATCGGGTTGCTAGATGTGGACGGGTTCCAACGTCACACTGTCAGGTTTGGGCTATTTCAAAGTCCGCTGGGAAGTAGCTTGGTTCAACTCAGTTGGCGAGATCCGGCCCCCAACATGGATAGGGCTGGAAGGCAAACTGTTCCACGTTGCATCCGGAGGCGGCCATCGTATGGATGATGAACGAAAATCCGCCGACTGCACCTGGGCGGGTTGTGACCAATGTACTTGGATGGGCTGTATCGACCGCCCTGACAAGAAGGATAGTCTTCCAGATGGCATGCAGCAAATGTGGCAGAACGAGTTCTACTTTCTCAACGGGACTGTGACGCTGAGAAATAACGAAGGCCCAGTTGACTATAACCTTGCTGTGACGCCGGTCAAATGGGAGCAGGTTTACACTGACATCCACGCTGGACCGGAGAGCGGGGCTATTCGATACGGCAAATCGCGGGATCCTACTGGCGATGACTGTATGTCGCTGCCTCTCCTTTGACCTTCTAGATGCATAACTAACTGCTTTCGCTTAGTGACACCAGTTCCGCAATATGCTACGTACACCATCACTAACGATACTATCTCCCAACGATCCGAACTTGTTCTGTCCTAGTGTTCTGGACTACATAGCTCATAATGAGATTGCGGAAAGTGAACATCATATCTCCTTCGGTTTAATATTAGTAGATGGCTACGTCTGTCAATGTATTTTCTTTCTAGCTATGTATTAGATATTAAGTTTGGCAATATTTGTTTGCTATTTTGAGAGCCATTGAGTTAGTAGAAAAGTGTCCTACGCCATTTTGGGCCACAGGGCAATCTCTTTATAGGGTACCTATGAGCGTAAGCCAACGACGTCCATTGGAAATGAGTTTGACGTTGAGTGGGATTATTCTCTCCGTGCGTGGTGCCTCTCTTGGCTGCACCCAACTTGAGCGCCCAGGCACCCATGGACAAATTGGTCTACTATCAGAAACGTGGTCTAGCAAAGGGTGCGTGGAGGGAGCATTGCCAAAGAAAAGGCATACACGGAATGACTTGGCTGCAAGGGGTAGCTTAATTTGGGATATCTTGAATAGTTTTACCACTAGGATAAGATATTAATATAATGCCAAGATAGCCGGCTAGGAGACCTAAGGATCCTAAGGCATATATACCAGGCAATATATATTATAAGCTTATATAAAGATCTTAGATGCACAGAGGCCTGTGCATGTAACAATTCCCTCTATAACAATCAGACCAGCGTCGACAGATGAGTTCCCGTGCAGGCAGACAAAGGAAATAGTAGAGAATTTCCTCTTCCGTTGCGTGAAATAGACGACATACCGTAAAAGAGATGCTTCAAGGGACAGAGGAAGTACATGCCAACCTCTCCTTTCATCTAGGAGGCAAGGCTGCATCAGATAGACAGAGATAGACAACGAACATAGATGCGATGCAAACCGCAATCAGATTCGCGATCGCTACAGGTCGCCTAGAAAATAGATGGTCCAATTTTCGCCAACCTAACAACACTAAATTAATACTAACTAATATCACCCTCGCGCCTTTAAATAGTCAATAGTAGGCATCGCTTCAGCCGCCAAAGATAGGAAATTGAACACTTAGAGGGATTGAGCTTTAATTTAACTTACTATATACTAATATTTACGAGGACAAGTGAGAAAACTGGTGAATAGATCAAAGAGAATAACGCTAGAACCGTATGGGCCTGTCGAGATCAAGGCAACAACCAGGGAGATGTTATATGTTATGTACTTTCGGCTTTAGAGCCCTTTAAGCATGGCCTGCCTGGCGTAATAGACTTGTGTGTGTGCAGGGGCGCTTAAATAGACAGCACATCCATGTGCGTCACAGCTACTGGCGACGGACCCCGCGGCGTCCGGCACTGAGGTTAAAACGGAGATGTTACCCATCTTCATTCTAGCGTTCTTTTGCCTCATCTTTCACTTATTTCGCTGCTAGGCATGACAACCAAGCCTTATCACATGGAGACGACAGACCAGAATCCCGAACCAGCCTCAGTTGCTGCTAGTATTAGTGATAAAACGGCCAAGCGAGCTGTAAGTGACAAACCTAGGCACCCCCCTTCCTTTCTCGCATAATGCAGATTGTGGATGAATTTATTTCTCCGTGTCATCATTAGGCCTATTTCCTCACCTTTGGCTCCGCCAAATTGACATGTTGGGAAGCTTCGTCACCAAACTCCAGATCGCTAGCACCTTGGTCCTGTGGAGGCAACGAACTGACTGAACGTCCATATGCGCGCTTTTAGTGTGACCAATGTCGATCCCGCAAGGTCAGTAAGACACGCACCTGATTCTCAACAAAGAAAAAGTTTATATATCGCCCGACCGCAATTCCTGTCCGAGTATGAATCATAATGACGTCTTTGCGATCTAGATTCGTTGCGACAAAGAATACCCATGTTACAACTGTCGTACCACCGAGCGCACCTGCACCACACTGATCCCAAGCCGCCGAAAGCCCAAAGAACCTCAACAACGAGTCCTCATTTCATCTTTGTAGTATGTGGACCCTGTCACTATCTTCCCATCCACCAAGCCATCTTCATTCCTCTCCATTGAATATCGACAACTGACTGAGGGTACTCTGTGCCGGTTTTTATAGCCAGCGGAAGATAGACCTGATCCAGATTCGTCTTGGTAGCATTGAGTCTGCTCTACGTGATCTCACCCCAAACCGTCTCACGCCAAATAACGTTCCATGCTTCCTCCACACTCCTCAGCATATCTCTGGATGTGGCACAGCTGCTGCATCCACCACGGGCTATAGCAGCTCAGACGATGAGTCTGCAGTCGAGGGAGACTCCGTCCTTGCGGAACAAACCAACTATGCCAGCGAGATTTTAAAGGATGCAGTTGACCGTGCTTCACTACAAGATGTCAACCCCAAGATAAGCGAAGCGCTCGAGAGCCTACGACGACTAGCGCAGCTTCAGTCGCTTCAGTCAATCAGCCACGGTCCCCGCTTCCCTCATCAGCAACGGTTGCCACCAGGCGGCCTCAGCCAGTTACAAATGCCTCCTGTGGATACTGTTATATCTCTGCTTAAGCATGTGAAAGGTGCAGCACCCCAGCCTACCACCTGCCTTTTTTTCTCTACCTCAATACTCATGCTAAATATCCATCCCTAGCCTCTCCGCCTGGCGTTTTCACTTTCATGTGTCATTTTGTGGGCATTCATGACTTTGATGCCTTATGCAGTGTAGCATATTTCCCCTCCCACCACCTCACGGATTCGACATTTATTATTGTCAATGCAGGGCTCTATTACTTGTTTCTTGAGCAGCATACCTCGGCCTCGGACAAGGCAAGCAAGGACGAATTCGAACCTTTCATCCATCTTTGTCGAATCAACCTCGAGACAGCCCTCGCAAACGTGTCACTCTTCATGTCAGCCAGGCTTGAAACAATACAAGCTCTCTTTCTAGGGGTAAAGCGGCATAACATACCTTAACAAATGTTTCCCTTCAGAGTAACTAATTCATGTGGGTAGTCTCTGTATGCTATTGACGTTTCTAGGCCTTCGGTTGCTTGGCTTCTTAATAGCGCAGCCGCACAGATGTGCCAAACGGCAGGTTTCCATCGGACTGAGCACCAGCTACGTGATCCGTTGGGATCTAGTACTAAGGCGGCTCCGTTTTGGCATATCTATACCCTAGATAAGACCCTAGGGCTTCGGCTTGGGCGCGCTTCGGTGATCCAGGATTGGGATATCAGCATCCTTCCTATCTTTAGCTCACAGGGCTTGCTAGGTGCCACAACAGCAGATGTGGAGAGGGCGTGGGTTCAAACCGCGAAACTGCAAGGCCGAGTGTACCAAGAGCTGTACGTGGCGTTTCCTTTTCTATACGTACCCCAGCAATCCTCTCGATAAACTGACAAGAAACGTAACAGATACAGCCCAGCAGCTTTACAACGCCCACATGATGAACTAATCCAGACCGCTCTGCTGTTAGCAGGAGAATGCCGTCAACTGGCGACTGAGGCTACACAGACTCGAGCAAAAGCCCTCGCTTCCCTGGAGAAGCTGGGAGTATCGCCCCTAGTCGACATCCACATCAAAAGTGATGAACTTCAACTGCTATCAACCATGACATTGATATATCGAGCAGTTCCCGCTCCTGAAGGATCACCAAGCCGATTCTGCGATGAATGCCTTGGCACTGCTCGACGAGCGATGGAAATGCATTTAGCTTGTGTGGAGCTTATCAAGCACGATGCATACGCCAAAGCAACATATTTTCACTGGTATGACCTCATTGACCTTCCTATTCATCCTGTCTCAGCAGTAGCTAATCTTGAGAAATAGGAGTCTGGTCCTCACACCATTCTCCTCATTCTATGTCCTATTCTGCCACATAATTGAGTCGCTGTCAGCAGACGATCTGAAACTCCTACACGACTTCAGCATTTCTATCCAATTAGCAGATAACTCTTCGCAAGCAATGCAGAGGCTCTGGCGGTTATGTCTTTTGATGAGCAATATCGCATCGTTATATGTGGAGGCTAAACTTCAGCAACAAGATCAGGACATGGGGTCCATAGGGGATGAAATAGATCTCTACTTGACGCAACTTGGGCTCAAACAGGAGGAGCTATCGATGACAACCACTTTTGCCGAGGGAAGCATGCCATTCCCTAAAAGTTCCCAAGTTAACCAAATGCAAGATTGGGCCATTGGGGACCGCAACATGCTTGGACTGTTGGAGCATGATATACCGCAGATTTCAGGAAACGAGTGGCCATGGAGGGGGCAAATGTAATATTAAGGCGCGAGATCCGGGATGATATGAGGTTGAATCTGCTTGGAAAATGACTGGGCATCTTTAACAGCGAAAATTACAAGTCAGATGGATAACTTTTCAAGAACAAGTTGAAACATGTAGCCTCAGTTCTGCCGAGTCCCTTTTCAGCCAGTGTTTGTTGCATTTTCCCCGCTCTACACTCAGTGTGGCCGGCGTGCTTACTATGCAGATACAATACAATACAATTTATTACGCCCGGCGGCTTGCCTTGGGCCAAAGGGCACCAGTCACTAATGCTAACATACAATGCCTGCATTCCGCCCTCGTCTCGTCAAGCCCATGCTGTGCCGCTCATTGCTCAATTTGTATCCGCATCACCTAGAGCCCATACTAAACCTTACTTTTCGCCATTTGATTTGAATGCCGTTTCCTAGAGCCCATTCTGCGCCTGTTCCTCAATTTCCCTTTCTTCTCTGCCCCGCTGATCCGTGTGTCTTCCCGTGGTTTGGTGATGTTGCCAGCGGACTAGCTTGAAGGTTATTCTTCAAGTGTCCAGTGTCCTATGTACGGCGACTGAAGCAGCGTATATGAAGATACAGTGGGGGGGCAATACGTTTCAATCCAAACTCAAGTACACGGTCCCCGACTAACGCAATTGAGAACAAGATACTCACATAGCAATATCTCGATCAGGAGTGATAATTGCCCGATGAAGCTAACTACATACCAAATAAAGCTGAAGCTCCATCAACGGGAACTAAATCACCCGAACTGATGCTTCAGTCTGGATTCAAGCTTATGCCATCCCACTGTATTCCCTAGATATGCCTGGGTCTACGGCATCCTCGGGCTCCGAGGCCTCCGATACTTGAGATCCAGTCCCGATTGGCCAATGTGGGGATGAGTCCACTTAATGGCCGCTTAAGTAGGACTGTTACTCCTCAAGCACACCCCCAATTTCTTGCCTGTGATAATGTCGGAGAAAAACTGTTCCAGATCATTACATGACTTTTCTGGTAAAGGCGCCGTGTAATAATACCTGATATGTTGGCTTATAGCCCCAGATGAAACGAGGTGAGGGGAGATTTGCGAAACCAGCGGGCTTGTGAGTTCGGTCAGTCTCACTAGACTGAGTTCCCGTAGTGTACATTGAGAGCAAACTAGCCCTGAAGGATTTCAGGACTTCAGATCTTCATCTAGCCATGGAAAACTTGCCGATCTTACTCCACAGCCCGCCCGTCCACATAGGTTTGGCTGTGAACAAGTTACAAAGCCGCGTGATGCACGTCGAATCCAGCTAGGGCTCAGTATAATTCTCACCTACTATCTTCCCCTCACCCAAAGCAATATACCTCACTCACTCCAACCACTCGCGACAGGCCATCGAGCCCAAAGGTGTCGTCAGGCGCATTCCACAACTCCTTCAGTAGCTCGATCCCTCGTGTGACAATCGCCATTGGAGGGTTGAACCCTCGAAGGCTAGTCAAAAGTTGTTGCTGTTGCTCCTCGCGCCTCGCATACGATCCCACGACAATCATCGGCCACCAGGTGGTGTTTTCCCAGGTCGTCCTTTTGACTCGATCGAAAATATCCGGCGTCTCGTCAGCTATCGGCTGGGTGGCCACTAGAAGACGCGCCTGGTCTTCCTTGTGGCGCAGAAATGCTGAGTAAAGGAAAACGAGAAGCGCATTCTGGATGGCGAAAGCTAAGGCGATCATAGGTGATTCAGTAGACTTCCGAACTCTCTCTGCCTCCTCCCGCGCAGCCCGGTCTTCTGGCCCTTCGTAACCAGCCAGGGCGTTATGTCACGCCTCAGTGTACTGGTACTGGGTCTCACACGTGTCCTGAGAATGCTGCCACGATGAGATGTTATACAGAAGCCTGTTGAATTCTGCTGCGCAACCGAGATCTCGGCCAGTCGAGATATCCAAGTCCCGGGTCGTGTAGAACTTGTGGAGAGCGGGATTCACTTCATAGAGCTCCGCAGCGCAGCCGAAATACGCACCGAACGTCTCATAGCTCTTGAGGAGCGTGAAGCGCCCTTCATGAATTAGTCTGACCAAGTCGGTAGAATCGTTGTCGCTCTTATCGCCGGGCCGAGGGGAGCATAGCACTGATAGGAACCGCAGGTATGCCGTGTGCTCAAGGAGGTGGGCGACTGACTCCATCTGACGGGCTGTGTGCTTCGACTCGAGGGCTCTCGCCACAGGGTAAATTGCGCGGAGATGAAGTTGGAGAGTTCCGTTGAAGTTTCCGCCGATGCACTGGATGGATCAGTTAGCCGTTGGTTTAAGGACACCAAGACGGTAACTTTTGCGTCAATACAAAGTCATAGTTCATAGAAGGCATATCCATTGAGCCAAGTACGACACAAACGAAGAAAGGGTAGGGGGAACTACGAGGCCGGCATAGCAAAAGAGGGAAATTGGAGCACGAGGTCTCACCTCGTGCTCTGCGAGCAAGCAAGTTACCAGCATCAAGCGGATTGTATCGTCGCTCACCGCCGAGCTGCTACCATCCCAATCCTTCAACGCCAGCCGTAGCCCGGTGATAGAGTGGAGGACATATCTAGTAGTAGCCTCCTCAATTGCTTGGTTGTTGGACATGCTAGCCGCCAAATGAACACTTCCCACCGCTAGCACCGCATTCATGACCAGCTCGTCCGACTCTGCAAGTTGCAGAACGGTGCTCTCCCAGATGTTTTTTGCGCCTGGTTTTTCCGACATCATCCGGTCACATGTATATTCCGTGTAGTACATCTAAATATCTTGCGATGTAGGATCTAGAGCCGCCCAGGTGCCGGATATGGCCGCGAGGAGGGGCAGGTTTGGAATGATTGAATATCCCTTTCGACACGCTCGGTTAACATATGGCCTAGGGAGTGGTGACTTGGAGAGAGTGGCCGACTTTGCTTGTATTTCTGTGACGTCTGGAGGTGCGCAAGACCGAGGTAGCTCGACCACGTCGTCCCATGGCTCTAAAATGAAGTCGGACAAAGACAAGGGCGGTGATGCCACCGACAAGGAGGTTGAAGCAGACGGAGAGCGTTCAGCTGGTGGCGACCAAGTAGGAGAAGTAGCTGACGCGTCGGACTTTCGCGTCTTGTTGATTCGACTTGATACCTGAGACAGACATTTAATAGCTTCTCTCGCAGGCGTATCGCCCTCAATGCCCATATTAAGACGCCATGCAAATTCATCAGACAGCGGCCACGGGCAAGGCAGGCCGAGTTCCTTACAGCTGGTACAGATGGGCTTCTCCTCGGTGCACTTCTTCCTCCTCAGGCGACAGCAGAGGCAGCCCATCTTGGATCGCGCGCGCCTGGGGCGAGCGGTCTTGGCGAGGGTCAGGGAGGCATCGCGCAAGATTGGTGGTTCACTGATCCGTCGGTGTAGCTTCTAGACTGGGATAGATGATCAATCACTCTGAGAAAATAGGCCGTCCATCCATACTGGACCTTGGTGGTGTCGTTGTTGGTGATACATACCACAGCTCTCGATCAATCCAGGTTATGCGTGTCACAACTCCGTTCCCCGCATTTCAAATCCGGGGTCCGCGGATCTTGGTCTCTAACCATGTCTGGTTTAGATATCCGCTGCAGGCCAAGCGGGAATTCGAGATTGGAGATAACCCGAGCACAGAGTACTTTGCTCCGTATTACAAGACTTCAGGGCTACGTCATAGTGCAAGGTACATGAAGCGTTGAGTGTCTTCTTCGTATCCTCCCGCGGTTCAAGACCGGGTCGACGATGGCGGCGTATCTCGGACAGGTAAACACCATGCTGATCTCGGTCGCTTTTCTCTTATCAGTTCCGGGCGTCTAGGTTAGAGATGGCGAGCGGAAGTTGGCTGGTCGGCATTGCATTTGCTCACTCTAGCCTCGGTCGACCGGTGTATAGCCATGTCCGCAGAAGCCATCACCGTCATGCTTCGGCATGTTGGTGACTCCCGACCAATGCTGCTCCACTAAGACCATGACACTTGATGTTTTGTTCTTGACGACGTACAACTTAGCTTCAAATACATCGTCTTTGCTGGCTTATGATGACTGCTTAACCTCACCGCGTTGCGCGCTTCACACGACGTTCGCTTGATCAACATGGTTTTCATTCCTCGCACCTTGTGCATTGCACTACTCACCGCATTATTGTCCTACCTGGGCAGCGCCAGTGCCTTCTATGACAGCGTACGGTCACTTCAGGATCGCATAGGCATTTCAGGCAACGCTTCACACGGCCAGGGGTCTTTGCCTTGGGCAGCTGCGGTGAGAACTATCCTGGACTGTCTTCTACCACACCACGAAGAGCTAACTAAAGCTAACTTTTAGTGTGAACTACTATCCTCAATTCAGCGTGACGAGACTCTTCTCCCTGGGACAGCTGCCTATGAAGGTGCAAAATCCAGATATTGGGATCGTTCCCAAAAGAACTCGAATCCTGGCTGCATCTTCCAACCACGCTCTCCCGAAGATGTAGCCCTCTCCCTCATCATCTTCCAACACACCAAATGCCCCTTTGCGATCAAGAGTGGCGGTCATGGTCAATGGCACGGCGAATCCTCGATCGATGCAGGTGTGACCATCGACCTAGCCCGCATCGCCCACCTCGAGTTGGATGAGAAGGCTCAAAGCATAAGTGTTGGTCCAGGTAATCGATGGGTGGATGTCTACACCGCTCTTGAGCCGCTTGGCTTGACGGTCGTCGGAGGCCGTTCTGCTTATGTGGGAGTCGGAGGATTCCTTCAAGGCGGTAAGTTGCGCAAGTTCCATCTTGCCGCGAGCGGTGCTAACCTGAACCAAAAAAGGTGGCATTTCCTTCCACTCAAACCTTTATGGGTGGGCGCTTGACAATATCAAGGAGTTTGAAGTAGTTCTGGGCAACGGTACTATTACTCGGGCCAGCCACACTGAAAACCCCAAATTGTACAAGGCTCTCAGAGGGGGTGGTGCCAACTTTGGCGTCGTCACCTCGTTCGTTCTCGACACTCATCCTTACACTGGAGGCTGGGGAGGGATATGGGCCACTACGCTGGACCACGAGGATGCCGTTATCGAAGCGTTCCTGGATTACGGGAAACAGGTGGAAGAGGATCCCAAGTCTTCATTCGTAGCTTCGATCCACTTCTACGAAGACCGGTGGATTTGGGCAGTTGATTTATTTTACTGCGATGGAGTGACTTCACGGCCCGCAGCTTTCAATCAGCTGTATGAGATCCCGGCGATCCATCAGACCGCGGGCCCCAAAAGCCTCTCTAAGAAGACCTGGGAGATGGCCCAGTCATACCCAGAGGGCGATTACAACACCATGTGGGTTTTCTGCACAAAAGTAGACAAACGACTGATCAAGGTTTACTCTGCTGCTTGGCAGCGTGAAGGTGGCAAGCTGGTTGATATCAGTGGCATCAGAATGACTGCGGTGGTCCAGCTCATTACAACTCCAACGGCTTCGTTCTTTAGCCGACGCGGCGGGAATGGACTGGGTCTTCCTGATAACGAACCGTTCCTGATGTTCAACATCGAGCCCCACTGGCAAGATGCCACGCAGAGTTGGCGTGTGTACCGCGCCATGAAGAGAGTGGCTGATGAAGTCAGTGCTGAGGCTAGACGTCTGGGACTTGCAGTCGATTACACATACATCAACTATGCCAGCCAGTTCCAAAACGCGTTCGGAAGATCATCTGAGGGAAGTCCTGCCGAGAGTAAGAAGTTTCTTGCAGAGGTGTCCCAGGAATATGACCCCCAACGGGTGTTCCAAGACCTGAGAGGCGCTGGATTCAAACTTGAGGGGCCATATGTTTCACAGGCTCCATGATGTTCTGTGGTACGGGAGGAACGTTGTCCAAACACAAGGATACTTGCATTATGTTGTTGTAAATGTTGAATTACGTGGACTATAATCGTCGACCGTTGGGTAGAATTGTGTGCTATTTAACTTGTATATTCTGTTGCTGTATCCCGCTCGCTGCTTGGGGTTTAAAGCAAGCTCTGTTTGACTTTTCTGTGCTCTATGGAACCAACTGGAAGCTTCAAGCTAAGCCTGCGGCAATAGGTGGCAACTGTCATCTTTGATGGCAATCATCATCAGCCTTTCAAGCTACTTCCATGAGCTTCTTTTAGACACTATCTAAGTATGTATTGCATTGGACTTGATAGTCCGTCCTTGTCGAACCATCTTCCTAACAATGACTCGCTACTCCGTGTGACTAGCTGCCTCATTAGTTGCTGCCATTTGATGATGATTGTGTTTTGAATAGGAGACAGGAGGACGGTATGAGTAGCGCCGCTATGGGTGATTAGTCGGTAATCCCGACATCAGTTTGGCGGCATCGGTCCACCTACGCATTGTTGACAAGGATATCAGGCAGCTAGCTCTCCGATCTGCTTCTTGCAAGATGCGATGCTCTTTGTAGAAGTTACATCCGGAGACACCACGAACATCCCACGTCTGTCGGCTCCTTCTACAAATGCGGGCAGTGAGCTGTCGCTAAGGCATGGAGGCCTGATAGAATTTCTGGTAAAGAATAGAAAGGAAGAATGCTACACATCGATTCTAGGCAGGAAATACAAGCACTAAATTCCGGTGAGGTGGGGCTTATCACACCTCTGCTATGAAATTTTGTATAGTGCGTAGCCAATACCGCCTGGAGTGCACCTGCGCAAGAGTGAGTACGGGATTCAACGAGAGGCTTCAGCCAATCGAAACTCACCCTGTGATGAGCACGGGTTTCTTGTCATTTTTGTCTGGTTCGCCCGAGTCTTTCCAAAGTTTCAAGTGTGTGTCGAGGGAGGATTCTTCTTGACTAGGTTTCGAAGGGCTCTTTGAATCTGGCGAACAACAGGCCTCCTAATCACATTCTCTTAGTCTTCGAAACCGCCCTTGGCGCTTGTTTCCCAACTGCCAAGCCTCTTTGACCTACTACATACCCTGGCCCCGAGCCGGGCTCCGCGGACTGCGCGACCTAGCCGCGGATTCCATGCCATTCCGGGCGCTTAAATCGTGGAAATCATAGAGGAGCACTCAAATCCTAGCATTCTTCTAGTTTGCAGAATTTAAGCGCCTTTATGCCAGTTAAAAGCCAAGCAGAGACAGCGCTTAAGAGTTACATATGGGCTTGCCTAGCCTAAGGGGCCTATATAAGCCAATAGGTAATAATAATAATAATAATATACTTAATATATTTAATAAGTATAATAATTAAAAATCTTAATTTTTATATTTTAAATTACTTTAAAGTTATTAAGAATTATTTAATTAATTAATATTACTTATATATTAATATTTATTTTATTTCAATATATGTATTCCTTTTTATATTATTATTATTTATCTTTATTAATTAAATTCCTTTTATTTTTTAATATTAACTTAATGTCTTATTTATATATTTACTATCTTTTAATTTAGCCTTTATTAAAACTTACTAATATATAATTATACTTATTTCTTTTTAAAATACTTTATAACTTAAATAATTAACTTTAAAGAGCTATTATAATACCTTTATGTAGCTTTTAAGGTAGTTAAAGTAAAATTAGGCCTTAATTACTATCTTTAGTATCTTTAAAACCTTTAAGGTTAAATGTTTAATCTCTTTAACGCCCCCAACGACCTCTCAGCAATATCCACGCTCTCGAAAATTACTCCTGTATCTGTCAGCGCCATGTCAATTCGGGCCCTGAGGTGCGGCTTGCGCTTCAGGTCCGCAATGACATCGCATAGATTCTTCAGGGTGATCCAGCCAGCCACAACCCGCTCGGTGAGCTCTCTCCGTGAGTCGCTCGGCAGCGCCTCATGTTCCCTCTGGCCCTGTGTGATGCGTGTCCTGTGAACGATCATCTGGGGGCTCCCAGATCGTTCAGCCTCCCTAACTATGCCCTTGAGAGTGTACGCGATCGGGCTCATCACGGCCGACAGATTTTTCAGAACCAACCCCATTAAGCCCCTGCCAGTCCCTTTCATGAAGCCAAACATGCCATTATCCTTCGCTCCACGGACTGGTAGACGTATCACGCCCGTAAACCCGTCATAGACGCCGAAGACGAACTCGTGACCCGCGGCACGAAGGCCGGAATGGTAACCCGTCACACGAAGGGGCCGGCGCACAGTGTCGTCTCCATAGAGGCGAGGAGCATTGTGAAAGCCCTGCCCCAGTGCCATTGCGAGGTCCACAGGTGCCATCAAAATGGCGGTGGCTACTCTTTCTACCTCCTTTCTCACTTTGCAAGCACAACGGTCCGCCTTTTCGCGGACCGTGGGGTGGTCGGCGCTTAGAGGCGTGGATTGTGTAGGATTCGAGGCATTCGCGTTGGCTAGATGGGTGAGTTGCTTCATCTTCCACTTCGCCTTGACCATCGAGTGGTGTGCCTTCTGCGCCAGATGATACGGAATGGCTCCGATCCCGTAGACAGCATAACCAACGCTTCTCGCAAGAGAACTTGCGACCCCCGTGAGGGGTTCGCCCGGACCCTCAACGTCATTCCACTCAACATACCGGAGAACCCTCAGGCGTTTCCAGCTTAGCAGCCCGTGAGCCACAAGTATATCCGCCGCCAGGGCGCTGAGCTTCACGTTGGTCCCTTTAATCTGCCAAACAGCCACCCTGTTTTGGAGAATGGAGCACTGCATGGCGCTAGAAGTCGCAAGATCTAGCTGTCGGTGGAAGTTCTGGACGGCGTTCACGCCTCCATCGCCTGCCTTTGCAATGTCCATAGCCATTCTCACCGCCGCCGCTTGAGCTGTCTCGGTCAAACAGTACTTGATGCCATCGGCCAGCTTGGCTTCATCTAGTTCCTTGTACGGAACAGGTCGTGGGCCAACTTGTACTTTGCTGACCATTTTGCCCCAGAAATACTGATCGCCAAAGAACGGCACAATCATGGTGGGCTTCCCAGATTTGAGAGCAATAGCCGTTGTCCCAGCGCCACCATGGATTACACAGGCTGAGACCCGTGGGAAGAGCCAATCGTGTGGGGTGTCGCCGAGCATGAAGATATCCGGATGATCCTCATTGTCAAGCCCAAGTCCGCCCCAGCCCTTGGAGATTAAGGCTCGCACTCCAGCCATCTCGACCGCCTTAAAGATCATCCGAGTAAACCGGTCCGCGTCATCGACGATAATAGATCCGAACCCGATATAGATGGGGGGCTCACCAGCGGCGAGGAAGGCTTCAAGCTCCCTTGAGGGCTGGAACGACGTGGCACGATCGAGAAAGACAAACCCCGCAATATCAATCTCGCTCCCCCAGTCTTCCGGCTTCGGTACCAGGTCCGGAGACCACAAGTACGTAAAGGGAATGTGCATTCGATATGCTGCGCCCACGGCCCAAACGGTCGAGACGGGGTCTAGCCGCAGTGTAGTAGTGCGGATTTCATTTACCAGGTCGCCGAGTCCCTGCCAAACCACCATCTCCACCAGCGGATACGAAATGAAGTTCGTGTACCCGTCATCCATATCAGAATTCTTAATACAAGTAAGCGGATGGGGGAAAGCTTGGGTTGGGGTATAGGGAAATGTGAACATGATATGCAGGGGGATTCCCAGTGCCTCAGCGCAATGAACATGCATAATACTCGGCGGATTAGCGATGATTGCATCCGCCACGAACGGTTCTTTGGTGCCCCAAAGTTGATCGCCGTCCGTGGCATCAATGCATGCACGCCAGAACCCGTCAAACATCTCCGCCATAGCCGCTCGTCGCCGGCTGACATCCCCTGCCATGATGGTCTCAAAACTAGGGAGCAGACCTGGATTCTTAACCATAAAGGCCATGAGCTCCGCTGGATTGCCACTGACAGAGAAGAATTCAAGGCCAGAGTCTTTCTCCACAAGGTCGCGGAACACCGGGTGCGTAGCGATGCGCACGCGGTGTCCATGCTCCTCTTTGAGGATTTTCCCAATCTTTAGAAAAGGCTGTATATCACCTCGGGATCCAACGATCATGATGACGATGTTCAGCCGCTGTCGCGTCAAGATTTTCCTGGGATTCGCCGATGCCGAAGGATGCGTGGTATCATGTTGTATCTTCTCGCCACCCTCTCTCGTGCTGGTCGTGCTCAAGGTGGTGCCCAGGGCGTTGACGAGGTAGCCCGTATAAGCTGTGTTATCGAGTGTGATGCGTAGCCGCCCATCCTTCTCTATTGCGCCGCTTCTATGTCGATTCTTGCTGCCAATGTTGAAATTCTGATGACTATCCTTTCCGTGGTCGCTGAGGGTAAGCGGCTTTGCTTCTCGCCAACCTTGGCTGACCTGTCTTTGATGCTTGGGGCACGCATCTTCCTGGTTTGAATTCAATGCATCTGCCCGCGGCGGCGAAAGGCGTTCTGGCAGCGAGTTTGTCCGAGTAGCTCGCGGGCAACGCTTCCGGGGCGTGGTTATTGAGGATAACAAATCGGGCTCAGACCTCTGTCTGGACTTCCTAACTGATCCCTTACGCTCTTTTTCTTTTTCTTTTTCTTCTTCTGCTACTGCAACTGCATCACCCATCGCTTTTATTGCGGTGTCAGAGACGTCATGAGGCTCGTCCGAAGGTAGGATGAAAGCCGGGTCCGCGAACTGATTGCTCTCGTTGAATCCATTGACCCGGAGGCCGAAGTTCGGTCTCATTTCTCCCGTGCCGGCTTCCTCTTGTGGTTGCGATCTGGCGACTGTCGCAGATCCGGGCTGTTCGCAGCTCGGATGTTGATTCATCGGGTGTTAGTCAAGGGGTTTGTGGACTTGGATCGCCAAAGGCATGTAGATTGATCAGCGACTAAGTTGGTGTATTATGGAGACTGGGCATAGATACAAAGTACAAATATATTGGAGAAGTAATGGAAGGAAGCAAAGGCAATAGATGATGGAGCAGAGGGAGAGTATAAATTTTCATTATTCCGCCCAGCACGACTAACCTCCTCAGCACAAGAGAGAGTACTCGTGCGAGACTCTCCACCAGGACGTTAATGCGGATAACATCAGTTTGCAATTTTCTCTTAGAAGTACAGCCCACTAAGCAAACTTCTGCCCTCCAAATTGGCAGGTCGCGATCCAGAATCGGCCATTACGTCATGCCGAAGTTGCCATAATTACTAGGTTGCCGCGGCCGTCCCTTAGTGCGATACTTCGGAGTTTCCGGGTCTCCGGGATGCGGAGTTTCGGCCTCCGAATGTCCTGACTAGTGGCAACCTCCAGGGTTGACCATTCTCTTGCGACGCAGCGCTGTCAATTCTGGACGGAGCGAACAGGTAGAAGCTTTTCTCGGTGCATATAGAGCAGTCGGGTAACCGATCTATTTATGGTAATTGGCGACGAGTAGTATGAAACGGCAGGGGGAAGCCGACGACAAGGGCAGCTGACGATTTAAAATAAAAGAGTTGGTTTTCTAGCTCATCTGGCTAGACTAGCGCCAAATGGACAAGCGCAGTACGTTTCTAAAGGGGCAAACTTGGGGTAGAGATGTTATAGGTGTTGATTGGACAGAAAGGCGAAATGCAGTGCGTTTCCGCCCTACATGTTTAAGTAGGATCACAGCTACCTTATTATTAACCCTACATGGCTCTCAATACCGCATCTTCAGTCGACGAGTTGACGTCTCTTGAAATTTTGTAGTTCCTGGTCAAAGTCTGCCAAGAACTCCCGACTGCTCCAGGGGGTGATGTAGGCGTCCGGCAAATCCTGCTGCAACTACTTACCTCGCGAATAAATCTCCTCGCCATTTAGTTATCCATATTTCAGCCCTCTTTCATTCATCCACTTTTCCATCGCAAGTTCATACAGTAAGTCACCCTGCATCGAAATATCTCTTTATTAGCTTTAGTTAGGATAGTTTGGTTGCCATCTCTCAGTCAGGTTACCTACCTCCCTAATTACCTAGTATTCCTAAGGTTAGTGTTATAGATAAGTTAGTCCTTGTAGCACGTGGCATTGCCTTGCCTAAGGTTATCCTACTTATAGTAGGTGAGATTATATTTAGGATAGGTTATTTAATAGCTATATTTTTAATATATAGTATTTTATAAGGAGTTTATAAGGCCTTTTAGTTAATAGCTATAGGTACTAAAGTTTTTTAGCTATTATACCTTATTAAGGTATTGTATAAGATAAAACCTTAAAAGGCAGAGTATACATAAATAGATAGAGCAGAGTTATATGCTAAAAAAGTTATAAAGGTACTTTATTAGCAGAATACTATTCCCAGGGCTCTAGGTGCTTTGCTATATTTCCTTAAACCTATAATAACCTTCTTTAAGAGGAATATCATTATCTGAGTCCCTGCTAATAACAGGATATATATAATATAATATTAAGAGATAATAATATAAGCCTAGACACCAAGGCCAATTAGAGGGCCTAGATACTATAAGTCTCCTTTACTTAAAATAGTATATAAGGTTACTTTATTAAGATATAAATATATAAATTTATTAATAATTATTTTAGCCTAATTAAGGTTAATCTCTATACTTACAGGGGCAACTATATTCTTAAATTTATTATTAACTTTTTTAATATATAAAATCGAGCTAGATGCTAATTATTTATCTGGAGATATAAAGTAAGCTTTTAGCTTTTTTTTAAAAGGTATAATTATAAGCTTTAGATACAAAGGTGTCTTATTTGGCAATTAAGTCTTATCTTATATATATAAAACAATTAAATAATTACATGTTTCTAGCCTATATATATACTATATATTTATATATTAAAAGCTAAAAGCTAAAGTAATTCCGGTAAGTACTTCTTAGTTTTAAACTACTTATAAATGCTTAAGCTATAGTCTGTAATATAACATACCTAGTAGGGTATATAGGTTGTGCTATAAGGGACTTTAGTATAATAGTAAATATATATAACTTTAAATTATTAAAATATAAGTTTAAATCCTGCAAGTCCTATACTTCTGTACAATAAACTTTATAAAGTGCTATTAAGAACGAGCGAAGCACTAGTAGCGCAAGCAAGTAAAAAAAATAATAATGTAGTACAGTATGTATGGCGAACGGGATTTGGGAGATGCTTGGCGCATTTAGCTGGGCTGGCGCTAGGCTTGGTATAGGTATATCTATCTCTGCCTCTATTATTAAGGACAAGCCAGGATCCAACGAGCTTGGGGATTGTCTTAATCCAATAAGAAGGCAATACTAGACTATATTAAATATAAACTCTATATTAATATACCAGAATACACGGGCCACTTAGGCGGGCTAGTTATATAACACTATCTCTCTTAGGATAACTCTATTATAATAAGGTTATTAAACTTTAACCTAGTTATAATATTATAATTTAGATAAATATTAATTTATACTTTATGTAAATACTTTTTTAAATAATATATCTTACTATATATTAATTTATATAATAAGCTTATTTTATAAATAAGTAAGTATTATAACATATTATATATCTAAAAGTAGCCTACCTTATAATATTCTAAAGATTAAATAAAATAATTAAAATTAAAAAGCGTTTTTTTATTTTTATACTTTCTTAGTATATAAGTATTGAAAAAGGAATATTATTTATATTTAAATCCTTAATAGGTATATAATAAACTATATAATTTATACTTTATATAGTTATAAGTTATATTAATAACTTAATTTTTAATAAAGTTATTTATTATCTTAGACCCCTTTAATTTAGGAATTTATACTCTTATTAATTTAAATTAAGAAGCCTATATAACCCTCTTATAAAATAGCCTAATAGTTATAAATAGCCTTATTAGTATTTTACCTAGACTTAAGTAAATAGCTTAAATACTATTCTTATTACTTAATATAATTACTTTTATTATAGCTATAAAAGAAGCTAAGTATATTAACCCTTTATTAATTTTTAAATACTAGCTAGTTTTTATTATAAAATTAGCTAATAAGCTTATATATAAGTAAGTAAAAGAGTATAATATTAAGCTAATAGTCTTTTGAGCCTTTTATATTAGGTTTAAAAAAGCTATATAATAAATTACAATAAGATTGTAATAATATTTTACTTAAGAATTTACTAATAGCTTCCTTAACTTTTAGAAATAATAGCTTTTTAGTAATAAAACTATATCTAAGCTAACATATAATAGTATTGCTACTGCCTTACTGCCTGCTGCCTATAGCTAGCAGACCTAATAATAATAATAATAATAATAATAATAACCCTATTAAAATAATTTACCCTGTTATTATAGATAACGTATAACTACTACCTTACTTTAAGATAATTTCTTTATTTTTATTTACCTTAAGAATAAAGCTTTAATTAAAGCTCTAAGTAGTTATATAATTTAAACTCGTATTTAAAAGAAACTTAATACTATCTTAAGGGCTATTAAATTATTTAAGTTAAATTTATATAAGCCGTCTTAATTACTAATCCTAAAAAATATAGCTTTTTAGTAATAAATAGGCTAAATAGGTAGTTAAACTAAGAGATATAATAATAAATATAAATTAAAAATACTTTACTTATATAATATTAAACTTTCTTATAAAATAAATTAACTATTATAGTAATAAAGTAAATAGTAATAGTATTATTAGTAATAAAATAAAAATCTAAATTAGGCTTAAGCCTATTAATATATAACTTATATAATATGTTTTTTATAACCCCTTAATTAAGGTTTTATTTATATTGTTTTTAAAGCTAATAAAGGGATATTAATCTCTTTTTAATAATGATATAGCTAGACTTTTTAATAAGTCTAATTATCTTAAATAGTATAAAATATACTAAGGCTATTCCTTTACTTATAACTAATATAAATAAGTAATTTATTAATATTATAATAAGGCTAGCTATTTTATAAATAATTATATTATATAAAAATAATATATTAACTACCTAGGCCCTTATTAGGCTAACTATTATAGGTACCTATTTTGGCTAATAATAATATATTAATAATAATATTAAGAATTATATTTAAAATTATATTAGAAACCTAGTAAAATATAGCTAAGTAATAAAGTAAGGATATTATAATTATGTAAATAGTTAAATATATATACTCTTAGCCTAGTTATATTTAAAGTATTTTTATATATTATAATAATTATAAAGTAAGAAAAAAACTTAAATAACCTAGGCTAGGCTTATTATAAAAGTATTAATTATTTTTATAAATTACTTTTATAAATAAAAATAAAAATATTTAAAAATATAAAAATAATAAAAAACTACTTAGAATCTTTTAACTTAATATTTATAAAATTCCTCTAGCTTATAATTATACTTTAATATTAATTAATCTAAAAGATATTATACTTTTATAAGAGCTATAAATAGGTTATATAAAAACTTACTTTTTAACTAAGACTTACTTAATATATAATATATTTATATTAATTAGTATATAAAATAATAATAATACTTACCTTAAAGTTATAATATATACTTAATAAGACCTAAAACTTTTAGTTATTTAAATTTAGCTCTTTTAGATATATAATATTCTTTAGTTTATAATTTATAATATAATTATAATTAAATTTTAGTATTAAAATAATAAAAAAGATGTCTTAAATATATAGCTTTTGTAATTAGTTTTAAAATACTACCTTATTATTAGTAATTTTAATATTAAATATTATACTTAATAAATAAGCTAAGTTATAAATTATAGCTAAGAAATAGTAAGATAAGTATTAGAAAATAACTTTAATTTCTATAATATTTTAAATATATTAATAAACCTATATTATAATATAATTAATTTTACCTATATTAATATACTATATGTTAAAGCTATTACTAAAGATTATTTTACTATTAGCTTTATTTACTTTATATTTAACTTAACTTTCCCTTATATTAAGCTAGCCTTAATATAATTAAATAAGATTTAAGGAATAATAAAAGATAAGTTTAAATAATTTATTAAGATTATATAGCTTAAAGTAATAAAAATCCCCCTAATATATTTAACCTATATAAAGCTAAATACGCTTATATTTTTACTTATAACTCTATTAATATTAGTAGTAAAGGCAGCTAGCTAGCCTAAATAGAAAGGCAGATATCTAGCTCCCTGGTAAATAGAGGAGTATACTAGTGATGCAGCTATTTTTTAAGATATTAGAAGAAGCTCCTCTCTAGGCTTTAACTAAGAGGTCTAAATCGCCAAGAGAGACTTTATTATATAATCTATTAGGTTAAGAAGCAGTATTAGCAGGACCTTATTAATAGCTTCTCTAGCAGTAGTGCTGTTTTTAAAGCTGCCCGGTAGCTGAAATGCCCAGGAGCCTTTCAGCCTCCACCCTTACAGGTCGACAACGTTGTGTACGAAACCCAGATGCTCCGAGACAGCTGGGGTCCCGCGGACATCCGTAAACGACGGAAGTCTACCGACCCGGCGCCGACCTAATCGGTGGGCCCCGAACAACAAAGATCTCTTGCCTATCTTGGCTAACATACTTAGCATACTTACAAAGATCAAGGAAGGCATGTTTAAAGGGGGCAAGGTCTTCAGGGGTATTGATTATTTACCCTAGGACCTTTTGGTGTGTCGCTGACTAAAGCGAGGAGGTAAATACTCGATACTGTCTTTCTCCTCTATATTGCTTTATGAGGCTAAACTGATTCTTACTCATGCTAATTAAATTTTAATATCCACAGTTATCCACGTTCACTGATGTACTTCTTTGAGAGACCCCTTCCATGCGTTGACCGGCGTTACCCACTGGCCCAACAATATATTAGAGTTTCAAGGCGATAGACTAGGCATGTCGCATGGCGACGTTAGGCAAATATGGGATGCCAAGGAAAATGGATACGTGCGCATGGAACATCATGCGACTGTCAAGGTTCGTCTAGTGTTCTATCATTGTTTTCGGGCTGTGTGACTGTCGTGATTTGCGTCCCCGCGAGGAGTCAGAAGATACTGCAAAAGGCTACATGAACGTTGATATTCGACGTTCTCGTCCCTCCTGGAAACCGTTAAAATTGGAAATGCGCTATCGTTTGGATCAGCAATCCTGAACAGCCTCAACTTGAGGGAATCTCTACCTCGGCCCACGGCGGCTGGAAAATATGGGACAAGGTGAATGCGTGGAATGTTGGTAGCGACGCTTTCAGGGTCAAGTACTTCTAAGATATCAAGCCTGCCGGAAGGCACTCTCCCGACATTACCAGCGATGATGGCGGCGGCTTCGCCCCTCTCGGTCAATACGAACTCCGCCCGACTGCAGCGATAGCCTCGATGATAGGTACCTCTAGGTGTATTTAAGCCTATCGCACCCCACCGTACGCCTGCCCAGTTACCATGAATACGCCCGCTCGTCGTAGGTTCACTGGCCCCGAGCAACGGCCGCTGCATTCTCGGGCGGAAAATTCCACGGCGGAGAAGCCATCACTGTTCGAGATATCACAAAGGAGCACATTACTAAAATACCATTAAGCCTATATCTGGGCATTAATTAATAATAGATAGAAGAAGAAGCTGAATAAGTATTATAATAAACTTAGTAAATCTTCCTTATTTATAATAGTAATAATTCTTTATTTTAAGTTTAGGATTAGCTAGCTAGAGGCTATTAGGGTCTTTAAGGAGTAACTAGACTAGGTTTATAATAATAAGGTTAAAATTAAAAATTACTTTACTTATTAGTATAACAAGAGCCAGGGATAGTATAAGGAAATATAATATAGTGCTAAGGGCAATAGGTTAAGAGGATAACCGGTATGCGTAATAGATTAATAATAAGATAAAGAAAGCGTTTGCGAGGTATAGTAGTATTGGCAAGCTTAAAAGGTATTTCTATCTTAAGCTATAAGATATATAAGATGCTATCCAATAGTGGAGAGACTATAAGGCTTTATTTCCTTTATTAAATAATTATGCTTTGAATAGTTTTGCTATTCTAGCGATGGCAAGTGATTGCAGGAGGCAATTTACCCTAGCGAAGCTGATGCTGACGCTGACGTCTCAGAGGCTCTAGATGAGCTCTGATACATTAAACGCGTTTAATATCTCAATCACTGGATAAGTCAGGGCGGAGTACAGTTGGGCAGCTGGATGGGTAGCTGACTCCTGGTGTACACGAGGGGGATGACTTTGCGTAAAGGTTTTTACTCACGGGATTAATATAGGGCACCAAATAAATCAAATAAATCAACTTTGGGCTCGAGGGCCGTCCATCTAAACTCAGGCACCAGCACAACTAGTCGGTCTAGTCGGACTTAGGCACCAGCTTCCTGCAGCAATTTCAGTGTTAAAGCGTGTTATGTAGCTACTGTATCCTCTGCATTAGTCAATTGTGGGTTAAAACTGGTAAATCTCTGTCTTTATCAATGCCCATAAATTCGTCATAGGGTTCAAACATCTGTTAAAGCTAATCAATTTTATAATAAGATAAAAGATGGTTTAATACTACACCTCTAGGTAATATTAAGGGCTACTTTATTTTAAACTTAACTTATATCTAAATCAGAGTGTCTTGTTTCAGTGCTTTTCTCGGAAAGATTAGAAGGATTGTACCGCATTAGGTCCGTTGCATAGCAGTTGCAAGAAATGTAATTTAACAAGGATTAGAAAGTATATTTCACTAATATTAACTTTGTTAGTTTTATATAATTAACATAAGGTTCCTTTTAACAGGGTAGGTTTAAATTACAATTTTCTAATACGAGGTTCACTCTGTAATTAGGTATAATACAAATTCACCGCCTTTGGACCGCTTTGAGAAGTTGCAAGTATTTAAGACAACCAACTCGCTGTTCTTCGTAAATCTTTCTAGTCACATCTGCTATCACTATCACAATCATCACTACTATACTGTTATTAACAATTATCACCACTTTTGCTAGCTGGTAAGCTGGACCATATCACCATGTTCGCGTAGCCCACAGCTAACTCAAGGACTCCAGGAATGAAGCTTCTAGCAGTTGTAGCCACGGCCTTAGCCATCTTCTCTACCGCTGAGGCCCAGACTATTCAGGTCGGTTGTCGCGCTCTTGATACCAAGAACGACGGTCTTCTGACTGAGCTTCTCCATAACCCATCAGCCCGTGGGGCCGCCGACTCAGACCTGCGTTATGGATTTTGGGATGCAAGGTGGCGAGAGTGCTGCAACAGCTATAAATGCGAAAGATACTACACGTTTAGCTACAACCACCCATATCCTTGGGCCTACAAGCAGGGCAGGGCAACTATTCGCGGTCAACAGTTCGACTTTGCTTGCGTTAACTGGCGTACAGGAGCCTGTAAATGAGTAGGATCGAGATATTGGTTGCCTTTATCAAGACACAACTCCCACTCAGGTATTCTGGTCGGTGACAGGGCCTACTATGACGTGTAGGCTAACCAAAACTCTGGAAATTAAGATGGATTTTCGATACTCGTGATGGGCACCGTTCCATGATACGGTGATCCGCGCCACTCGCCGATGCTGAATTCATCGCCAATGGAGAAATTGGGAGTCATTGGTAGATTGAATAACTAGTCAATTTTAATTGCAATCTCGTTTTTAAATATCATTTATCTCTTATCTTCGAGTAGGTCACCTAGGAATTACCTTCCATATAAAGAGACTCTAAGTAACCTCATCTACTACTCTGGTGTCAAACACCAGTTCCATTGATAACGGGCCTTGGCTTCCATCGATGGAAACCGCACTCAGACCATTGGAGAATATTGGGAACGAAGTATCACAACCTGAGCGTCTTTCTTTGTTACAGAAATAGACCGTGCTTGCGGGTCTGTCTCTCCAGCAGCCATGGGCTCATTCATTTCTTCCAGAGACCAAACGTGAAAACGGCTCGTTGGCCCATTATACATTACAGCGCTATCTTCTCCAATACCAACCTGAAACGAGATATCGTTTTCTGAAGCTTGATAGGCAATACCAGTTGCTGTGGAGCTGGAGCTTATCGTTGGGTTGTTAATAGAAGGAGCTTGAGCCAGGGCCGAACTCTTCTTGGGGTGTGGTTGAGGGTCCTGAACATTTTGCTCTTAGGGCCTAGATGAAGTACTACGAGGATTACAAAGAGACGCTTTAAACCGTTTAAGGCGATTATGGGCATATAGCAGTTGTGACTTAGCCAAGTCTTAGAACACGGAATATGGCTAGATTAAGCCTAAAAATATAGTAAATATATATAATAGTAATATAATAGCAGGGTTTAATAAGTCTTGTATAAGTATTTTATAGGTTTTTATAGGCTATAATTAATTAGTTATTTATAAGGCTTAAATAGCCTTATAATTAATAGCTCTAATTTAATAAAAAAGATAATATTAAAAGGTATTTAGTTATATACTTAGAGCTTGTTTATAAAGGCTATTACTATAACTAGCTATACTTAAAACTAGAAATTATCTTAAAAGGAAAAAAGTTATAAAAGTATTGGTTTTTTAATAAATTCTAATTAGTAGGGAATTAGTATTATATTATATCTCTAAATAATTAACTAATAATTATATAACTCTTAAGTAATTAAAAGATATTTATTTACCTTAAATAAAGCTTTATAATATATTAAATATAAGAGTTATTATTTTAAATAGTTATAAAAGCTATATATAAGTAAATCTTTTTAAGTTTTAATTATAAAGTCTCTTATTATAAAATTATTAATAAGTATTTAAGGTAAGTAAATAGCTATACACTTTTTAAATTCTTAATTTAAATTATTACTTTTTACTAATTTTACTTTATATATTTTTATATATAAGATTACTTAGTTATATACTTTATTATATATATTTAATTAATTACATTATAACTTAAGTAAATTTAACTTTTACTAACTAACTTATATAAAACTTAATATAATTCCTTTAATTCTAACTTTAATAAAATTTCTATAAAACCCTATCTTTACCTTATATTTATCTAACTCTCCTTAATAGCTATACTCTTATAGTTTAAGACTATAACCAGGCTAGTCTTTACTAATATAAAGGCAGCTCTCTAGTAATATTAGCTGCCCTTATAGATATATTAAGAAGCTACTTTTTATATATAATTAAGTTACTTATAAAGGCAGTAAGAAAAGCTACTTTATTTAATTAAAGAATATAAACTTCTATTAAGGCTAGTTTTAAGTTTTTAAGACTTAATAACTTATTACTAATTTAATTTAAATTAATTAAATTAATATAATATCTTTCTTTTATATAATTAATTAATTAAATTAGGTTATAATTAAGAATAGTTATTTTAATATAATTAAATCTGCTTTTTAATAAGAAGTTTTTTATAATAATAATAATAATTATATATATTATTTAAAGGTTTTTTTATTAATTACCTTTAGGGCAGGCCTAATACTTAAATAGAAATTATATTTAATTATATAATAATTAAAATTATATAACTATAAGTTATTTTATATAATAAGTATTAAAATAATATAATTATTATAATATTAATAATAAAGGTTAAAAAATAAAAAGTTAAATTAAATAAAAAAAATTTTAAGTTTATAAGTTAGCCTTAAAAGGTATATCTAAATATCTCTAGAATTTAATAAAATTTAAATATTTATTACCTTTATAGCTAGTAAAGCTTTATTAAGTTAAATGATTATAATTAGCTGCCTTTATTATAGCCTAAACCTAGCTATATATATACTAGCTAAAAAGCCCTGCTTATTAGCTAGCCCTAACCTTTTTCCTATAACCTACCTAAAAGGCTAAGATACTTTAAGTCAGTTTTCAGTATAACAGACTAAGGCCATAATTGCATGCCTACTCTTTCATCGACCTCTGCTGCCACGCTTCTATTATCTATCACGCAGTAAGTCATCTAACCTAACTTCTAACCGCAACCGCTAACAGCGTCACAGCTATACTATTACAATGCCTATTTAAAGAAGCCTATAGCTACTTAATAAGGCCTTTTATATTAAAATGCCTAACTTAATCCCTTATTTTATAATAGCTCTAAAAGACTATAAATATAATAATAAGCTTTATATTATATTAATAAATATTAAAAAGATTTAAAATAAAACAAATATTATTACTTTTATTAAATAAGCTATTTTAAGCTATAAGGTTTTTTTACTTATATATTATTATAAAGAATTAATAATTTTTAAAGGCTATTTTAAGGAAGGGATTAAGCTATTATAAAAGCTAAAATAATTCCTTATAATAAAAAAGCTTATAAAAATAAGTAATAAGGAATTTATTAAAGACTTTAAATTAAGGATTTTAATTAAAAACCTATATAAATAATAGCTTAATAATATAAAGGAATAGTTAATAAAGCTAATAAAGGCTATAAAGCTAATTAAAGCTAATAAAGACTAGGCTAGTTATAGTTTTAAATTATAAAAGTATAAAATTAAAAGGAATAGTATATTATAATATCTAAAATAGAAGTAAGGTAATTATAAGATTTAAGAAAATAAAAGAAATATATTAAGTTTTATATAAGTTTAATTACTTAATTAAAATAGTAATTATATTATTAAGGCAAATAAACCTTATTTAATTTTAATTTTTATAATAATAGCTTAATATAAAGGTCTTACTATTTAAATTATTAATAAAAAAGCTAAAAAGTTTAATAGCCTTATATAAAGTTAATAATAAGAGGGAAAAAAAGAAATTCTTAATTTATAATTTCTAAGTTAGTTAGAACTAGAGATATTATTAAATTTCTAAGAAATTAGCTATTTTTAATATTAATTTTTAGCTTAAATTAATAAGTATTTTAATAATAAAAAACACCAGGCTTATAATACTAATACTATATTAATTATTAATATAATAGTAAAGAAATACTATTTTATTATAAACTAAGATATAATGGTTGGGGTTTTAAACAGAAAAGCTAGTCTATACTAGGTTTATAATTATAAGTTATATAGGGCATTTAGACTAAGTAAGTTAGGTATTATATCTCTTAATAGTTAAGTAATATATATTAGGCTTATTAATATACTGAAATCTTATTAATAGCTAGTTAGCTAGAATTTATAAAAGTATTAATAAATATAATTTATATATTAAGTATAATTATAAAGTAATTATTAAATTACTAAGTAATTCTAGGAATTACTAATAATTTTAGTATATTTATTATAACTATATTATAGTAATTATAAATAAAATCTTTTAGTCTATAATAATTATATATACTTAGTAGAAATTTATAAGATGTATATAACACAACTGCTAAGATTGTAATATAAAAGGTATATATACTATAATAATATTAATTTACTATATTATAACCCTCTTTTTAAATAATTATAATTAACTAAATTTAGGACTAGGATAAAAGGGTATTATAAGATAAGAGATAAAAATAGCTTAAGATTAATATATAATTACTATTAATAAGTAATATTAAAAGTATTTTCTTTATATTACTTGCTTTTTTAAAAGAAAAACATAATAAAGATAAAGAATTAATTAATATTATAATATTTTGTTTTTACTTTACTTTTAACCTTATAAGAGGCTATGTAGCTATTTAGCTTTTTTATTAATAATTTAAATAAAAAGACCTCTATAGCAGGCTATTATAATAAAAGTTAATATTAAATAAGGTTATCTGCCTTAATAATGTAATTACTGCCTTAATTAAGTAATATAAATACTAGCTATAAGTTTACCTCTTAATAGCTAAATTAACCTTCTTCCTTTAACTTACTTAAAAGACTACTCCTTAATTAGGCTTTATAATATACTATGCCTAATTTATTTATTATAAAATATATTACCTAACCTAAAATTTCCTTTATTAAGTATACTTACTAATATTAATTATAATTACTATTATAATACCTATTTATAATAGCCTATAGCCTAATTAAGGCTATTATATAACTAATTATAATCTTATTAATATAATTAAACTAGCCTTAAAGTAAGCTATAAGTAGAAATTAATATATATTATATATAATAACTATAATTATTAAAAAGGAAATCTAGCCTAATTAAAATAGCTATTTTTAAATATAACTTACTTAAGTTAATTAGTTATATAAATTTAAATTACCTAAGAGATACAATATTTCTAGGTTAAATTAATTAAAAGCTATTTAAATTAAAAAAGTTAAAAAATGCCTTAAGGTATAATTAGCTTTTAATAATAAAAGAGGCAGCTTTCCTTACAGCCTTTATAAGCCTAAACCTAGCCTAATATAAAAAATAGCTTATTAATATAATTATAAAAGTAAAATAGGTATTTTATTTCCTCCTTATTATATATAAATAAGGGGAGTTTATATATAGAGTTTTAAGGTAAATATAAAATAAAAACAGGGTTTTATAAAGGAATTATATTAGGTTTATATATATAAGTTAGCTAATAAAAGTTAAATTGACCTTTAATAAATAAATATATATAATATAGTATATAACTAATTAATTATATATATAAAAATAAAGTAAAATTAGTAAAAAAGTAATAATTTAAACTAGGGTTATTTTATTTATATTTCTTATATAAAACTTAGTTTTAAAAGAATATAAACTTAGTATTAATTATATAAAATAAAGAAGTAATATTTATTAAAAAAAATAAAAATAAAAATAAAATATAATAATTAAGGTTTTTAAACAGGTAAACTAGTCTATACTAGGTTTATATTTACAAATTATATAAGGCATAATACTAAGCATTATAAAGTATTATATCTCTTAATAATTAAGTAATATATATTAGGCTTATTAATATAAAGATACTTTATTAATAGCTAGTAAGCTAAGTTTTATAAAAGTATTAATAAATATATTTTATATACTTAAAAATAATTACTACTTAAAAAGGCAGTTATTAAGTAATTCTTAGGGTTATTAGTAATTCCTAAGAATTACTGGTGTTTTTAGTTAGATCTTGGTGACTAGATCTTAGCAGTTACTTATGGAATCCCTTAGTGTATAGTGATTACCTGTAATTTAGAAAGAAAATATAGGGTATATATAACGTAACTACTAGGATTATAATATAAGATATATAATTAATATAAATTAATATTAATATATTTATAAGAAAAGTATTTATTATATATATAAAAAGTATTTAAAGTTAGGGGCTATTAAAACAGGTATTTTTTAATAAGTATTATATTATTATTATATATATTAAATACTAAAAGTAGCTAGGATTATTAATAAGACTGTAGTAATTTAAGTACTTATTAATAATACTTATTATAATAATATTAATATTAATAATAACTTAATTCCAAGAGTAAATACTAATATAAGATATATTAATTATTTAAGCTTTAATACTAAGGGTTAGTATTTAATACTAAGTAAAATAAGTAATATTAAAAAAGTAATAATAAAACATAAAGGAGTAGCTATAATAAAGATAATTAAGAAGTAAATAAAAATATTATAATATAAAGTAATATATTACTACTTAATTAAGTAATTTAAAGTAATAATTATATTAATTAGGTATAAAATATATTATAATAAGTTAATATAAAATATATAAGCTAGTATATTATAAGACTAGGTTAATAAATAGGATAATTAATAATAAATTATATTAATAACTAGATTAGGGATTAAAGTTAATTTTAGGGGTATTATTAATATAATTTATATAAGCGTATTATTTAAACTAATTTATTTTATTAGTAAATAGGCAAAGTGTTACGATTCGTGCCCGTAACAGCGTTATAAGGCTCTATAAGGCAGCTGTGGCACACCTATAATTGCTTGCATAGCGATTATGGCCCGATCTTTTGCCCTGTGGCTTAACGGCTTGTGCAACCGTTACACAAAGGCAGTTAATAAAAAGATAAGATTATAGACTTAATAATTATAATAAATAAAAAGGCAAGCTAGGTAAATAAGTTTAATAATAATATTAATTATATAAACTAAAAGGAAGTTAAATTATTTATAAAAAACAAGGGCTATTAGCACTTAGTACTTAGGTAATTTTTTAATAGGGTTAGACTTTATTATAATAATATATAAGTAAAATACTATAATTAGTATTTAAACCATCATCTTGCTTCCAATTGTGCGGCGATATAATGATGTTCTCCATGGCCTCTGGGGTCATGATGCGTAATGTTGCGCGGGAGAATACCCGCTTTGTTTGCGATATGGTATAGATCTGTGTACAAGCCACGTATACTTTTTGGTATTACCGATAAGCCTGGTGTTTGTATGGTATGAATAGGCGGGTCGAGCTTCATCAGACTCGCAGTGGTATAAAACTTCTTGCTTGGCGACTGACGACGTCGTTTCCCAGACGGTGGGTCCCCAGCGTTCTTCAGACTCTCGGCAAAGGATGATGCAGCTTTTCTGAACTGCATGACATGGGCATCTTGTGGCGCGCGAGGTGTTGCGTCCAGATCAATGGGCACTGTCAATGGCCGTTTCGGGCCTCTTGTAGGACTGGACATTGGACTGGGGTAGTCGGCTTCATTGTCGCGCTTGCGCTTCAAGGACGGGCTGGAGTTGCTTTCTGCTACTTCGTTGATCCACGCTTCAATTACTGAGGTTTGCATGATGCGTTGTGCTGATATGGCATAATCGGTTTGTACGTTGGTGTTAGTTTGAGGATTGAAGACGTTATGATGGAGTTTTGGAATTAATCGAAGTGACGTTGCGGGACAACTATAGACCTAGCTTAATGGGGAAAACGCGTGTGTCAGCAGCTTTAATTGGTCCTTGAAGCCCCTCACAAACTGAGGGCATAATAGTTCTGCCACGGCGACAGCATAACGTATTATAAAAAAACATGCAATTGCAAAAGATCGCTTTGCGCTGGCACGTCTTTTCCGCATCTTTTTTCGATGAAAGATAAGCGATTTACGTATAAACAGACCGTTCTAGCTCCCCGCGACAGAAATTGAGCTCGACGCTAAACCCCAAGCGGCCTGGTCCGTCATCCCCGCCAGCAACATTGTTTCCAGGCAGCTAGCTATTGATCACTGTTATAGGGTATTTGGCTAGAGGAAACAATCGCTGTTATCAGTGAGGTATAGCTATAATTCTTATTATTTAGCTATAGTAATATATGATATATAAGAGAATCTAGTAAAGAAATAATTTAAGGCACTTTAAGGGAGATTATAATTATATAGGTACAGTCTCTAATATTACAGCTTAAGAAGTGAAATGTCCCCTTATTATATTTTATTTTATTTTATAACATGCTTTATACCACGCCAAGCTGAGGTCTTTAAGGGCAGATATAATATAATACAGATTTCAAGACTTCCTTTTATAATGCAAATAATATATATATCTAGTTCTTCAACTCTTAAGAATATCAAGCATAAATATCTTTTCATAAACGAGGTGCAGAGTCATGGTTTGTTTATCTCACGCGAGAGCTACATTTAGTAATCCTCCGATGTGTAGAGTACGGTTTCCCCATTATCAGCCGCCATGTCTTTCGCTATTCTAGTGGTAACTCGTCAGGGCTTATAGGACTATGTGCGTGTTGCTAGTTGAGAAAGACCCCGACGACAATGCTATTCTGGGAGAGGAACACTGCTCGTTTGAGTTATATGACTGTCAACCTTGAAGATTTGACTTTGGCCGACTGAGTCGGCTCCTGCTAGGGTCTTGAGGCTGTAGTGTGAAAGGTGATGATGGCTTAAATCGAGAAGGGTGGCGTTGTTGTGTTTCTGTTGGATGAAAAGTCCAGGTAAACTATTGTAATTAAGAGTGCATAATAATTTAAGAGGTTTACATAATAGTTGAAACACGGGATCAGCCTGGAATAATTCGTATTTGCTGTTACAAACATGATGTTGAACTGCCCGATTGGTGTTACTGCAATGTGTCATCGTGTAGAGTTCAGATTCTGGTATTGTCTGGTATGCTTGGACAAATGCAAGATTTAACAAGGGATAGGGTCGACACACTTCACAAACATAACTAGCTCACATATTTATCCCTGTGGCTTTCGGATTGTGGTATTCCCCAATAGAGTCTTTTAATAAAGTGTTTCAACTGCGAAGTTTTGAGATTTGCATGCTTCTAACCTGACTTACAGGCTTTTTAAAGAGATGGAAATGACCGGTTGTAACGAAGCAGGGAGACTACGTACATACGCCCGGCCATAGTGCCAGCCGACAGATATGGCTAATCACATGGGGCTGAGGCTGAAATGAGGCCTGCTAACTCCGCTCACTCCTGTGAAGTGCCTGCTGTTCGGATTCCGGAACGAGCCAATCATATCATGCCACCACTACAAGACTGATGAGAAGGAGGCTTGCTGATAAAGTAACTGGCCAAGACCTGACACAGACCCCACATCCCATCTCGCTGACAAAGTAAGCCACTCAGAATCTAGTACCAGAAATTCACGGGTTCGGAGGCAAAGCCTGATTAAGTATCTGGCAATTAAAAAAAGCACTTTAAAAACCCACAGAGCTTTATTTATGTTTATCCTTCTCAGCATAGCTGTCACAACATTGACTACTAATCTGCGTTCGCTTGTCTTTTGCTGGAACAGCTGACGTACCACCTCTCCCCTATAACAAGCCGACAAAGAATCACATCACTTGATCAGCTTAAGGATGCACACCGCAAGGCCGCAAACAAACAGTGAACAGTGGCTGGCACACAAAGACTTCATCAGATACGAGTATCTGGTGAAAAACACATCTCTCAAAGGCCTACTTATCCTTTTGGCAGGCAGAGGTCTTGCTACAACGTTAGCTTCTCCTGGTGTAACAGCCATGATTGTTTGCTAATACAAAACGTAGAAAGGCACGACTAGAATACCGGCTGAAGCTATGGGGATTTTCGAAGAATCTTGACCAAGAAATGTGGAGATCTGTTGCGAGAAAGATAAAGAGACGAAGCGACATTGGGAAGAAGAGTGAAGTAATATACAATGGCAACCAAATCAAACAGTCCAAGGTAATCAAAGAAACGGCACGTCATTGTAATAGCCTCTACCATGAACTCACCCTTCGTAAGTTATGTTCTGGTGTCAAGTGTTGGTCTAACAATACATCAGGACCACGATCGCCAAGCCCAATCAACCCAAGGCTCGTTGTTTGCAGTCCACTGCCTATTAAGCAAGACACTATTTGGCCCCTAAGCATTCCATGGCTCATGCTTCGAGATGTCCTTTGGGATAGTAAGTTGTCGTATTTCGATTCTGATGCCTATCCAGTAACCTTCCTTCAGCCACAACCAGTATTGTAAGCCCTAGTGCCGTAAGGGTCTATCAAACTACAGATACCAATGTAGTTCTGTCGATGATACTACACGTCTTGCGCCAGTCTCGGATAAGCATTCTACCTTTTTCCTTCCAAGAACTAGCAGTCAGAATAGATGCTTCAATGCCAGAATGGTACTATGGAGAACATACACAGACTGTCAGTATTCTTCTAGGCGGTCAAGAAAGCGAAATCTTGCCTGAATATATCAAGGTTATGATGTATGGATTGTCAAATGGATCAAGATTTCTCGACAGGGCACAGTGGGACATCTTCAGTTCTATGCTGAGAGAGAACATGTCAGACCTTGAGCCGAATCTACGGCAACTTCGGAGTCACAGCATCACTATTAGAGCATTCTTGGAGAAAATATTCCAGGCGGAGATTTACTGGGCAACTCAGATTGATGACCCTACTAATCACCAAAAGGATTATCTCCCTGATAGGTCGTTGGATATAATTAAGATGCTGTTAGAGTCAGGTCAGGATCCAAATTGCTGTGTCGGAGGACGGAATATTAGATTTGCTACACCGATTGGGCGGGCTCTCAACATCGGCCATGTTGACCTGGCTGAATTACTTCTCTCCTTCAACGTCCGCATCGACGATACCCAGGCAGACTTCGACAATTACAACGCCATCCAGACGATTTTACGCGGACGTCTATCCAACGCTGTTCAGTCACGGCTCCTCAAACTGCTAAAGGAGTACAAAGCTGTTAGTCTAGAAGAAGTCCTTTGCGGAGCGCTCAAACTTGACGACATGGAGCTCATTGAAGAGATTTTGCAAGATGACATTGATGTCACAAAGGGTCACCCTGAAACAAAACATTGGGTAGGATATGAACTCAGTGATAAAAACAACTGTTTGGGGTGTGAATCCCCTCTTACCACATCCCTAGGGGGGAACTGCCATTGGACTAAGAAATTACTCAATCACCCTTCCGTACAGAAAGATCCGTCACAAGTCCTCTCGGTAGAAATATTCATTGCAGCTGCTATCAGAGGAGATTGTCAAACCATCAGTCAACTCCAAGAGCTTTCTCCCTCTGGCCTTACTTACAAGTGGAATGGCATTACTTGTTTGAGGGCTGCAGTGGTGTATAATAACCTACCGGTAGCTCAGTCGCTCCTTGAACCTAATGTCGGGGCATCGCCTGATCTAGTCCTAATAGCAGCCCATTATGGCTACGAGGATATGGTACGACTACTCCTCCAGTATGGTCTTTCACCTGATGAATTGGTCAACAAAGGTGATGTGCAGTGGTTAGAGTATTTCGCTTGTGAAACGCTTATACCTAAGGATTGTAGTCCAATCCTTCAAACTCTTCTCAAAGCCCAGTTAAAACGCTGGAATGCGTCGAAAGCAAACTGCTTGACACTTTTGATCGAAGGAGGAGCCCGGTTTCTGGGCGGTGAGATTGCAAGGCTGGCCGAAATTGGCTTTCAAGAGCCATTGCAAGCTGCACTTGCTAGAGGTATCAGCCCGAACGACCAAGACGAGGATGGCCGAACCGCAATCCAATGTGCTTTATACCCCGATAGGTATCTTCGAATCAGCAGGTCAAGGCATTCTAACACAAGCTGCGAAGTCAACAAACGATACAGAATCATCAAGTTACTTCTAGAAGCAGGAGCTAAGCAAGTTGGTGAAGTTGTCAACGCCATTCGCCAAAGCGATTATAATGTCACAAAGCTTCTTCTCGAGAATGGCGGTACCTTGAACGATATCGACGAAAGGGGAGCCTCCTGCCTGGAGGCTCTAATCATGAACTCTAATAATATTAGTTTCATGCGAGCTGACAATCATTATTGTCACGACCACTACCCATTTCACGGCAGAGGAACAATGAGAGATGATAACAATGTTCGATTCGGAGTCCAAGATGATGCTACTATAGCTTGTCCAACTTGCGCAGCAAGCTGGTTAGATAGCGGCTTGGACGAACGGGACTTTCTTCAGGCACTACTTGAAGCACAAGACGGTCCTATTGATGCCGGACCAATCTGCGCAGCGATACAAGTCAAAGACTGGGAACTACTTAATCGTCTTCTTGTCCGGCCTCATAAGGAAACAAACTGCCACTTGCTAGAGGGCACAGCTATTGGTCTAGCTGCTAGGGCCGGGCAGATGGGAATCGTGGAGAAGCTTTTGAGTCGATTTCATCACCCATCCGCAATCCAATCCGGTTTCATCCCATTTTACATCATGAAAGGTTGCTTGGTACTACGTCCAAACGATGGCGTATTACAAGCATTTGATTGTCATCCATGGGGTTATGACACGAATGAATTCTGGCGTAAAGACCCAGTTCTCGGATTGCGAGGAGTAGCTAGTCCCCTGGCATTGGCAGCGTTGGGAGAAGATTCTTCAAGCTTTGAAGCGCTTCTGGCACATGGTTGTTGTGCGGACAAGACCACTTTTACCGTCATAGCGCAAAAGGAATCGGCTTCTGTGTATCTCGGCCTCTTGAGAAAACACAGTCAACGGCCTAATAACTTATTCCCATCCCAGTCGACCTTATGCTCAATATTACTAGGCCCGATTCGAAGTGGTAACATTGAGTTACTCAAAGAATTAGTGGATGCAGGCTCTGATGTTAACGACTATAATGCCACAATAGATAGAAGCCGATCTCCACTACAACTTTCTGCTGAAGTAGGAGACTTGGGTATGGTGCACTACCTGCTAGAAAAACAGGCTGATGTTAATTCTCCGCCATCATTCTGTGGGGGTGCTACAGCACTTCAGTTTGCAGCAATAGGAGGATATATGGGAATAGCAAAGTTACTACTAGACTGTGGCGCCCGTATCAATGCTAGGGGATCACGAAGACGTGGCAGAACTGCTCTAGAAGGGGCCGCAGAACGCGGAAGGCTTGATATGATAGAGCTTTTACTTCAGAGGGGTGCTGCCTGGGCAGATTCTGGGCGTCAACAATTCAATTCGGCAGTGCGGCTTGCTTTGGAGAATGCGCATTATGCTGTTGTTGATTGGCTGAAAGATCGTTATGGTTGGACAGAAGAGGATGAGGATTTTTTGAATAATGGCATGGATGATTGGCTCTATTGGGACGATCGCTGTAAGAATTGCCGGGATTCCTGTTGCGACGAGATACATGGCAGTGAGGATGACTGCATATATTACTACCCTGACGATAAGGAGGAGGAATGGGCCGCTGAGTGCTACTATTGTAAGCTGGAGTGGATTGAAGACTGTGAATCCCAGGATGAGGGTGATGAGGCTTCAGATCAATGGCCAAAACAAAAGCTGGAGGACGACGCCATTTTCTTTGAGCCGTGGGTAAGTGATTATAGTCTCTTCTTCGATTAATTATTAACTCCACCATTACAATGGTCAATTCCGTGCCCAAGGCCAGAGATACTACTAAGAAGCAGGTCATCAAGACCATAACCGACGCCATTTTGCACAGATCGATTGCAGCATAGCCAGGAACCATAACATCATTGCCGTTTTCATACTCAACCATAGAGGAGAAGAAGAAGAAGCTCTAAGTAGCAGGAATGGCGAGAATTTGAGGCGAAGATTTGCTGGTTGGTTGGCGAAATGTCGTTCTACTGCGTAGTAACGCCGTTGACGTTGCTAGAAATATTGAGTCTATAAGAATCGCCCTGATCCTGGCCGTATTCTTCTGTAACATCAGCCGTGATCATCAACAAATCGTCCAAGTCGCGGCATATCATCAAGCTGTTTGATCCGCAAAGGATGGGACTCGCACAGCAGCCAGCACAGAAAGATGGTAAAGTCCTAGGTCAAGCTCTGAACTATCGATAGAAACAGGTAGAGCTCGGGCGAGGGAGGATTGAACGCTCATCGTACTTGTCTGCATCGATGCTCTCGAGCTGCCTCTTATTCATAAGTCAGCATGTACGCTTCTTTTGTTTTTAGACATGTACTTATTATAGAACGCGTCACATTCTCCGGGATACATGTCATAGAGGGAAGAATTGGGTGGTTACCAGAATTCACTCAACTCCCCGTGTTCACTGGTGATTTCTATTTATCAGCACAGAATTCGGAGGCAAGTAAAGCCAGGGTCCGCTAAGAGTACGATCGACAACGCGACCTTGATCGCAGCATCTATGGTCGCACGAACTTGAATAGCCATATGCGTCAGTCATCATATGCTTTGAGGACTCGCTATCACACGTGAGTATGTTCCATGGGGTGCTGATGCTGTTTTTGGTACAACCATCTACCAGAGTAAAGTGCCTGTGCAATCCATGTGCTGGTTCTGGCCGTCTGTCGAGTTACTAGATATATATATGGTTGACGGCTGTTGATACTTATGGAGATACTGAACTATGTTCTGTATGGTATTTGTAGGCTCTTACTCGTCACAGGTCTCAACTACAAACAAGACCTCGTTCATTAAGTCCACATGGCCTGAAAAAATAAGATTCACTAGTGATATCGTACTTAATTCTGAGAGTCCCATATAGCCTCTCCGGGCTGTACACTGCCAAGAGCATCACGATAGCGCCTGTGTATAACTTGCCGCTGCGAGGTAGCAGTACCCAATCACAACATCTGCGATCTTCTCAGTCCTTGATGCACTGGGGCCGCAGTCCACAGAAGTCTGATCCTGTGCTTGAAGATAACTCGGTTTGTGGGCAAGACACCATCAATTGGATGGCATTCTCCATAGTGGCATTACTCTTTCATAGAACACTATCTGGGCCTCTGAACCAGTCACGACTTGCCTTCTCGGAGCTTGAGAATGCGTCATTTGGCCTGAGATATGCACTACCCAGTTTTAGCAACCTATCAGCTGGGTGTTGGCATTTACTCCGTCTCCATGCTCAATCAGTATCTCTGCATATGTGTATGGTGATCAGAGGCGCCTAACCCGCTTACTCTAGCTTCCCCTGGCAGCAACTGGCGCTGATATCTTTCGTGGCTTGACACGTCCCGATTTTCGAGTCTCCAAAAGACGGCCAAAGCCTCACATCGTGCGACAGGCTCTCGTCTTGTATACGCGCGGCAAATGACTTGGTGCGATAGTGACGTTGGAGGCTTGAGCCTGCTGGGCGATATATGCAAACTCTGATAGCATAAAGTCACGGTCATATCCTGGTGATTTAGTTTATAGTTAAAGCTTAAACATAGCCTCAACAAGGATAAGTCTCCCAATCCAAACATAATAATAAGCGTTTATGATGACTCAATCAGTAACCTTATTTGAAGCTGCTTGAGGTATAAGAAGTCTTTAATACAGACACGTGGCATGAAAAAAACACAGTTAAAATCACATCAAGTTCTCTCGAGGAGGGTCATGTCCCGGTGATTTTCATTGGTTTTAATAACAAACTACCTTTGCTTTCACTCTCATTACCAATAACACGTTCATTATCTTTGCGTTCAAGGGTTTCATTCGCTTCAGAATGCTGCGTCGCTTCCTTTTAGGTGTCGCTGCTCTGACTAGCTTCGCCATCGCCGCACCAGCCACTGAGCTAGTTACCCATGCTGTCGAGGTTCGCCTTCACAGTAAGCGCTCAAGTATTGAGAGTCAGGGGAAACCTGTGTTGGAAGGACTTGAGCGTCGTTCCATTTATGAGAAGAAGGGATCTTGGTTCCTTCTTGTTAACGCAACCCCTTGGAATATGACTTTGACCAAAACCTCGAGCTATCAGATGAATATCTGGAAGTTCCCCAAAACCATTAAACCCGGTGAGAAAGCCTCTTGATTACCATTAGTTCAGCAAAGCTGATGAGGAGGTAGGCACGTCTAATAGAATCTACATTCAAGGCCGGGGCCACATAGACGACGGTGGTGAAGCAAGCTACCAATTCAAAGACCTGCCCGGCCGTCCCGAGTTCGAGTTTCGATACTCGGGTAAGTTGGGAGTTAATAGAATCCCCGGTGCTGGTATCCGGTTCACAAGCCTTGAAACTCTCAACAACAAGCCCGGCTCGTTCCGCAAGTTGCGATGGCATAGGAACAATAACATTCCCTTTATCATTGCCAGCTCTGAGACGGATCCTCACAACCCTTCCATTGTACCATGGCTTGTTTCAACCAGTCCCCCTATAGACTGGATGCACGCCACCTACCCCAGGATCTCATGTCTCACACTCCGGGAGCTGGCTATGCCCGGAACACACCATTCAGGCATGTCCCGTTTTAATCGGAGATCGGGGCTTGGTTTACCCTCGAACACTATGGCACAAGAGCTCAACGTTACAATGCAGCTGAAGTTCGGTGTTCGCTGGCTTGACGTTCGTCCGTCCAAGACTGCTGGCGGGTGGGCAGCTGGCCACTACTCGTTCTCCCATGGCAACTGGCATGGCGGCAATGGCGAGTGGCTCGATGACATTGTTGACAGCTTGAACAGGTTTACCGAGAACAACAAAGAGCTTATCATCATGAAACTTGACCACGGGTTGAACTCGGACACCTTCAGGGGTAAGAAAAACGCACGCATGACCCAGGAAGAATGGGAACAAGTGATGAAGAAGCTGGAGAGGATCAACTACCGTGTCGAGAACCGGGGCCACGAAGTGGATCTTTCGCGACTCCAGGTCTCTGAATTTATCCAAGACCATGCAGCCGTTATCATTGTTATAGACGACAGAGTCTACAAGACAAAAGCCAGAGTCGACCTTTCTGCCTTCGCAGACAAGGGATTCTTCCGACGAGACCAACTCCCTCTGTATGACAAATACGCCAAAACAAGCAACCAGAACAAGATGATCAAGGATCAGTTGACCAAGATGAGAGAACAACGATTTTCCTCAGACTCGTCCATGTTTCTGCTCTCATGGACCTTGACCCAGCGTCTTCACAGCGTTATTGGGAATGCCAAGCATGCTAACCGCGCCCTCATTGAGTTGCTCTGGCCGGCCATGTCTCCGTCGACGTATCCCAACATTATCGGCGTGGATGCTTATCCTGCTAATAGGGACCTTGCCGCGCTAGCCATGGCAATTAACTATCACTTTGCACCGCGTTGCTGAGTTTTCTTTATCAACTCCATGCACTCATCTTTCTATATTTCCCGGCCAGTCTTGTCCCTGCATGGCTTCTTGCACAGCATCAATATCAAGTATGCGTGGGGTAAGGTGGTTGATATAAGAACTCTAGAAGTAGGCGACATCTGCCAGGATTGGATATTCTGCCTTAATTATATTATATTGATTTATAGTACCTGCTGTAATCTGCCTCCAGCTGAAGGTAAATAGATTATGAAGCTACTCGAACGCTTGACGTTTAGTACATATAGATTGAGTCAATCTGCATTGTACAGGGGGATGGTAGAGATTTCGAAACGGAGGCGAAGAGGATGGAAACTGTATTCAGCTCAGTATACTGTGTAATCGCCGCAAGCTGTGCTTCTGGAACATCTAGTGGACCCCTGAGGGAGAGGCCGGCGAGACAAGTGGTCAGGCTTGACAATTATTTGTTAGACAAACCAGTGCATGCATGGATGGTCATTGGCGACCTGTATGAGGCGCTAGCTTCTCTTTTTGAGATGACTTTTACTTCTTTATGGCGCTTGGTATTACTGTTACTACACCTATTCTTAAGGTCAGTAGCTTATTATCCTTATTAAAATCTTTTCCTGCCTTAAGTTGTAGTTCTCGGCCATTCTCATTAATACTTTCAGGTACTCCAACTACCCTTCATGCTTGCCGGTCTTCCTGGAGGTGCTATCAATTTCATGACCGTTTGGATGCCAGCACTTGGCCCCAGATTCTTCCCGGACACCGCATCTATATAGCGATGGGGTTTTCATTCCTCCTACGCATTGCCTCCATCACTCTTGTAGTCTTACCTGTTGAAGATGGCACATGGGGTATCGTCGCCGCACCGGATAGCGGCTTGTTGCTCAGCTTTGGTCGCCAGCACCGCATCGCTAATGGCGAGCAATATCAAGTTTAACACCAACAAAGTCATGTATCTCGGCAGATTGCGAACGAGCACCAGGTTTTCCAGACGATGATGTTTGTACTTGAGGGCTTGGTAACAGCAGTGGCTGCCAATCCTCAGGGATATCGAAAGAAAAACTAGGTTTGATCCTCTCCTCTAGTCTCTGCACCGTAGACCAGCCTTGGCATATCTGGTTCGTGGTACGCTCCAATGCAGACTTGAATTCGTCTCGCCGGAAGGGAGGTACCAGGTGGCTCAATACGAGTGAAACCTGGTCGACGACTGACTAGACTGCCGCTTTTTGGTTCCTCTTCTGCCTCTCGGGAAGGACATTCAGTAAGGTGGCACGGGCATACATCTCCTGAAGAGGATTTCGGGAACCGAGGTCGCCCAAAACTGCATGGAGCTCGTCGCCCTGCCTGACGTGAGCGGGTCTGAATACGTAGCTTGCAAGCGCTCTACTAAAGATAAGGAGTCCTGCTGCGATTCTGATGTGCCTGGTCGCCGGGTTGTTGGATGCGGGTAGCGGAATACGTTCGTTGCTTGACACCTGCGATCGAAGCTCGTTCCAGCTTGCGTGGCTGGCAAGAGCTGCAGCGTCTAGCTCATTGAGTAGGAATGTCTCCATGAGTCTGGATGCAAGATCAAAAAAGCTGGCCAATAAACTTTGGCTGTATGAAGTACGGAGTCAGTCATCAGCACCACCATCGGAGGGTTCTCTAGTATGGTAAGGCAAAAAAGTGGGAAACATAAGGAAAACCTACATCTATACTTCCTTGTCTACGAGGCTCTTGAAATCGCCAATGAATGATCGAATGACGTTGAATTGGTGGCGGACTTGGCTAAGCCCGGTAGTTCAGCAAAGGCGAAAGGGTTTATCAGCCAATGATAATGCGAAACATCCACTTTCAGTAAAAGGCGTAGAATTAATAGAGATGTAGCTTAGACCTGGTAGCTGAATGGTTAGTGGGTGGTCCTAGATAGTAGTGCTGACCGGAGGAGAAACCGAGCCTGCATTGAGCTTGGTTCGGAGTCAAAGTCGCATTTCTCATTGCTCTCTCCCTCATCGTCAAAATGCAAAGCACCTCTAATGTAGCTATATCCACAAAACTCTCCCAAACAGACTGAGCTTCATAGATTCTTGGAGCGGCATAACATGAAACATGGACTGAGAGTGAACCCGACTTGGCTATTTCACCTGTAATCGAGGCTTCAGGCACCGGGCCTGGAGCTGTGGCCACATAACTGGGAATCTAATAAAGCGGCGAGCTCAAAGGGAAGCACTCAAAACCTTCCTGCTGCTGTCGCCCAGTTTGAAGACTCTTCGTGCATTTCCGCCCATGAAATCCTTCATAGAATCAGCCCGTAAGCCAATCACCGCCCCCTCCCTCAAATATTCAGCAGCTTGACTGACGCATTTGGTCCAAGTAAGTTGTGGGAAGTTTGTCCCAAACATAACCTTCTTCCGCCCTGTGGTGTTCGCAAACCGGATCAGCTCAGGCGGGTAGTATTTCGGCAGGTGAGCGCTGGTATCGATGAAGACATTCTCGTGCTTCCACGCAACTGCTATCATCTCGGCTGTCCAAGGGTGGCCGATGTGCCCGCAAACAATCTTTAACGCCGGAAATTTTAGCGCTACGGCGTCGATATACGGAATCGGCCTGCCGACCTCGCTCGGGCAGAGCGGCCCGGTATGCCCGACCTGAGTGAGAAAGGGAATGTCGAGCTCTACACACTTGACATATAACGGCCAGTAGTGGGCATCGGTAGGAGGTAGATTCCATAGCCACGGAACCACTCTCAGGCCTTTAAACCCCTCCCTCTTCACGTAGTGATCCAGTTCTGCGACAGCGGCCACAGGATCCAGCAGATCAACGCTTGCTATGCCGAAGATGCGGGTTGGATGAGCGCGGGTGTAGTCTGCCACCTCGGAATTGGAGAACACAGCCACCCCAGGACGGTACCAAGCTGTTAGGCAGATCTGATCCACTCCGGCGGCATCCATCATAGCCACCAATTCATCCGGCGACAGTTTCCTTGCGATTAAATCGGGATTTACGTGACTCTGCTCGAAGAGGCGTCTTGCTTCTGGCAACACTGACTGCGAGTTAAACAACTTCGTAAGCCAGCTGCCAGGGTATGGGTATCTGGGCGATACTATAGCCGATGGAGAAGGGACTCACATCACCAACGGGGTTGGCCCAGACGTCCACCACTGGGAAGTCGAAAGTTGAAAGCACCATGTTGTCTCAATTCGATAACTCACTGCTGGTTGAAGATGAGTTCTGCTCGATGTGTGAGCAGATCAAGAACAATTATAGGTTATACGGTAATACATATGCCTGTTACGTTGCGGAGACTGGCAAAGACGGCCCACAATTTGCCTCGGCATCAAATGTCAGCAGAGTGACCATGAACGCAATCCACCCAACCTCGGTATTCAATTGAATGAATGAATTTATTCCGCCCAGGAGGATACGCCTCATAGGGCCCACAACATAGAATCTCGTTATGCTGTGTTTTCCGGCTCCTAGCCCTTAGACGCTCAGCCTCACTAGTCCTACCATGACTAGCATGATCAGACGAAACTGCGGGGAAGCTTAGATGGGGTTCTGTATGGGGTAGCTGAGTAGGGTCTAGAGAGGCGGGCTGCTTCATTGTCTACTGTATTGGGTGTATCATCAGCACTAAAGAATGGGGGGAAGATAATTCACTAGTGTATACCAAAGGCTGTTTTCTTAGTATCGCTAACTGGATCTTTTTGATCATTTCCTACGTCGTCTGCTTGATTCTAGTCCGTAAGAGAACTCAAAGACGATGCTATGGCGACCGAAGCAATCGTCGAGAACATGGCCGGTCGGGCATCTTGGCAATGACTACGGGTGTATCGGTTGATTCGGAGTTGACTGATATCAAGAACAAGGGTCTCAGGTATGGCATGTGACCTTGAACAGCTGCCTGATTATGAAGACAGAGTTGCACATCAGGTCGCTCAAAAAGCGAATATAGTATAGTCTGAATCCGGTGATAAACACAGTTTATAATGATACTCTTTCTTTGTTGCAAGGCGAATTCTTATCTATGCCGCCCGGCTAAGGTCAATAAGCCACGCAATATCCAGCTTGGCGCCAGCTCAAGATAGAATTGAGTGGAAGAGGCAGGAGCCCGATGGTTTTATTTGTCGAAAAGTTGGTTCCTACGGGCCTGCTGAATGGCGTTGAACCAGATATCAGCCATCTTCTTGTACCCTTCGTCGTTGGGATGGGTGCCATCCATCAAATCATTGAGTTGCGGACCTTCAGGACTATACATGTCTGCAAGAACTATCCTTTTTCGTTCGGCTTCCTTTGATAAAACCAAGTCCCGGAGACTACTGTTGATGCGTAGAACCCGGGAGTTCACTTGCTTGTCCGCGTTTACTAGCAGCGTTGATAAAACGACTGTAGAGAAGGGAGAGGTATGCCAAAAATATTCAAGCATATTGTCCATTCGCTCCCCAAAAGCATCAATTTGAAAGTTCTGGAGACAGTCGTTAGATCCGGCGTTGATTGTGAACAGGTTAGGCTTGACAGTCGCGATGGATCGTCTAGCTTTACTTTCGATCTGGTCGAGCCGATACCCACGCCATCCTTCGTTTTCGTTGTTGTGCATAGACCCAGCCTTGCGTGAGCCAACGATGCGGACTTGATAGCCATTGGCAAGAAGAAGATCTTGCAGGAACTTCCTGTATCCATTTCCATCTGAAGATCCAACACCATATGTGACTGAGCCTCCGAGCGGCATCAGCCGTAACTCTACATTCGGTGGCATTGCTTGTGTGCCATAACGAATGGTCGATAATTGGTCAACCTTACTGCCGATTGTGGAGTCGAGGCGATTTTGAGAAGGGCACCGACTTTTGATAAACATCCGACGTGACCGAGACATCAATGTTCGTAACTGCATTGTTAAAGTTTGAAGGGCAATGCACGTGGCTGGCCAAGTTGCTGGGTGCTGCGGGCGGGGTTATCAGGACTCAATTGAACAAATTTGCTCCCGGCGCCGAACAGTATCACTGATTTTGGGTTCAGCTGACTGCCACCGTTGCGGGTAATTGCCCTCCTAATTACTTGAAAAACCAACACTCAATGGGCCCGCATGGACGCCGATCTGCAACTTTGTTAGCATTTAGCCACAAATGTATGTGGGTGAGAACAAATGGGGAATGCAATTGACTCATTTTAGGGCCGGAGACTAGTCCCGACGCCGATGCCCAATAATATTCACAGAAAGATGGCCTGAAAACCCACTCTCTTAAAGTCTGGGGAACACTATTCAGTCTCTGCTGCCAGTGATGTCGGCGGCAAGCGAACTAGTCTGACCCAGTTCGATGGTGGCAATCCCCTGGCCGAGCATGTTAGACTCGGAGTTGCGACTGGGGGACTGATATAACTGATGTAAAATACATTATCGAATGTTTGGAAGCGCGGAATTCCTTAGTATCTTTAGAACCCGCCAACATGATGCATATCACCTCAGAATACACCCATTTTCACAACAAGACACGTCTTGACAAAGTCAAGGAAGCTACAGCAGCCGTTTGTGTACAAAATCGTTCCAGATGGACCGAAGCAATTAAAGAGATCAGAACATGGCCCGAATATGAGCCACAACCATTGCACACATTGCCCCATCAAGCGGAACAACTTTGTATTAGAGAGCTTTTCTTCAAGGACGAGAGCAAGCGCTTTGGTGTCTCTCTCGGATCCTTCAAAGCACTCGGTGCTCCATGCGCTGTCTTTAAGATCCTGGCCGACCACGTCTTTTCGAAAACCGGCGTGAGGCCTACATCAGAGGAGCTTCGAACGGGAAAGTACAATGATATTACGCACAAGGTCACAGTCTGTGGCTGTCGCTGTGTGGACTACATCCATAGTCATGTCAGCCCCGGACGTGCCGAAATGATAAAGGACTTGGGTGCTGTTGTTATTCGCATTGATGGTGAATACGAAGCTTCTGTTGAGAGAGCTAAGGAGGATGCGCGAATGAACGGGTGGCATTTCGTCAGCAGCACTTCCTGGGGTGACTTTGACAATGGTATCCCGCAAAACGTCATGAATGCTTACATGGTTGTTGTGGAGGAAGCACTCCAAGCGATCCTGCCGTGGAGAATATCACACATGTTTTTGTTTGCGGTGACGTTGGTAGTATCGCAGCAGCCGTGTTCCAGGAATCTTCACTCGCTTCTCTCAGAACCAGTAGTCAAACCAAGGCAGAGTCCTAACTCCTCTGAGGCTTATCGTGGTTGAGCCTAGGGAAGCAGATTGCTTGTTTCAAAGCGCTCAAAAGGAAGAGATATGTCTCTCCGAAGGAAGTCTCGGTACGTTGATGGCGGGCTTGACTTGCCGCGGCCCATCACCAGCCGCATGGAAAATCTTGACATGGCTTGCCAGTGACTTTGTTGCTGTTCCAGATGAGGTCGCTATTGAGGGAATGAAGGAGTTGGGGAGCGGACGCAGAGGAGATGTCCCTGTTGTTTGCGGAAAAAGCTCAGCGGCCAATATGGGCGTCATTCTCCAATACGCAAATGACGAAACACTCCGCGAGATATTGGGATTAAACAGAAATAGTCAGGTCATTCTGTTTGGACTCGAAGGAGATACAGATACTGCCATCTATGAAAAGCTGGTTGGAAAGACTTTGGAGGAAGTTTTTGCCGCACAAGAGCGGGGTTTCAAGCTTTGATATAGTTTTGTGGCACAGTCAGCAATACTTGAGTAAACATAACACAATGCTGTAGACACTTAGCTTGATAAGATTTACATAAACTACGACGCTGTTTTGTCTTGAACTCGTGACATAAGTCCCATGATGGCGGGGTGAGAACTCATTGACTCGAGAGCATCAGAAAGAGTAGTCTGTCCTAACAAAAAGCACCAATTCCTGTCGTTCCCTCGATCACCCAAATGGATATCAAGACTGCGGCATTTGATGCTGACGCTGCAACAACTGGGCAAAGACATAATAGGCCAGCAGCGACGACAAGATACGTTTCACATTGTCCCATCATGCTGCTGCAGGAAACCAGATGAGTATAGAAGCGACCATTGCTAAAAGTATGCCGGCGTTTGTTATGGTGATAGTAATCTTTTGAACTGAGAAATCAGCTGCCACCTCCGGGGCTCCAGCAAGGATTGAGGCAACAGAGAAGTTCATTTGGCAATGGCATCAATAATCTCGGCCTCTCATGTTCGGGGCCGGCTGTTGCTGGGCCGAAAGTGGCTGTCTCGGCCACTAAAAGAGGCGACCGACGGTGGGGCTGTCGGAGGAATGGCATATCGCCGAGCCCACCTGTAATTCACGTAGGTTCTCAAATGGGCGGGTGGTGCTGCATCACGCTGAGATTGATGATGCGGCTAGACAACTTTAATGCTCCTATGGGTAGCTAAACAGCAGTGGTACGTTATGGGTAGAATTGGGTAGCTGATTTATCTGAGTGGTGTTAGGGTTTGGAAGGTTTCTCGCCATATCCTTAGGCTTATGCTTCCCCTCAATTTCACAGCCGAGAACCAAGCATTACAGTTCTTCCAATCAACTACACCAATTGCTAGAGCACGTTCCATTCGTGCAATGCTTAAAACTAAACGCTAAAGGCGATGGCGACCGGACAAGACACGTTGACAGGCCGCCCAAGCAAGACGGCTCAGTTGGTCTCATCCAGTCGCGTTCGTTTCACCCTACCAGGCAACGCTAAAAGATGAGTTTAGATGCAGAAAGTGCCATGTGCAAAAGTTCAAATGTCCCAGTGGTCATCCATGCCGTAATTGCATACAAATGAGCTGCCAAGCCGACTGCATATACCCAAAACGCGACAGGCAGATCAAGGTCAGCCAGAGGTGAGTTAAGCCAACTTACTTAAAAACTACCTCGTGTTCATCAAAGCGTGTAACTACATAGAGAGCTTGGTTCGCGAAAATCAGGAACTGAGAAGCCTCAGTCAACAAAATCGAATTGAGGCGACAGCGGCTCAAGAGTCGACGGATGATAGTGCAAAAAATAAGGCTCAGCTGGACACGCCGTCTCCCAGCGAACCAAGCCATAATCCGGTGCTCGACGAGAAGCCATGATTCCTTTTGACCAGGTCGTCAAAGATCCCTTTTCTCATAGGAGAAGTGGCAGACGCAGCGTTCGCGACGCGATTCCGTCAATTGCTCACGAATCAAGCGCTTAATCATACCCTACGCACCAGTTACCCCGATGACAACCAAATAACGGAACTTGCGCAAACTGCGTGTCCTTTTGTAATCGCTACTAACGCTCGATTCTTGGTTCGAGTAGCCCTCAAGAGCCTGGACGGATCCTTCCACATTGTCCGGAAAGGCCGCATCTGGGAGTTGCTGGAAGAGTATCTGCAGTCACCTCACACATTCGATGCATTATCTTGCTGTAAGATTATGGCCCTGTTAGCGTTGGGGGAGCTATACTCCAGTTCTTGCCGGGCCCAAGGTACATCGATTCCTGGACTGGCCTTTTTCAGTCACGCGAGCAAAATGCATGACTTGCTCCAGGGGCGGCCCTCTGTTGATACAGTCGAAATCTCCCTCCTCTTGGTAAGATGCCTTCTCATACTCCTGACCTTTACTTACTATCGCAGTGCTTGTATGCCCTGAGCATCAATAGGCGCCACTCAGCATACTTTTTAGCCAGCTCTGCCGTACGGCATTGCTTGGTGATGGGACTTCACTTCAACTTGCCGGACTCTCAATTGGAGGATCCGGAAACCAAGTAGCATCTCAATAGGATCTGGTGGTCGGCATATATGCTGGATCATACAACTGCGTCCATAAGTAGCCAAATTGCTTCTGTATCGGACGATGAGATATTCGTCGACCTTCCATCATGTACCGGGGTCACCGGTACGCAACAAGCCGACTTTCAGCATACAGAATTGTTCATTGCCAGGATACAACTAGCAAGAGTCACAGGGTCTATAATCAAGTCTGTGTATGGAAGAGCACAAGAGACAAAACCGTTTCTCCAGAGAGTCCAGCAAGCTTTACAAGATCTAAAACAATGGCTTCAAAGACTGCCACCTGATATACAGATGGATTCGGGATCTTCACATTCAAAACCAATAGCGGTTCAATCTCTTCATCTTGCTTTCAGTCAGGTAATTGCTACGTTAACTTCAATAGCCTCAGCTAACCGTTTCAGTCCGTGATCTTGGCAACCCGACCGGTCCTGTTGTATATGTTGCGAATGCATAAAGAGGCAAAAGGAGAGGCCCCAGCCACAGCCGAACGAATGGTCTCAAACACCGTTCAGACGTTGGCAGAAGCCTGCATCAGATGCGCCCGGCACTCTTATGCTACTGTCGTTGAGTCCTGGATTGAAGGATCGTTCCAGACTTTTGACTACTTCAACACACGATGTCTCTTCTCGTCGGCAACAATCTTGGCTATATCTAGTCTTTTGGATGGGCCTGATAGCTCCGAGAATCGAGAAAACTTCGAGGTTGCCAGTCAACTAATCAAGAAACTCCAGAATGCCGGAAGTTTCTCGGCCACTGAGTTCTGTCATCACCTCGAAGCGATAAAAGAAAATATCCAGGGCTTCTCAGCCACAGGGAATTCATCACCAGACCATGAAGTAGTACCAGGCTGTCCACCTACTCTAGAGGCATCGGGTTCTCACGATAACTCACTACAGCCTACCCAGTTTATGGCTTCAGGTATGGCGCTGGCTGAGCCATCCTTGGAAGCGTTTTTGCAAAGCGAACAGGATCTTCCAGATATAGACTTCTTCTTAGATAATGCCCAAGTAGGTGGTCTATATTGGCCTATGTATAGCCCTTTATAAGTCAGTCAAATCGGCTTGGTGTATCCATGCACACAAAGCTGCAGCATCACATGAAACTGATTGCATTCATTGACAGATGTGAAACTTTCCATCAGTACATCTCAAGACCTAGAAAATATTAAACACCCCAGTTCGGCGATTATTGCTCACTTGCATTAACCTTCTTCTAACTTTCCCTTTCTTCAAGACCCTTCCACCAAGCCTGGGCCGAGGGGTACTTAGGCAGAAGCTCGCTGAATTCAGCCTGTTCGACCAACAATCTATAAGGAAGATGGAAGACATCCGCCAATGTGATTCTATCTCCTATAAGATAGCTCTGCTTGGAGAGGATATGCTCATAGCCCGCCAGAGCAGTATCGAGAGCGGTGAGTTTGGCCTTGACTGCTGCTTCGTCACCTGTACCATAACCGAGAATAGGCTTGAAGATTGCCCCTCAGGCAATAGCGCTGGAGTTGAGGTCGAAATAGGATAGCTTGATAGATAGGCCTTAGGAAGGTTAGCTTACTTGTACACCTATCGACCAAATCGGTGAATCAGGCGGGAGTGGGACTTTATAGTTATTGAAATGCTACATACAATTTAATGTCAGCATCAGAAAGGCTCAGATCAGTCCCAGAACCTCAATATTTGGCGCCAATGTAATAAGCTATAGTACTGCTTTCTTAGATAGACAGTCAGTTTTAAAAGAGCTTCTCACACTGTGATTTCCTCCTTTGTCTTACTGAATATCTTCATATTAGAATCCTCATCGATAAGTAACGGAAGCTTCCCGAAGGGATGAAAGTTGACACCACACGCCTCAGACAAGTGTTCTCCCTTGAGGAAGTTCACTACGATGAACTCATACTGAAGCTTCTTGTCTTCAAGAACTCTACGAACTCGCTTTATGCAAATCGATTGGGCATGTCCATGAAGCTTCAGAAAGATTGTGACGAATAGATCAAGGTAACTGGTAGAGTTGAGTTGGTGAATGGATAAATAATAGTGAATTCTCAAAAGACAACGGCAAGAATAAGTCTATATATAATTAATTAATTGAAGATTGACTATTAAAAATAACCCTTTATGATTTATTGTATCTGGTCGCTATGGACTTTTGTGGAAGTCTATGCTAGTGTAGAACCTTGAAAATTTATAAGCCTCCATGATTTGTAAAGAAGTGCGCGCGCTACCTTCTGATCTCGCCCTCTGTTTAGCCTCTTGCTGTTGTTATAATCTGTAATGATTATTAACTGTCTATTGAAGATGGAGATGGTCTTCAGTAGTTGCTTAACGTTGTAGCGCTTTAGTGTTGGCATCTCCGGACCCTGCCCCTGCTGTCCTCCTTGACTGTTCCGCGTCGGCATATGCGTTATCTGCCGCCGCCTTCACCCGAGTCTACCGTCTTTCATAGCGTCGCGCCTACCAAGGCAGTTAGCTTCTCAACATTGGGCGTGAGCTACTCGTTTCTTTGGTCTGTCGCAAATGATGCCCAAGGGCCTTGTATACCAAGCTGTCGGAGATGTCCCATAATCATATTGTCTGCCGCACCTCGCTCCACCTCCCATCAGCTTGCTGAGCTAGCCCTTGGCTTCTTATAGTGTCGTCTGGGTCGCCCGCTGGAAGCTGCCTCTAGTGATCTGGTCTCCCTGATAGTTGAGCGTCTTGCCGCCGCCGTCCTACATCACCCGCGCCTGATCACGCGGGTTCCTGATTGCGATAGTCTCTGCTGTGTATCATCCACTTGTCAGCCACTCTCGGTGTCTCTCTGGAATAGATCGATAGACGTAAAGCTCGTGTCACAAGTCGAGTTCTATTGGCCCTCTGAGTTGTATGAATTCGTCCTTGAAGAAGTGCTCGCTCTGTAGCACGCAAATTTCTCAGTTCTGGCTGACATTCTAAACACACTTGATAGTTCCGTTCTTTTTCTTTCAATCCGATGATTACTATCAACAGCACTATCATGCGAGTATCAGGACTCCCTCGCCTAAAGCTAGCTTCTAGGCAGACATGTAGTTTCCCGTCTTAGTGAACCTCAACATCAAATGCCTGCCACCCAATAATCCAAACAAGCACAAAGACTTTTTCAAACAGGCATACCTTTTCCAAGAGGGATGTGCCACTAAGACTACCCACCCACTGCCAGAAAATTATTCCAACATACCATTACTCCATCAGATCCAACCGATATCGCCTTGCCAAACTCCAGATCTTGTAACAACATATCAATATGCAGCAGCCTCCTCCTCAAGTCTCCGCTTCTCACACATCAATCCATCAAGCTTCTTGCAACGCCGCTTCCTGACTCCCTCCATCTCAGCATTCTTGTTCTGAAGGTTCTTGCGCTTGGAAGTTAGATAACGTTGACGTTCTATCGACCATGTGATCAAGAATGGCCTTCCCCTGCGCGTGGCACTCTCGATTGCACGACACTCAACGTCAATACTGACATCGCAATCGAGGATCACATCCCAGTTGTGATCCATCTTGTCCTGGAGCTTCTGCTCAAGGTCTTTCGCTTTGGCGATCTTATTCTCAATGGCGATTATCTCGAGATATGTAGTTGTTGCCTTCCGGGGAATTCTCTTTGAAAGGATAGCTTGCGTGGGGCTTGGTGTATGTTTCATCGTAGGCTTCTCGGATCTCTCCTCCGGAATGCCGTAGTTCACCGGATTTGGGAGAGTCTCGCCATTCTGTTCATGGCAAGAGAAATCTAATGGTTTAGGAGCTGTTGGTCTACACCGGCCATAGGGCTCAGCCATAGACAAAGACATCAACATATCGGTACGATCTTCTTCTTCGGACTCAATTTGTTCCTGAACTGGTCTCACAGGACTTTCCTTGCCAGTGCATGACTCAGGACCTGCCGTTCGCTTCGCATGAGGTGGAGCGACGACTGTCGAGATTGCCAGGACGATGCAGGACTCAAGAGAGGACTCTCGATAGTCCCGGACATCTGTATCCTCCTCAGCTGATTCCCTCTTCAGTGTCGCACGCTCCTCCCGCGCCATGGTGTTGAGAGGTCGTGGCTGTTGACTTGCGCGAAATAGGTGAGTGATGATGGGAAAGAAAAGAATGAGAGAAGATGCTGGATTCCTTTGACCAGTGTTTTGGGGGTCAACGTTGGCTGCCTGCAGTTGATTAATTCAAACGACGCGGTGCGATACAAATGGCACGATGCAAGTGACGCGAAACAGACGGGGCCGTGCAAATAGCGCGTCTGGCCTGTGTTATTCTGGGTTTGAACTGTAGGCTCATCTTGAGACGCAGTTCTTGAATGGAACCTGCGTCGAATCGACAAAAGGTTCTTGATGCTCAAGCTTGCTGGGATATTGAAGGCTGGACCGATGCTTTGGAGATGGCATCTCGAATTTTGATGTTGTCCTGGTGTTGATTCAAGATGCTGTAACAGTGGGGTGATACCAGATAAGCAGATAAGGATTGCACTAAAACACAAAACAAAACTGAGCACAATAATCACCTTAAATGCAGCCAGTCTTTGCGCAATAATGCCATTCTTGAGCTTATGTTTAAATCTTAATCATAAACCTCTAAGCTACTTACCTATTCATTGTTAAACTGCTCGCTTGCATGAGGTCATTATTAGCTACCTGCGCTAACTCAAGGTCTGAATCTGGCGTTGAGAATGGAGAAGTAATCTATGCCTAATTAGGCCAAGTCAACTGGCACAATCTGATCTAACAATCGATCTTCATGTTAAGAAATCTCTGGCTCAACCTTATGCCATTTAATAGTTAATAAAATTTTAATTAGTTAAATATAGCATGTCTCCATTTTATTCCATCTAACCGTTTGCGTGCTGAATAGTATTATTAATCCCTGCCAGAAGAATGCGCACTATAAGACGAGGCAGTAAGAAACACCAAATGTGCAGAAGCTTACCCTAAGCCATCATTAGAATTAACCCGTGACTCAGGCCAGTATTGCATACTATAAGGCATTCACTATAATTATTTTGAGTTTAGAAAGTGCGTTACGTGCTTGTGGCTGCCCTTCAATGCATTTTGGGACCGACTGGAGAGGCACAACCCTTTTCCCGTTTCGCTGGTCCGGGAGGCTGAGACAAACTTGTTGGAGGACTTGGGTAGTATTCGGGCCATAATCGCCCAACAGGAACGGGGTCTGAACCGACAGGCCATTCAACCTCGGCCCAGTAAGGCTACCCTGCTAGTCAATCCTGGTGACCGGGATCTAAACTTCCCACTCCTCGATTCCCGCTATCGCATGGTAGAACAAGTCGAGCCAGTGAGACGGAGCTTCTCCTGGACATTCATCGCTATGTTTAGTGCAACTCCAGCTGCCAGAACATTTTGGATTCGCCATAGCAACGCAAACGACTGCCCAGCACAGGAGCGCTGTCATCACTGGCGACATCTGGATGGGGGCGATTGGTTTACGCCGGAAGAAAATGCCGTCGATCTAAAACTAGTATGTGTACGTACTGAAACTATTGCAACAGGCATGCCTAGTGCCAACATATTCAAAATGTATGATGACGAGGTACAAGAAGGGGAAGGGATAAAATACACCGACCGTCCTTGCTATATCTTTGATGCTTGAAGCCAGACTTTAGCATCGTTGAGCAACTGGGGTTTCAGGTTCTTAGGTGGAACTTGGTTGGTGCTCAATCGAATGAAATGATGGATCAATGCGGACGGTTAATTGGAGTTTGGGTGTGAAAGCTTGTTGAGTTGCCGTTATCAAGCCGATGTGGTATTTTCACGCAACAATAAGATCTGGTTTCGCCGCCATATAAACAATTCAGGTAGGCTAATTAAGATTCTGGTGGCAATAGTGGTAATAAAGACGAAAGAAACTTAAAAGAGTTCACAAAGAGTAATAGGACCGTCAGTGGCTGGCATTGGATCAAAGAGAACGGTGTTGGGTGGCAGTTTGTTAATGGCCTGCAGCGTACTCTGGCTGGAGAGGTCTTCATGAACCTGGTTAATCCTGGTCGATACGCCGGCATGTCCTGACCAATGATATGAAGAGAATACTGGGACAAGATAATAGGGTAATGTATCAACATACTAGAAAGTGACAATGTGCAACCTATTGGGATCCCACTCGGTGAATGAGGTACATCATGGCGCGCGACAATTCCAGACACGGTCTTTTCGTCTTTTGGAGAGACTTCGTAGTTGTTTTCAGAGGGCCTGGATAAGATAGGTCTTGGGTCAGGGACGCGAGCGGTGAGAGTGTGTTCAAGGGCTTGCCTCTGAGTGTAGTATGATTGATTCATTTGAGACCATATACGTATCGTACAAGACTTGTTAAGATGAGCTAGATTCTAGATAACAGCGGAGCCCCATGCCTTTTCAGCTATTCTAGCCCCAATGAGCTGATGAATCTTCTCTCCAGGATGCCCGGGATTAGCCCAAAGCTTGAATTGATCAGTACAAGATGACAGCTCTTCATGGGGATGACCTACACAGTCCTTGCCGTTGGGATCGACACAAGTTGAGTTCCGTGCGCCCAGAGATTCAGGGTGTAGGAAAGCCTGATAGAACAAGTCCCATATCTCTACATACGTCACCTTGGCGTCTGGATGGGCTTGCCGAAATAGAGCAGTGTTTTGCCTGAGAAGGCTATTCCATAGGTTTATAGCATAAGAGACCTTTTCATGCTTGTAATTATTATCATGAAGTTTCTTTGCCTGATGTGAGGGAAACAATTCCATGGCTACCTGATTGTCAGAGTAAACTTAGGTTCAACGGGACAAGAGACTTACGTGGGATTTCAATAAAGATAAAACTACGAATCCCAGTATCATAAAGGATCTCAGACAGCTCAAACATACGCTGGTTTGCAGCCTCTAGCAAATCGTCGCGACCTTTCTTGTTGAACGCAATAGACAAGTCGTTAAGCCCAAACCAAATCGTTGCCACTATATTTTTAGCAGTCCACGCCGCGTAATGAGGACGATGGCCGATGCTGTCTTTGAAATGAATGATCTGGTGTGCAAATGTGAATGTTGATTTCCTTCTCGGTGGTATTATCTCCGCATCCACCACGGACCCTGATCGCGCAAAAATATACGCAAGAGTGAGTGTGGTGTTGAACTCAGTCGCCATATACATGGCCCAGTTTTGACCGCCAGATGATGTTTTCCCTGGCCATTGCGGGTTGCCGATTGGATTTTCTGCTCTTGGGCAGTCTAGAAGTTTGTCATTTGGTCGATCTGTCCTCTCCATGTCGTCCATTTGGGGGCCAGTCCTGGTATACGTGTAGTTCATTCTGAAACCGCTCCGAGAATAAGAATCACCGCTTCTATCTGTCAGCAAACTGTTGATCTTGCGAACCCAAGATAATGCGCACAATGCGATGATAAAACGTTCACTTGGCTCTTGGAAGTGATGCGGGGTTATCATCGGTATGATGGTGGGTAAACTTGGCATCCCGGGTATAAATGGAAGCGCAAGAATAATAAATGTGACGACGATAAAAGCAGCCGTTGTCAACGGCCTCAGCGACATCTTCTCTTCTGACATAGTTAATAGGGTACGAGGGAGGACATTGGTAGTGGAACATAATAAAGCAACAGACAGGCTTACGTCCCTTGTTTATGCCCGTTCTCCCCCTTTATTTGGCATTAGTCAGGGTCAATCGCGTCTAGCCTCCTTTAAGCAAGACTTCTGTCGTAAAGCTGGTGTAATTGTCTTAGAGTTGGGAATGTCACAAATACCTTAGACCCACATAATCTGGTTGAGCCCCAAGACTCTTTATGCATAAAAAGGAGTGATTCACTTTAATAGTGGGTCAATATCAGCCCTTGATCCTTGGCAGCATTACCCCGAATTCCGGGAATTAGATATCAGAACAACCTCCGGCTTTCGGAACATCTTCCGCATTCCTTATCTCCTTGCACCTAGAGGAATGAGACATACCCACTCTTCCAAGTAAGTGAGTTAAGATGGCAGGATTCATCTCGTAGAACCAACAACACTCAAAATTGAAGGTCAGTCTAACTCGCTCTCCTTTGATCTTCCTGCCATTCATACCAGACTAGCTCCTTTCCAAGATAAAGGTAAAGGGTCAAGACTTTGAGAGAAATCCACAAAGAACCGGTAATAACAGAGAACAGATAACACGTCTGTGGCATCATGTTTATATTGGCATTATGTCGCCAATTTAATACGTGGCAGCGTCTCGCGTGGTATCTTATGGCGAAAAGATCAGCCCCTCAAAATCTCCTCAATATCAAGCAGCCTTCACGGAGAGCGGTGTGCTGCTAAGCCAGTAGATGCTTTCTTAACCATTGACTCCATCGTCAAAGCAAGCAATCACCTCGCGGCCAGTATGGATTCACAAGTAGCCAGCCTCATTGGATTCAACAACAGTCGCAGGTCCTTGGGTAAGCGAGTAGTTTCTGGCATGAGTAAGCACTGAAATTGGTGTATTGGCCACTCAAGACTCCAGCTTTCTTTCGTGGCGTTAGTAAATGTTATTGTCAGGGGGCTGTGAACAATAATAACACTGAACGGTCCATTAACCATAATAACAAGTCCATCAACAGACCTACTAAAGGAAATGCATCTAGCAGTTGTTTGAACGAAAAGTTTTATCTTGTTTAATTGTGAATATTATGGCATGTTCACCGTTCAGAGACTAAGAATAGGCAGTGTGACAAACCCAGTCATTCTTTATAATAACAGTTGATAGTGTTCTGGCTTGGCGACGTTATGGCATCTATGTTCGAATAGCTTTGAACAGAACCATAACCTCCAACCAGAGTAGAGTATGTAAACGGCCAGATCGACAAAAATCTGCATAAGCAATAACAGCCACGACTGCAGAATCACCCAAACCACCTCAGCACATACTTCCACTCACAGAGTATCCGCCATCCCCTACTTCATAATGTCTGGCTTGTTTGACTCTCTCGTCCTTCTCTTCCCTATCATGTTCTGCTTTACTTACATCAAGGACCTTGCCGCTGAGACTGCGACTGCTGCTTATAATGATGTACTGCAGTTCTTTGCGCGTTGTCGGCGTGCTATGTACTGGAGCCTCTATTTGATGTTGTTCCTGTTCACTCTCGCCTGTGTCAAGGTCTTTACTGACAGCATGAATGCTATGTTTGATGGTGAGAAGCCCTCTCGTGGCGCCTACTACAATTATTTGGTTGTCTATGCTTTAACTGACCTAGAACTCGTCCACTATTTATAACCTTTCTTATGTTTGAACAGGCCTACGGCTCCTTCTCTGCTCACCACTTTTTGTTTGTTATAACTGACCTCAAGCTCATTCACTCCTTTCATCTTTCTTTTGTTTTAACTGAATGGAGAAACTACCTATATCTTAACCAATGGTAAATTGGCGCAGGGCTTGTGACTTGCTGTCGATTGCATACTGCGATGTATAGGGAACACCCCGTCTTGATATCTGGTTCAACGTAGCTTAAATTAATAAAATACATATAAAGGAATCTATTACAAACTCATAGCCGCTGTAGCACAAATTAGCCTTTTACTGCATCATAAAACGACTAAGATCTGCATTAATAGCCCAATGAAACAATTATACGTCTATCCGGCCAGATACAGCTCAATGAAGGCGATGACACTAAACCTACACTAAGCCTAACTAAATCTATACTAAATTTACCTAAGGCTTTGTGGGTTTGGTCACTGAAATTTGACCCAGCGGTTGAAGTGTCAGACACTGAGACGCACTTGAGGGTGTCTCAAGCAACCGAAATTAGAGCACGGTGAATTGTTACAACATAACGGGGGATTGCTGAAACTGAACTGAAAACCTGGCTGGGAGGCACAATCCTCGAATTTGCTGAAGAAAGTCTTGATCAGATTGTCTCGCGGCGCGGCGACCCAATTACCATATGGCAAAAAAGTCAGGGTCGCTGGTATGAAGCTTCGTTTAATGGACCACTAGAGGAAGAGTATAGATTCCTTGGTTGGCACACAACCAAGTTGTAACAAAGCCCAGATCCTACTCCAATCACCGTCTGGTCAGCTCCTACAACTAGCTCTCTTACAACACTTTATGCTAAAGAGATTTTCGGGTCATTCTCAAGAGCATTCTTGGGATTGTAGACCACTTTAGCAACATCGATATTGAAACGGAAACACGACATCTTCTACTGGCAAGTAAACTGGCATCTGAGGTGGTTACCACATTTGTGGAGAACAGGTTGAAACCAAGAGAAGATGCTCTATTGTGCATCTCGCCTTTGCTCATACCCCCACTCAAGATCTCCGGAACTGAAAATGGCTTAGCGAATGCTAGAAAGAGTGCCAATCAGCTCCGAAAGCAGGGCGAGTGGATGCAGGCAGAAAGGGTGCTAAGATGGGCGTGGAGAGTTTGTACCCATGATCAATTTTTAATGCAGGGGCAAATAAATCTTCTCTGGCAGTTGAGAACACCAAACACATGGCGATTGCCTTAGGAGAGTTATACAGGTGGGCGTTAATAGACGACGCCAAAACAGAGGGATTGGGAATGCGCGGTATTCAATGGCTGCCAGAGCAAAAGTCTGATCTCAGTTCACAACTTTTGAGTTCCGTTGAAGAAGCCATTAATCGCTATATTCATATCGCGAAAGCCATCAAAGACGCATCCGCAAGCCAAGGCAAGGGTAATAGGTCTGCGTTTGAAATTGGTGGTCCTTTAGTGGCACGTGCTGAGTAGGCGTAAGATGCGACTTGATAAAAGGCCCGGGCTTTTCAGACTCAGAAGTCGTAGGCGAGGTAGTTTCGCTCTACTACTGTATAGAATCAGCCTGTTTGAGCTCGATGATGGGCGGCGTGGATGCTTTCCATGGTGGACAAGAGTCAGGAACACTTTTTGTGTTGGTCAAGTTATGTTCCATTCCTGATAACATCTAGCTACTCTTTCTTTATGGTGATAATTCTCAGCGGCAAGGTGGCACCAACATCCTTCATATTCTGGGCTTGGTGACCTTAGTGAAGATTTTAATGCACCTTTTGCTTCCGCATAGTGTCCATCGTTAAGTCTGATATCTTGATTTTGGGATCTAATCCACCCCCTCTATCGATCTCTTGTCTCATAACTCTTTCCTCTCCCGTGTTACAGAATGAGAGAGCATGAAAGAAGGGGTTAATGGGAGCATTGAATTAGATTGTGTAGTTTTCAGAATTAATTGAAACTTACTCTATACTCAAAAGTTCTATCAATCACCTCATGTCCCATAGAACATGCGCTTGAAGTCTTCGACATGACGTATTTTTGGAACACAACGACTGCAGCATAGAACACTACTCCACGCATCCCCATTTATTTCTCGCTATCCTCTTCACCTTTAATTCTATCTACCTTGTTCTCAGTCAAGCCTTGCATCTCCTCATTGGCTAACAAGAAATCCAATTCCAACCCATCATCCATCGAGTTTTCTGCCTACTAAGAACTCACATCTAGCTTTAAATGTAACAAGTAAGTTGATTAATAGTCATCTTGTGTTACCGGTCAAGTTGAGGAGCTAGTGATGGCTTGGTTTCTTAGAATAAATACACATTCACGCATCACCAACTTTTGCCATATTATTATTGCGCATTCTCTTAGGCGCAGCTTTCAATCAGTCTAACTGGGGGGTGGCAGAAAACTTTAGACTAAATAGAGTCCTGAATGATAAAAAGGCTTGGATAGATATTAGGGTATCTTAGGTTAGTTTATGATAAACTTAGCTGCTCTTTAACCAGTTTATTCTCTCACCCTAATAGACATCTAACTATAACCGCGGCAAGCAAACTTCTCACTCTACAGGATTCTATGCTTCATGTCCAATCTGTCTTCAGCCATATACAAGCAACATCATGGTACTCCAGAACCGCCATACAAGAGAGTGTGTCCAAAGTCAACATCACCCGTCAAAACTTGCTATCCAAACCAGCGATAGGATCATTCCTCTCGTCGCTGCGTCATGGGTCGCTTGGACTGGCGCTTTGCGATGGGAAGTCCCGCACCGGTATCTTCAGAGGCAGGTTGCTTTGAAGACGACCGGGTTGACACATTGGGACGCGTCAGGTGTCCCACTGGGCAAGAGAAAGAGCGGTCGCCCTTGGTGTCTTGTTGCAATTCTTCTTCCTCATCCTCAGAGGTGAGTTGCTCAGGTGAGCTGGAAATTCGTCGCTTGGGCTCGGTTGGCATCTCGTCCTCACTTTCCTCTGCCTCTCGGCATTGTTGCATCTCCTCCATCTCGTATAAAAAACCACAAAGCTCGTCATATCGAAATGATATGGATAGGTCTTGGACGTCGACGAGAAGGTCCTTCTTGGCGGTCAGGTCGTGGAGGTTGATGGTGAGTTCGTGGCCCTGGTTCACTGGCCGCTGGTTGGCGTCACAAAAAGGCTGAAGGAGATCAATTAGTTTGGATATTGATTGATATGCCAAGCGAACTTACCATTGCTTTGACGACTTGCTCAGCTTCCAATATGCGTCCACATCCATCCTGCTTTGGAGTAAATCGGGGCTTCTAGACCGAGATTGTTGACTCCTTGTTTGTGTGGATGTCAAACCCAACAACGACACGGATCTTTCCTTTGGTTCCGAGGATATAAGCCTCGGCAAGCTTGTCAAGTTTCTTGGCTTTTTGAGTATAAGCGACTTCGACGACTACGCCAGGGTGCTTTGACTTGACATGAGAGTACTGAAGGTCTGGTCCTTTCTGCTCTCTCTTGTCGTCGTCAACAACAGGAACTGAGGGTTGTTTCTCATTGTCTAGGTAGATGCGGGAAGACAAGAGGGATCTGATGCTTTTGACAAAGTTGGCAGTGTCAGTGTCACCATTCTTACGCGGAAAAAGCTCTGACCCAAGCGTTGTCGACCAAACCGGCGAAATTATCGTGTATCGGGCTGTTCATTCGGATCGTTATATTGCCTTTGAAAGGATTGTAGTCGAACCGCCGGAACGACTCTTCGATCTCCTCGCGTGCACTCTTGTACTCTTCGTAGTCAAGAGGCACAGTCTTGTAGAAATCAACGTTGAGATCGGCAGCCGCAATTTCACGCTTGACTTCGACCAGGCTTTGGGGGAGGCCACCAGCGACGGCAGCACGAGCGCGCTCGGTGGAGTCGGGAAGGGTAATGTTTCGAGAGGCCGTAGGGAGCTTGACAAGGGACAGCGGGGGAGGGGAGAGGAGCCAGGGGATACTTCGTGGTTATCATTCATGACTGCAGAGAGAGAAGAGAGGAGAAAAGAGCGAAATGAAAAAGAAAAGAGAAATTTGTTTGTTGTTGTTGTTGTTTTTGCGGGCGATGGCTACCTGACGTCAGCGCGTCATGGTGAGGTTAGATATCTGGTGGGGCAATGGACCTTTATCTTATCACACTCCCGGCCAATGACAGTCACTTGCTCACGTGCTTTCGCGGATGGAACGTGTCTTAAGAATGCCACAGCCAGAGAACCTCGTGTTCAGGGCGAGGAAAACTCCAATATACAACAAAATACATGTACTAAGCTCGCGCAAACCAAACTACAACATCTTTCAAGTTCTCGATTGAGAGTGCAGGCTCAGGCGCAGGTGACAATGGTCACACCAAGAGCAGCATGTTTCTGCCACTGGCAAGGATGGAAAATATTGACAGTTTCCACTGCAGCTCTGATAATCAAGCTGGTCGACCAGTAATGAGATACTTTAATCCTGCTTCTACGTTACTCCTTTCACCAAGAAGATATCTTCTTACAGCTCGGAGAACCATCCCAAACCGATTTTCTTTTAGAAATAGTTTCTCTAGTGCTGTCATCGTGGCTAATTCTGTAAGGTGGGGGGCGAGTTGTCAGATTTCGAGAAGAAATCCAAGCCCTCGAGAACCGACTTGAGTGTGGACGCTTCAATTATAACGGCGCGTAAGCTGGTAGGTAAGTCGGAGCTAAGGGCTTCAACGTAAAACTTGCACAGTTCGATGACCTGTTGTGAAATCTAGATAACTAACTGCAATCACGCTCGCAACTCCACCCAGCGCTTCAGCCATGCATGATTCAGGCCTATTGGTATGAGCGAGACGGTTGGTCGATGCGCGCTCAATGAGGCTCATCCTGGATACTAATACAGTTTAACCTTCCTGTCCTAAAAGTATCTGTTCTGCGCTGCCGCAAACTGAACCGTGTATACCTTTGGCAACAACAAGGTTCATCGACATCATATCACTACTCTACATTCGATGGATTTACACTAGAGGTAAGGCGCGCAGTCTGCGTTAACTCTTGGCCAGAATCAGCCAATTTATTTAGACTCTCATGCTTCTGATCTGGCGCTTGATTTCTTTGAGCTGGTGATCCCATGAGCCATGGAATAAGAACTAGGGCTACAACATCTTCTAAGCTAATGCATTATCATTATCATTCTGTAAATAGCCTTTAGCAAAATTATCAGGACTAAAGAAAAAGCAATAATCGATGATTCGATGGACACGCAAGCTGGCGCAGCTCAAGCCTCAAAGGATGAAATGAAAGTCTAGACCATTGCTGGGGCAGCCAATCAAATCACAGACGTGACGTGCATCGTCAGATCACCTTTTGCCAAAGTGACCCATGCATTCGGCAAAAGAAGATACTCTAGGCTGCCAACAAAGGCAATACGGATAACTTCAGCCATTCCAAATCATGGGTGACCACTTTGCTGCATGCAATGGTGTTCAAGTACTGGATTTAATTCGTGGCAGTTATGAATAATATCTATTTTTCTACCGTCAAGAGAATCCTCAATTAGACTTGGCTTTAGAGTTAACTGAAAGTATAACCCTCGTATAGCCTTGATTTAGAATGCGCTGTGCAGACTCTGAAACGCATGGCTTACACAGCAACCAATAGATTAAAGTCGTATTGCCCTCGGCCGCGTAAGTCACGAATCTCAAAACAGGATAATTCCCGCCTCTAGCTCACATCGCGCCAAGAAAAAGAGATCTCTTGGCAGGCACCTTGGACGCACGGACAGAGACTTCCGCAGTTGATCGGCGAATGCTTAATTTAGTAGCTGTTGAGACTGGTCATCGGAATTGTGAGCGCTGTGATTGGACGCCATGTCACGGACCTGCTGGGAGGGTTACGCAGGCTTGGCTTTGTGGCTTGGAATGCCTTTCACAGTGAGAAGATCTTTATCCTCGGCTTAATGGAGGTGGCTCGGGCTATAAGGAGGAAATTAACCTAGGTCAATGGTATGCCATGCTGCCAAGTAATTTAGACGCGTTTTGACTTGTTATTTCTGTTGCAATTTGCCTGTTTTTATTTGCGGTCAAAATGAATCGTACTATGGGCACTGTCTTTACTCTTGTCTTGGCACTACGTGAGTAGTAAACCCTTCAGCAACGAGCAGAGACTTACAATTATCGTCTTTAGTCGCCGCCATAGTACATGCTTCCCCAGCGTCCTACTGCGACGCACCGTCGAGCAAAATCTGCTACAGCTGGGCTGTTCCATCCTCAGCCTCTTCCCTTTTTGTTCGCCTCGAAGCCCCTACCACCTACCAATGGGTCGCGCTCGGCACCGGATCCCGCATGAGCGGCTCGACGATGCTCGTTATATACCAGGACGGCTCGGGGAATGTCACCTTGAGTACACGAAAGGGACATGGCCATGAAATGCCGATATATGAGGACATGAGCAGTATCAAGCTTGTTGAGGGAAGCGGCGTGTCAAATGGTACATTAGTTGCTAACATCTATTGGAAAGATGCAAGCATTGAAGGGTCTAGTCACTGGATTAGTGCCTGGAAGAAAGGCAGTCCTCTGGATACAAGCGACGCAAGTACCAACTTTGATGAGCATGATGGAACGGATAGTTTTTCTGTTGATCTTTCCAATGCTATCGTCAGTGGCACATCCAACCCTTTCCTCAACTCATCCACTACTCTTCCGAGCGATAGCAACGCTGTCGCTGGTGGCGGTGGAGGCGAAGATCATACTGGTTCAGCGCATGGTGTTATCATGGCAGTCGTTTTCCTCGTCGGGTTCCCAATCGGCTCTGTTCTCATGCCCCTGCTTGGGAAATGGCTCGTTCACGCCTCGTGGCAGATAATCGCCTTTGTAGGAATGTGGGTTGGCTTTGGGGTTGGGAAAGTCGCTGCAGATCGTGGCGGAGATGTAAGTGGTCTAGATCATGTTGTCAGCAGTTGCTAACATTCTGTAGTGGTTTCATGAACCTCACGTTGTTCTTGGGACGATAGTATGCATCTTGATGATCGTACAGCCGGTCTTGGGATGGATACACCACAGGAATTACGTCAAGTACCAGCGAAGAACAACGATCAGTTATGGGCATATCTGGTATGGTAGAGGTATCATGATTGTCGGTATCGTCAATGGCGGTATCGGGTTACAGTTATCTGGTGCATCTACGGGCTTGACTGTTGCGTATAGTGTGGTCGGCATTCTTGTTTCTGCCATTTACGCTGCAGGTGCTGTTCATAAGATGGTCCAGATGAAGAGGAAAGAACATCATCTGGTGTCGGACCCGTCGAATAGCGCTCTTGAGTTGGTGCGGCCGTAGTCTGAAGTTGATAAGTCAAGGACTGGGAAATTATGTTATCTGTCGAGTAACCTAGCTCTTTTTCTTCAATCCAGACCATTTGCGTTGCATGCTACTGGTTTCTTTGCTTTGGAGGTCCCGTATGCGGATTTCTTGCATAGATCGTGATATGAACGTGACATTCAAAACAAGCCTTACAGGTTTATAAGTCCTATTTTTATTATTACTGTTATAATAGAGCATAAAAAGCAAAGGTGATGCTAATTTAAATCTCTTGACTTTATTTATAGTGCATTAGTCTTTAACGCTTTTACTTATAAATATTATATATTTTGAAATATTACAATTAAAATACTTCTTTGCTGATTACTAAAGAATACTATTAAGTATAGTTATATTTAAAAAAAAATATATATATAAAAGAAATAAGAATTTTTTGCGCTAACAGGTTACTGATTACGCAAATAGACTTCCATGGCATTAGTTCCAATTTGGCATAAGATCCATGTCGAGCAATTGGCGACCAACCCTACCCGGTACTCAATTCTCTCTGGGCTAATCACCATAAGCCATTGCAACTAATTTCATTATACTAAGCGCAGACCTCGCGCGTTTTAAACACTCTATGTCACCTACCGTTCTCGTTATACAGGATCCACCAGTTATCACGCCACTGACCAAAAGACGAGTAAATCAACTCAAGAGGGATCGTAAATAGAGTTATTATTAGTTACCTGCACCAAGAGTCTCTGCCTCTTACATAATTAATTGTAACCCAATTCCTTATCATCCCCTTACACCATTACCGTTTAACCCAATCGGGCATGGGAAATCGGGCATTATTTAATCCAAGCCAGTTACATTGCACAATGCAGATGCATTTGCAAGCTAACCGGCGCAAGCAGCCAATCAGACCCTCTCAAGAGGGATCGATCTAATTCGCTTGGACACTGGCCGCTTAACATGGCTGATGTTATCTGCTGTTTTGGTCTCGTCAACAATGACGTAGAAAATGACAGAACTCCCTGCCTTAATGCTTCCGGCATGCTCGCTTTGTAGGCCTGTTCCCCTTATCATGGAGTTCCAACAAGTCTCATTTCTCTATTCCTTGAAGCCAGTATCTACAGACCTTCACGAGAGAACTCTGTCCCTATATTCATCCAACCTAGCTATGCTACTACCCAAGCATCGTCATGCCGACTCATGCCCGCAAAGAAGCCCAGAAGAACAGAACCCAAGTTTAGCGCTAGGGTACAGGGCCTGAAGGTTTAGAGACTTTTGATGCCTAGAGCATCAAGATACAATAAGTCAAAGCCCGCCACAACCTTGCCCAGGCTATAACTGGCCAACTGGTATACATCTATCAAGTTCACAATCTCGTTTGTTCTGCCCCGATCACATTTTCCCAACTTACCAAGGAGATCGAAAGGGACGCTTGGGACGCCTTGTTGATTCCCAAGTTTAGTTTTGTCCCTCAACTACGTACTTTTTGTCGTTGGGCATGATGACCACGGTTAGTCTCATCTCTTCAACCATTGAAGAAACAATATTAAACATGTCATCAATAGTGTCTAATAATCTCCACGAATGCAATAAATACGGATCCCCACCTACTAAAGCGACAGTAATATGTTGTCTCGTCCACGCAAGGGGCAATAGACGTTTTATCCATCCGTGTCCTCGCTAACCTAGTCTTATCGAGACCAATTGGCGGCTGGTTTATTTCATGCTCTCAGACCCGAGATTCAACGTGCTGAGCATAATCATAACTTGAAGATCTTGAGGCGGTGAGCCTGCAAGCTAGTAAAAGCTGGTCGCGGTTTTGGCCAGATCATTAATGTTGGACGGGCCAAAGACCAGTTTTTAGGCACTGATACTTTTTCCTATTGGGTGATTGCGTCGACGATGGATCTACCGGTATTTGAGCAGTTGCAGTTTTGCAGTGGAGAAGAGCTGGGGTCATTGCAGGGATTGTTGACCAATGCTAATGCGAAACGTCTACTTTCACCATTGTTAGACTAACGTTAGTAGGAAAAGCACGAAGCTTATTACATTTAAGGCGCCGGTAGTCCCGCTCGATAGAGCCTTATGTAGGACTTCTTACCCCACCCCATCGGCCTCGTGCCTGACTTGAACTTTGTTGGGAAGCCAACTGACGTTTCCAATGAGTAATAACGTCATTGACTTGGTCAACCACTTATTGAACCTCAAGACTCCAGGGTCTGAGTGTTTCAGGCTATGCACTTTGCTCTTGCTCAGCCACCACAAATTGGTGTCAGCTGAACCTCAGCCCCCGCGCAAGGACCTTCTTTAGCCAATGGAGTTGAAGTTGAGTCTTGTGACGAGGGCTAGTCTTCTCAACAAACCTTAGCAAGCCAATAGATCAACCAGCACCACCTCATCACTCTTTGGGATTTTGCCATCACATTTACAAACAACAGCTGCACGCCTCGTCCGGTAGCTGACTTTGCGAAATGGAAAAATGATTCATGCGCGCGTTAGACCAACTAGGCTGAATGACCAAGGCGGACAAGCTATCCGTGAGCGAACACAAAACAAGAATGTGCCTTTGGCTTAGAAGCTGATCTCACCAGCTGCTCAAGACTTATTTAGTGTTGTCTAGACGCACAGTGATTAACCGTTCTACTTAACATCACAAGTCATCCCAAATTACTAGCCTTTATCCTCCTTGTTGCAGTTACTTCTTCCCTATCACTCCCAGCCATATTTCACGAACCATATATATATTAATCACGCAATCATGCCATTCTTTTAAGATAAACTCAAGACTAAAGACTTCGAACCTGACAAGACCGAATTCGATTACGGCTAGGTCTATGAGGAGCCGATACAGGTTGGTACCATAATGGAGAATATACGACAGCAGAGATACATGAACGCTTTAGCCATTAAATAGCCATTATAGCTGGTCTGATTATCTTTGACATGGCCTTCTGCTTAGGCATAGGTGTGTTGTTGGATTGGAGCTCTTTTATAACCGTGGCTAGCATGATCCCCGGTGGCATCGCCGCAAACATAATGCTTTCCGAATCCTAGAGCAGCACAATGAAGAGCCTCCTCATGCTGCCTTGCTACTTCTTTCTCATGCTCTGCATCGGAAATTGCAGCGTAAGGAGGCTCTTCATACTGCTGCTCTAGGATACGGTGGATGCCTTACCTCAATGTGGAAGCTCAGGTCGGACATTGAATTTCGTGCTTTATATGAAAGAAACTGGTAGCCCTCTGCTAGAACTATAACTGTGGACCCGGAGATCCTGCGCGCGTGGCTGAACGACTGCTCTCAGCATCATGACTGCAAAATGCCTAACCGAGAGAATTTCATACCAACACGACTGATTTACGTGGGACCATCAGGGCTCGCCGCGCGATTAGTGACGAGCTGCCATGCTGACTACCTGGCGTTGTCACATTCATGGGGTGCAATTAGATCCTGTGAATTCAAGACAACTCAGAGTAACTTTCAGCGAAGACTATCCCGCTTTAGCATCACCGAGACTGCCACAAACATTTCAAGATGCCATTCAGGTAGTTTGATGGCTTGGAAAACAGTATCTCTGGATTAACTCCATCTGCATCATCTAAGATAGCCCTGAGGATTGGGAGACCGAAGCAAGGCTGATGGAAAAAGTCTATGCTTCAGCCTACTGCACAATTGCGGCAGACTCCGCCCTGAACTCACACCAAGGGTTTCTCAACTAGAGAACCGACCCCGTCTTGGACACGCAGGGTAATGAACTAGACAGTGTAACCGAGTTTGAGACTTCTGTCAACCAAAGCCATCTCAATAGCAGGGCATAGGTCTCCTAAGAGCGAGTTCCTTCGTCTCGAATAATCCATTTCACAAATCGAAAGATCTACTGGGAGTGCGGCCGCTTTGTGAGGTGCAATGACATGACGAGCTTGGAATGCACACCAGGAAGAGACTATTTTGTCCAAGATCCAGCTTTTCCTCAGATATGTCAGATTCGATGTGACGGATCTATTTATGACGGGTATCGCAAAGTAGGATCTAGTGAACTTGATAGTACTGAGCGCAGATCCTATGACGGAGTAGTAGTAGTTGCGCGAAGCGGGAGCTCGGAATTGAAGCCTGATGAGTCTGTCTGGCTCTTACTTATGCAGAAGTCTGAACGTGGCCGAGGATACCATCGAATTGGGATTGCTAAGGTAAAGGCTGACTATATTAGTCGTTCAGGAAGCCGCGTTGTTATAACGTGATGGAATGTGGTACGGGGCATGGGTTATTGAGATATTTAGGAAGCTCATCCAGATTGACCACCCATATTTGTCATGCTGAAGAAATTTGTGGGTAGATTAGGCTTTACTGGTTTAGAGAGGCGTTAATTAGCGACGAGACCTTTTTATTACACTTAGAATTGGCGAGTTCCCATAACTCAGTATTTAAGACCTATCATAGTCGATGAAGTGTGAAGAGCATCCTACGTATTGATGTTGTGTCGAAAGAAGGAACTGGATAAAAGTGGAGCGTAAGTTACCCTTATGACGGCGGACATTCCTTGTGTTTATTAGACTAGCTCTTAATGGTGAAAGTTGCGATGTAAGACAGTGACCAAAGGTAGATTGGTTTGACAGAGTGGATTGCATGATGTTTGTGCTAGGTGCCGCTCCTATGTGACTGAACCTGAGAGGTCTTTAGCCTTGTCCCTGTAATAGCCAGGAGTAGGTGATCAGGGCAGGTCTTAGGTAAACCGGCATCTATTGAGGACTAATCTTAGATATTAAAGATTAAACTATTAGGTAAAGGGTAGGAGAACGCCCTAAGGCACAGAAAGACCAACAGTACAGGAGGTGAACACATATTATCATCAGCTGTAGGCCAACGTGTTCACTACCCATGGGCTAACCAGGTTTCTCCCTATATTTGGTCCGGGAGGAAGGAAATCAATACATTTAATCTCGAGAGTCTTACCTTTCATTTATTTTCGTGTGTTTTAATTCTAGCTGTACTGCGGAACCTAGCAAACCTGTCATCTAAGCCAGTATTTTAGGTTCTCAGCGCACCCCTGTTAAACTTATCATCCATGGCTTTATTGTTAGAACTCCTGTTTATAAGCAACATCCTAGTCAGTACCAAGCCTCTTACATCCTGACAAGTATACTGAGATAAATGGGTTATGTTTGAATCGTTGATGATATATTGTTCCTTGATCAGCGAGGGATTCCACAAATGTGCAGTCTCCCCAAGGAGAATAGACGTTCTGTATATCATAAGATCTCGCACGCCTTGATTAGTCAAGTAGAACTCGAGCTACCTGAACCAGTATGTCATATGAGTTTGTTAATGTACTAGCAGGATGTTCGAACAGCCAGTGATAAGTGTTCTTCGCCTCGCCTATTCCTCTACCTGAACAACGGATTTATCCTATGCTGCCAGCCACTTCTAATTATTCAAGTAGCTGTGGCTGAGAAGATGACCTTTCAAATTAAGAGAAACGGGAGCAAGGCAACAGCTAAACAACTCGATTCCGGTGTTTGCTGAGAATAACTGTTGTAAGAAGCACTAGCAGTACTATATGGCTATTTCCAGTGGCAGCTGCACCTACGACTTTTAGACGCCTAAAGAGCGATCATACCTGTGGCAGGCATAGCAGAGGGGCATATAAGAGAGGGTTTAAAGAAGAAACGAAAGGCAAATAGAACTAGAGTGTTCAAGGTACATTATCACTATCGTAAAGGAGGGAAAGGAGTGTAGTCGATGTCTCTCATGCGCCGGCAACACATTGCGCCCCGGTAATGCTGTTTCTGTGCGCACTGTTGGTATCTGCTTGTTTCAGCTAGATCTTCCTTACTGATGAACTATTCTAGCCATGTCTGTCCCTCCAGATTTTTACTGAGTGCAGGTCATGGCGTATTCGTTGCTGCAATGACTCCGTTTGGCGGTAAAGTTGGAAAGATGAAAGATCTTGCATGAGGAACATAGCTTTGAGGAATTGGTCCGGGTTGGCATATACGATGTGGATTGTTATGGGGCCTGGCTGGCGAGAGTCATGACCCTTGGATACTCTCGCGTCCGGTAAACTAGGCTCCTAAATGTTCTGTAGATCGTGAGTCTCTTTGTGTTGATGCGCTTCCCAGACGCAGTTGACCTCAGAAGCGTTCAAGGAGAACGCAGAGCTTGGAGATCAACTAGTCGACACCCTCATGCACCACATATGCATCGACCAACGTCTCGCCATTTAGCCATAACGTTGGTTCCATATTAACTCGGGATGTAAGGCAAGAGGATAGGAAGAGATATTCCTCGAGAGCCAGGCATGACCAGCAGACATGATAGGTCGCGTTGAGGAAGTAATTGGAGGGTGTCGACCGTGACTCGTCAATTTGGCTGTTCCATTGCCTCCCGATCTAACTCGTGCCTGTTCTCAAGCTACCAATCGATCCAATCCACAGGACAGATCCACAACTGAGTATTCATGTAGCCGCCTATGCTTCTTCGAGGGCAGATGACGGCGGGAGCGACATTTCCGTTCGTGCAAGCTTTATACATTCGAGCCGTTGCTTTCCTGCTACGGGCAGAGAATGACAAGATCATTGATGTTGATATCATTTTGCTAAGTCAGATCCTTATTCTCGCTTTGATGCAGGGATCTCTGTTAGAGTTTGTGCGACGGAGTTGCGTGGTCTGGGCCATGTTCATCGAGAACCTGTCATAACCACGAGGTGCCAAGGTTGATCTCGTGTTGTAGGTGATACACGATCTTCACTCGTAGCATGACTTCCTCGAGCCGCTATGCGCACCCACCAAGGCCTTGATAGTGGTTGCACGTCGATCGCTCAAGAGGTAAATATGCCGCGTCCTCAACAGCATTGCGAAATGGCACAGATTTGGCGTAATGCGTGGTCTTGGTTATCGGTAATGCAGTTAAGATCGTTCAAATAACATTAGTGCGGCGGCGGTGCTGGACAGATCTCGGTATCTAGTACCAGGGCCTCGCTGAAAGGGTTGAGGTAGTAGTCGTCAGTGACCCTAAGGGCATCATGAACGGACCAGAGGCAGAACCACGGCCGAGTTGGATGGCGGATGCCTGATGGTCATCACATAATGGCCCAGCCAGTCTGCCAGTATACATCCATGGTTACGGAAGCTCGAGTCGCTAAGCTCGAGGGGATAACTTCAGGTAGAGATCTCTACCTACTAAATTAAAAAGGGTATCAATTAAATTACATGAACCAACTTTGAGCTCGAGGCCCGTTAATTTAATAATGAATGCTGCATAGGATCCCATCGCTCGTCCGCATCTGTTGTCTAGTTCATCAGTATTTCGGCATAAGAGCAACGTAGAGTTTGCAAGTTTGTAAACCGTTGTGCCCGTTTAATATGTTTTACAAGCATTCCGCCCATTAGGCCATACATAACCTCTACAAATCACAGTGACACAGACGATTCTTCAACGGGTCCTAACATATATGTATTATTCGTGGGCTTGCATCTTTTATTAAGTATCTTGCTAGTTCGGCATCAGACACGAGCTTCACATCTCATACGCATTAGTTAGCAACACACTGAGAGTAGTAATCGTTCTGCTTGGTGCACTTGGTACCAGAAGCACACTTGGTGGCACCAGTCCAGTTGTTACCACCACACTGACCCCAAGCAGCAACCTCGGCACCAGAGCCGTTTTCGGTAGAAGGAGCCTCAGTAGCGGGAGCCTCAGTAGCGGAGACCTTCTTGGTAGAGGTAGGCTTAGCGACGGTGGCTTTGGTGGTGGACTTGGGGGTGGCAGTCTTAGTTGGAGCTTTGACGGGTGCGGCAATGTTAACGGTAGGCTTGGACTCGGATGAAACAGGTGCAGCATCAATGCTCGACTTGCTGGAACTCCAGTTGTTCTTCTGGGAGAGATAGTACCACCAGTTGCGGTACATCCAGCCGTCGAAGTCGGTGATTTCCATGGAGGCACCGGCAAGCATGATGAACTTGGTGACACCAGTGGGGGTCCAGTCTATTCAAGTTAGTTTTTTTCGTTGTGAAGTGGGAGTTAGTAGAGGATGGAGAGTACCATAGACTAGAATCTGTCAGCAAAGATCTTTTAATGTGAGAGAGGGGTTACGTACAATCATCGAGAGCAAAGGTGTGGCCCTATATAATCTGTCAGCCTTGTCCATAAGATTAGGTCCTTCTAGACGTACCATCTCGTGCAAGAGAATGTGGATGTTGTCAGAGTCAAGGTTGTTCATGAAGTACTCACGACCAACCTCCTGACCCCAGTTATGACCAAAACCACCCTCAAGACCATCCTTCAACCAGAGAGAGTGGTCGTAGTGGCGGTCAGCACCAGCCTTGCAGCCACTGTAGTCGCCATCAAGGTGAGCATCACGAGCACAAGCGACAGGGCACATAGGGACACCATCGGCGTCGAGCTCAGTGTAGACCTCGTAGCCAGTAGTAGAGCCCTGGAGCTGGCTCTTGTCCTTGACGGCATAGGCAACAATGTTGACCTTAACCTCGTCGTAAGGGAAGCCGTTGTAGCCATAGAGCCACTTGAACCACTTCTGGTACTGAGCGTTGTAGGTACTGGCGATCTTGGCTCGCTGGACCTCGGTGATGGTGGCGCTAGAGTCCCAACGGACACAGATGTTAAGGTAACCCTTATTAGCCATGATCTGGTGGAAACCAGTGTTGACGTTGGCATCGAGTCCACCGTCGTAGGTCTTCTCATAGTGCTCCCAGACCTCCTGGAGGGGAGCCTTCAAGTCCGCGGGCGGGTTCCAGCCCGACTGGCGCTTAACGGGTCGGTTGCGAGGCATGTCGGAAAAGCCGCGCTTGCTCTGGGGCTCGGCGAGAAGAGCCCTCCAGACGGAACCGTCGAGATCCGACTGGGCGGTAGCAGACACGGCAAGGCCGCTGAAGATAGCGGAGATAGTAGAGACGCGCATATTTACGGTTGTTTGAATGAGTGAATAAATGACTTGAGTAAAGATTGAATAAAAATATACAAAAAATGAATGGAGAAAAGACTCTGGCCCAAGCAGAGTGAATAAATGAATGTGAGTTGCGATTAAATCAAGAAGATAAGCTTAAAATCGTAGGATGATGCTTATTTATATGCCTATTGCCCATCGGTATCGGTCCCCGGGGCTTTGACAAAAGTCTTCTAGCGCTGTGTTGCCCCATGTTCTCGGTGTCATGTTTCAGACTATTGGATTGAGGTAATGGTAAAATAACAAAGGGTGGACTATTACTAGTAAGAAAAGGTTTAAAAGGTGGAAAATTATTTGCTGGTGGATATCCCTGTCCATCGGAAGTTTTGTGAGACGCGAAAAGGCATGTTTCTTCATACTACCCTAGTCATTTCTGAAACTCGCTAAATAGAATTTAACGATTTACCCCTGGGATATACGAGATAGAAGCATGGATTATCGGATAAAAACTAAATGAGGATGTTATAGTCCAACCAGAATTCAACGCTTACGCGCTTAACGCCTTTCCGCGGTTAGCTTACTAACCTGATCAGGATTTAAGAGTCAGCTCAGGAGAATCTCATTTCCTAATACCCATCTATATACAAACATATCCTACCTATCACGACCTATCATATCCACGATGCCGGGAATACCTAAGAAATGCAGGCGGCCCTGAAAATACGGCACGCTGAAGGATAAGGCTAAGCATGATGTTATCGCCAAGCGTGCTCGAAGACGGCTTCGGAAGCAAACAACATATGACAGTATCGGATTTCTAAATCTATATTTCCTCATAGACAGAAGCATCGCCAGCTATAAACTTATAAAGCATTAGGTCGTGTGGGATAAATCTTTTAGGTGATCCTCCAGAGGCAGATAGGTCGTTGAATCGCGCCGAGTTACCCATTTCGTCAATTGATGCGGTCGTAGCCAGAGGTAAACAGTCTCATTATGCATGTTTATCTCGCAAGGCCCCTCTGAAATGCAGTGAAAAAGGCATCTCAACACAGTTGGGGGTAGCGGTCTACCTTACACAGACAGACGTAACACGGAGCAGTCCACTCAGATGAAGTTGCAGAGCATCCTGCTTCTAATTCAAGACCAATTGACCTGGTATAGTTCTCCTACCTTTGCCCTGGATCTCATGGTGATGGGGATTATAATCGTACTAGATCCTCGCCTCCGCCACGAAGGGAAACCTTGAGCTCTGTTGACGGTTACTTGCCCTGGCGGGGAATATGAAGAGACTTGGTGGGAGGCCTCGAGCGCTAGGGTACTGAACGAATTATACTATATAGGATTGCCCGGACTAGGACGTCTGGATCTCCAAGGCGCATGTGATGTCTTAAATACCCCTTCCAAACCAATGCAGGCGTCACCAGAGTTGCTTTACATACCTCAGAGGTTGCTCATCCCATGATCGGATCTTCCACCAATGGTAAAGTATCCTTCAGAATAGACTTTGTGATCTGGTGGTAGTCACCTTCTGCTCGAGCCCAAGGAAGCTGAATTCTGGCGACTTTTATATGCTCTCAGAGGCTCGTCGTCGAGACCCGCCACTCACCTTCTCACCCCCAAGCTCAGGGTTCTGAGAGGTAAACCGTACGGCTCGACATATCGATCTTACCCTGCACACGCATGCTAAATTGACAATGACCCAGTCTGCCAGACCTAACAACTTATATTTCGTTTGGCGCCGGGTAAGAGCTATCTATTCTAGGCCTGCAACAGCGCTATGTGTTACCTCAATAAAGGAAGGGTCGCTCCTAGAATTAGACTAGCGTACAAGATGATAAAAATATCCTGCCTCATGCTGACTACGCGTGGTATACCTATGGTTTAAAAAGGGCGATATCTCAGCGTTTAGCGTATTGCTCTTTGTACGAGATGGAAGAGAGGGCTCGGACTTTTATCGCTCTGGTTGCATGACTGGTAATGCCGAGGCTCGTCGCCATTAGTCCACTTTCTTTGCAGCAAGTAACAGCTACGAATACACCAACTTAATACCTCTCCGCCTCTAAGCCATTCTTCTTTAAGCTCTTGCTTATCTTCTTATTTACCAGCTACTCCTCGTCGAAAGACTTTCTCCTTCCGATTATTCACCCGTTGCTATATCTCATCCCTTGACGATGGATCCTATCCTGTGGCAAACTATGACAAATGGCTATTAGCAGTACGCAATCGCAAACAAGCTTGCTGAGTTGTTGGAAATCTCAAGGGACAAACCGTGCGGCGTCGGGATGCAAATTGCGTTTGGCCCTATTAGTTTGGAGCAATCGAGTCCAATTGCAAGCAGATGCAGATTGCAAACATGAATATACCAAACAGCTCAAATACGCTGAACATAAACATATTGGCATTAAACATCCTTTCCTCAATAAACACTCACCAGATATTATCCCTTAACTTATAAATAGCCAACATTTCATCTATTTTCCTTAACTTCGCCTCCACCATCTCTATCAAGCTATTACTAAGTAGCACCATTATCCCCCATAATAGACAAGGTAATCCTCCTTTACAATTTATAAAGACAAGACTAACTTATAAAGTAACCTGCAAAAAATACAGCGCCTGCCCTATAGCGGCCTTATTTTAAGGATATAAATCTTACTATTAATAAATATCTAGTAAAATATAGACCTTTTAACCCTAAGATAGCTCCTTTTAAGTAAAGAAACCTATTTAATAGACCTTTTCTTAATCTATCTACTTCCTTAATAATAATAAGATCCCTCTACTTAGGCTGGAGCCCGAGGGTAGGGCAGATAAGACTAAGGGGACTAGGCGGTTAGATGAGGGGTTGAGCGGGAAGGGCAAGAGGACGGTAGGCGAGGATGCGGGAAAGAATATGCCAAAGAATGGAGCGCGCTGAGTCTTGGTGGGTTATTTTATTTAATCTCGATGGTTGCTATTTAATATAAAGGAGGTTACTAGTTACACTTAGGAAGGTTTCTTAAGAGGACTCCGTGATATATCAGAACCTGCCTAAGTGCAGTATACCTCAAGTCTTGTAGGAAACAGTCTGGAATTAAACTCCTAATAAACAGGGTATTATAAAATTTACCATCCAATTTATTGTCAGCTTGCCTTCACATATCAATTTGCGCCCGGTGAAGTATTCAAGGGCGATAGGTCCTGCCACTTCTGCATTCTGAAGCCCCCAACATTGTTAGAGTTCAGCTGTCTTGGATTCTTCAAGCGTAGACCTTGATCTTCTCCTCGCATATCCCCATCCTTTGTTGCATAAGCCCAACACCACTGTATAATGTTTCTTCTTTCTTCTTTGGCCATTGAATCAAATGCCCGGGTCTGCTTTTGCTTACTCCACGCTACGAGCTGCAGTAAAGCCTTGTTCCTGGGCGTCGGTGAGATGGCATGTAGTGAAGAGTCCCCCTGTGCTTCGCCTGGCATCTGGCTGGAGAACCTTTGCGAAAATGGAAGAACGAGACACAAGGTCATTATTGGCTGGCAGTTAAATTGTACTAGTTCAGACGCTCAGTTCTATTTCCAACCTCCAAAGCGAGGGTGAAGTATTCTTAGCTGCTAAACATTCTGTCAACCTCATTAATCTCAGGGAGAGTAATAAACGATCAGCAACCTTGACTGAGATCGCCAAAAGCATATAAGACCATTGGCTCGATTGACTATGGCTCGTGGCTAGTGGCAAAACTAAAGTCAGCAAAAACATACAACAGCGGGGATTCGCTGGTCGTCACCGACCCAACTACTAATCTGCCGGTTAGTGGCTTGACTATGGGAGAGCGGACGGGATCCCGTATTTTCCACTACCTTTGGTCGTATGTACCTTCTGAGCTGTTCTCTCAGATTATATTGAAATGCTGTGAACCATGGCATAGCGTTCAATCCGCACCTGTAAATATTGACGTTGAGTCCGCCTTTGTCAGCAACATGAACAACTCTGACCACACGCGAAATAATTTTCACATCTCAATCAATAACCAAGGCGTCTTCGACAGTTGCTCTATAGTTATTTACTCGGTTAATTCTTTAACGAAAAACAGATCAAAACTGAAAATCCGCAAGACCGTCGTAGTACATGCAATACAGAGTGCCCCCTATTGGCAACAAGCGCGTCACCATATCAAGCGCCAGCTCAAATCTTGACACTCATCCTCATCTGCTCTCAAAGCTTTTGACTGCTATGAGAAAGAGCACCGATAAGACAGTAGGATTCAGCGCTGTTGTGATACTTGGAATACGTAGGAATTCATTTATCATCACTTACGCTCTATCTATTCATCTCAATAATAGCAATCTACTAATTTGATACTAAAAGTATAACCTTGATATTACATATATTAAAGTTATATTACTATTAAACTCTAATAAATAATATTTAAAAAGTATAGAGAAGTATACCTTAATATTTCTTAGATTTCTGTTGCTATGAAAATGTCTTAACTTAGTAGGCGGTTATATACAGTAGACCTCCACTAACTCTCCATTCATCTCACAAGCAAAACTTGATGCTGAATTGGATTGAACCGTCACACGGTGATTAAATATAGTAGCACAATGGTCGGAAATTTGAGCGTATTTGCTTGCATCTGTAAGAAAGCAAATCGACCAAGGATTGGCGGACATTTGGTGTCCTGGGTTGCTGTGGCTCTCCAAAGTTGATGCATTTCAGCGGGAGGATCCCCTGTAGACTTGCAACGCCGGCATATTAAATATAACCATCTTATTTCAATCGCTGAATTAACCCGGTGATGCTGAGAATAAAACGAGACAACACCCTCTGTTTAGAAAGGTGATCTCCGTTTATTGACCTTAATCTTTTGTAAGTCTATGATAGTTGAGGTTCCGGTCTGGAGCGGTTGTGAGGATGGTGAGCCCCACCCGTCAATTGACAACGCGACATGTAGAAAGCTTTTGTCATGGGTTATTAGACACATTCCGATGTGAATGCTCTATAATAAGGGAAAATCGGATTGGGCATACGGGTCTCAGGAAAACCTGACACGCCAATGCTTCATTGAATTGTTACAAATCAACAGACCATACAACACAGTCTTGTAGGGTAGCGTATACATGACGAAGTGCCTGCATCAGCATTGTCACCAGATTATAGGAAGTACAGTTTTTGATAGAGGAAGTGCTTGCTTTAGGTAAAGCTTGATGCAGCCACTTTAACCCAGTTTCAACATTCAATCCGTAACGGGCATTAACATCCCGAGAAAGGGGTCGCAGCATCTGGTGATTGGAACATTCTGTATTGCCGTGGCTTGTTTATATGGTTCATGGTTTTTTCCTCGGCTTAATAAGACGAGATATTAGAGGCATCTTGTCTCGTGAAAGATACGCCATAATCATATTGCGCTATTTTAAAAAGTGCATAGGCCATTATCGTAAAGGCATACCTCAATGAAAGAAGCCACGACAGCCGAATGACACAAAACACATTATTGCATTACAGCTTGAAGCAATCCAGTTTGTGAAGCTATCCGTCACCCCTGAAGATCGGCCAGTATACCGGAATCAACCCCAATTGCCAATACCATCGTCCTGGACGACAGGTCTCGGTGACACAAAACACAGTCCAAGGGCAGACCACTGATGTTCAGTGCCTATAGGAAGTTCATCTATATCTATGCAGGTATGGTTGCAAACATTCCTACTGTATTACGCTCTTCTGGTACCTGGACGTTACATTCCATCAACCCCGCAAAGCTTGTTCGCCAGTTCCCCTCGATATTATCCAAATGGAACGTGCCATTCCATCAACATCCAAGATCGGATCAGTAGACAGACTGTTTCAAACCTTTGCGCCTTGAGATTGGGCACGCTTGTAATACGAAATGGAGACAAGTGGCGAAGCAGCGCATTATTGGAGGCGCGGTGCTACAGACCCAGACCAATCTCAAGAGCTACAGTCGAGGGACCGAACTTTGATGGAAGAAACGCATTTCCTCGTGATAATTCTCTTCATCGCGTTCTAGCTCCCAGGACCAGGATCAGGATTCGCAGTATCGGCTCAGCGTCGCGTCGTCAGAGCCTTCTTTCAGCTGGAAATTACCGCGGCGCTTTTGATGAGATAAGTATAGATCTGCTTGGTCGTATACACAGTGGCAGCTTCAGCAGCTTCGGAGCTACCAAAAGATGGGCCAGTTCTTCAGCTATGGGCAAGAAGCCAACGTCAATTGCCCAAAGCCATTGGTTCGTGGCATCGTACATCCTGCGTGTGTTGCACTGGTCCTTTCTCAAAGCTTCAAAGAACATGTTCAGCAGCGCAGCTATAAAAACAGTATCTCCCCGTGCTTCGCCAAGTTATCTACTAAATGAATCGCCCTATTAGGTTACTTCTGGAATGGCTGGGTCTCGTTTGTGGGGGCGAAAAGTGCCTATGATTAAGAGGGCTGAAGACTCTCCAACAGGTCAATCCATTTCTAGACAATTTTATGAGAACATATTTTCCGTATTCGCAAATGTCTGCAGGCACCTTTGCATGGTTAGTCGACAAATGATGCCTTTCGCTAGCCGTGAGTGGTCCAAATGCAAGCCCGGCGATAGCCTATAATAGAAGATGAGTGATGGCACCCAAATTTGTACTTGGCAGCTCTCCTTTTGACGTCATGTCAACCAACAAAGATCAGGCATAGAAATGAAGGTAGAATAACCTTGGCTCAACTTGACGCACAAATTAATTTCCGCTTTGTCTTGCTTTTCTTGTCCGTTTTGTCGTTAGCATCATCGTCCTCATAGGGTCTCTCTTCCAGCGTCGTGCCAGTTATTCCAGTCAACCGCCCTCCACTATGAATTTAGGACCCTCATCTTATCACTCTTTCTCATTCAGTACACACTGGCTGCAGATAAAAAGTGTTACTACCCTAATGGTGAGGAAGCATCGAGCAGGTACAAGCCATGCGGCTCTAACCGAACAACTTTCAATACCTGCTGTGATCGGCCTAACCTTGATTCCGCGTGTCTAAAGAACGGTTTATGCTCAACGCATGGTGAAGCGGACAAACGAGGTGCTTGTACGGCCCAGGATTGGTCTGGCTGCCAATCGATCTGTCCCAGGGGCAAGTAAACCGACTGAAAAGTCTGCGCCAGAACCTCAGAAGAGAGTAACAGTTCGGTTTACGTAACAAAGAGCGAATATAGTAAATACTGTTGCCACACCTTGCGCAACTATAACTGCTGTAATGGGGGAGACTATCGATATACACTCAAAGAACCTCGGGAAACACCAGTGGCAGCTATAGCTGGTGGTACCGTGGGAGGGGTCGTTGGTGTTGCCATTCTGTTAGGCCTCGGCTGGTGGTTCCGGAGGAGGAGGAGGGCAGCGAGGAAGACCGTCGAGAAACCTGCCGGCGATGAGAAGTCTCCTAAAACAGACCAGGTCATTGACCCTTCGCTGACAGAAGCTGATGCTGGACCTGATATTGTACTGGTCGAGTCAGATGCGGGACCTACACAGGTAAGGACTTTCCACGAGCTGGCAGCCTAGATTGTATATCTTAAGTTTCTTATGTACATTAAATGGTACAACACTCGACCTGAAGATCACATGTATCAAGAAAGTTTCTCGACACAATGACGAACATCATCCTTTACGGGGCCAGAGAGCAGATGCAAATAATATATACTCGCTTCTTGGCGTGGAGGGAATGATAAATGGTAAGGCCCTTCCAGTGACATAACTCCATTAGAAACAGAATCCAGCCAAGAACCATGTAAAAGTGCTTGCAAAAATAAGTTGAGACAATGGAAATTTCCATTATATTCCAAGGTTGCAAGAGACATCTTAGCAGGGATAGGAGGCAGCAACGCTGATTCAATAAGCCCTATTGCCTTGGAGCGCCTGGATTTGCAATACGTGCTACAGCTTTGGCCCAGTCTGCTCTGTTTAGTATTATGTCTACAGTGCTGTCCAATACCGCTGTATTCTTACAGGGCACTGAGATTTCTGTGCAGTCTCTTCCAATTCTTCCACTTCTTATACTGCCTTATGAAGGCATGCTCGGACGGGCTCTTCTCTCTACTTCTCCCTTCTCTATTGCCTGTGTATGACATCCATAATGCGACTACAGCCATCACAACAACAAATAACACTGCCCGGTCCAAGAATCTAGAGAGACGAATCAATCAGGCTCTCGCAGCTCAAAGAACTTTCCAAGAGCTCACATGCAGATCGAACTGACCACTATACGTCTTTCTTGGCTACTTGTTACGGTGACGAAGAGTCTGGTGCATGGAGACTCAAAACGCCGGCGCAGACACCTTTTGCGATCGTGGTGGCTCAACTCTCCGCCAAGTCTAGAGTTGCTTTTTAGGGGGCCACTGAAACAGTAGGGGGAATGGTAATTAGTTTGGTGGTTGACTTCTCCGTTGCCACTTAAGTAACGCCAGGGAGCCCGGTGTTCTGAATTTGTTTATTACGTCGCTTTTGGATCATTTGTGCTTACAAGCATGTTGGCATGGAGGAATAAGGCGGTTGGTGGGTGGAACTGGCAAACCACGTACTTTCCAAGTGTCAGTTTGACCAATACACAGGTCCTCTACATATACAGAAAATTAAGCCTGGAACGATCATAGTGATCGAGAGAGCAATCATTAGTACACATCTACCCAACGGAGAGCCGTTGAAGCTATATCTTCTCTTGTTCTGAGCCCGGCTGTTCTCGCGTGAACAGACATGCTACCGTCAAGCAGTTGTTGATTGGACCAAAGTCATGGCGAAACTGCTTTTTACACGCATCCTCTATCCTTCATACAAATATTTGTTCATTAACACTTAGCTATCCTTCTTGTACCCATTATAAATCTTAGATCATGAAAAAGCTCACTGCCACAAGTCCGCACGCCAAAACTCCCCATTCAAGCCCTACTGCCTTTCCAGCATTTGTAACTTTATCCAACCCAACAACACTATATTTACCACTCTCAGTCTCGAAAACCACATCGCTCTCATTCATAAAGACCGCTCTAAATGAAAATGTCTTGTTCTCAGATAGCTGGGCGGCAAACGGCCGAAGGGTGCTGATGGTGTTCCGGCCAGGAGTAAACTTGTATTGTCCTGCAGAAACGTTTACGCCGGTGTCGATTTCGAAGCCGAAGCTTCTCAGGTCAGTGGGCTGAGAGAACCATTCAAGGTTAAATGTGGGCCAGGTTTTATGCTCTGATGAGTTGCTCTCGCTCCAGGTGACGGTGATTTCCTTCGATAAGTCGAGAGGTGATGATGTGCTGGGGCCGGTGAATTTGAGGGACTCGACGGTGGCTGCTAGGGCAAGCAGAGAGGAGAAGAAGGTTGAAGTATGCATTTTTGCAATAGTTGGATAAGAGTAACTCTTTAGGGAGATAGTTTCTGAGTTCAAATTGAAGGATTGGAAGGATTGAGAGTAAGAAGAAGATAAGCAGACTTTTATAGCCTGTGCCCTTTGCGGATGCCTAAATCATGTCATCTTTAGTCTGAAAAAAAAAAAAATCCATCAGCAGCTATCGTTGCTATAGCATTGCATGCACTGCTCCACATTCAAAACGTGTTGCAATACGATGCTGACGACGCACTTTTGGAGCCATGGATGCAAACCCCTGTCTACATTGTTAGCTTTAGGAAAGAAGCTTACCTCAAGGTTAACAGGGAGCACTCGGCTATTTCCGTAAACGATCTAGTTGACTCTTACCGCCTATCAAAGCTCCATCCTTTTTCAGCCTCACAGGGCAACCGGAATTCCGATAGCTAAAAGGGCGTAGGGCGACTCTTGACAGCGGGCCGAGGTTCGTATGCTGAGTGGTTGCATATTATTCAGAGGTTCCATGGCTTCTGACCTTTGAACAGCCTTATGATCCTTTCTGGGATCTATATCCATGCCCAAATCAACCTTCTAAGACATTAACATCATATAATACTCAGTAATGATTGATGCGGTTATGTTGAGTCGAAAGCCAAGTAATTGGCCTGCCTGAGGTCTTTGCAATGGCCTCAGAGCAACTGCAAAAGCACGATGGTGAGCTTGGCCGTTCAAAGAGCCTCGGTTGTTGCAATACGCTGCCTCGTGAAGGATCCACTGAATGTTTTCTGGCAGAGGAGGGGGTCCCCGGTGATCCACAAAGAGTATTTTGCTGCGAATTGGTTACTTCGTTCATTTGATAATACCTCTTTGCCTAGATTCTCTAGTAAAGGATGTTGAGAAGCTGGGCCGAAAGCTATTGACACCAGGTCAATCTTGTCGAGAAGAATTTCCAAAGAGGCGGGTATGCTGTGAAAGCCGCTCAACTACTCGGGATAATACCTCTGGTATGAAGCTGCAGTGCGCGCAATTGCTTTCTCGGTGAGAGACATTCAGATAGCGCTTGAGTTCGCGATGATAAAGAGTTGCCAGATTATCTCTTGGGGGTCCTGATTCGTTCGAGACGAGCGACGGGTTTCAGGGTCATGATCTTGGTCAGGCTGATCGCCCTCTATCGGACTTACCGTGCTCCTGTCACCTTTCCACGAGTCTAGACATAGGAACGATGCTGGCCTGCATTAACGCCATAAGTCATGATCTATCTTTCTACACGGATCATATCGCAATAGGCCGACCGGTTGCGCCGACGAGGGCAATGGAAGGACGCTATTGAATTTTGGTTCATGATACACGGGTGAGTACAGCTGTGCCGTCCGAAAGAGTTTCACCCTTTTCAAGGCCGTTACAACAATAAGAACAGTCTAAGCTTCCATGGCCGGGTCAATAAAGCCGGCAGTATCACCCTGACGCTTCAAATTCATCACCTTGCTAGCTTTATCTATAGAAGAGCGTTTTTCTCAATAGTTGACAAATTGAGGAGGGTGGTAGACGCAGGCTTAGTTGACTGGCTTGCAATTACCGCAGAATGGGTTTGATTCATCGCATTTGGCTTTTCTTATCCCAGGGGTCGAGTACCCCGTCTGAACCCGTGTTTTGCGTGATGAAGATAATTTTGAAGTGTTGCAAATAGGATGACAAAAGCGATACCATAAGGTGGTTTCTGGAGTTTCTGTCATTTTCAGTTCGCCGAGAATGACGATAAGTATAAGTGACTTGATTGAATATGACAGTTCTAGAAGAAGAAGAAAGACATTTGTTTTATCAGCCAATTTTCAAGAAACTTGGTGCCAAGTGTAACTATAGTTCCGAGGAACCGTCTTAAATATCGCAAGAGAATAGTAGACGTGCTCGCGAACATACAGGACCCAGTAAAGATAATAACCCAGCGATACGATGACGAAACCAGAGACTCATCAGCAGACGAGTGCTGCAGGGCATTGCTGTTGTAAACCAGCAGACCACCAACAGGACCCGCGAGCACGTTGCCAACACCCTTGCCAAAGTTGAGGAGGCCAAAGACAATTGGCCCAGCGGTCACGTCATCCGTGATGCTTGTGCTCATCCTCGCCCAGATAGCAGTGAAGCCGGCCCCAAAGAAACCATATAGAATGGTGAAGCCGACCAGGACGGGAAAAGAGTCTGCCAGCCTCCACATGGTGAGTGTCGTTACGGCGGCCACAAGGGTAGAGCTACCAGCAAGGACATCGAGCGGTAGCTTGCGATCTGAGAGGTAACCAAAAACAAACTGCCCTGCAACCTGGGACACGCTCATGACGGCGAGAAGTACGGGCCCGGACTTTTCGCCGAGGTCAAGAGACGTCGCGAAAGATGGGAGGTACAAGGAGGGGAAGAAATATCCAAAGCCCTGGAATAGGTTGGATACAGAGTATAGCCAGAAGAGTGGGCTTTTGAAAAACGACCAATTCGTCTTGGGCGTGCTGACGTGCTCGGAGGGTGGTAAACGACCGTCAAGGAATGGGATAAGGGGGCCTGTTAAAACGGCTAGGCCAATAGCAACGGCGCGGAGGGTCGTCTGATAGCCGTGAGTCGAGAGGAGAGCCTGTACAACAAATGGCATGATGGCACCAGAAACACCCGACGCGCCACAGAGTAGCCCGTAAGCCATTCCGCGGCGAGCTATCCAGTACTCGTTGACCATCATGAGGATAGGGTAGTAAAGGATCAGAAACCCAACACCATAAGCGACACCTTGCGTGAGGATAAGAGTCTCGAGCGTATTGGCAAAGGAACCAGCCACGAGTCCGCCAATACATATGGGCCCTGTTGAAGCGGAATACATTAGTTAAGGAGCTGTAATTAAGGTGACTGACATACAGCCGACCCAGATCATCTGCCGCCGCCAACGCTGGTGTTTCTGGATAAAAGGCATGATAAACGGGGCCCCTATATAGCCAAGGCCAGAGGCTATTGTGCCGACGACACCGATATATGGACTGCTGGCAAAGGCTGGGATTCTCGAGTAGTAGTCCTGGAACACACCAAAGGACAATGGAAACCCTATACGATGTCAATTCCAGCTATTGTGTAAAGGAAGAGTGCTTTACCCCATAGTAGAGTCTCAAATACGAAGGCGGCGCCGAGTAGTCGCCATGCCGCAATTCCTCCATCTACTGGGGCTAGTTGTGCTATCTCATGCTCATTCTCGGCTGGTATCTCACGCTCAATCGCAGAGTCGGGCGTGGACGTTTGAACGGCATGTCGAGAGACTGCTGTTTGTAGCCAGGCGCGGAGCTCGTGAGACTCGCTATGGCTGGAGATTGCCAACATCTCTGTGTTACTCATTGTGACCGATGGCCAAGAGACAAGACGTGTAAGTTACAACCAGGAAGTTTGGGAGACAACAATGCATATGAAGGGCAGCGGAAGTGGATCAAAGATGGTTAGCCGAGGCTTACGCAACCAATAGGATAAGCGCAAAGCATCATTATGGCGGGGCTAAGGATCCGAGGTTTAGATGAAGAGTAACGTCCCAGCGTGTGGGCTCTGTTCTAGCTCAGCAAATGGTGTTGCGATGTTGAGTAGCTTTTGATATTAAGTGCAATATGTTCCTGAACCATTCAATATACTTCCGGGAGTACTTGATTACCATTTCCAGGCGAAGCCATAGATCAGAGAATTACTAATGAGTGTCGTGGTGATATCTCCTACATCATTGTCCACAGCGCCTGCGATCCACAGCCCATCCAGTGAGAGGCCATCTGCAACATCTCTATCTCGCGAGCCGTACTTCCATCGCTCGCGGATACGTAGCACCGGGGATAATCCTCAAGTGCGACCGATCTATATTCATGTCCGCGACAACGACTCAGCCGGTACAGGTTCAGGATGTCAATGTCTTCCTCGCACCGAGTCTCGTATGGCTGTCCCCATTGGAGCAGCTGGAGGGCAGAACCTCCTGATAAGCGGTGTTATTTCCTTCTAGCCAGGATTACCAAACGCAGATATCTATTGTACTCCGATAATTTTTCCTCCACTTATCACAGAATCATGAATATGTTACACCGTCAAAGGCACACACAACAAGAGATCGTCATTCCCTCTACCGTTGGAGGCCAGATCAGAGGCAGAGGTGAAGGCATCGTGTGGCGGGGAAACGAGGCTGGACTGGCCCGCAGTCAAGGTTATCATAATCGGCCGTAACACCACTAAAAATAAGCCTCGCATGATAAATTACTTTTTGCAATAGCTTCAATACACTTAAATTGAGTCACAGCAGAAATTTCGAATTGATTGCGATAAAATTAGAAGTCTGAGCCAGCGATTTCCTGATTTTCTCACCTATTTCTCACCCATCGGCTGTCCCAGAATTTTGCCGCCCACTCTCTGAGTGGGGTTTCCGTTAGGTCAGATCCACGGGTACATCAAATCAAAGGAGCACGTCCAGACAGAGAAGCTGACGCCCATTGGGTTGGTGTCTGATCTGCATGCAGGCCAACGGACCAGATTAGCTCGGGAACCGCTGCGCTAAATTTGGATTCAGGGGGCATGACTTTAGTGTATGGCGTCACAGGGACATGCCAAATTTATCTACAAGTGAACCCTTTCCTTTGTAAGCCGCTCGCTTTTTGGCGCCTCCGCGGTGCATCCTCCCGCCTGTCTCAGTGATTGTCATTGTCACAAGCTATCCTCATGGAGACACGGAGCCAAGGCATAAACAAGCACTGTTTATTTCTTATATGTCTTCTATATCGATAGAGCTCCTGCGTTCGAGCCCAGTTGACGGGCTTCCTATCCACAACGCGCCTTCTTGATCATTCCCCCGCCGCCATCCCTTTTCCCACATGGAAAATTTTTAATCGCTCCTCTTATCTGCAACATCTACAGCAGTCACGAGCACTGGTGGCGGGAAGCTTTTGTTCTGCCGTGCTCTGTTGGTAACAATCGGCTTATATTATCAAGGTATAAGTTATCCTGACTTTTTCCTCATCCAATAGCGGCAATGCCTTTTTGGTAGACTTAGACTTATACTTCTTGCCTCTCCGGCGTATGCACATATTTACCTTGGCATTATAAATTTTATAGATATTTAGACCGTTCTTTTTAAAAGTGCTCTATTTCTTCTCAAAAATCTCATTACTTCGGTCTCTTTCGATCCACTAGGCGTGCTTACCAACTGCCATCGTGAAGGCATAGAGAAAGGTTGACGAAGCAAGGACTGCAATCTCGTCAGGGGGCGGGGTATAAATAGCTGGTTCTTCATTGTTATCACCAATTTTGGCAGATGCCATGTTGGCGTTGTTGGTTTTTAGTCTTGTGTATTCAGGGACCTGTTTTGGTCCAACTGGAGCCTGACTCTTTTTGCTCCCCTGTTTTTAGACGCCGTAGGCGAGTTACCCCACACACGTAGCGAAGACCTAAAGGTGCCCCCTGCACAGGGAGGGATGCACGCTCACTTGACGGCGCGTCTGGATTGCGCCTTTTGCGCTCTCCAGGTCATGGGTGCTGTTTCAGGGGCTGCATTGTGCTAGAGCGTCTAAACTTCGGGTGCCTGCTTATCTAAATGGAAATATGAGGTTCCAATTTGTCGCATCCAACACGAGACTCTGGGCCACGGAATTGACCGTCAATCCGGCTGCAACACAATAGGCCAATCAGCCTAGATTAGGCGCCGAGGACGAAACCGATGGAGGATGACTCAGTAAGTAATGGTGGTTTGTGTGCTGCAGGCTGCGCCCAGCCTACTGCAGCCGCACAGCCCCTAACATTTCCCTTTGTAATTTGGCATAGTATGCAATATGAAAGTAACGAGGCAATCATTTTCCCTTCAGCCCAAAATAAGGCTGCATTATCCTCAATAAACATTTCGTCCATACGCACTATCGTCTTGTCATCAGTAACCATGTCCTTCGGATACGCTGTCGGCGATGTAGTTGCCGTTTTGGGTCTTTTTGAGCGCATCGCTATTGAGCTGCGCAACTACAAAGACGCTCCGGCGCATTTCCAACTTCGCGCCGAATTGAATCTCGTGCGCAACACCCTTAAACACGTCTTGAATCTTGACCCTGAATGCGTGGAAGAACTCCAGACTTTGGAGAAGATCAGAGCTATCGTTGTGCATTGCTCGCAACCCTTGCAAGCTATGGCCGACAAGATGCGATCCAAAGACAGCAGTCTGGGTCATTTTAAGACAACGAGAAGCCTCAGTGCTATCGGGATAAGGCTTCACTGGTCTATGATCGCCAAAAGCGATGTGGACTCACTGCGGCAGACTGTTATGTCGCAAATGTCTGCGATCAACATTCTCTTGAGTGTGCAGCAACTGTTAGTGAAACTCTAGCATCTAAATACGAAGAGGCTAATTCCCAAATAGCACTCGGATGAAGCGCCTCGCACAGCAATCCAAGTCTGTCGGGACTGCCTAATCGTTGGCGATCGAACAGCATGCAAATGTAATAGCCAGGCATGCTTCCAATATCTTGAGTATAACATCGAGAACACAGAGTGCAGTTGACACGCTAGCAGCAGATGCAAAGGTCAGTGCGGAGATACATTCAAAGCAATCAAAGTCGATTGATAAGCACTTGACTGGCATCGAGACAAGCATGCTTCACTTGACACGACAAGCAGAAAAGGCGTCGGCCACCGCGCGTCGCCATACGGCCTTCCTAACTCGCTATGCGAAAGCTTTGTTTCGTCTTATGCAAGATGTAAAGGAATTATTCATTTTGTATATTCCTACTGTCAAATATACCTTTTTTACCTACTAACTGGTTCAGTCTAAACAAGTGCTCAAAGGAAATACTTAAAGCTATCGGCAGAAACACGTTCGTCTTAGTACCAGGGTTCAAGATGCCAATTCACTGACAAAGATCTAGGCGCATGCTCCTTGATATAAGCGGACAGCTGAAACGTATTATACGAGCTATCGAGGCTATACCACTCTATCCCACGTTAGATATCGTGCGGCTTGGCGATGCCCTCGGCGAAAGCTGGGCCCTTCCGTTACAGGCTTGCAGAACCTGGGAAGTGAGTCACAGTCAGTTGGCGGTTGCTGTATGGGAGCATTAACTGTGTTCTTTATCATGTTGCCTAGACTACGGCTCCTTTACTTATATAGTATGGGAATATTAACTAAGAATAATAGTCATTTTTCGATTTACTTTAGTTCGTTGTCTATGCAAATGAAAGGCCTGGTGTGAATAACATTGTACGGAATCTATTCGCCCTTACGCATGCAAAGACCGGGATGCAAGTCAATGAAAATAATTGGGCTGGTTTGATCAAGGCAGGTTTCCATGTTGAGCAAGCCATGGTCATTAGAGCAGTTCATTTAGCAGAGAGGTGCGCGGATCCGAATTGCACCGGAACTCCTTAGAACCAAATCCTGGATTTTGGCTCCCGTAAATCTTGGTGAGTGTGTTGCAAGATATGCATATATAAACTTGACTGACGGGACTCCTGTAACAGCAACATTTGTGGCCGATGGCGGACGGCAAGTCTTACTCCAATCATATCTTTATATGGCGAATCGCCTCTGTCAATTTTATCTAATGTGCGTTCTGAAAGGTCAAGGGTTGATAAAGAGAAGTTTGGCCCTCAATTGCCCCGGGTCGAGGCTGAGCAGAAAACAGAGAGTTTTCGCAAGGTTAAAGTAATCTATCGAGCAAAGTCTATTCGAGATGTTGCGGATGCATATGCTCGGCTAGTTGAGAACCCTAATCATTTGACAGCAAATGCGATTGTTGGTCTAGAACTGCTTCGAGTTGTAGAACATCACTATGAAGACGAACGTGCTCGGGAGTTAATACGTTATTTGAAGTTTGTCGTCTTTTCGGGTAAGCAGATACCCTACTGAGATCAAGATACGATTAATCTAAACACTAAATGACTTCCCAGACTGCACTGCTGCTAAGAATTGGTACCTCTTGGGTAGAGCATATCTGGTGCACTAAGACTACCGGGGAGCCTATGTTTGCCTGAAAAACGCGATCGTTCTCCAGCCTAGGTACCCTTCATTCTAGATAACTCGCAGTATTATATACTATCAGGTCACCCAATACGTGGACTCCTATCACAGCTTGGCAAGAGCTGTGAGGCTAAATCCTTACCTGTACGAAGCTTGGTATAACCTTGGCGTTTTAGTAGGTTATAACTCTCTGCCTCTCTTATTGGGATGATTCATCTAACCTGTGAAGTATGACAACTGCAACTAACAATACGCCGACGCCGCAGCTGAATTTAAAAAATGCACTGAGTTAATGCCAGGCTTGTCCGATGCTTACGTATGGCTCGAAGCCTATCAGGCATACCTTTAGGATTCTAATGAGGAGGTGTTGCGAACTTGCCTTATTCGCACCATGATCGAGACCCCTCTCCAGACACAGTACGAGGCTGTGGACCAAGCTGAAGGTGAATATATAACCCTCAATCCTATTCAGGAGACTGGACAACGAGGCTCAGATGATGATACTGATGAGGAATACTCTGTCTAAGATTATGGATCGGATTCTGAAGGCAGCGACTTACTGTCTAGAAAGTCGGATAGTAATTATTTCTATGGGGAAGGAGAATATTAATTAAGCATGAATAGTTTTACGTTGTTCTAGTTGATCTTGTGTATAATTTCTATTTAATGTTCTAGAAGGTGGTGCGGAGCCATATTCTTATGCTAATCTTCGTAAGGTTCTTACTATACTGCACAAGTTTATTTTTATTTTGAGCGGATCTCTATTGAGCTTTGCAACTAGCAGGGCGCGTATGGTTTTACTGGTTGAAATCGCTTAATTTGATGGAGACTTCCCGGAAGACTTTTGAAGAAAGGATACAGTGTCATTTCCAAATTAACCAATAAATTTCTAGATGATCTCTATTTCCGTTCCCACCTGAAGTTCCCCGGTTGGCTGGCTAGGCTGGATACACCATTTCGCCGATGCTACTGCATGTTGGTCGTCAACACATGCAAGAATGTGGCACAGACTTGCGATAGGGGTACCAGCAAATAATCCAAGGGCATCCCAATGACAGTATTAAAAGCCTTGCTGAGAAGGGGCAATCTACAGTTTACCTGTACTGGTAAACTTCTGGCAGTGATATCGAAGTCAGTATGAAAACGACTATGTTAAATCGGGGGCGGCTACGAACTAAAATGCTGTATGGTTCATTGCTCGGAATTCGATATCCATTGGTGTTCAGTATCAGCTTGAAGGCCCCATAGTTTTGAAACATCATTATCTTACTCCACAAACAAGCATATTTCGGCCAAGTGTTCTTGGGTTCTAGAAATTAAATTAGACATTACTGAATAGGGAAGGTGTGTTGGTTGTTGCGTTTCAGCCTCCAGACAAAAGCAAAATACTGCCCCCACAAGAAGGCAATTCGGCTAAATAAGAAGTGCTCGTTTAATTTTGATATAAGAGGGAACTTGGTTCAAGAACTGAATACCTACTCATCTCATTGCCACTCCGCTAAGTCCGTTGCCACACTCTTTAGCATACTCTTTACGAAAATAACATGGAATCCGAACGCGACAGCACCCCGTCTATCTGGCGTAAGCCCATAAACACAGCCGATGCTGTTGCTCGGCCCACCAGCGTTGAGTCTAGGTCAGTTGAACCTGCAAGTGAGCCGCTTCTATTGGACCAAGAAAACGACCCAAACACTCCTACAAAAGCTTTCGATCAAAAACAATCCGCCAGCGCTGTTGGTGTAGTACCCATCAACGACCAAATTCACAGGTCGACTTTGAACCAGGAAGATTTTGCCGTTGGGGGATACAGGACAGAGAAAGTCAGTCCGTGCGCGGAAACCATTGTCCCAAGTAGGGTAAGCTGGCAAAACACCCTGCGGCGTATTATCGAGGGTTGGTGGCAGGAGATGCTTTGCTGTTTAGTCAGCGTCGTCGCTCTAGTAACCCTGACAATGACCTTGAAGAAATTCAATAATCAGCCTCTGCCTGATTGGCCATCCGGTATCACTTTGAATACAGTTCTAGCTTGCATAGCCACCATATGCAGATCCGCACTACTTATTCCTGTAACAGAAGGTTTAGCACAAGCCAAATGGGTTTGGTTCAAGCAGCCACGACCGCTCAAGGACTTCGAAGCATTTGACAAGGCGTCAAGAGGCTTAGGTGGTAGCTTAAACTTGCTCTCTCACACCAAGGGATGGTAAGCTCTGCCTCCCAGATACCTAAGTTCGTACGGTTACTCACAAAAATAGGTTTGTTGGTATCATCGCTGCATTTCTTTTGAGTACCACGATTGCAACATCAACAATCACACAATTTGCCGTCACATACCCGTCTAGATTTAACCAAGATGGAAGCAAGGGAAGTGCAGAGGCATGGAGGTTAGGGGAGAGCTGGGGGAAGGATGAGTCGAATTATGCTTTCAGTAAGTCACCCACTTCTTACCACTGGCTTCTAACAACGCACATGCTGCAACATTTGGTTGGTAAATGTCTGACAAATACGCATAGTGAACAAGCCAGCAATTGCAAGAGGTGTCAGACGAGGAATCCATAATTTGGTGACCGAAACGATCCCCTTTAGAGAACCGAAGTGTGCCTCGGCCAACTGCAGATGGCCAGAATTCCGCACGCTTGCTATAGGATACGAGGCTACGAGTATGTTATATATCACCCCTCCAAGACGGTTGCCCGTCGTATCTAAGGTTTTCCCCAGATGTCACCCACCTGATCGAGGCGGATGTCAATTTCCACGATGGTAATCCTAATATCACTCTGCCGAATGGTGTTTATACAGAACCGGGCAAAAGTCGTGTCAGATACACTGGCGCCCCAACATTTTTCCTTGGCAGTGGGCCAACTCTAGTACATCAGCATTTGCGAAATGCATCAATTCTCGATTATTTTGCTATTTATTGGGAGCCACCTAATCTCATACCTTGGGCAGTCGAAGTATCCTCCTATTGGTGCATTGACACTTATCATCCTGAACTAGTCGATAATGTCCTTTGGATGAACAAGTCGGCATCTCAGATCCCGAAGTTACACGCATTGCAAGGGGATGACTATCGTGGATACGTGCCTTTGGAATCACCAGGCAAAGACGACGTCACATGGACCATTGGTGGGCTATCTACGAGAACAATAGCATCTCAGTTAAACGAATCGCTAAGTGGCTACACTGTCGTTCTAGCAGGAGAACCAATGCGTGGTACATCAGGCAGTGACATCATAGCACAAGCCACCAAAGAGGTTGTACAAAAGCTTGCGAAGGGCAATTCCACGCTTGAAATCCAGGAGGCAGAGAGAGCTTGGTGGACCGCCCTGGAGGGCATGGCGGTAAACGTGGCTAACAGTCTCACAAACACGCAAGTTCAACCAATTCTTTATCTGTTGCGCTATATCCTAATACCGGCTCGAACAGACTCCTTCCTGATCAGTCCAACGTCGATGGTGTTTCATTAAATACCGAGGTATACGTCCAGGTTCGTTGGGAATGGTTGGCACTTCTAAGTATGCAGGTTGCCCTCTCTATCTTTCTTCTGATTTGCATTATTGTTGAGTCAGCGAAAGCAGAGGTCGAAGTTATGAAAGGTTCGACAGTGCCAGTATTGTTTGCCATCAATGCGGTAGATAAGGCTAGGATGGAAAATGGGGACATCGATTTGGATTCATTGAGAGAGATGAAGCATCATCAGCAGCTGGCTCACGTTAACCTACACAAGGTCGGTCAAAAATGGGTCTTGCAGTAGAGATAGCTCCAGTTAGACTATTCTGAAAGACGAATAATGAACCAAAAATGTCGCAGCATATGTTGATAGTTGGTAGTTATTCTCTGCGATGAATTTTATTACAAAAATAGTCTCTACTACTTACCTCTAGAAAAACTGAATCGTGGTCCCAATTCAAACTGTAATTAAAATGTCGTCTTGCCGCCCTCAGTGATGCGCTTGAGCAAGACATCCCTGAGAGAGCATTCCTCGAACTGAGCAAGAAGCATGCTAGCTTCAGACGGGGCTGGCATTGCCTCCGGTGGCGTTAGACTGTACATGTCGCCACCAGGCGTTCGGATATCGCTAGGTAATTATATGGCATATATTGCTGATTGTCTTATGCGAGAGCTCTGAAAACTGGCGGCGGTACTGCAGACCGAATAGGAAGTAGATTTTAAGACCTTATAGCGCTTATGACCCTGGTAGATATTATCTAAATTATTATCTTCTAAGCCAGAATCCTTAATATCTATAAGAAAAAAAGAGTTTTCTTTATAATATTAAAATCCTAGCCTATTAAGACTATCTTTATTTCCTAAACCTTTACTGCCTATATTATTATTTTTATATTATATAATTTTATATATTTATAAGGATTTATAATAGTAATAATAAAGTAATAGTAATATAAAAAATTCTTTAGTATTAGAATTAAATATAGCTTTTATAGCCTTAAACTTAATATAAGTAAATATAATACTTATATTATCTAAGGCTTATCTTTAACATCATTTATTGAATAATTTTATAAGAAATAGGATATAAACTTTAGAAATAATATTATTATATAACTTACTAGTAAGTATTTTATTTTCTTAAATTAATACTGAAGCTATTATAATAAAGCTAGTAGTTTAAAAAAAGTATATATAAGTTAAAGTAGAATTCTAATAACCCTAGGAGATATAATAAATCTTATAATTAGAGATAGTATTAACTATTATATTACTTTATTAACTAGCTAGTTTAAGTTAAAGCTATTTCATATTTATTATAATTAGATATAGCTAGCTTTTAGGGCTAATAAGAGGGGTTATAAAATTAATATCTTAATACTTAAAAGATATATTCTTAATTAATAAGTAATTTATTTTATAAGATTATTAGCTTAATTTAGCATTAGTAAGGTAACACTTATTTAACTTATTTAGCTAAGCTAGGGCAGCATTTACTTAAGTTAGGGATATTACTAATATAGTATTTATACTAATAGTAGCTTTTAATTTAGTTATATTATATTTAGTAGTAGTTAGGTTTATAGTTAGTTATTAGAACCTTTTACTTAAAAAGAGCCCTATAGCCTTAATAACTTACTTAAATAATCCGAGGTACTAGTATATATTATATAAGATTATAAATTATTAAGCTTTTAACTTATATTCTCTTTATCTTTAGTATTATACTCAACATCAGGAATACAAATTACTATATCCCTAGATCTTCTAAGAGCTAAATATGCCTTCTTATTATATAAAGATACTATATCTAGCTAAGAGGCAGGAGAAGTAAAGCTTTATAATAGCTTCTATTACTTAAAGTTAATAATTAATAAGGTTATATTTAAGTTATAGTATATTAGGTAGAAAAGAGTTAAAGGGCTTGGTATTTATAGTATAGCCAAATTAAAGATAAAGATAGATAGGTATTATCTGGCTTATATACTTATAGCTAAGCTATGCAGCTAAATAAGTCCTAGCCCCTTCTAGGAGCCAGGCCTGGTGCCATCCTGGTGCCTCTCCTCGTTCTATAAGATTACAGTAGTTTGGATAGAGGAAGATATATAACTGCTTCTCCCTTATGCTAATTACTTTACTACCAGGCTATACTTCTTATATATTACTAGGGATCTATATTACTTACTAGTAAGGTAGAGTTCTTAGGAGATACTAAATAAGTCAGGTTATAATAGGTATTAGACTATTTATATATAAAATATTATTTTTAATTAGTTAGATAGCATTAGGTAGAAAGTTTTAGAAAGTACTAGCTCTTTTACCTAACTATAATAAAGCTTAATGCTATGCTTATATATATTAATTATTATATCTAATAACCTTTTAGGCTATTTAGAGAGCTTAAGATGCTATTATAAATATCTTATAATCTAGCAATAGCAGGACTAACAGAGGTTATATATATGCAACACTAATAGCTTGCCGTAGAGCGCGCGTCCCTCTCCTCACCTAATTATCCCTTTTGGCATGCTGACTTGCCCTGTTTCTGAAGTGTCTAAGCCATCGCGATCTGCATAGAAACAGGTAAGTCAAGGACTAACAGGAAGTAATTAAGGAACTTCTGCCTAAGCAGCAGGTAGTCTTAGTAATACCTAAATAGGGAATTAGTAACTCAGGCCTTATTAAGCAACCTATAATTAAATGCTTTACCTGCGCTACTGTTACGATTCGTGCCCGTAACAGCGCTGTAAGGCTTCTATAAGGCAGCTGTAGCACACCCATAATTGCTTGCATAGCGATTATGGCCCGATCTTTTGCCCTGTGGCTTAACGGCTTGTGCAACCGTTACAGCTACCTCCTAAGAGAACTAATTAGGGAAGGAGATTATACTAAAGGCCTCTAGAGTAACTTATTTTAGGTTTAGGAGGTAAGTCTAAAATAGTAATATCCTCTATTATATAATAGGGGGCATTAATAAGCTATTATAGTATTTTTACTATTAAATAGGCATTAACTAGAGGCCTTAAAAGGGAAAATATTATTATAAAATACTTTATTATTACTTAAGAAGTATTATATTATTATAAAGTAGCCTTACTTAAAGAATGCTCTTTAAACTATTATTATTATTATTAGATTTTAAGAAAAGAGGATAAAAAAAGAAGCTATATAAGATATAAATTAAAGTTATAATAATATTAAAGAATATAATTAAAAATAAATATTAAAATATATCTTATTCTCTTTATTAATAGGTATTGGGGGTAATATAAGTATTATAAAGTTAATTAATCCCTTTAATAAGAGAACTTTATTCTAAATTAGAATAATAATATAATAGGATAGGTAAAGGGATTTAGGCTAAAGGCAGTGATACTTATAGAAGAGTAAGAATAGCAGATATAAAGGGGCAGAGCATAGGAAGAAGCAGAGATCAAAGATATATGTTGCCAGGGACGGAGGTTCTTGACTTATATACAGGGAGTTACGTGATATCCGGCCAGGCGGGAGCTTGGCATGCGCGTCTTGCCTATTTAGGCGGTGCTGCTAAACCGGAGGCGGCAGCAGCGTGTTGGCGATTACTACTATTATAAATATAAACTAATTATAAATAATAATTATATCTTTATATTTAGCTTTTTAATAATTATATTTATAAAAAAAAATATTTTAAGCTTTTTATATTATATAATAAAGTTATAAGCCTAGTACTTATTAATAAGTAATATATTATAATTAGTAAGTAGTTAGTTAGCTATTTCGTTAATAATATATAATTAAGGAAGAAATCCTTATATATTTAGGTTAAGAATAAATTAAATTGTAATCTTTTCCTTTAGATTTAATAAATAATATAATTTTAAAACCTAATTATATTAAAATTAGAGAGTATTTTATTGGTAAGTTAAGGTTAAATAATTAACTTTATATATATTTATAATATATTAGAGGCTTAATTTAGAATTAGTTCAAAGTGCCTAAAGGGCAAGAAGTATTCTAGCTTTATAATTTAAGTCTAATATGCTTAGTAGTTTAAAGGTGAAGAGCAATAATAAAGAAAAGACTGCACAAGACGATATATTCCAACACTTCTCAACTACAAGCTAAGTGTAGACTGTTAGTTAGGTTTAATTAAGATAAGGTCTTTATTATAAGATAGAGAATTAAATAATTAGTTTAATAATATCTAATATAAAGAAAAAGAGTATAAAATTATATATAAAAAGAAGCATAGAAAACTAAAGTCCTTAGGGAATCTGTCCCTTTATGTCTGTTACTACAGACATCTATCTGACCCTATTAACGAAGCTTAGACCTCTTACCCTAGAATGCTTGCTATAACCATTATAGTAGTTAATAAATTAATTAATTAAGTAAAAAATTAGGTATAGGAGGGAAAAGTAGTTTATATACTTAGATGGTTTATATGCTTATTATATATGTTATATAATTAAACTTTATTTTAAATAATTTACTTAAATTATATAGTTAAATAATAAGTTAGTAATATTTTAAAGGTTATTACTTATTAACTCCCTTATTACTTAGGGTTATATTTTTATATTATTATTAGTATTAGGTATTAATTCTCTTTATTAATTATAAACTTAAGGTTATTATTTTTTAATTATAGCCTATAGCTAAATTATTAATATTATCCTAACAGAATGTTATTTTAGTAAAATAGCTTATATATAACTTATAGCTATTATATAATTTTATTAACCTTAAGTATTCTTATATTAAAATAATACCTAAATTAAATCCTAGGATAAAACCTTAGTAAAAATAGCTTAAATAATATATCCTAACCCTAATCCAAACCTTAACCCTAATTCTTATTATTTATTTAAAATTAGAGCTTAAAACTATTTCTAAAAGCTTAAAGTTAATTACTTATTTAGCTATTTTAGCTAGTAGTTTTAAATAAATAGTAGTTTTATATAAATAGTTTATATACTTATCTTTTTAAGCTAATTAGCTTATATTACAATTAACCCTAACCCCACTTATGTTCATAGTTAAGTGTAAACCTACCCAGGACTGGCAACTAAGTATAGTCCTTAGATTGTAACGATTTGCAAAACCACTAGCATTTATAACTTTTAGCAAGTCCATAGCTGCCCAACCACAGGGTCATGGAATGCCACAATTACTAAAGGAGGCACTTCCATCTAGGCGTGACTTGAATCATCTAATGCAACGGCTTCGACCATGACAACATTAAACCTTTTGTATGTCTGGCCAAATGGTAGGGCTTTATCACCTGTCTACTGGAGACGCCGATCCTGGCCCGGGGAATTTGACCGCGTTCTTGAATGGCCGTTGACGGAAGGGTTGAGTGTGCCAGTACATCGCCAGCAACAACTGAGAGGGTCAGGGTAGCCAGATGAGGCCAGAATGGCGATGGTGTCCATGTCAGAGATGATGCGGCAAAGAGGGACATCGGGAAAGAAGATGAAGGCTACAGAGGTAATAATCTTATGCTTGGATTGTCCACTTCATTAACTCCATGAAATAACAGAAAACACGACATGCAGATAACAGTCGCAGAAGAGCGAGCGGTGGTATTAACACCTGGCGGGTATTGGCGCTTTTCTCCGGGTTAATTATTCCACTAACTATTATCGGCAGATTAAGTAACCTTATTAGTCTAGTTTTTTACTAATTATCAGCTCCCCCTCACAGAGCATTTTAAAACTGTTTAGCAACTAAAGAGATACAACCTAACGATGAACTATTCACATCAGAGTGATATGAGTCAATTTGAATCTGTCGCCGAACCTCCAATATCTAAGAAGCGCCAGCGTGGTTACATACGGAGCTTTAAGGCCTGTGATAGATGTAGGGCAAAGAAGACAAGGTGTATCCTAGATAGGCCTGAAGAGCCCAAGACTGTCTGCCAAAGATGTAAGAGAGAACGACAACTGTGTTCTCTGACAAGTCAATCAGTGTTAGCAAAGGACGTTGCAAAAGAATGCGACATTTCCCATGTTAGAACCAGTCATGAAGAAGGTTAGTTAAGATCATGGGCCTAAGTAATTGAGTCTTGCTGATGACATAGGGCCAACTATTCCACACAATGAACACAGCATTTCTAGGCCAGACAACACTCATAATAACCCTACCCGGTCTACCCCAGCGGCTGAAAGTGATCAGGAGGGGCCAGCGACATCGGTAGCTTCATCTAGATCCATGCAACCTCCACTTCATAGACTACCAGACTTTTACTTGATGCTACCTCTAACGACCAGAGTGACAGACAGTATCGACACTGTTGTACATGCCCCAATCTCGAACGATGGTGACACTATCAAACTTCTACAGCAGTCCTCGAACTATGAGGCTGCTAAAGATGGGGTTCAGCGCGATGCTTCGGCAGCTCTGTCAAATCCTTCACGATACGGGTCTTCGACAATGAATGGGCCATTCATATCAGACCTTTCGTCCCCCAGCATCGAGGCCCTACGACTATGGAACAGTCTGCGATTCGTTCGTATGGGCTGGTTGACTGCACTTGAGGCAGTCTCGTATATGGACCTGTAAGCTCTTCATATCGATTGCATTATCTCAAGGCTGATCCAATTTTGAAGCTTCTTTGAGAACATACTCCCGCTATCACCGGTAATGGATGACTTTTATAGCCACCACGACAACCATTACAAGCTGATAACACAAGAACCTCTCCTCTGTTGCACGATTCTCATGATATCCTCACGCTTTCATTGTCTCCAAGGTACTTCTAGCTGGTCAAGAAGCGTCGCTCTACACACTCGCCTTTGGGATCATTGCGAACATCTCGTCAATAGAATTATTTTCGGCCAAGAAAAGAAGTCTAAAGCAAAAACTCGAACGCTTGGATCAATTCAAGCCCTCATTCTCATGACTGAATGGGCGCCTAGATCGGTTTACTTCCCGCCCAAGTCAGATGGCTGGGATTCCGACCTACTCTTTCAGCTTCCTGACGAGCGTGACCAGTTAGATGGAAACTCGGCAGATGTGACCCAAGATCTCCAGGGGAATTGGTACCGAGATGTTGTAGCACCCGCAAAGACAATCGATCGCATGTCGTGGATGCTGCTTGGGTGTGCAGTCACTCTTGGCCATGAAATCGGTTTATTTAATGCAACACGACTTAACTCGACAGTGAACGATACACAGCACCACAGACTAAGCCACGTCTGGCTACGGAAGGTAATCTTTATTGCCGATGAACAACTGTCCAGCCGAAATGGACTTACATCAGTGATTCCTTCGAGCTTGAACTCATCGGCCTTTGAACCCTGGATAGGATCTTCATCTGGTAAGGAGGAGCAAACCCGCAAGTTTGTCAATGGCCAACTGGCTCTTGCAGAGCTAGCTCGATCAATTTCGAATACCCTGTTTTCTTCAAGAATTACTACGCAGGAGCTTATACAGAGCTACAAATACGTGAGCAGCATAGAAGAGTACCAGCAGAAACTTGCCGCATGGCGAGAGGTATACTTGGATAATCAAGGTAAGCTAGGCCGCTCTCTATCCAACCCAGCTCGCTGATAGCCCTTTCTTTCCTGCAGTGTTGTCATGGCACACATACGATCTGCTCGAAATAGAGTACCAGTACGCTTCGGTATTCCTTTACAGCTTGGGAATGCAGGCTGTGGTCGATCGGTCCTGTAGAAACAATCCCGACGATCCAAACGCATCAAGCCGGGCCATCGGGAACTGGATACTAAACTTTGCCACTCCGACTGACCTTCGGCTCATCAATACAGTGATTCAAGGCAGCTGTAAACTCATACAAAGTGCAATACACCTAGCTGAACGCGGTTCTCTACCATACTGCCCTACGCGTGTTATCACCCGCGTCATCGGCGTTTCCGTATTCCTTCTCAAAGCTCTTGGCCTAGGCGTTGAAAGAGCAGTGTTCAATAAGTCTTTGGACCAGCTTGAACATGTGGTCCAGGCTATCCGCAGCAGTACTTGGGACGACCTGGACCTTGCAAAACGTTATGCCGATGTCTTGCATAATCACATCTATCAACTCAAGAACGGCTCTGGTACACGAGGATCCCAACAAGAAACGCCTATTGCCGAGCAAAGCCATGATGACGCCTTGGCTGAGCGTGGAACAAGCAATGAAAGTGGTGACATCTTTGGTAATATACATGTTCCAGATGATTGGCCCGATTCACTTGCATTTCTCGATGCTTCTTTGGCTCCGTTCGGAATCGCCACTGATGAAAGCTCTGGGCTTGTCGGGCTGGGGGATAGTGATTGGAGTTTATTATGGAACATTCCTTCATTCTATATGCCCTCATTTCCTCCCTGAATAGCAGACACATATATAGTAATTTCGAGATTCAACTAAGCATCACTCCCAAACCCTCCTTATTCTAGATATAGTTGGCTTTTCCTTTAATATTCAGTGACCATTGGTTGGTGTGAACTTCCGATTGCCTTACGGTTGCCATTTAATGCCACCTTTGACTTTGCATCTTGTGTAGCATATTTGTCCTCGAGAGCCTGCCACAAAAGTCAGATATTAACATGTCACTTTCCTTTGAGACATTGCTTACCCAGTATTTGTTAAAGCCCACACCTTCACAAACTTCAGCAGCGGAGAGAATTGTTGGCGGCGGTCCGATTGGCAAGCTCGTCTTGAGAGCTTGCAGTGTCTCGCGGATACTCTTCAACTTGGCGGCGACAAGCATGAAGGGGTACGCAACGGCACTGAACCCTAGCTCTGCTAATTCCAAAGCGGAGAGGTTCTCGGTCATCCCCCCGTCGATTACTTCTATTATTAGTTTTCTGTGACCAGGAAGACTGTGGACTTACATACTATTAGCCAACATGGGCATTTGAACCTCCTCAACTGCTCGCTTCATTGCATCTCGGTCAGGAAGCGCCTCGATGAAGACACCATCTGCACCAATTCTTTGGAACTCCTTTGCGCGATAAATGGCTTCCTCCCAGCCAAGAATGAGAGAGTCAGTACGGGCCAGGATAAATATGTCTAGGCCGTTGTCTCTGGCGTCACATGCGGCCTGGATACGGGCAAACGCTTCTTCGCGTGGCACAACCGACTTGCCCTTGGTGTGTCCACAACCTTTGTGCCTTTAGTTAGCCGGATGGTGCTGAAATGAGAGTAAGTCTTACGTTTGGGCCAACTCTGGTCCTCGATCATGACACCAGCTGCTCCCGCAAGAGCAAAGCTCTCAACAGTCCGCTTCACGTTGACCGGTCCTCCATAGCCCGTATCTCCATCTGCTAAGATAGGAATAGATGTCACACGAGACGTCTCTTGGATTTTGTCACACATTTCCTGCATCGCGATGTAACCTGTGTCAGGCAACCCGTGAGAACTGGCGACAGTATATCCGGAGATAAACAGTATGGGAAAGCCGGCTTCCTCGACAAGCCGAGAGGAGAGTGCATCGTAGGAACAAGGGACGGTGAGAATTTTGGTCCTGTCGTTGTATGCCTCTAGCATCATACTACGTAGGCGGGATGCCCGTGAGGATGGCAGTCGACCCCGTGCATTGGGGAAACTAATGATTGCGGTTTCGGCGTCATTGCCCTGTCGCTCTACCTCAATTTCCTTGCCACTTTCGAACACGAAAGGGAACGATACGTCGTCGTTGTAGACTGCCGGCATGATGATTGATTCAAGTGTAAAGTGATAAAGATGGATGTTTGGTGATCTGAAGTGTAAACAATATCTGGCTCATCAGTATCATTGGAAAGTCCTCTGTTCATTTATACCTTTATGCCCATATTCCGCCCCCATTACTTTATGTCCCCATGGCCTCGCAAAGAGCGGGGTCAGTCGGATTCTCACCTCTATTCCCCCGCATTTCCATGGGATCTAGCATTCCAGCTCCAGGCTTCCCACGGTGACAGGCGAAACCTCTCCACATGAGAGTCCTTGAGATCCCGTGGGATCCCCTGAGAAACCGAAGGGGCACCATTGGAATTAAACTCTGTAATATTAGCCACCACGCCCCTGAGGGCTCGGGATCCTTTAACCGAACCCATCCCTGGCCTGTTCCCGTGGTCATTCGGAATTTCAGATGCAACTATTGGCTCCGTCATCGGTGGGACCCAAGTGTCATAGCGCATGATTCCTTGATTTCCCTTGAAATCCCGCACCGTACCCGGTAGCTCGCTCCGGAATAGCGCGGATTCGTCCATATTTCCAGCTCTACCCCAGACCCAACCCCGCATTCTCAGAACCTGGGGAAATTCATGGGGTAGGCCAATGGGAAATTTTTTTCCTTTTAAGCTCCCTTTATCCTGATAATTCCTTCTTCCTCACGTTGGCTATAAATATTCAAGTTACTCTAGCATTATTTCTCAATGGTCAGAAAACCACTCTGGTTGTCCTTTATTACTACTACCGCGGTCTATCCTCACGTCAACCTATCTCAAGATGACTATTGCCAAGTCTGATACCAGGGATGTGGAAAGCCCTAAACTCTCCATGGAAGAACATACTCGTGTCGACATTCCAGCGGATGCCAATCGCCGAGTCAGACGACTGGTATGATGCGTTCCTCCTTATCAATTGCGTAGCGCATTTCAGCTAACCGCCGTGTCCAGTTCGACCTCCGTGTTCTTCCCATTGTCTGTTGTCTCTACGTCTTATCCTACCTTGACCGAGGAAATATTGGAAATGCGAAAACTGCAGGCGCCCAAGATGCGCTTGGCCTTAGCTCTTCGCAGTGGGCTTGGGTATTAAATTCGTTTTATATCGCCTACATTCTTTTCGAATGGACTACTATGTTCTGGAAGATCTTCCCTGCGCATATCTATGTTGCAGTCCTCTGTCTGGGGTGAGTCTTTTATGTTCTCTACTCATGATCTAGCGCTGACGAATTGTTTCTAGCTGGGGAGCTGCTGCCATGAGCTCTGGTGCAGCTCGAAATATGGCAGAATTGGTTATTACCCGCGTTTTTCTGGGCATATTTGAGGCAACCTTTGGTGCCGGCGCTCCTTATTTCCTATCCTGCATATATAAACGAGAAGAGCTTGGACTCCGCATGGCTATTTTGCTGGGAATGTCTCCCCTTGCTAATACCTTTGCTTCGACTTTAGCATATGGTATTACACACATTCGCAATTCTCTGGAACCGTGGAGGCTTTTGTTCATCATTGGTAGGACAACCCTGAACCCCCTACGAACCTGGAAGCCCCCATACTAAAATCTATCTCAGAGGGAGCGCCGACTATCGCTTTTTCTGCCATTGTTTACTTCTTCCTTATCGATTCTCCCGCGACCGCCAAATTCCTCACCGAACAGGAGAAAACCTTCGCCGTCGAACGTCTACAAGTCCGCGATAATACATCGAACCAGGCGGTTAGTTGGAAGCAGATCATTGCTGGAGTATTTGACTACAAAAACTACATGCATGCTGCTATACACTTCTGTTGCAATTTCTCCTTTGCTGCCTTATCCAACTTTTTGCCTACTATTATACATAGTATAGGTTATGACTCGGTTACTGCACAAGGGCTGTCAGCACCTGTCTATTTTGCTGCATTTCTTCTTTGTCTTACGTCTGCCTTTTTCTCCGATAAATACGGTAACCGTGGATTTATTGTTGCTGGCTTTGGTGGACTGGGAGCTATTGGCTATGGTATTCTGGCTGGTGTCCGGGATTCGACAGGAGCCAGATATGCTGGAGTGTGGCTTGCAGCCTGCGGCATCTTCCCAGCTCTGGCTATGAACATCACCTGGCTGCTCAATAATCAAGGAGGAGACTCCAAAAAGGGAGCAGGTCTAGCCATCTCACTCATCATCGGACAATGCTCATCTCTTATCAGCAGCACTGTGTTCCCCAAATCAGCTGGGTATGTCACCTTTCCTTTATCTTGACCGAGTGCTAACTTCTTGCTAGGCCCTTCTATGTAGTGGGATGCGCTATCGGTTGCGGTATGAGTGGGCTCATTGTTTTCCTTGCCTTGATTATGCATTTCTTGTTGTCAAGGGAGAATAGAAAAAGGGATAAACTTTATGGACCTGTCGATAGTAATCAGGCAGTAGATGTCTCACAGCAGGGAGACTATGCCAGAAACTTCAGATACTTCACCTAGGAGTATGTCAGGGTATATATATTCAGTCAGGCTGATTAAGTGATAAACCTATCACGAGGCCTTATAAATGGACTTGTAGTGTATTCAACCTAAATGCAACTACCGGATAGTCAATTGACTTTGTTCCATTATCAATGTTTGCTAGCAACGTCTCGGAGAACTCTTATTGCGGCGATATCACCCATTTTCAGCCGTGCTATAGCACAAACGATAGGGGTAGAAGGAGTAATTTGGCATGTGAAAACCCAAAATTGACGACTGGGCCCATATCCAGATCCTGCACTCAGCACAAGAGGCTTCAGGAATTCCGATCTAGAGATATGCGCCTCCCGAGAGGCTGAACCTCACGGAGCATTAATATCACTCAGTAGACTATTAGGATGAGAAGTCCTATAAATAAAGATTATCTAATCTGATTAGATAAGGTTGCTATATAGCCGATAGCGTTTTAGCTATTATAATATTACACTTAGCTAAAAAAAATTGTATAATATATATTCACGGTAATATATATCACTTTAGCACTTTAGCACAGTGTGATATCACTTTAGCATATCATAATATGCAAGTCTGAGACGGGCTGCTGTGTGTAGGTCTGTTACAGCCGATGTTCATCGATGAGTGTCACATAGTCATCATGGACATTGGTGTTGGGACCGTGTGACTAAGGTGGTCCGATCTGCTGGTGACTGGGATGCGGATACTATGTAAGGAGCTGTGCTCCTCTCGGATATATGTAACTTAGAACTAACAATAACACAATCAACCCTTTTTACTTCAACATAGTACTGCCTACGAATATCCACTACCATAACCATATATTGACATTCCTTAAAAACATTAGACCGACAAGTAGTTGCCTGCGTTCTATAATATCATAAACTTCTCGGGGCGAACCTGGTTGATGAGTTCACCATCCATGACGCCGTCGCAGTATGCATCTCCAGTAAACGCGAAATTCCCATGCTCGCCCGGCCGTAGGACGAATGGAATCCGTGACCCCATTAATACGACAACCACATCCCCAGACATCATCATTGGCGGCCCCATGCCAAGATGGCCTTTCTTCGTCAGAAACGGTCGTTTGCCGCTCATTGTTCCCGTGCTACATTGGTAGTGGCTACCATCAGTATCAAGAATTGTCTCAGTTTGTCCTTGCAGCTCGCTCACCGACCCCGCAAGCTTGCGTTGCTCAAAAAGCTCACACTCTGCGACGAGTGACTTGTATGCCCTTCTAACATCAGATGTTGGTCGCGTAGTCCTGCCATTCCAGGTGTAAAGATCGCCGATTGGCACTCGCCAGACCGCTTCCTCTCGTCTAGACTCGCTGGCATAGATTGGCTCGTTTTTCAGGGCCGAAAGTTGACACATCAGTCTAACCTGAGCGAAGTAGCTCAGGTACTGCTCATGACTAAAAGATAGTGGTTTGTGCCATGGGCTCCCAACCTCTTCCACGACGTCCACCGTGATTCCTTCCAGGACGAGCATCAACGTGCTTGGAGATGATATTACGCTAAGTTCTGTGTCCCCGCAAGCCTGAAAAAATGGAGGGTCGACGAGGGTGTGATCGTAATACGATGGGCTGAGGTTGGAGCGCCAGTCCGATACCCATGAGGGAAGTGGGGTGTAACTCTTGGGAAATTGAGAGTATGAAAGGACTTCTAGTCCCTGTTTCTCGATCATGGCCCTCGCCGTCCGGCATAGGAGACCAGCATAGTCGAAGTCGCTATAATCGGGTATAATGTCCAGGCCATCTGTAGCTAGGCCCAGCAGCGCAAATATCCTGTCTCGCTGATCGGTCGCATGCATTTCGTGCTGTACGTATAGCTTTCGCATCAGGCTAAGGAGGCTGTCGCCGGTTGATTTCCCTGTCCATCTTGCGTCGTATCCCAGCCTCCGCTGCCTGGTACTGAAGAGGGCTGAGGTAGGCTCGTTCAAGATGAGCGGAAACTTTGCGTTGAGTTCCGCGAACTCTTTGTCCTTCCCGACGGCGTCCTTCAACAATTTCCCGCAGCTGAAATGTACAATCTGGATTGCGAGCATTACTAGCTCAACCGCTACAGACTTTTTACCGCAGACAAAGACTGTATCTGGGCAGAGACAGAACTCCTGAACTACCCATACCCTCTTGAACCACGGCCGTTGAAACCAGGCAATGATGGCGTCCAGGGAATCCCTGTATATAGAGCGGCTTTTTTCAAATAGAGCCTGGAATTCGATAGTCAGAGGGTCAGCAGGGTCTGCGTTGATGACTATCGGCTGGAGCTGCGGGAACTTCTCCTCGGTGTAGAAGCTTTCCAGACCAAGGTCGCGAGCATCTTGCCCTATTCTGGACCAGATATCCATGGCGGTGTCGGAGCCGCTCTCAGCAGGCCCCAGCCAAACGAGAACTCTCTGTGCTTTGGAGTAGATCTGACTCATCAGCCCTATCTGCAAGCTCTTCTCCTGTAGATTCTCCTGGTTAATGCAGATTTGGTCGATCCAGAGCGTTATGGCCTCATCCTCCCTCCGCAGGTGTCGAATCGCCTCATCCAGAGATTGAGTGATACGGAACTCTGTTTCTGGCAGCTTCAGACTGTGTGTTCGAGCCGCAGTTCCCCATGTGTACGAGAGCGCCTGGAAGTTCATAGGTTCCGATATGGGCGTCATCAACATCTTACAGTAGATAGGGACCCAGGAGTAACCAGCTGGATAGATCTTCAGCAGTCGGATATGCGTGGCGGCAGATGGGAGAATCGCATGTTGCTCAGCCGCCGAGGATGAATTGGGCGTATCAGACAGTAAAGTCGAAACAGCCTTCTCTAGGAATTTAAACATGGTGATGCAAGAAAGAAGATGCTCGATGTAGAAATAATCAATAAGTATTAAGGACGGTCTATAGGTTTGCCAGTTTAGGAGACCATCCTTCTTTAAACTTGTGGTGGCTTTTACAGCCTGGGTTATTGATGCGGTCGGGATGCGCTGCGGGGTTCGCGCGACTCGGCATAATACGTATGCCGGATGGCGATGCGCCACAATTTCGCTTGGCTGCCGATTATGGAGGGACTGTATGTATGTATGTAGATTTTTCGTACGGAGGGCCATCGGCCCCGAAAAGTCAACTACTAGGACATAGGACGTGCTGAGCTAAAAGGTTTATCTACGTGCTAATTACATTACATCCTTATTGTCCGTCCTATTTTCAGTAAAAGAGGAAACCCTGTCGGTAGCTAAGGCTGTGATTAGCTTGAGAGAGGGATTAGAGTAAGGTAAGGTAAAAAGCCTCTTTTAGTTAAAGCAGAGACCCTTATAAGGCTAGAGGAAGTACTAGCAGTAGTATATAATATAAGGTAAGTAACATAATATTAATAAAAATAAAGAAAGAGTTAAATAAAAAAGGATTATATTAAAAAGATAAAAATAATTAATAATATAAAAAGAAAGTTTAATAAAAAAAAAAAAACTTTTTTAAATAAAAAATACTTAAAAAATAATATAAAAAATCAGAAAATAATTAAAAAAAAGTAAAAAATAAAAAGAAATAAAAAGAGGTAAAAAAATAGAGATAAAAAGAAGTATTATACAATATAATAAAGCTAGCTGGCCTAAAACCTATTATATTACTAACTAGTTTAGGTAGTTTTTAAAGCTCTTAGGGGAAAGAGAAAATAACCTCTATCTATTAACATTTTCCATTTTAATATAAACCCTATTAAAGGCTTAAAAACGGCTTGCTTGTCTGGCTGCAGCTATAACAGCCCTTTCGATAGAGTAAGCAAGGCAGGCTTCGACACATGCTACTCCGTATACAGAGGCTTAATAGCGGGCAGCTAACCACATAGCTAATGCACAGGGCCTTCGGGAGTGCAATGGCACTTGCCACAAACTAATAAATGCAGGCGAGCAATTCGAAAACAGGGGTTTTTTGAGTTCAATTTTAGACGCTGTGGCGCTGCTACCTAGCATGAAGAGGCTGGTAATCGTATGATACTGAGACATTTTAGCGCATGACCTTCCTTTAGTTCGGCATTTGGTAAAACCTCGCTCTAGTGCAAGCCTGATAAAAATCCGTAGCTCAACTGGCTTCCTAATAATTTACAGATGGAACCTAATGGCTATAGTATTAATAGCTATAAATACCAATAGTTGCTTTTAGTTAGTGGCAGGATAGCGGCAAGTAAGGGGGTTTACCTGATTCTGCCTTACGAGGCGCCTTATAGTTAGTTCCTCTAAGCATCCCTTAATTCCTAACAGTATTAGCGTTGTTACCTCACTTATGTGGCTTTACTTACTACAATCCCGTAATTCCATGACATGCCGTCTGATATACGGACAGGGATTTCTGGCCAACGGGTTAGAAAGAAGTCTGGTACCTTGGTGCTTATGGGTGCCCAAAGGCGTGCAAACCCATCACAATGTGAACAGCCATCGATGCCCAAACCCAAGTCTTTGGTCTCACGTTTGGTTTTGCACTCTGCTTGGTTTCAACCAGGCGGATCGCCATTCTACTACGCCACCAGATATGATAAGAATAGTCTCAGTTTTCATAACCAAATTCTTTCTGTTATTATGTCCCGCGTGTATTGTGATCATTTTCGCAGGTCTTCCCATGGCGAATAGTTCAAACCTCTCTCACCGAGAGACTCTTGAATGTCAGACGAGGAAAGAGAGGAGTTGCAGGAACATCACACTAGGCTTGTGCAAGGGCGAGTGGCTGGGACCTCGCACAGTTTGCCTACTTTAGGTAGAGCATGTTGCCTTTATTTCACACTAATAAAATCAGAAAACCTAAAACGTTTCTATCGGCTAACCTTATTACATACTACAATAACAATATCTATAAAGTAAAAATTAATAGAATTAATAACATACACAATAAGCAAATAAAACAAACAAGCGAGTGAAACATGTGATGGTTGGGTTCCAAACTATGAAACTAAGCCGTTCTATGTTTCTATTTGCAGATGGCGTAGGGCGTAAACAGAGCGTTGTCGAAGTATCACGTCTCTTAATGGTAGATTCAATGCATATTAGGCTTAATTAATATAAAGAAGTTTTATTAATAGCTAGTAAGCTAGTCTCTATAAAAGTGCAAATAAAAGTGATTTATATACTAGAGTTTGTAGTAAGGACTGATGGTATAATGTGGTCGGTCCCTGGTGGACCGGTGATGTTTATGCATCGGTCTGGATAGACTGTTGAGTGAGAGTCGTCGGTCCTTATCTTATCAGTGGACCGAACTGTCTACGGAGTAGAGGGAGTAAGATTACGAGGCGCAGGCAGCCATGCACCCAGCTGATGCAGCCAATCACGCTATTATTCAACCCTGTTTGACTTTTTCAGCCGTAATATTTAGCAGTAGACCCATGCAGAAACTTTGATGCCTAATACTGGTCGGCTTCGCCAATGCCTTGGATGATAGACTCTAATTAATCAGTCAGTCAGGCTCTCCAACCGTCAAAGCTGAGTTTGATCCATGATAAATCATCTCGTGCGGTGATATAGGTCGAAGTTGAACTACATACATATACGGGTAACGGGGTTTGGATGTCCATCAGTCGGTTTCTTGCCGAAATTACGTGCACTCAACTCTCCTCACTGGCTTGGTTATCTCTTTTCTCTCTCATTCTCCCATTTTCCAAGCCCAGCCTCTTTCTCTGGTGAAGAAACTGCGGGGTTTGCATGGACCCAGATCTGCAGCCACAGAGGGGCAGCCAACGCATGAAACACAAAGGATAAGTCAGGCTGTAGTACGGAGTAGGTCTTTCCACATTTTTCACCGCCTTTTTGCAAACAAAAACAGGTCAAATAGCTCTGTGAAACGTGTATGACGATGATTCACTTCCGTTGCTCACTGCTATTTGTCTATCACCTTCCAAGACCCCGGCAATAAGCATCTACGCGCGCGCGGTTTCATTGGTCAGGCTCTGGTGGTTCGAGCCAACAACGTGAATCCCCCATAATTGACTGTAAGTCAGCCGCAAGTCGACTTTCGCCTGCCGGGCTTTAGCCAAAGTCAGGGATCATGCACCACTCTCTGACGCCCAGCCTGATCATTTCTACTGTATATCCTTAGTTAGTTCCTTATGGCTGAATATTCTTTTCGCCGATCTTGTAATATCTCTGTATAACGGTTGCACAAGCCGTTAAGCCACAGGGCAAAAGATCGGGCCATAATCGCTATGCAAGCAATTATGGGTGTGCTACAGCTGCCTTATAGAAGCCTTACAGCGCTGTTACGGGCACGAATCGTAACACTCTGGCCCTGCTTCTATAACGTCCTCGTCTTCTTAACTAAACTTAGTAATTTTAAAAGACATAATTACACTTCTACTTATAAGAAATAAATACATAAATACCTTAGGATATTAAATTATTATAAGAAGAAGTTTTAAAGTATTAAAGAGATATTTCTTATAACTTTATATATAACTAATTTAATTTATATTATAACTATAACTGCTAAAAGGGCCTTACTCTTAAAGAACTTAAATTTATTAAAATCCTAGCCTGTAAACTGGCTATAATTAAAGCTTAAAATCACTAAATTACTTAAAGCCGCTTTTACCTGCTTTAAAGAAATCTTCGCCGAGATATCTGCCATCGTCACACACCACGCTGCCCACGTTCCCTCATCCTCTCCCCTAAAGCCTTCCAGACCTCCTGAGAAATCTCAAACATCTCCTCGGTAAGCTTCTCTTTCAATGCCTTGCGCTCATTGATTATGCCCTCCAAGATGCTGTATATACCTCCGTCTGTGCAGCCTTCATCGATGCTTTGGACACTCGTCATGCTCTGTTCAGCAGGCGTCATGTAGTAATACAAACGGCAGAGCTCTTGCATCTCAGGTGATATTGCCTCCTCCTGTTTCTCCTCCTTTGTACCTCGCTGTGCTGAGGATCGCTTGAATGCACGGTTGAACGATCGTTTGCGGCTGATCTCAGACGGCGCCGCAGTTTCAAGGGTACCGCTAGGGAAGTGAACGCGCCGCTTCTTGTTCTTGGAGCATTTAGTTGTCTTGAAGCAGCTCTTGAGAGCGCGGGAGATGTTGGTGCTCGTTGTGCCTGAAGCCATATTGAGTACCACGGTCGATAACGTGCGTATTTGTCTTGAGAACAGCGACGCAGCCGCAGAAGAAAGAATGTCGCATCAGGCGGGTTATCCGATTGACGATGGTACGATATAAGAGCATTATAGTGATTGAGCTGAAGCCGCAAGTGAAGTTCGTGTTTCTGTGAAAGACTGAGAATGACGGCGATGCTGCTGTACTCAGCCGCCCCCCACAGCTTGCGCCTCAATTGACTGTATCGTCCTTGTCATTGTGTGAAATCGGTATCGATGCGAGACACAGTAAAGAAGTAAAAGGTCAAGGACAAGCGAAAGTCGCCGCGAGCCTGATGATGATTTGAAGCGGTCAAGACTGGTGAAGAAAGGAAAGGTTCTACCTATGAAGGGGGTCCAGGGCTCCATGACCAAAAGAGTGAAGTGAGGTGACACAGAAAGTTGGTGACATCGACCACAACCATTTGCTTACTTTAGTGATGCGATGACTTCTGATCGAAACTCAAGATCGTGAGGAACATGTCGGATTATAGTGCGCCGATGTTCTCTTGGAAGATGGCCATCCTCTTAGTACAAGATGAAGAATCTAGCACTAACAGCAGATATGCTTGAGTACGGCCCTGTCTTGAAAGGCACGTCTTTTAAAGTGAACATGGTTGACTGAGCCCTGAAAGAATCCTATCTTTGCACTTAGAACACATCTGAGATAGTTGTCCATTCTGGGAGGACCATATCTGCATTTATGATTACTATTGTAGAAAGTGTTTGAGGAAATGAGCTATGTAACATGATAACTTCACGTTAGCCCAGATACAGTCAGGTCACACCAACGCGGGGGTGGCTAATTCCTAAGGTATTCCAACAACAGCTTCAAACATGTAATATCTATAAAACTAATGATTGCTTCTTGTCATCTTCTGCATACGCTATCAGCATCATTCAGTTCCCTGCAAAGCGCTCGCATGGTTTCGCGTATCGGGGTGCCAGTATCTCCAAAGCACTCCTATACTTTTCCTTCGCAGTGCAATCCGAGAACACCAACACCGACGCACACATACACAGACAAGACCTGTGTCTCAGCCCCGAAATGACAGATTGGGATGGCACCTCTCTTTCGCACAGCCCTTTTACAGAGGACTGATTAATGAACAAGATGTCCACCCGGCAAAGAAGGCAGGTGCATAATGAGCGGGAGACTGAACAAAAGCTCCGATCTATGTACTGAATAACTCCTCTATTGACATGCCTTCTATCCCCTCAATCCCACAATCCCACAACGTCATGTATACTGCAAGAGGCTTTATAAGCTACAAGCATAATCTTTAGGGAGCCTTCGCCTCTGTATTTTCAGTGACTTGCACAATATTCTCCTCTCCTCCATTACCCGCGGCGTCTTGCTTAACGCGACTCGCCCGCCAACCTGGTCCAAAACGAGTCAATGCAATGAAAAAGGGAACGATAAACAAAAGAATGGCCGCGCAGACAGTGTATGTCCAACCAGGGTGAACTGCGTCGGTCAATGGTTGTATAGCGGCGGTTATGGCAGCACCCAAGCCACAGCGTATCAAGTTGTTAGCCGCACTTGCAGTAGCCGCGTCTTGAGGGAAGAGATCTACCAGAAGAGCGTTCAGAGCTTGCGCCACGGCGGTGGTGGTGTAGCCGATGACAAAGAGGAACACTATGGGTCCGGCTAGGTGGGTGGGCTTGTTCAACGTCCATCCATACCCAATAAGACTCGCGATAGCGGCGACGATATGCGGCCATGTTACTTGCAGGCGGGCGTGCTCTACAGGCATATTTGGGTCCCGACGGGCAAACTTTAGGTGGATATTATGCTTAGCAGCTGTCTTTCGGTAGGCCCTGTCCATGAGTCGGCCTGTGATGACAGTACAGACAGCGCTGCCAACACCAAAAGCCAAGAAGCAAAGGGATGTTTGCACCTCAGAAAGGCCGTAGAGGCTCGTCATAAGCTGCGGAAGCCCAGTGTTGACGCCAGCAATCAGTATGTTGATTACACCGTTGCCCGCTAGCACCACCGCCCCCTCCTTGTCCAGCACCACCTTGAAAATAGAGAAAGGATTGGGGAAAGACATGGAATTCCGCTCCGTGGCCTCTACCTGCTGCTGTTTGCTCCGCTGCTGGAAACATAAGCAGAGAGGTTGACTGAGCCGCGGTGGCACCCGCGATCCGTTGCCTACAAGTTTACGGTTGGTCTCGGGGAAAAGGAAGAGGAACAAGATCCCCAGCACGACGCACGCGATGGCCAAGAACCAAAAGATGGAATGCCACCCCAGATATCGAGTCAAGACGCCGCCTAGCACGGGTGCCAAAGCAGGGCCAAGAACGGGCGCAACGGTGGCCCATGCCATATAGGAGCCACGCTCAGCCGGCTCGACAATATCTGCTATAACGCCACTGGCGAGGGGAATTAACCCGCCGGCGCCGGCGCTTTGTACGCACCGCAGCACTAGAAGCCCCGCGTAAGTATTCTGTAGTGCCAGGGCAATATTGGCAATGAGAAAAGTCGAGAAACACGCGATGTAAGCGAGGCGACGGCCACTAGTGTCGGAGAAACTGCCGATGAAAGTGGGAGCGATGCCTTGCAGGATCTGGGTCAACGTGAGCATACTTGGAGTGCAGGAGCCAAGGATGGAGCCACTCTACCATAAAGGTTGTTACTGATAGGTTGACGTCTGTGATAGTCACGCCAAGATCGCTAGCTACGGTTGGGAGGGCGGGATAGTACATGCTAGTGGCCATTGTCCCGAGGAGCGCAAAGAGCGATACAGATACGACCATCAGGCGCTTCGGCCAGGTGCCGTAGACAGAGAAGACGTCGTCTTGCATGGCTGACAGACTGATAAAGAAGTTGTCGGAGGTGACCCTCGTGGAGGAGCCAGTGAGAGGGGAAGCGAAGCATATGTAGAAAGTTGAAGAGAAGTCAAGAGCCTGGTATTTCATAAGTAGTAAAGGACTCTGGAGTGAGAAGGAAAGAATCAGACCAGCAATGAGGGATCTACAATTCCCGTGTAAGCGATGCCGTATATCCGTAAGCTCATGAGATTCGGAACTTTTTGTTGATATAATTAGCACCCAGCTAGCCTAATTAGGCAGCTCTTGTTACGGACGGTCATATCATATCATATTAGAAGCGCTTATCTTGCATTCGTATTTCAGAAGGAGTTCATTCGTATTAATGCAGTCAGGCCGATTTGGAGGTAGGCATCTGCTTTTACCGAGTACATGTGAATCCTAGTCTCTGAAAGGAACAAATGTCAAGATAAGGATCTTTAAACCTTGTAAAACAAATCCAGAGTAGTAAAAGCCATGCGACAAAAACATGTGTCTAAAAAATATCATGGGATTGATATTCCAGGACCGCTTAGCTGTTTATCCTTTCTGGCAGGTGGCTTCACACAGGTGGCCCAGGTGTGAATAGTACGGATGGTTCTTTGGTGGACAGAACTCATCCCTCCGATAGGGGCGGCAACTCCTTGCTAGCCCTCGATACATGGGATGTTCTGTAGAAAAACAGTAAGCAAAAATCAACTCTATCAATTATCTCTCCTTGACGGCCTCGAAAATTGAGATAGCCCAATGCCGCAAGATTGACTGCGTGCTATCAGTTGAGGCGATGCAGATTTCCTGGGCTCATTACCCTGGACTGCCAATATAATAGACTGATTCAATCCTAGAAATTTTTTGTTTGACAGAACAGAAAAATGCTTAGAATTGGCGCTGCGCCCACTATCTGATACTTATTGAAGGGAGAAAAGAAACTCTAGGAGGATAATTCGCAAATTTGGTTAATGCCGTTATACGAAATGTAAACGGAAGCATGCTGCGGGCCAAGATGCAGCGCCAATGGAAAGTTTCAGTGGTGTTGGTTGAAACATAGGGGATGGTTGCTGCTTGTTGGTTGCCACAGTCCACTATAGTTAATTACGGGGCTTATAAATTTAGTAGAATTAGTCCCCAAAGCTGTTGAAAAGAGCACCACGATGATCCAAGCTTTTAGATGTCACGGATATTATTAGTATTCTGTGAGCAATCTACTCGTCTCTAATTCTTGTTATATTAGATATAATGGCTACGTGAAATGCAGGTTAAGATTCGCCTTGGCCGTAAACTGGTATTACTAAAACTGTTATTTTTAGCGACGTGTGAATGGCATAAAAGGTAGCTTCGTAGATCAATTTGACACGAGTAGCTTATATAATGTTAGTATATATAACGACCAGGAGGATAAGAGCAGCAGAGTAACTGGCTCACCATACTACCTCTTTGACGCGTTGAAGCCTGACTTTGGTATTATCGAGCAAGCAGGTTATCAGGTCCTAGATTGGTATCTGTATAAGCGCGGTGCTGACTCTGGAAGCGATCGAAGGAAGCGAATGGATGTCTTTGGCCGACTAATTGCTAAGTTCTTCTAAGTTACAATCATGGTGGAACGAGAATCCTTCGAGGTAAAAAAGATAAGATCGGGAAATGAACGAGGAATCTAGTTTGTTATTTCTATCAATCTGGCGCTGGCGCCATTGTTACTCGTATATTCATTATAGTACAAAGCTGACACATTATAGAAGGTATGAATATAGACATTAGATGTCTAAATGTGGGCAGTATTGAATTGAATCTTGCATGGAATCTTCTTCGCGACTCACTCTCTTCTCAAGCCTCCTCCATTTCGTTTCATTATAAATACTTCATGCCGAATGGTAAACTGTATAACACCAGAAGCTATATCTATACTAGCTTTCATCATTTAGAGACTATTCTGTGTCCTGGAAATCTGGCAACAGGCATTCAAGACGCTTGTCTTGCAACAAGTCACAAGCTCAAGGCTCTTGGAACATGACTGTCACGATTGAAGAGAGTATTGTGCCGCCTTCTTGATATGCTGCAGTTTGCCAACCGATAATTGTGTCTCACGCATGACTTCAACACTGGAATACAATAATAAACTGGCACATCGGAGAGACGGGGTTATCTTTAGCAATTAGGATGGGCTGTTGGATAGTTCAAGTGAACCGGTCAGCTCACACCGGAGCCTGTGATCAATGGGGGGTTGCACGAGGCTCTCATAGCAGGGATACACTCTTGCTGACCCCTATCAGACTCATCCAATTTAACTTGACTATCCAATGATGTGTTTGAGGCCAAGAGGCCCTGCTATTTCAGCAATGTGTTCTGGGTGTCTCAAGTTTTTGGCGCACTGATGGTCGTAATGGCAGACAAACTGTTGATTCACTTATAGGCTGATATACTAGGGATGTGCGTTTGTCCCTTGATCTGCTGTATGCAAGACGCCATGTAACTAGCAGTAGTCAAATTGGGGTCTGGTGACACTGACTGCTCTAAGGCTCACAAGAATCTCGTGTCAAGCAACTGTCTAAAGTGATCGGTTACCTGCCTTGTTTCTGTTAAATATGAATTAGGCGGAAGGCTCTCTTTGGTAGTCTCGTGAGTGTATGATCTTCTGGTATTTGTGCATACTTATCTGCGTCTAGGAAACTAATAGTACCTGACAACAAGCGCCTTACCCTATTTCCAAAGCTTTCCCAGCTTACAATTATCACAGCCCATCCAAAAAGCTGTGCCTCCGCCACCGATTCTCTATCCTCATTTTCACCAGTCTCTTCACAGCATCATAAGTCGTTCATAGCCATTTCGTTGGATCATATTTTCAACTAACAGGGAATCTAAAAATGACGGCTTCTCAACAAGCAAGCACCATTGTGTCGACCACGTCCTCCTGTTCTTGCTTTTGCAACTTGATCTTGAAAATTCATCTCCAACTCTTTGATTGAAACATGCTTCTCTTCAAGAAATTTTCCCATCGGGTTATTATTAGCTTCGTGGTTCATAAACAAGAAGCTTCTCAGTAGTCTGGTATACGCATAATGCGTTAGTTTACATCACGAAAGCCATGTTCCATTTCATTAGTCATGCGATCTTATATTCTCAGTGACGCACTTCTCGATTCTGGCAGAATCGGCGGCCCTCAGAGCTATGACCTTGTCAAGACCTGCCAGTTGACGGACCAGCATAATTTGGTGGCCAATCACGCGAATAACGTCGACCGCCTTCCCCCTCTCGAACTTAGAAAGTGGCTTCTACTCAGGAGAATACATTTTCGAGATTCGGCCAAGATTAAGTCCTGTTTATCTTGGCATCTGTGATTCATAGTTAATTTGTGTTGCTTACCTCGGTTGATTGATGTTCAAGACGACGTTTCCGCTCTATATTGAGCGCATAGCATACTTATAGCTTGCAACGGCCAGAAGACATTATTGGTTTACAGTTTTACATACATTTGAAGGGTAAAAATGTCTAACCTAGACCATCGAATGGTAATGATACCGAACTCTTCGGATGTCTCTCTCAATCTCTCCAAGCTCGTGATATACAGAATGATTCCCCCAAAGGCATCTGGAGCAAGTAACAAATGTTCTTGACTCAGTAAGGTAAGACGACGAAGGCACCAATTCCAAACATTCAATTCTTCCTTTGAGTTAGATTTACTGCAATAAACTCTTTTAATACCCCCTTGTTCTTATTAAATTTTTAACACAACATAGGATTTCATAGTGTATTTAGATTCACAGAATTCCCCCATAATCTAAATACGAGGTATTAAATTCAATTTTTCTTGCTAAGTTGATCATGCACACGCCCTTCCGTGGGACGTAATAGGATGTCAACCACAGCTTCTTTAGCCTAGGCTGCAGCTCCCTATAACTTATACTATAATTCTGAGTATAGGCTGTAGGCCTTAGTATAGGCAGCAGGCCACGGTGCAACCTTTTGTACATAAGTAGCTAGCATCTATTACATTAAATGCACTTCATGCTAATACCATTCCTTTACCCTGCTAGATATCTTTAAATTCTGCAGTCTATATTAGAGAAGTAGTATAAATAATAGTGCTATATAGGCAGCTATAGGAAACAGGTGCAATATAATTATATATGAATTATTAAAATAGTATTATAGGTCTATTATAGGGCCAGCAGGTCTAGTATTATAGCCTTACCTCTTTAGTAATAAGAAGGGGAAGAGTAAGAACAACTATAATAAGGAAAAAACAGAAGATAATTATTCTAATTATTATTAGATTATAAGTTACCTAGTAAGAGCATGCTATTTAATAATTTACTATCCTGACTTTTAATATATAGCTATAATTTTAATATATATTTATAATTTCATCTTTAAAAATTATTAGTAATACCCTTACTTAATTACAGACTAGAGCATTACCTAATAATCTGCCCTTTGAATTATCTAGCTTTAATGTTATTTTCTATACTACTTATCTAGAGAATGTTAAATTAGGTAATTCTTACTTAATTATAATAAGGAGATTAATAATAATAACCTTAACTTATTAAATTAGAATTATCTTAAAAGAATATATAGATTTCTTTACCTATTTATATTAGCAACTTTATAAGCCAAAGGTAAGAATTATATATTATTATAAGAATTAATAATTATAAATATTTTATTATATTATAAAAAAAAAAGTTAAGATATACTATTACTTAATATATTTTAAACCCTAACTTAACTCAATATCTAATTTAGGAATATTACTTAAAGCCAGAGATATTTAATTACTATATCTTTTATTTAATTAAAATAGGCTGGTTTATTTTTAATAAGTATTATATTATAACTAAAAATATGCCTATTAATACTACTACCCTCTTTCTTAATCCCTTAAAGTAAATTAGGTATATTAAGTACTATTAGCTAGAATTCTAATATAAGAATGCTATTACTAATATTTATATAATTTAAAAAGAATATAAAACTAGATTCCGTTGCGTCTGATGAAGCTTGACCAGGCCGCTGTGCAGCAATCAATGAAGATTTACTGAGTGTCCGGCCATCTCAAAGCAATCATCGGCATCTGTTCCGGCTTACGTTACTACGGGTTCGGTGGGGGGGTTTAATAATGTTGAATTGGCATGAAAGTTCAGCATCCTGAAAAGAGGAAAGTGGCGTTCTCATCGATTGATCAGTCGGTGATCTACGTGGCTGCCAATGTTTGAGGCCCGACAGCTGAAAATCCTCTGACCGGATTTGGAACCGTGCAGGACGGCGGTCAGGCGGGATAATGAGACATGAAGACTCGGTGACCTCTGGTATCAGCAAGACGTGAACACAGTACATATGTGGAAGTCTCAGAAACGAGGTTGGCGGTAATCCCCTCTATTGTGACGAAATCCGGAGGAATCTTCCAGGTTTGCATTTTACTGTGAGACAGGTGAGATGTTGTAAGGGTATTCGACTGACAAGATGACAAATCATCGAAGGGATGAGGCTAGAGGTGAAGATAAGATTCAGGCCGTGTCTCATCGTGCCGTGTCTCATCATGCCGTGTCTCGGGACGCCACTAGCATCTCTCCCTTTCTATCCAGTGAACACTGAAGGGGTACCTTTTACCGAGGCTCTGCTTGTCGTAGTTACGGAGAGCGTCTAGTGAGTTGCATTTCTCGTCTGTAATGGCCCTCAAAGGTCGCTGGGTGACGATTATGCAACAATGCCACCCCTACAGTTTAATCATCACTCCAGTGTTCTCAAATTTCCAATCCTTTGGCTAGAATGGATCGTGGGAAGGCCGATGAGCCGTAATCTTTGATCATTCCGACCATGCGCGTCTTGTCCCAGCTGAATATCCGGAAATTGTCTCCGAAATGCTCCCGTATCTACAAGGCTTAGGTCGGCCTCTGAGACACTTTGACATTACTACAGCATGCTGACATGATGTCATCACACGTTCAGCTGGGACAAGATCTGCCGCTGGGGGCACAAATCTTGGAACGAAGCGAATTCCAAAGGCTAGGCTATGGAATATAAAAGCCTTGGGTCACCGTCTCCGAGTTCCATACATGTTCTCCATCACACATAAGCTTATATTTGAACAAACTGAAACCGCACAAGATAGCCACTATGAGTGTACAGGGTCGGTCAAACAATACAGCTCACCGTCTACTGTTAGATACTTACTTCATTAACTAGGGCAAGTTCGAGACGTCAAGCATGGCGGCATCGGTGAAGTTGAAGCCGGAAAAGGCGTAATCACCAGATACGCCGATGGCCGGGCGACGCGATTTACTTTCAAAACAAAGTTCGACCGCGTGCCAAATGTCCAGATCACGCCAATTCTAGGTGGTCAATATGAAGCCTTCCGAAACTTCTGGCTTTATCACCTCCATCCTACTGGAGGCCCGGCGGTCGATGAGAGTGGGTTTTATCTGGGAATTTGTGGCGACACGGGTCAGACTATTAACTTTGAGTACCTTGCTATTGCTGTTTATACAGCTGGAGATGAGTAAGGGGGCACTGGGGTGCAGGATGGTTACTTTGGCATTGTGAGGGGAGGGGGTAGTACAAGTCGCTGTGTCGGTTAGGTATCAACCTTTAATATGAAAAGATTGAAGACGAAGAACAATATTTACGTGAATAAAAGAGGCTGTCGCGCTTCCAAAGCCCATCTGAGCTTTGTTTGTAGAGCTTCGACTACCTATCAAAATACATTGGAAAGGAGAGTGATTGATGGATTATCTCTAGCTGATATCTGTTTCGTGATGTCAGACGTTACAAGTGATGGTGTTGTCCCTACTTGAAGTGTGTATACAGCTCGGTTCATTGAAAGCCCCACGCTGCCATTGATATTTGCTCGAATAAAGTAATCACTAATGCTTGTCAATAGAATGATTGGTCGCGATAGCTGCACTCGTTATGAGGGCTCGTCCCTGAAAGTATTGTGCTTCGGAGCTGAAGTGGCGTTGCAGGGACTTGGCCACAGTGACAGTCTTAACCAGGTGCTGGAGAAAATCCAGCAAGGCAACTACCATGGCAGGCAAACCATTAAGAGTCATCTATGAAACTGTCAGGCGCTGATGAATTGTCACCTTGGTAATGTCCGGCTAACGCTGGCACTTGATCTGTGACTGAAGCAATGTGATCAAAGATAGTGGCATGGCTGGAGTTACCCAAGTAGCCAGGATATGGCAATCAGCCAATGTCTTTGGATCTTTGGAGAAACCGAATTCACCCAGAGACTATGTCTTTTCGGGGTCGAGAATGGAGACGCTGATATTTCAAACGCCGGTTAAACGGATGTTGTTGATACGCGCAGTCATGGTTTCAGTTGTCGTTCTCACAGCGCGTGCATGCAGGTAGCTTGTGGTCACAGGTAAGTTTCTGGCTCCTACACGGCTTTTCTCGCTGTCATTTCGGTTGTCATTGTGATGATAATTATACTGTTCTCTCGTGTAGATGAAGAATCGGAGTAAAGTAGACTTTCATGCCCTTGGCGTTTGTCCTCTGTATGCACCAAGCTGACGGAGCATCACGCCAAGAAACCTTTATCCGATTGTTCACATCTTACTGCGGGTGACATAAAAGTGACGTGCTTTCATTGCATTTAGTGAACAATATGAATTAGATATTTATATTTTGAATGCAAACACCTGGCTAAAATGTCCTCGGCCTCAGATAAGGTCAAACGTCCGGTCTACCTTGGGATCCCTGGTGATATAGTGGATGCCATTATATCAGAAACTTCTCTGCTCCAGAAGCCAAAGTTAGGCCTCCCGAGACAATGGCAGTCACCTCGCTTTTAATCATGTTCCTCAAGAATAGACCACGGCATTACTTTGCTGCAACCTGGACTGGTAGCATCGCAACTCTCTCATCTCCATCCGCTCCATCAACAGAAAAGGACCATATATCACGTATCATGTACTGGAGATGGAAAAAGCAAAGTAGAACATAATCTCATATCCGGGAGATGCACGATGACAAGACAAAGATTCGTTTACATCCTAAGCTATTGCTTCAATATTACCTGCCCAAGGTCTGAGATCGCTCAGCCGATGGGATTTATTAAATCAGACGCTGATGATGAACTCATCTGCTATTACTGCATCTAGTAGACGCGCTTGCAAGTGATGTGCACGCAGAAGATACGCTCGTCGGTCAGTACTGATCACACAATGCAAAGTCTCTCTAATAAATTTTCATACACCAATTCGCACCCATTTATTGATCTGCAAGTCTATTATCTGCAGATGTGGCCAATTGCTGGAAAGTCGACTTCATGTCCTATGACTTACGCAGTAGATCAAGGTCAACTCAAGGTGAGCAAGGTGAAGTTGGGAAAAGTCGCGGAAGTACCTTTTTCCGCAGCGTGCCCCACCTTTCAACTTGAGCTTCATCTATGCAATTGAGTCGAGATGATACACTTTACAGTACAAGCGACATGGCGCGTTGACGAGGCGCTTCTTGTTGCGCGTTCTTTATTTCATCATTACCCATTTCTCCATGCGCTTCTCTTTATTATTCACTATTTCGCATTACCCAGCGGCATTCCTTTCTCTGTTCCGCCTCCCTGCCTTCGCCTTCTCTTGAGTTCACTCACCATCACAGCCTCTCACAACCGCACCTCTCTTCTCAAGTCTCGCTTCTGACAGCTCACCTCTCCTCCGCCACAATGTCCGCCCCTCGCCGCCACAGCATTCTCGTCGCGCCCTCACGCCCCGAGAGTTCAAGAAACGCAGAATATCGACAGCGCCTCATCCATGACCTGGACCGACTGTGGATGGGCGGCCGTGGCTAGTTACCCGAAGGCACCGATCCCAGCAGACCTGCCCTGGACTCGCTCTACCAGATGCGTTCGCTGACTAGAGCCATCAAACGAACTGGGCAGCCGCTTCCTGCGCTGTTTGTCGTCGGCGGTCCTCTCTACAATACGAGGTTCACAAAGAGGAACATTGCTAACGCGGAGGCGTTTATCTTGAGGCGTATTCAGGAGCAGGGAGGTACTGCTATGGCTGATCATGGATACGCGAGATATCCTTTGTATCAGCCACCGCAAGATCGTGATGATCACGGTCAAGATGGAGAAACTGCCTCCTCGTTTGGTGAAGCTGAACTCGCGCGCGCCTCTTCTAGCCCTGCTGAACAACTAGACATTGGCAATGACACCTTTGCACCCCTGAACGACAACGACAACGACAACGAGATCGCTCTCCCAACTTCAGAGCTCTTCCAAGATGATCACGATGATGCGATGGAAGTCATCAACGATTTCGACGGCAGCGATACCTTGTCCACTGACCTCAACGAAAAAGCCCTTGCTCGTATTCGAAACGGAGAGTGGCTTGATGACTTTAGAATTGCTCAACTCCTCGACCGTCTTGTCTCAATCCAACCTCTCGATGCTGCCGCGATCGATCCTCTCTTGATCGACAGAGTTCCTACCAACGGGTCCATCACCCATCGACTTGGTGATGGCACGACCCGCGATTTTCTGCTGCTGGTACCTGTTCTTTGCGACGCTCACTGGATTCTACTTGTGCTGCAAGCTGGCGACAAGTCAGTGACCTACTTCAACTCGATGCCCAGTCTTAGCATGGACAACTTGCTCCGTCGTGTTCAAGAGGTTGAGAGTGGTCTGGTTAGGGGCTTGGGTTACAATCTCGGCGATGCTGTGTCTGCTGGTCCAACGTGGTGCCCTGAACAACTCAACTCTGACGAATGTGGCGTCGCTGTTGTTGTCAACGCTCTCTACATCCTGGCCAAGAGGCCTCTATCATCCACGTCCGCCAGCTGCGATTATGCCACCTGGCGCTATGTTTTGGCTGCACTGCTGGAAGATGAGCTTGTCGACAATCTCTCCCTCGTACCCTCAGATCTCACAAAAGAGCCTACCATCAATCTCGGTGTCGCTGAGCCTCGACCTGAGAGTCTCCGAGCTTCCGAGTACCGCGAATGGATGCGCAACGAGCGACAACGTCTCGCAGCCCACATGCAGTCCAGCATCGACACTCTCCTCCGATTCTCTTCTCGCTGCAGCTGTCACATCACCATCATCAACGAAGTCGTCGCTGTACTTGAGGGTCTCACATCTCCTGCTGGTCAAGTCGATACTGTTGGCCAAGAGCTCCAATCGGAGTTGGAGTCACTCACCAATGCTCTTACTTGTGTGCGCGCCTGTATCATGGTGAATGACGTGGCTGAGAAGGCTTTGAAGAAGCAGTTGAAGGGGTTGGAGAGGCAAATTGGTCTGCGTGATGCTTTTCGGGAGAGATTGGGGGTGATTATTCGGCAGTGTCGAAGTGACCATGAGGGTCTTGAAAGGATGGTCGATGATGTTGCTACTTTGATTGACGAGATGAAGAAGGAATGTGTTTAGATGGATGTAAAGACGGAATAAATGTGATGCACAAATAAGGAATGGGGGATGTGATAGATACATACACCTAGATTTAACTATGATTTGACAAGTTGAGAAGTAGAGACTGGAAACCAAGCATAATGGAATTATCACAGACCCAGCAGAGTAGCTATCAGATAATGGCCCTTGTTATCGCATGGGTAATTAGAGCGAAAAGAAATGGCATTGGACGGCATAATTGACGTGGCTACCACTTGCAGGAAGTCATAACTACAAGTCATTGAGACATTCAAGAGCAATGTCAACGATCAGCCGAAAGCACTCTTTTGTAGTCTTGCAGTTCTTCTGTCCTGACTTGTTCCGATTGAACTATCTAGTCTTCGTGAGCGTGGTGTTGTTTGTATGAGAATGTTGGAACATTATTGAAAAATAATTATCAACCAAAGGACAGCGTTAAAAAGCAATGAAAGGCCGTAAACATCAATAAGTCTCGAGATCTACAGGAAATAAGTCATGTGATTATTAATTTTAAGTTCATGCTTCAGATAATAAATCTTGGCTTTGAGATGGCTGGAAGTGTCGTTGGAAAATAAAAAAAGTGATCTGATGCAGCGTAGTGGCGCTAACTAAACATTGGGACAACTGGATCAAGTCAATTGGTTGACGATGATGACGACTGTCTAATCTCCCAACAGCATTCAAGACAACAGTGAACCCAAAAAGCTCGGCGGCAACATCGCGCGAAATCCTCCTCACTTCCACCATGGCAGCATCTCAATCCCCTATGCCATGAGGTGCTGTGCGGCATCCGTATCTTTTCCAACCGAACTCACACACCACTCCTGTTCATACCTACCGCCATTCATTACAGTCCATTTTGTCGCCGACTGAGCTCTCCCTGCTCCTCCATCGACTTGATTAACAGCATACCGTGTTCAATCCTCCTAGCTGACGCACTGTCGCAATCCTGAACGCTGGATCACAACGGCTGACCATCATCACTGGTGAACAGAACAAGGTCGATATTCGACGAATGCTTCAACAAACCTGGACAAAGGCAACGAAGACTAAAATGTCTTGAATAATGCCATGGCCTTCTCTCTGCTTTCCCGCTGTCCCTAGCCCTAACCCAAATTGCACAATAGGTCTACATCTTAGGTCTGGACGATATCCATAATATTCCTGGTTCCTGATGGAATGATCAGAAAACACTATGCCGTGTATTTATATAGGATTGCCCATTTTTTTAAATGAGGTTAGAGCACTGACATTCGTGATTGAAAGAATTCGCTATGATGACTTTTGTCAACTTCTGTAAGTTACCCTACAACTCATCTTAACAAATTTGATTCAAAGGCAACGGTGTGGAGCAAGGTTCGGCCGACATCCGAGTCTAACCGGCATGTCGCTCAAAGGTTCACCGAGCCAACGACGGAGTACCTATCAACACATTCGCATTCACGCCAGAGACAGATACGCTCACATTCAACCTTTTCGGATGTACCTTGTTTGAGAAGAATAAGACGCTACTTGCATATCTCTGCGTAAGGTCAGAGAATTCAAGGCCAATTTTTGCTGGAGCTTACTTGCTCGCTTTATTTCTTAGCTGCCAATAATATTACAAAGTAGGGTAAAAGGCATCTACAATTAATCGTGCATAATATTATGGGAATTATTCAAGGCATTATACATATCTGGTTCCACTATTTAGGCATCCATCAAGTCCAACTTCGTTAACTGCACGTCCTCTGTTTATATTTCACTGCAAATTATTCTCATATTCATCATCCATCATCATTCACACAAGTCTTCCTTCAGAATGCGTCTTGAAAACTTCCCTCAAGAGATAATACTCGAGATAACCTCTTATATGTCAGTACATGACCTGACGGTGTTAACTCGGGTTTCCAGGCACTTCAATCACTTTGTTCAGCCTCGATTATGGAACGCCATCGAGCTTCATCACGCGAGCTTTCATGACCCTGGGCGCCTCTGTCCCAGCACCAGAAGATCGATATTTGCACAGATGTCAAGACTCGGTACTTTGAAAGCTAAGAGCCTCTTGAAGATGTTTGAGCCATTGTCATCTGGCGGGTTGGAGAAAGACCTGGAACAACGCAAAGCGATTGCATCGCGAGTTAGGTCATTGAGCCTTGTTTTGAGGGGTGATTGCGAATCGAAGTCTTGGTATTTGCTACAACACTTGACCAATCTCACGTATCTGGAAGTTCACGGCAGCTATGAGTGGCTCGGATGGAACTACCTTTACCAGGAAAACGAATCAACCTTACTTGAACAGCTTGATCTTCCCAGAGCTGGTCCCTCGAACCTTCGTCATGTCAAACTCTACGGGTACATACCACGTTCCTTTGCGGCGTGGGTGTTGAAAACTGGCGTTAAGCTTGAGCGTCTCGAGCTTGGAATGCTTGAAGGCGGGGTAGAAGTTGAGGACCCTGCATCAGGTCATATTCACCGTGGGGAACCATGGACCCCATATCACTTTTATCCTGCCAACATGATGCGCGTACGAGGTCAGCAATGGCTGCCGATACCACGACCTTTAAGGAGCTTTCTTCCCTTGGAGGTTCTGGAGGATGAAGAAAATCAAAAGCTTGAGCTTAGCCTTCCTCGGCTAAAGCACCTGCATTTGTGTCAGCCTTGTCGTGGCGACGATGCTATTGCAGCGGGTAAACTGTATTACTGGTCTGCACGCACCGAACGAGCTGCCCATAAGAGTTGGCGACGGATACTTGTGGCTTCGAGATTGACGCTCAAGACATTAGTCTTGGAGCAAAGATTCGGAGTCCAAATGTCTATGCGGGACAAGTACCCGGAGCTGTTCAAACAACCTGACCCACGTGGTATTGGTAGCACGAAGCTTTTGCACATGATCGGAACGCTACTTACTCAAGATTATAACTTTGCGGCTCTGAAGCAGGTAGAACTACGGGGGATGTTTGTTAGCTCTGATGAACGTGGTCACCCTGCTCCCGGCTCTCCAGTCGGCGACTTTATGGTGTTGATGCAAAATATTGGGGTCAAATGTCAGGCTAGACGTGGTTGCATGGTTTGGTTTGATGGTGATTACGGTGGCGCGGATTGGGATGCATGGAAGACAGATCTGGAGCATGAAGCCAAGACAAGAGCAGAAGAAAGAGGAGAAGCTGTAATTGCAGAATTAGATACTGAGGAGCTCCTAGCTGGCATTTAGATACCATTTATTATTAACAGTAACTGGTTTGGACTCATCCTTGAGGCCAGGACCGCAATCGTCCTGGCTCCCACGTCGCTTGCTAACTTCATTTGTAGATACCTGTTAACTTCCTACAGGGCCAATTTCCAATTCTCAGGTCAGTTCGTTCTTTACGGTTGCTCAGGCTTGAGTTTGCGGATGTGGGTATTGGTGATAGAGAGTCGGCGGGTTGTAACGGCGTTAATTGGAGCGACCTGGATTTTCGTCGTCGTCACGGCCTTGTGCGTAGAAGTCTACTTTTTAACACAACAGAATCTTGATGGGGATTCTCTCGATCTAAATACAGGCGCTGCTGCATTACACATTGCGAGCGGTATGGAAGGAGAACATGTGGCTACAAGTAATGAAGCAGGTCCGGCTACTTTTCGAATACTCCTTAAGTAGGATGTGATGTTAATTCAAGATATAGAAATGGGAGAACCCCTTGCCTTATGGTTGGAGCATGTCGTGATATGGTTGAGATACTCGTCCTGGGGGCTTGAATCTGGAGATCAAGGATAGTGATGGAAAAGCGACTCTGCATATGGCTGGCAGGGAAGGAGTATACTCTCTAATATAGATAACGTCTGACATGAATCTCTTTGAAGTTGATGAATTCCGTACCTAAGTGGTCTTATGAAGGACATCCACATATCCCTTATTGTCAGTTTCCCAAGTCATCAACCAGTCTCACCGCTTATTCTGTAGACTCTTGACGAAGCTCTCGACATAAACAGCCATGGCAAATTCTCCTTTGGCCAACGAAAGCCTGCGGAAGATCGTCTGATCGTTCTTTTGTGTTCTGTTGTACAGGAGACGTTTTGGAAATTAGCCGAACCTGCTAACTACCAGCGCATCTCAAGAATACCCTGCGAGAGATTCGACGTCGTTCTCTTTTCATGTTGATCCCTGCAGAGTACTGTGAGCGTCCCAAATAGCCTCGGGCTATCTCTGAAGAGTCACAGACCGGCTCAGCTTTCGAAAGTATGATCAATGTGACATTTAAAGCCATTCTCGGGGACTTATTCTCTTGGAAGAACCTCTTCCTATGATTGAGATTAAGCTTGAACGCTTTTTGGTTGGGGCAGCCACCTTGATAGTTAGCGAATGTGGCAGGAATGAGAGAGAGGATAGCCTCACCACAAAGTCTCCTAGCGATTTACCTGCAAGAATTGCAGAGAACCAATCATCAACTCCGAAGCGCAGCCATGAGAAAACTGACGAAGGCATGCCTCTTACAAAGTGGATCAAACATTGGCTGGGCAGGGTGTTGTTGCTAAAAAGTAAATGGCGAAGACAGTTGTGTGATACTAGATCTTGGGAGACCACGATAGACAAGGCAAAAAAGTTAGTGGTGCCGTTGAATCAGGTGACCAGCGGCGAATCAGTATCTTTTGTGTAGAACTGGACAATGGAGCAACGCATTGTCGATATAACACCAATTCATTAAGGGTTAGAAAACCGAGGTGCGAGGCCTGCCAAGAAGTGAAGATGGACAATGGTTGATCAATCATGAAGCGCTAAGCCAATCCTGACTCTTCAGAGGGGAAATACAGGGCAGCATGCACCAAAAGGCCCTGTAACTCAACCTCTGTACTGTTGAGCACCATTGCTGCTGCTCACACAATATGACATCAGTGACTGCACGACGATTGAGAGCATCTTCCAACACAATCAAGATGAATTCACGGCTGTCCAAAGACGCTAGAGATGGGCGAGCAGTTTATCCAAGCTGCCGTCCAGCCGATAAACAGACTCGATCAAGCCCCCTCTCGTCAGAAACCTACAATAATTAGACATCGCGAGCCATCCGCCTCAACAAAGAACACGCATCCTGAAAGGAACCACAGATTGGACAACGATATCTAACTTCCAATATAAACCAATATAAAGCCAATCATCAAGCTCGCATGTTCTCGGATATCGTTATTAAGTCCTACGCAAGAGAGAGAAAGGGACATCGCTCGACAGTGACGGTGCGTCAAGAAGGGAAAGTTTTGCTCAGCTGTAAAGAGAACGAGACTCAAGATCAGGAAATAGTCTCTACGGCTTATGAAGCTTCAGGGATACATCACATCTGGCTTACGTACTATCCTCCTGGGTGACTGGTCAAGACAAGGTGATCGAAAGAGCTCTTACCATGCGCATGAACCTCTATTGTTTGTGTGCTCTTGTATCTATGGTGCGAGCTGTCCCAGCTTTTGCGCTTTGAGCCTACTACTGCTGCCAGGATGTATCAGCTGTACCTCTCAACAAAAGAGATGGTATCGAAGGGGCATTGCAACTGAACAGTCCCTGGTCCAGATGAGCATCATTGAGTAGCTTGGATGATGGTATATTGCTTGAGGAGTTGATCTTTGGTATATATAACGCCAGCGGCTTAAGCGGGCTTCCTTCGTTTGTCTAGTTGGACGCAATGGGGCACGTTAGAGCAGATGTCAACGGATTTCCTGGCAAATTCCTCGAAGCCAGTTCAGGGAGGGAAGAGATACCCTATCCTTGCAAGGACATGAATAAATCACGGAATCCTGGACTTTGCTTGCACATCACTTGATTCACCTTTAACACTAGCAACGTATTTGAAAGTTCGGTAACAGAGCCTGATTCCCTCACGGCACCCCCACGGCACCCCCACGGGTACGACAACTAGATCACCAGACGGTGTTGCACAGCCGCGTCATGTAGATGAACATCAAGATACCACGGTTTCAGCGACGAGGAGCCTGCTTGTTAATTTCTGTGAGACAACTGGCGTAATCTGTAGCGGAGCGTGAGACTTCCTTTGAGTCTGTGAGGATCGATCCAATCCCAGCCTTGTACCGCGAGAATGACCTGAAGGAAGGCGAGGAAGCAACCTGCCATCTCACGAAGGTGATTCCCTTTCACTCTTCAGTATTGTTGAAAGTTTGATCTTTGACACCTGACGTGCATTTAATCACTGATCCCTTGGTCGAATCGCTGAGGTTGCCTGGTTCAAGGTTCGCTGATTCATCAACGAGAGATTGCAGGGCAAGTGAAAGAACGGCGGATACAGAGGGAATCTTGATGCAGACGAGTCAGCGGAGGGGATCCAGGAATTCACAGTCCCTACACAGACCAATTGAGGGAAAGAGTCCAGTTGCTGGCAATTCCTAGGAATGTCTCGATGTCTTGTCTCTTTACATGCGGTTGTAGATCGGGTGGAGCTGGTAGTTTGGCTCTTCTATCGCTTTCTGCGTGGTCTGAGAGGAAGTTGGGCAGACGGTCGGTACGAGGGTCAACAGGAGACAGGAGGGATCTCTTCGTGGTGGGCTTTGGGCTTGCTCGTTGGGAGGGTTGGGCCTTGTTTCGGTGGGCAAGTATCACTTAGCTATTACGAGTCAGTGATGTTTGCAGTTGCAGAAGGGATGATAGAGGACAAAAGGGAAAGGTTTGGTCAACGTACAAGTTGAATGGAAGGAGTTGACGTCCAGTTTGACTTTTTGCTCATCATTTGACTGTTCGTTGTGCAGTGGTTCTGGCTGAAAGGACGGTCGGTTTGTGTGTTCTCGACATTTCTGTGTTCTGTTTCCATTGACGTCATGCGAACAAGACTTGAGTAGATCAAAGCCCCCAGATTGAACAAGAAAACTTGGGTTAACAGTGGTCTGGATGCAGGGGGCCTTGACATCGAACCACCATGGCAGGCTGGCGAGTATGTTTGGCGCCCCAGATGGGGATCTTGCTCAGGAAGGGTGAACCAGACCGCAGTAACATGGTCTACGTCTCCTCTCCAGCGGAACAGATCTTCTGGCTCAGGCGTACGGCTCCAGTAGGACCAGTACGTTCAGTGTTCCACTTTAAACTACAGTGCTGTTCAAGGTGACTTCATGTTCTGCCACTGTCAAAGCCCACTAAACGATTCGTGACAGTGGCAGGCAGGATGCTCAAATAATCAGACCCCATAGTCCTCAAAAAACTTTTCACCGTTTCTGCTTTCCCATCCTCTTTCCTCACAAAACAAACCTCGCTCCACAGCACACACCTTTCCACAAATTACCAAGACAACACAAACAATTCACAACTTGACAACAACTATCGCGATGTCTGCGGAACAACCATCAAGCAACCCGGAGATCACCTACCTCCGTGGCCGAGTCCGGATGATCGAAGAGGACAACGCCTTCGTGAACAACGAAAATGACCAGCTCCGAGAGGCAAACGACACCTTGATCACTGACATCGGGGAACTTCGAGAGCAGCTTGATGTCGCGGAGAGACGTGTAGAGTTTCTGCAAGCTGAGTTGGCGCGCCTCACCGCCCTCTGGAGAGCAGCGGAGGAGAAACTCGCCAACAAGATCGTCGAGAACGCAGAGCTCTCCCAGAGACTCGAGGGTGACGCGTCTACCAACGCCAACGACAACAATGTCCCCTCGGAAGCCCTGAGAAACGTCGAGTACAAGGGTAGGTCATCACTGGATGCCTCTGGACGTTGATGACATGACCGCTAATAATTTACCACAGAGCCACAACGGTGAAAGCAATTTTTCCATTGGCAAAAAAACATTCAGAATGCTGTAAGTATTGATGCGATATTTTTTAGGAGATTGGGACCTAATGTGAAAGTTCTTCGACAGGCCTGGTGGTAGACATGCTGGTTGTCTCTTGGTGCGAATTTCTTTGAGGTTGCAAGGGTTAGCTAGGAGTTGTGACGAGGGGAAGGTTTTCTCTGGACAACCCACGAGTTGAACAAGGCATCTTAGTTTTCTATAGCTCAGACCGAAATTGAACGCAGATGCAAGAAGTAAATTGAACCTGTGCAATGAATGCTACTGTCGTGATTCTGAAATTTCTGATTCAACCAGGCCGCAAGAGTAACCCATGGAGACAGCTACCCAGCGCAAGACAACCAACACCATGATGTCCAGCCTGGTCACTACAGCATGCAGTCTGCACAAGGGAAAACCCTCATGAATGACGCATCGCGTCAAGATCATAGCTCGGTCGAGAGCCAAACGAATCCGAGTTGAGCATGTCTTGCTGCGCAAGAGCCGGAGCCCGTTTCCCACAACTTATGACGTAGCAACGCATTTTCTTTTCCTTTCACAACAACAACAACGACAACGCTTTCATCTCTATCGAGTCTGTATGACTATTTCTTTACAAGCGCATTTGCTTCAAACGTTCCGTCGTTTCCGTTTCTCACAACGACCCCTCCCCGTACAAGTTCACACAGATTCAATCACCATGCACAGACGAATTCCTTCGCACACGTTCCATCGAATGCCTTTGCCCAGCAGACCGGGGAAAGACACAATCAGGTGCATATCCTCGTCGGCAAACACGCTCGCCACAGACTCCTACCCTCAACGGAGGGCTTCAATCGCCAAGCGGCCACGGGCACAGCTACGTCCCTCGCAGAGTGCCAGAGGTGAGGCGATGGGGGAGGAGATTGTCTTGCAGGAGGAGGAGAGTGAGGAAGCGCAAGGTCAAGTTGGCATGGCCAGGGACAAGCCCAGCGCTGCAGATATGGGGACAGATCTGGGGGCGACGCCCACGAGGCGAAGGACGCGGCGGAACCAGATTTCGCCAAGCATGAGCTAGTCACTGATTTCACACAGTGGGAAAGCACTCTCCCATTCATGTCACCCTAACGTGCTGACGATGGTGTTCAACAGCTGCCGATGATACACAAGTCGAGACGTCAGATTGCTTCGCAGCGGGCTGACGACATCGGACCTAGCGAAAATACAACACCAGAGCCACGCGGCGAGCGAACAAGGAGGAAACACGGAACCCAGGTGTTTATGGATAGAGTCTGTTGGAGTTTAGTGGTAAATCGGTGATTATATGTGTAGGATCGAGTTGAACATTTGGCTGGTTCTTGATGATGGTTCCTCTCGTGTTTATGGATACCAATGCACCGTCACATATTATTATTCCCTATTATTGTGCTTACGCGAATCGGCAATGGTTATGAACTGAAATGTCTTCCCCTCTAGAAGTGAAAATGCGACCAGCGCTTGCGGTTCATGAATGCACTCGGAAAATTCCGATTCCACACTCATTAAACCCTCTGACCTCCTTCAACTGCCATGCTGATACGGAAGGCCCAGTTGCAATTGTCGTGTATTAGACTCCGTCTCTGTAGCAGATCGCCATGACGTGACTGCGCGGACTCTCTTGTACTGAGACAGTCAACCCGATGGGAAGCTCTTCCTCCTCTCATGAGATTTGGGACAATTCGAGAAGCGATTGCACGATTGTTGCTGGATTTAAAGGCAAAACGTCATGGAGAAGTTGACTCGAGGCGCGCAGCAAAGGGTCATGCCTTTTCGCTCGTGTCGCAGACTTGCAGTCTTGGTTTAACAGTGCGCACACTTCGACCGGTCCTTCAAATCAAGCTCATAGCCTCGGATAGGATCTTTTATGTTCATAAGTCCATCGATCGATAAGGAGGGTGAATTAGGTAGTCGTTGTGCGAGTGTTCAAACAAGTTGTTCGAGGTAGGCAGCGTGATGATGTCGGTTATTTGGTCACACTCGAAAGCTTAAGCAATCAGGTTTTTGAGCACTTGGAGGAAACAAGGAGTTATATCCGCAGATGCCCCGGCACTATCGGGTTGGCATTGTGGAGCAACGACTGACATCCGGGTAGAGTACGCAAACTCCAAGATGAGAAGTTCGCTCTTGGTGGCGGCAGCATCGAGGATGTAGGATTGGTCCAGAGGGTTCAAATGTAAGCGCAAACGTGAAGCTGAAGAAGATAAAGGTTATCAGTTATCTATTGCAGACAGAATATATCTCCTGACACAGCTCCAAGACAATGAAACTGCCAAAGTGGTGCGTTGAAAGATCACCACCTCAAGGTGTCCAGTGACAGCACGTCCAGAGGTCTGCAAAGCACCCACTGGTTACATTTCTCTGTTGAAGGCGGTGAGATCTCTATTGCTGGGAGCAAGCCAAATAACGGCATCATCTTGTTTGTGGTTCGGTGTTGACTGGCTCAACTGGGCGCTTCGGTACCAGGGCGCGGAAAGACTAGTGATCTAGAGCTCTGTCCCTTGGTCAAAGACACTGTCTATGTTGGTCCTGAAGCTGCGTCTGACACTAAGGGCAAAGTTGTCGCTTCCAAGCTAACTCGGGTCTCGGAGGGAGGATCGATGGCGTGACGGAAAGAATCATAAACCGGGCTTCATAAAACGATTGGACGGAGATGGGCAGGAGATCATGTGGGAACCCAAGATCAGCAGTATACTTGTGTGAATTAACACTGTTAGTTCAACCAATACGGAGAGAGAAGAAGTCGCCTCACATACCCGATCAGCCGTATGGTGTCTTGGAGGGATGGACTGATGTACTCGCTTTTTTCTATCTATCTTCAATCTTTTGCAGAACAAGGACCATCAGTCTGATCTCAAACCACAATGCTAATCTTGTAACTCCCCTGGCGGAGTAGCTTTTTGTGTTTTTAATTCCAACTTTATTAATAGAATTCGCACACAGACCCGAAGCCATTAAGCCTCATGACCTTCTATTGCTTCAGTCTGCTTGTCCAACTCTACAGCCGCATCGTTATTCAACTCAATCATACGTTCCACCATACGCAAATGCTGTTCCGTTTCCGGCAAGTCATCCATCTCCCGCTCAACCGTCATACGTGCAGCCACCAGAGCCCTCTTGCAGCGGTGAAGCCGCTTCTTGTACGCTTCCCACCGTCAGCCGTCCGTTATATGCTCCTCTGCTCGCTTCTCTGCTTGTTCCTGAAGATATAAAACCAAGCGATGCATGACATGATGCGGGACTAAGCGGGCGATCGTGATATATTTCACCGGTCTCTCTATTAGATTGGTTAAACATGATGTAGCTGATGAGTCGTGGAAGGGTCATTAATTTATCACTTGCTACAAATCGTCAGAAGAAACGATGGCTCTGTCAGGCTTTGCGTCTCACTAGGCGTCTGTGACGCACCTAATGATCTTGAATTTCTTAGAGCCACACCAGGCTCAGAACTGACGCTTGCCTTAGGCACAACTTAGATCTTGATTTGCATTTGCATATCTCTCAATTACCTATACTTGGATCAAAGCTGCATGAGCACTCTGGCCGTAATACCGACTTTTCTGTGACTCGCAGGCAAGACGCTGTCTCATAACGAAACTGTTTATGCGTCTTTGTATTGGCTGCTCGTGCTAGAACAGAGTCATATGGCCCATGTCTGCGTTGACATGTGTATGTGCTTGTCGTTGACTAGATAGCTGCCATAAGCGGTAGCTTACTTGGTCTTTTTGAACATGCCGTTGCGCCTCAATATACTCCCGGCCTTCTTCAAGTTGGCGCTCATCACTTAGGTCATACCGTCTTCATGCTCACGGTGTCATCTTGGGTCTCGGTCTTGCTTTTTCTTGCTTCCTTTCTCGGTGCAGATCTCGCAGCAGGTGGTATCTGTCGTATCGTTTCTTATGCGCAGAGTGATCTTCTGACTTTATAAGATGTTTCTCTCTCCTGACGGGACCTTGTCCTTGATTACCCTATGACCGCTTCGACGTACAAGTGTTGAATCAGAGTGATGATATCTATTATATCCCTGTTGACGATCAGTTTGGAGCTAGTGATGTTTATCATGTCTTTAACCGTCGTGGAAACCATGGTCTGGTTTGTGAACAAGTCCGTATGCAGGCTTATGTTCTCGTTCATTGCCTCATCGTTTCTCCACGCTATGCGGAGAACAACATCTTCGGCACGTTTGTAGCCCACAAAAGGCGATTTCTTACAGCACATTTGTGTTTTTATGCTTGATTGGTGACATCCTTGTTCCTTTGTTCGATTATATAAGCATATTAAGACCGCTCTTTATGGTCCCTTTCCTTGTTCGTGAAGCTAGTCGGTGTGGGGATCATGGTGGTCTTATCTACCGAGGTGTACTTCAACTTATCGCAGAATAAATACAGGAAGTAGATTAAGGGTGCCTTCTATCTGCTTGTACCCGTACCTGTGCGAGAAAAGGGTTTAACTTGGTAAATGGACCTCTCTACACAGATTTGCGGGTGCCACCCTTAATCCCTAAGGTTTGATATTATGGTCTGTAATAACATTTATAGCTGGGAAGAAAGACCTATTTATACAGACATATCTTTCTCAAACCGTCTCCTTCAACAAATTCCATCCGGGCTTTTTCAATATGACGATTTGCAACAGGTACTACAACCATGTCAGTGTCATTGGACGACCGAGAGGTCTCGGACGTGTGAGGTCAAATGTCACCTCGCCACAACAACGCAATCCAACGCCGTGAGGCTGTCATAGGTCGGGGAGAATCAGCTCAACCTTCGTGCTGGTTTCGAACTGATAGAAGACTTAACCGCTACATAATACAGCATTAGTTCAACACGGTCATCTTATTGGAAGAAAAGTTCCTTAGAGAAGACGATAAGATATATGATTTATGCTGTGAGCTGTATCGTTGTCGGGATTCAACTGCAACATGAACCAGTCTTTTGCTCTTCTCGAACTAACATACTTCGTTAGGCCAGTTAACGTTAAACGCACTCCTATGTAGCAAACTATCGAACTCTCAAAAGAGGTGGCTGCGCCATTTATAGCATGTTTCTTCCATAGTCGAGGGATATATATATGCTTTTAATACCACTGTCCCCAGTCTCAATAATGAGAAGAGTCGCCTCAATTCTCAGCTATATTTTTTTTTTGGTTCACTTTGGCATTGATGAAGTTCCATTGGTAAACAGAAATAGGCTTCCTTCCAAGTTATGTCTACCTGGAATATCGACCCGAGAGCTGGTTTGGTGACTATTAGAATACGTAGGATGGTCTTAGATTCATGAAAGCATATCAGCAATGGACACTTCCCTCCCAAGCTTGTGGATGAGACCAAGAAGCTTCCCGATTACGCGGCCTGCCCTCCCGGGGGTTAATAAAGTGATGCAAAACATTTTCTTCTGATTGTCATTCTGATTCTTAAAATGGCTGTCTAGATGTTTTACAAAGCGGGAAAGTTCTGTCATTGTGCCATGCTCCAACCGAGGGTTGCGTATGGTGGTATTTATCTCTGGAAGCCTATCTATGTGCTAACCTTGTTCGCCTCATGGCCTCGCGACTTATTGTTTACATCATGTTGAGGAAAGACGTTGGTTGGGCTATTACGGCGATAATGATTACAGCATTTGCTTATCACGACAAAGAATTTTGCAGCATACATAATGTCACACGTATACCATGACACTAAGGGAAAGACAAGACATAATCTGTGACAGACGCTGGCCGATGTGGTCAACGACTAATACTCGGATATTCCGGGACCCGTTACTTCTGATTATGAGGAGCCTAGAGGCAGGCAATAGATAGGATATCCGAAGGAGGATCCACAGGTCTCGGGTATTACCATATCCGGTTAGACATTGCTACGCTCGGGCAAGGGAGCCGAGCACATCAGCTACAATTCGATTCGCTAAAAGCATTAAAAGCACATGCTACAACAAGCCATTCAGTGAGCTATCTAGTCGCCAAAATCAAATCCCTCCCGATGCCAGCAAAAATGTCACAATCAACTGCAAGGGCGCTGCAACGTCTGAAGGGCCATTCCAGCCTCACCTTGTGGCGAAGCATGCCACATGGGTACACCAGGCGCTCATTTTCTGTCACATGCTCAAGACGCCTTATGGAGACGAGCGGCTTCTCAGATACGCAATTGACTGTTCGAGAAGCTATCAGTCAGCTCTGCTCCAATTTCCCCAACACCTACTGGCAGGAAAGAGATCAGACTGAACAGGATCCTCAAGACTTTCACGCTGCCCTCGCCAAGGACGGATGGCTCGGCATAGCCCTCCCCGAGGCCCTCGGCGGTTCAGGCCTAGGCATCTCCGAGGCGGTTATGATGATGCAAACTATTACCGAGAGCGGCGCAGGCATGGCAGGCGCCCAGGCAATCCATGCGAATGTCTATGCTACGCAGCCCCTAGCAAAATTCGGCACAGAGAAGCAGCTGGAAAGCATAATACCCAACATCATCCAAGGCAAATGGCGAGTTTGTTTCGGCGTCACAGAACCCAATAGTGGTCTCGACACATTGCGGCTGACCACCACGGCTACCAAACAGCAAGATGGCTCATATCGCGTCAGCGGCCAAAAGATTTGGATTACCTGCGCCCAGGTCGCATCCAAGATGATTATGTTGGCGCGAACTGCTCCATTAGACCCCAAGAAGCCGAGCCATGGATTATCTCTTTTTTGCATTGATCTCAACCGAGACCAGCCAGGTCTAGACCTGCGCAAGATAAGGAAGATGGGAGGAAAGGCTGTTGATGCAAACGAGGTCTTCTTTGACAATTATAGCATCCCTGCTGATAGCCTTATCGGAGACGAAGGACAGGGCTTCAAGATTATCCTACATGGCATGAATGCCGAGCGTTGTCTTCTGGCCGGCGAGGCTCTTGGCCTTGGTTACGCGGCTTTGAACAAGGCAGCCGAGTATGCCAGGGACCGGACTGTCTTCCAGCGTCCCATCGGCCAAAACCAAGCTATAGCACACCCGCTCGCAGATGCATACATGAAGCTTGAAGCAGCTAAGCTGGCGACCTATCATGCCGCCAGGCTTTACGACGACAGCAGCAAAGAGGGCTCCTCCGATACCAAGATCAGCACTGCGTCTGTGGGGGTGGCATGTAACAGTGCCAAGTATATGGCAGCTGAGGCGGCTTTCACGGCCTGCGAGCGGGCTGTTCTGACACATGGTGGCATGGGATACGCGGCTGAGTACGACGTGGAAAGGTGGTTCAGAGAGTGCCTTGTCCCACGCATCGCCCCTGTAAGCCGCGAAATGATTCTGAACTACATTAGCGAGAAGGTTCTGGCGCTTCCCCGTAGCTATTAAAAGTCGCCTTGGTTAATGAGCTTAGGCTCTGGAGAATGTATCATGTGTTTTAGCTCAGTTTGAGGAATCATGAACAAGCAGCCTATCATCACACCCGAGCGAAAACCTTGGGTCAGGGCCCCGAATCAGTTTGTGAAACGTGAATAGTGCGTTCATGTTTGTGTCTTCAGTCTTTCCAAACAGGCTGGAGTCTCGTAAGTTTGCTTCTTGATCTAGTCAGTTACCCGTAAATGAGGCTTGCAGTTTCTTGTTTCTCTTCCGGGTCTGATAGCCGACTTCGGGATGGCGGAACCGGAGGTGCCAGTTCCCTGCACATTAATCTACCCGAGGGGACCGACGCATAAGACTTGGCCGGATTCTCACATGTAGGGATGTCTTGCCTTCTTGCGAGCCATGGAAAGTAAATTAATCGCACACCATCAGTCATGAAACTATTCACCACCTCACATCTTGGTAGTCCACTTCGCCTGGTAAGCCGCAGCTCTCAAAAGCGATTTGCAAGCACTTCGGGTTCAGATGCTGCCCAACAACTCTTGAGCCAACTCAAAGGTCGTGTCACAACGCGTCGACAAGTCCTAGACGGCAACCAGCTCCAGAAGCTCAGTCTCACTCTTGACCGACGACACCTTCACCCTGGACATGATATTTCTGAAATAGCACCAGCTAATGGCACGGTCCTGCCACCAGGCTACCATCTGGTCTATTTCACACCAAACGGAACGGAACTTGATTTAGGAGCAGATGGGACCGATCGCAGCTTCAATTCTCCGGAGCCGTTCACGCGACGTATGTGGGCGGGAGGACGCATGCAATGGGCCAAAGACCGTCCCTTGCGCGTTGGCGAGGAAGTAGAGGAGCGCACCTGTTTGCTTTCTGCGGAGCCAAAGAAAAGCCGGGACGGAACCGAAATGATAGTCGTTACTATTGAGAAAGAGTTTTGGGGTTCACAGGGGCTCTCTCTGACCGATCAAAGGTGAAGTCCCTTGTTTATCAATGGCAACTCATATTGAAAAAGATAATAGGTCTTGGATATTCCGCACAGAGCTCTCGGAGCCTCTGGGGAACACTGCTGTGCCTACCCGCTTGGTGACAGCACAGACAAGCGTCGAAACTGTGCAGCACTCACCGACAGGTATGTTTTCCATTGCATCGCCGGGCGAGGCTCTCGCTAATGTTTTTTTAGGGTACCCAGAGCGCCAGATGACGTGGTCTCCTATATCTCTCTTCCGCTTCTCGGCGCTGACGTTCAACGCGCATAGAATACACTATGATGCGGCCTGGAGTCAAGGAGTTGAGAACCATCGTGGCCTTGTCGTGCACGGTCCGCTTAACCTGATCAACTTGCTTGACTACTGGCGTGACGTTCACGCTGTCTCCGATGGTGCAGGACCAAGTGAGATTGCATACAGAGCACTGTCACCTCTATACTCGGGCGAGCGTTATGCTGTTAAGACTAGTCCTGCCGAGCAGTCCAGGGGAAATATCGAGATTCTAGTTGAAAGGGAGGGCACAATATGTATGAAGGGGGTGATTTCAGAATGATAGACAGCGGCTGAGCTCTGTAAAGGAAATGCGGACGGTAGATTAACCTGAAAGAATTACACCATGTGATTTTCCAAAGTTTCCCAATCTAGTTGTTCTACACCAGTCAGTGAGAGTGACGGATTGTGATAGATCCAGTATAAATCATCTTCGCCCTCGAGCACAATGTCCCCAAGGTCTTGTGCCCCAGCCATCACGGCATCTTGCTCTCCAAGGGCATTCTCAGTGGTCAGGTTTTGACCTTGCGGCTCACCTGATGCCATGGGCGCTGCCCCCAACGCATGAAAAGAAAAAGGTTGCATAAGCATTTGTGGTTGTACCGCGTCGACATCTGGCGTCTCTGTCTCAAGAGTCAGGCTGGCGCACATCTGATCGATCTCGGCCAGACGCTTCGTAGCCGCTCGATTGCCCAGGTTGGAGAGATGCATGAGGATGCTCCGGACGCTCTCAATGCCTCGATAGGCCTGGGCTTTATCAGAGTTGATTATTACCGCGAGAACGAAAATAAACCCGGTGGAGAAAAGACAGTCGAGATCAAGGAAAGCATGCTTGGCTGTTTTGTCAAGAGTGTCAGCCAAGAGCTAAATCAGCAAAGCCAAAGATGCGCACCAATAATGTCTTGTTTACATAAACCATGGAGAATGACCAAGCTCTTGCGGGCTGCTTCAACGCATGTATCTGCAAGCCGGCGAAGAGCGGGACTCATGGATGTGTACAAGTTGTTTCCTCCGCTGAAGCTGCTACGAGCCATATACAAGAGGATCGGTCGCACTGCGTATATGATGTTCTGCCGCCGGTCAACTCAACAGAAGGCTAGATTAACACGGCGAGATCTTTACCTGATTGACTGTCAAATGGAGGGATGCGATTGTCCTCGCCGACGACAATTGTGAGCTGGACAACGGTGCCTCGTTGAGTATGAGCTCGGCAGGATTTGATCCACCTGCAATTTCAACTGGCATCTCATTTTCGATCTTGCGGAGTGAGTGTAGGATGTCCTGTACTTCCTTGATGAAAATGGCCTCCTGCTCATTGTTTTGCGAGTAGATGGCTCGAAAAAGGTCAGTGTGATGTATCCAGACACGAATGCGCAGGGCTAGACTAACTGGTGGTGATACGGCCGGTGATCTGAGCCAGCTTTGCATTAACTGCGATGGCAGCAGCGGATTGGTATCCGATTTGGTCCGCGGGCTGGGTTGCAGTGATTTCCGCGTCTGAAATGGACATGGGGAAGCCTACAGCAGCAGCAAGTCTTCTGCTACGGCGTCAGGCGATGACGACACTATACTCGAGGGTGACATACCGTTCCTGCATGTAGATGGACCACCAGAGCCGGTTTCGATGCACAGCTTCCGAACGCCTGTGACTTCGGTAAGATCCAGACTTGTGGAGAGAGAGACCTAACGACAAGCGCAGGGCTGTGCTCGCCTGCAACGATGTAAGCTTCTGCTGGTAAGGCTGAGAGTCTGAGTCAACTACTGACGTAGAGATAAGCATCCTCTTTTCGGTCTGCGATTTGCAGGTAGAGAGCCGACAGCCCCATGAGTTCGATGCCCAGGACTCCTTGCTCTCGCAGGCTGCTCAGATCGGGCATACGCTTGAGCGCCTCCTGAAAAAACTCATCACCTGGTGGTTTGGACATATCATCCCACTTGGCTTGAAGAAGCCTCCCGATTGCAAAGACCAGGAGACACTCAGCATACCATAGCTCGGTCACTCCAGTGTCAACGGCGTCATCGTTGAAGAGGGAGAATAAATTATCCGAAAAGGTTCTAACGTCGAAAAGGTGCTGTGATATACCCACGTTCAGGACAACAATGTTCAGCATGCTGTATGCGTCTTCTTCTGTGGGCCAGTACTTGATCTTGTCCGCACCTAGCCGGCTCTGGCACATAGACCGTGGCGTAGCATCAGCAGGCCGAGCGGAGACCGGACCTGGGTTTGGACGGGATCGCTCAGTCAAGAGGGTCCTCAGCTCAGAGCTAAATGTGTCGCTCGAAGAGAGAGACGTCCCAGGCGCAAGAGCTGGGTAAAAGGAGGTTAAACGGTTAGCACGATCCGATAGAAGTAACATGAGATGGTGATGTTGCCTCGCTCACCTCTCGGTCCCGGGTTTGGCTTTGGGCTGGATGTCACTGTCGGTCTGAGGTCCTCATGAGGTGGAGATTGAGGAGCTAGCGACGGTTGTTGCTGTTGCTGTTGCTGCTGCGTATCTTGGCCATCATGTGAAGCATTGCCTTCTGCATGGCTTCCTGATAATGAAGGCGGTCTCTGAACTCCAGGAGATGGCAAGCTGTGTGCAGAGGGAGACTGCTCAGAGCCTCCTGGTCCTATGTCTCAGATAAAGTCAGTACCCAAAAGTCTTGTGAGGAAATGTGATGTGATGCGATGCCAAGTACCGTCACGATTCTCATAATGTGCCACTCTCTCCTCCAGGTTGCGTATGTGGCTGGTGGTAGTCAGTCAGCCAGCCAAGTGCCAATTCTTTTTGGGGCGGGACTGTGCAATGTAGCGTACGTGACTGAATAAAGTCTCCGCCTGGACGGCCGAGTAAAAACACAGTCCAGGCCGCGTTTGACGCAGTAGACGCAAGGCCGCGTGCCGGAGCACTTGACCTTCTTGTCACGGCACATGAGGCATGCTGTAGAGGTGCGTAGGCCGACGCTGACGCCGTGTCCGCGTCGGGGACGGCTTGGCGGCGGTCTTGGTCCCGGCTCTGGGCCCGTCTGCCCGGGGTCGTCTTCCATCAGCGTCTCATTCATGGGGGATCACTTCCGAGATATCGGCAACCATGCGCGGACGGATCAAGGTCAATATGATTTGATTATTCAACAGTTGATGGGCGCGTTTGCAGGACGGACCGGACCCAGGAGCTACTCTAATTCCGGCATCATCGGATGTCGTTGCCGAAACAGACTAGACCTATTTGTGCATGTGACCCACTCATCTCGGTCCCCCCAACTTACAGAGCTCTGAATAGATATGCATCTTGGTTTTTGATCGTGCTGGAAATCTGTGTATCCGAGTGTTCTTCATTAGTTTTCATTTTTCGTGGATGTCAACAATGTCGCCTACAACTTATCTTCGTCGGGCATTACTTTACGGTGCGTGCGAGATAGCGACTCTTCCAATGTATTGATGCTGCGCAGCAGACAAGGCTCACCAGGATGTAGTCCCTGGGTCTTCCCACAAAATGCTGACCAAATCGAGCACTATTCATGTTGACTCGGTCATATATGACCTCGAAGATTCTGTCACCGCCGAGTCCAAAGAGCTGGCTAGGGGACTGGTCGCGAATCACATTGCCGGGGACGCCATGCAAAGGTCTATCCGAGGACCTAAAGAGGCCTCTGTGCGTATCAATGCAGTAGACACTGGTCTTGCACTGCAGGATATTCAAGTGGTATGAATTCGGGACCCAATCTACCCATTGCGTGCTGTGCTGACGGTCGAATAAAGACGCTCAAGAGGGCAGATAACCTCGACACAATTGTCGTGCCCAAGGTTCAGTCCGCAGCAGATTTGCATTTCGTTGCCGACGTCATTCGTCATATTGCCCCTCAACGGATATTCTTCCGGCCTCCAAAGACCGAGTTTTGCAAACAGAAAGAAAATGTACCCTCGTCACGGCCCATACATGTTATAGGTTTGATTGAATCCGCCCTAGGCCTTGCCAATGTATTAGACATATGTCGAGCAGGTCAAGCGTTGGGATTGGCAGGGCTAGGCTTTGCTGCCGAAGATTTCATGGCGAGCGTCGGGCTTTCGAAACTGCCAGATCGGCGGGAATTGCTCTTTGCACGGTCTGCAGTCGTCAACGCGTGTCGAGCCTATAATATTCCTTCCATCATCGATATGGTGTCTGTCGATGTGACCCATGGCACCGATGGCACGGCCTTGGAAGAGGAAAGTAGGGAGGGCCGAAGCCTTGGCTTTACCGGCAAACAAGCAATCCATCCTTCTCAGGTCGAGACCATACAGCGTGCCTTCGGCCCATCTGCCGAGGAAGTACAATGGGCGGCACAGGTCTTTGTGGGGGATATCGAATCGCAGAAGCAGGGCAAGGGTGCTTGGAAACTGAATGGTCACATGATTGATGCACCCGTCGTTAAGACGGCTACGGCATTGCTGGATAGAGCCAGGGCATGCGGCATAGATGTCGACACTCATATCGCAAGATTGAATGTTGGTGCCTTGGAGGAGAGGATGAACAGATCACTGTGATGTTGGTAGCATTAAACTACTGCATAATATGTTATGGAAATCTGTATTCCTTACATGCGCGAAGAAACGTTTCGACTTGGTAGTAGTAAATGGCTTGTTAATCCTGGTCTTGCTTATGTTTGATATGAAGTTTATACTACTCCAGGCTAAGATGCCTTTGAGAAGAGACCAGTCATGAATTTCAACTGCTTGGCTGACCAAGAGCTGCATGCCTAGTACTTGTTAGACCATTCTTGCCTAACTTGGAGATAGTGTACAAATATATATTGGGCATTCGGATGGCAATCATAGCCAATCTTGACCGTCTCATTTATATTCCAGTAGATAGGTTGAACTTCCAAGTTTATTCAGCCGATAAGCTTTGGGTCAGCTCAGGTACCGCTTCGAACAGGTCTCCGATTAGCCCTACGTCGGCGACTTGGAAGATGGGCGCGTCCGGGTCTTTATTAATGACTGCGATTACCTTGCTGTCTTTCATTCCAGCAAGATGCTGGATTGCCCCTGATATCCCGACCGCCACATACAGCTCTGGAGCGACCACGTTTCCAGTCTGGCCAACTTGTAAGCTGTTGTCGGCAAATCCGCTGTCAACCGCGGCACGGGATGCGCCAACTGCGGCTTTCAGAGAGTCTGCGAGAGGGAGAAGGACTTGATCGAAAGCCTCCTTGGACTTGAGGCCCCTTCCACCCGATACAACCCTCCCAGCGGTTCCCAGCTCAGGCCGATCGCTCTTAACCAAATCCTCCTGTACCAATTCCGCGCTGCGTAAGGTCCCTGAGCTTTCTTTCTCATTGTAGGTATCGATGGGCGCGGGACCGTCTGCGAGTTCTGCTGCCGGAAAGGCTGACGCGCGTACTGTGAGATATTTAACGTCATCGCTGGACTTGACCGTCATGACTGCGTTGCCGGCGTAGATTGGTCGCACAAAGACTGCTCATATTAGCCCATGAGTACAAATCGTAGTGGATAGAAATATTTTGAAACTCACCATCTTCAGACTCGACTGATGTTACGTCCGAGATAGGCTGGTGGCCGTTCAGGGCGGCAGCGCGTATCAAGGCGTCTCTGCTGAATACTGAGTTCGCTGCCACAACGTGAGTGTATTTTCCCTGTTTGGCATGTCTGGCAACTATGGCTGCGGCGTCTTCGGGGAGGCGCTGAGTCGTGCTCGTGGTCAGTGAATGATCAGAGTGAGATGGATGGCCGCTCGAAGGATTCATCAACACCTACAACGTGGTCTTGTTCTTGGGTTCCGGCAATGACGTTGGTCAAGCCTCTGATGGAGGCTGCCTCCTCTGCGGCTCCCGTCGAAATACCTCCTAGCAGGAGCGCAGTAACAGGGCCTTCAAGGCGGGCAGCAGCGGTGATTGTGCGTGCCGAGTCCGAAGATAATTGCCCGTTGCGAACTTCCAGGATTGCCAGTGTTGAAGCATTCCGGCTGATGCACCTCATAGGGTAGGGCACGTTAGACAAGCGCGCCCCAAGAGTCCGTGTCAAAGCGTTCATGATGATTTCACAGACACTAATGACTGAGCTGGTTAATTTACATGTGAACTGGCAGCCCAAGCATATCTGTCACTACAAGCTCGAATGTTATCACGTCTGGAGTACTGATCCGATGTTTAATAACTCTGTTGAACTAACACACGAAACAACTTGATTCATTACAATGGTGACGTGACCTTCGCAGCATGGATGGTTTTGCCGAGTCATGGTAACTCGGGATCGGCCTCGGATTCATGGCCCGAACCCGCTCGGCCTTGGTGGGGACAAACAATGTCAACCGATTGGTTCACGGTCCGGAAGGTAGTTACCCGGATACGTTTAGTAGCAAAGCAACCAGCTAAGTCGATACTTATGCTTGGACTTCGTAGTAGAGTGGTTGACAAAATATTCTAGCATAGCCCACTCAAAGGGAAGATGAGTCGGCCACTTCGAATCTTGGTTCCCCTTAAACGGGTTATTGACTACTCTGTAAGAGATGGATTCCGTGGTATCACATTTATGTGTGAACTTGAAGGTAGTTAACAGCTCTAGGTGAAAGTCCGTGTCCGAAAGGATTTCCAAGGCGTGGAAAAGAATGGTGTCAAGCACTCGCTCAATCCGTTCGATGAGTTGTCTGTGGAAGAAGCGGTTAGGCTGCGAGAACGCAAGCACCCCGTCGAAGAGATTGTTGCCGTTTCTGCAGGATCACACAAATGCCACGATGTACTCCGGACTGCAATTGCCATGGGTGCAGATAGAGCTATCCATATCAACATGCCGGAGGAGCAGGCAGACTCCATGGAGCCCCTAGTAGTTGCAAGATTGCTTCAAGCGGTGGCTAAAAAGGAACAGTCAAACTTGGTCCTCCTGGGCAAGCAGGCCATAGATAACGACTTTGGTCAAACAGGACAATTACTTGCCGGCTTGTTGAATTGGCCGCAGGCTACGCAGGCTAGAAAGATTGAAATTGACGGAGACATTGCCAGGGTCACGAGGGAGATAGACGGAGGAACACAGACGGTCAAGGCTCAGCTACCGATGGTGGTGACTGCTGATCTACGGCTGAACGAGCCACGTTATGCAACACTTCCGAGCATCATGAAAGCCAAAAAGAAGAAGATCGAGCAGAGGACTCTCAAAGACTATGGCGTGGAAGATCGAAAACTGCTGCAAGTTCTCCGGGTTCAGGGTAAGTACCACTAATGTTTTGTTCGTGCATGGAAACAATGGAGTTGACATGGAACAGAACCCCCCAAACGGAAGGCAGGTAGCATTGTCGGAGATGTCCCCGGCTTTGTGGGCAAGTTGCGGGAACTGGGTGCTCTCTGAGGACAGTACTCTTCAGCTGCGAATTCTTGAGATACTTGGGGTTTATCTATAGGCAGGTTTTGTACCGGAAGTGTATCTAATTCAGGGCATGGGTAACCAAACAAAGATGGCCAGACAGTTAAGAGTTGCAGTGATCACCATGTACCTTTTTCTTTTCCGTGAGATCAAACAAGACAACGTTAACCGAAAAGACTACTGTTATTGCCTTTGGTATAACCGTGACCTCTTGCTCCGTACAATGTGACGGGGGCAGACTTACTTGTTGACAACAGGTTGCTGTAGATTCAAACCGAGGTGCAACGTCAACAGAGGCATAAATACAGGGAAGACAGAGACTTCTTATCAAAGGTTTCATCATGCTTGCTCACAGGTAGTCAGCAATCACGTAATGTCTGCAACAAGATAATAGTCGTGGACTTCAGATGTGTTGTACTTCTAGAGCGCTGAACTCAGCATGCTAAATCCAAGATGCCTTATTATCTAATTTTGAACATTAAACACGTCATCAAGGAGTGCTTTTTCCTCAGCATAGTGAAGATGCTTGAGACCTGTAGCCGGACTGGCGCTCGTTCCACGACCCGCAAAGAGCACGCGACGTCCAGCAAGATGTTCTGTCTCGTTAAGGACTGCATCTAACCGATCGCGCATGTAATGCCACGCTCCACCGTTGTAGTGCTCCTCTTGCGCCCAAACAATCGTCTTCGCATTCTTGTACTGATCAAGGTTGGATTTCACCTCGGCCCAGGGGAAGGGATGAAGCTCCTCTATTCTCGTGATGGCCACGTTCTTGATGCCTGCCGCTTCTCTATGTTTTTGGATCGCGGCATATACTTGGCCTGAGCAGATAACAACTCGCTGTATGGACTCCGGATCTTCGATGGTGTGGCCGTGCTCGGGGTCGGTGATGACTGGTTGGAAGGTTGACGAGCCAGTGAAGTCAGCAATACCGGAGCGAGTCAGTGGGTGGCGAAGAAGAGACTTCGAGAAGAATATGACCAGAGCTATATGACAGTCAGTGAGTGATTTCTGAAGCTTGGCCTTCAAAAACATCAAGTAATCTTGAGGCAAGTCAAAAGGTCTGCAGGGGGCATCTGCGGGAAATACGTACGCTTTCTGTACTCTCTCTTCATCTGTCGACGTACAACGTGAAAGTAATTGGCGGGCGTAGTCATGTAGACCAGTCCCATGTTGGCATCTTGATGGGCACGCTCAGGTTCCGATGGGTATATCCTACCCTCCTCCGAGCAGAGCATCAAGAAGCGCTCGATGCGGGCAGATGAGTGCTCAGCGCCCTGTCCATCATAGCCATGGGGCAAAGAGAGGATCAGGCCAGACCGGTCAAGCCATTTCGTCTCGCCGCTGGCAATAAAGTTGTCAATGATGACCTGCGTGTTGTTTGCGAAATCTCCGAACTGAGCCTCCCACATGACGAGTGAGTGTGGATCTGCCAATGTCACGCCGTACTCGAAGCCCAGGGCACCAAACTCACTCAGCGGCGAGTTCTCTACCTCGAAGGGTGCCTGCTCCACGGCAAGGTTGTTCAGAGGTGTCCAAGACTCTCCAGTTTCCTGGTCGTGCAGCACGGCATGACGCTGCGAGAAGGTTCCCCTTTGGACATCTTGTCCTGTAAGACGCACAGGATGTTTCTCAAGACACAGGGTTCCAAAGGCCAATGCCTCTGCGGTAGACCAGTCTACCGTTCCGTTGTCCAGGGCCTTCTTACGGCCCGCAAGGATTCGTTCCAAGTTACTGTGTAGCTGAAAGTCACTGGGGACGCTTAGAGCCTTGGTTGCCACCTGCCCAACGATTGCTTCGTCAATAGCTGTAGTGACGGGTGGCAGAACTTCGTTCTTCAGACTCTCCGGAGACTTCAGACTCTGCCACGGGGCCGTAAATGCTTCCCGAGACGAGACAAATTCCTTGCTGCTGTCGTATATCTCGTTCAGACGGTTCCAGACGCTTTCGCGCAGGCAATCGATCTCTTCCATCGTGAACGAGCCTTCGGACACCAACTTCTGGACGTACTTGTCTAACGAGGGTGTTTGTGCAGCGACCTTTTGGTACATCAGAGGCTGCGTGAAGCTGGGCTGGTCGAATTCGTTGTGGCCAAACTTCCGGTAACAGATGATGTCCACAACGCAGTCGCTATGGAACGTGGCTCGCCAGTCTGCCGCTAGTTTACAGAGGAAGACCACCGACTCTACATCATCAGCATTCACATGGAAGATCGGGGCGTCGACGACCTTGGCAATGTCTGAGGCATAAGGGGTTGATCTGGAACAATGCAAATCCGTAGTGAACCCAACCTGATTGTTAACCACAAGCCGAATGGTGCCACCCACATCATACGCCGGCAAGCGCGACAAGCCAAGAGTCTCGTAGACAACACCCTGCCCTGCAATAGCAGCATCGCCGTGAAGAGTGACACACATGTTCCTCTTCTTCTTCGGGTCGTTGTTCAACCGCTGGGTTGCAAAGGCCCTGCCTGTGGCGACGGGATCAACTGCCTCGAGATGCGAGGGGTTCGCAAGGACAGAAATGTCCACAGTATGCCCGTCGGGAGAGACCCGCTGGCCCTGGTGGCCAAGATGGTACTTGACATCACCAGCCATGTTTCGCAGCATATCCGAGCGAACCCGCCCAGCAAACTCAGCAAATATGGCCTCTGGTGCCTTTCCATACACAGTTCCAAGCATGGTCAAGCGCCCGCGGTGACAGCTGCCAATTGTGATGTCTTGCACGCCATGGACGTCGGCGCTGTGGTCAATCATGGACATGACACCCGGAACGAGTCCTTCGGAGCCATCTAAGCCAAAGCGCTTCTCGTTGGGGAACTTGGCGGCGAGAAATCGTTCAAAAGACGTTCCCCAGACGAGACCATCAAGAATCCGGCGTTTCTCCTCTCGCGAGAACTTGGCCGGTTTGGGTATCTCGAGACGATCCCTTAACCAGTCACACTTGGCGCGGTCTGGGATGTGCAGATACTCAACTCCATAGCTGCCGCAGTACCTCTGCTCGCAGGCCGCAATAATGTCACGTAGGCTCATTGACTTTCTTCCCTCGGTTGCGTAGCGAGGAAGTATACCGGGGCCGAGGTTGAAATGGCGGTCCATGTCCTTCTCGGTAAAGCCATAGTAGGATGGCTCAAGCTCGACGGCGCGTGCGAGACCAGATTGATTGGAACCCACGTGCAAGGCATTCACTCGTTCACCCAAGGGATCCGTCTTGGCATGATAGTGTCCTCGGGACTGATACGCACGCACCAAATGCTGGACTTTGAGATGTAGTAACACCTCGGCTGCCTGGCCGGAGTCGAGCCCCGGTGCGGCCAACGGTTGACGAGAGGATACAAGTCCTGGTGGTGGCTGGAAGGCCTCAGATGCGGGCCTTGATCGATCCTCCATGTTACGGAAGTATGTCCTCCAAGAAACATGGACAGACTCTGGGTCCTGCTTCCACGACCTTAACATCTCGTCAATGTAGTTGGCCGCCCCTCCCTGCAGGAATGAGTCGGAGATGCTCTAGGTTAGCTTAGCATCAGCACCTTGCATAAGTCTTGTATACTTTTTTCTTCTACTCACCGGTGGTAAATCTTTATCTGGATCCGATGACCTAGTCATCAAGGGAATATCTTGGAACTGATGCTGAGCAATATGGCTCTCGCTCCCGGCCAACACCTCTGCGGCCGATGC